AAATTTTGACAAAAAAAATGTCATTTTTTTGTTTTTTTGAAACAGTAAAATTTTCCTATGTAATTTTTCATGGTAAAAATGATTAAATATCGTTTTCAGAACAATTTTTGTGACTATCAGACGTTGTTGCATAATTATCAGATTTCAAAAAATTTTCGAAGCATTCAAAACTGAAAGAAAAAACATTTTTTGCAGTGTAAGAGTCCGAATCCAAAAAGTTTGTTTGCGAAACATTGCGTACTTTTTTCCACGCAAAAATGGGCCATAAGGTGCTCCATAAAACAAAAATTCACAAGGCTCGGCTGCTTGAAACAAACAGTCCGAAGGCTCGGCTGCTTGAAACAAAAATTCACAAGGCTCGGATGCTTGAAACAAACATTCCGAAGGCTCGGCTGCTTGAAACAAACAGTCTCAAGAGTTGGCTGCTTAAAATACATGGTCTCAAGGCTTGACTTGGAGAAAAAAAAAGCCGAGCCTTGAAACTATGTATTTCAAGCATCCGAGCCTTGTGAATTTTTGTTTCAAGCAGCCGAGCCTTCGGAATGTTTGTTTCAAGCAGCCGAGCCTTGTGAATTTTTGTTTCAAGCAATCGAGCCTTCGGAATGTTTGTTTCAAGCATCCGAGCCTTGTGAATTTTTATTTCAAGCAGCCGAGCCTTCGGAATGTTTGTTTCAAGCATCCGAGCCTTGTGAATTTTTGTTTCAAGCAGCCGAGCCTTCGGAATGTTTGTTTCAAGCATCCGAGCCTTGTGAATTTTTGTTTCAAGCAGCCGAGCCTTCGGACTGTTTGTTTCAAGCAGCAAACCCTTGAGACTCTTTGTTTCATGGAGCACCTTATGGCCCATTTTTGCGTGGAAAAAAGTACGCAATGTTTCGCAAACAAACTTTTTGGATTCGGACTCTTACACTGCAAAAAATGTTTTTTTTTTCAGTTTTGAATGCTTCGAAAATTTTTTGAAATCTGATAATTATGCAACAACGTCTGATAGTCACAAAAATTGTTCTGAAAACGATATTTAATCATTTTTACCATGAAAAATTACATAGGAAAATTTTACTGTTTCAAAAAAACAAAAAAATGACATTTTTTTGTCAAAATTTATGGGTTGACAATAAAAATCGGATATTAACATATCAAAAATGGCTGACTCTAACAATATTCAAGTATGTTTTCCGACGTGTTTTTTGACGCTGAATCTGATGGAACGGGTCCCATAATCCGCCCAGGCTTCTAAAACGACGATTTTATATGAAAATGTAAAAAAAAATTTTTCATTTTTTTCGCTCATGTTTCCAAATCTTTAAAAAAATCTGATAAATATGGTCGTAAGTACCGTTAAAAGTACTTCACATTAGCTGCAGAATGACGCAAAGTTTGTCAATTTTCATGAAGTTTGAGCTGGAATACGATTTTTTGAAAATATATGTCATTTTCGAAATTTATTGTAACTAAAATTTTAGACCCCTGGAACTTCCCCAATGATTTTTCTCCTACAAAATCCGTTTGGGGTTTTTCATACCTCGCCATATACATCAACTTCCACATAGTAGATCAAAATTTCAGGGGGTCACTTGTGCGATCATTCCTTGTCAGTAAAGCCTTACTGTTGCTCAGAATCATTTAGACCTGAATGAATCTGAAGAAAAAAGTTTCCACCAGCCAACTTAAGAAAATTGATTTCAATCAAATCAAGATGTTGGTGGGAAATCAAGATTTCAAATTCAGACTCAAAAAGATGGGGTGTTTTATCTAGATTCAATAGCCAGACTAGAAAAATTTCTACTTTTATAAATAGAAATTTTCCCAAAAAAAAATCCAAAGTGAAAATTAAAATGTCATATGTTCAGTTTTGGGCGCTCGCTGCTTGCTCATTTTAGACGCCAGACGGTGAATTGTCTCGTCATATGGGCATTGAATTGAATGAGCCGCGAAAAAAGCCGCTGCGCCACGGGATGTCGCCTTTTTGGGTGGTGTTTTGGTTTTGTGTATGGGGAAAACCCATAAATCATATCAAGTTTACAAAATTTTCCACTTGTCAAGGTAAGAATGTTTTATGTGCCTTTAAAATACTCCAGAATGGGAGGTGGGTGATCTTATCTTTTCAGCGACCGAGTGTTCCATTTTTCAAGGTGAAGAAGTTTTATTGCACCAAATAAAAAAAAGTTGGTGGTTTTCTTTTAGTGGGGGCATTCTTGTTGACACCCAATTATATAGTTTTTGAAATATTTTTGACACCTGGAAAAAAGACAAGCGATATGTTTGGATTGATGTTGCCGACGAACAAAGGGTGTGAAAAACGGGGGGGGGGGGGACACGGGGGATTTTTAAAGAAAAATTCAGAAGAATAGGGACTCGAACCAGCATATGAATCTGACATTGTGATTTTTATGCGAAAATTTCTATTCTGACGTCGAGTATCAAGATAAAACACCCTTTTCTAGATTCAGATTTTCAAATCTTGATTTCCCACCAACATCTTGATTTGATTGAAATCAGTTGTCTGTTGAAAGTTGGCTGGTTGGTTGGTACATTTTATTTTAAGAGGTATTTTAAGAGGGTTCAGGATTTATGTGTTTCTATAAACTTCGAAAAACAGTTTCCAGAGTTAGATAGATTTTGAACTAGAAATGTGATTTTTTGAACAATTCAAATTTGAAATAATTACTGTTTCTTTAGGAGCTACAGTAACTAAGCCTAAAAGCCTAAGTCTAAGCCTAAAGAAGACTTTTTCGGCTCACCAGATTTCGAAAAAGTTCTTCTGTGTTCAAATAATTACAGAAGTTGAATTTTTCCAATCTTTTGAGATCGATTTAGCTTTTTCTTTTAGAGCTTCCTATTTTCAAACGAAAGTTCTGTTTTTCAGATAGTCTCGAATTTCTCTGCGTCTCTCCCTCTTTCTATCTCTATGACAACGACAAAACGACTGATTTTATCAAGAGGTCGACCTTCATTCTCGTCACTCCGCCAAGTCATCCACCAATATTCGTTTTTTATTAGATATGTGCCGACTAATTACTGTTTTTTGGTAGTGTTGCTATGATCGATGGCTATAAATAACAGACAAAAATAAATGCATAATTGTTTTTTGAGAAAAAAAAACATTGGGGATCATCAATTATTCATAATTATCTAAAAATCGAGCAGGCGAGACTGGAAAATGTATCATCGACAAGATAATTTGTGTAGAACTTGTGCGAAAATAATTGCTCAGAATAGGTGGTAAGACGATAAATATTATTGTTTGATTTATCGGAAATGCCCATCTGGCTTTTGGCAAGTTCAATGACAACAACAACATGATTCACACCTTGTTCAACACCCTTTGTTAGGTAATCTGGTATGCGAAAAATGGGGAGCGAATTTCACGAAATGTGCAAAAACTTGTAAAATGAAGAACAACAGTGTCCAGACAAACTTCTTTTAGGATACTAGATTTGTGAGCCTAGATTTTGATGAGTTAGCCTAATTGTATTCAATTTTTGGGGATTTTTTTCATATATTTTTCATATTTTGAAGAATTTTTTATCGACTTTTTCAATTTTTTCCGAAATCCCTTCCCAAAAAACTCACCAATCGCTTCTATTTCTCGAATCAAACCAAAACCATCTAAAATTCGTAAATCCCAATCAAAATCATTGTGAAATTCGAAATCTTCCAAGTTTTCCACGTTAGTGACATCGAAAGCAAAATGAACATTTCAAGCTGAAAATCAGAAAATTTCCCCGGAAATCTGAAAACCCAGCGAAAAAAAACGAAAAAATGAAAATATTCTCGTGTTGCGCTAAACAGCGGGCAAGCGGAGTGCCGTAAAATGGAAAAAAAATAATCAAAAAATACGATGAAAAAGGAGCATGCACTCTAAATGTGTGTCGGGTCCCGGCGCGACACACAAACGCGTCTTCAAAAAATTCAAAAAAATCATTTTATTTTTCCCCATTTTTGCGCAAAAAAGTTTTGTCGGTGTTCCGTTTTGAGTGACAGTTCGGCGCATCTTTTGTGATTCGGATCTACTAAATACATAACACCATTCCACCCAAATTCTTCCGTCTTCATATTCAATTTGCAGTTACCCTCAACAAGTAAATAAATAAGGCAACATATTATAAGCTGTGTCTACACTACGACTACTAGTGGTGAAGCCTAAATATCTATTCGGTCAAACAAATATTGACACCCGGGTTTTGCTATTTACCATATTCACTATTCGCTCTTTTGTTTTTATTCAATTTGACAGGTCTTTTACCAAAAAAGAGACAAATTAGAGAGGTTTGGTTAAGTGATAAGACACCTTGGTGGTAATGCATTTGATTGATTAGGGATAATCGGGAAAAGGGTGATTTTATCGTAATTTACTATTACAAGTTACCTAATTTTTCTGTTGTTGTATATATTAACATTTTAATTCTATAATAATAGTATATAGTAGATATTTCCTTATCGAACTAAATATTTTATCATTGCTGACCAAGTAAATTCGTAGTACACTTTTATTTTCAAATATTTATTTTTTTGTCCCTCGTCGTTCTTTTTTATTTATGTGAAAATGTGTCCTGCCGGGGCGCAAAAAAAGTACATATTTCCCCTTTCTTTTGTGCTTGTTCGTGCGCGCGCCATTTTTTTTCGAACAAAAAAAAACTATTTTGTTTCCCCAAACATCGTTGCCACCGAAAATATTTTCATTATCGCAAAAGTTTCGTTTCCATTTCCAGCAAAAAATATTCGGTGGCAAGTTAGATAACATTTTGTTTTAGTTCAAACATATTTAGTACTTAATCGTATACTTTGCTCAGATCATTTTTCCTAGGCAACCGATTTGTCAGCATTTTCATTTTAGAAATGGCTCTGTTTTTTTGGCTGATGCAATAATTTTCATCTCGCGCAGATGTATAGAAAATGATGACAAATGAAAGACTTAACTCCATTTTCCTTTTCACTTTTTTCATTTCTATCAATTTTTACCAGATTTTCCGAAAACTAACAACAATTTTGAATTTTTTCAGATGGTCGCTGAAAAAGAGCCGCTGCGATCGAAAGAAGAAGCCTTGGAAAAATCAAAACAAGATGGTGAAGAAGATGAGGTTAGTGTGTACTTTGATCAAATGCACTCAAATTTGAAAACATAATCTTAAATAAAAAATGTTGTTTTAGACACAAAAAGGAGGACTTGCCAAATCACTGACCTTGTTCAATGGTGTTTCGATTATTGTTGGATGCATTATTGGATCTGGTATTTTTGTCTCACCAACAGGAGTTCAAGAACGTATGTTGCTAAATTAGGGAGATAGAGAAAAAGGGAAAAACAGAAATGATAAATTAGAAGAAAAAAATTAATTGTGGATTGTGACGTGAATTTTTTGCGTGGAATGTTGGTCATTTCGAATTTTTTATTTAAAAAAGTGATATGGTTTTTTTTAAATCAATTGAGTTTGAAAAAATACGTTAGTTGTAGGTTTCCAACTTCCCTAGAAATTACTGAAATTCCAACAAAACTAAATTTTCTCATTTTCCAGAAGCTGGTTCAGTTGGTTTATCCCTTCTCGTTTGGTTGATATCCGGTGTTTTCACCGCAATCGGTGCCTATTGTTATGCCGAATTGGGAACTCTTATCAAAAAATCCGGTGGAGATTATGCATATATTATGGAAGCATTTGGCCCATTTATTGCATTTATTCGTCTTTGGATTGAGGCAATTGTTGTTCGTCCATGCACAGTAACAATTGTCGCATTAACATTTGCAATTTACGGACTTCGCCCATTTTTCCCAGATTGTGATCCACCGGGTGGAGTTGCTCAATTACTCGCGATTCTTCTCATTGTTCTTATGACTGCTGTTAATTGTATTTCCGTGAAATTAGCAACTTTTGTTCAAGATTGGTTCACAATTGCAAAAGTTGTTGCACTTCTTATGATTATTGCCACAGGACTTTATCTTTTGATTTTTGGAGAAACACAATACAAAGATTCATTTGAGAATCTCTTTGAGAACACTTCACAAGATTTTACAAAAGTATCATTAGCTTTTTATTCCGGATTATTTGCCTATTCTGGATGGAACTTCTTGAACTTTATTGTTGAAGAATTGAAAAATCCAAAGCGAGATCTTCCATTGGCAATTGCGATTTCGATCTCAACATGTACTATCATCTATTTCTTAACCAATGTTGCACTGTATACCGCAATTTCGCCAGATGAAATGCTCGAAAGCCCAGCTGTCGCTGTCGTGAGTTTTTTGTGCGAAAAATTGTGAAAATGAAATTATTCCACGTCAAAGTTCAAATGTTTTTAAATGATAATTTTTTGCAGTTATTCGCCAATAAACTCTACGGTCGTTTCTCATTTATCATGCCTTTATGCGTTGCTTGTTCAACAATCGGTTCAGCCAACGGTGTCATTTTCACATCTTCTCGATTATTTTATTCCGGAGCTCGCGAAGGACAAATGCCACTTGTTTTAACAATGATTAACAAAAATACGAGAACCCCAATTCCAGCAGTTATTCTCACCGGACTTTTATCGATCATGTATTTGGTGATGTCGAAAGATGTTTATCAACTTATCAATTATATTCAGGTTAGTGCAGTTTTTTGGGAAGGTTTGGAAAATTTTTGAATTTGAAGGAGGAAAAAATACATAATCTTATATTTTATATTTTCACAATGATTTGGAAAAGCTTGAGATTTTCCCGAATGACCCAAAATATTTAATGATTTCCAATTTCAGATCAGTTACTGGTTGGCCATCGGAACTGCCATCGCCGCATTATTCTGGCTTCGTAAAACGATGCCTGATGCACCAAGACCAATCAAAGTCCCACTCATTTGGCCAGCCATTTTCCTTGCTGGATGTATTGCTTTGGTTGTTATTCCGATTGCTGCTGCTCCAAAAGACACTGGTAAATTTATTTTTCAAAGAAATTATCATTACTTTTTTAACCATGTTGCTCAAAAAATCGAAAAAAAATTGTGATTTTACTATTTTTCTGCACTTCAACTTGAACTTCAGAAAATTATTAAAATTAGAAGCTTCCAACAGAAATCTATTCCAGAAACTGAAAATATTCACCGATTCCTATTTATTTGCATCCGATTTCTTCTCCCCTCCCCATTTTCTTTCTCCTTCCACTTGACTCCGCCCACTCACACACAAAACATAGCAGACTGCCATACCCCTCAAATGTCGTGCAAACGAAATAAATAAAAGAGGGAGAAGAGAAGCGAATGTGTTCTAAATGAATTCTGGGCCTTTTATAAGACCCTTTGATACAATTTTTGGAGCCCTGGCTTTGTCCAGGGAAATAAAATGATGAGATTGTTTATGAAGGGAGAAGGAGTGCTGTTTGTTTAGCTGAAAATATGTGAAGCACGTGGGGCTAAAAATATTTCGAAATAGTCAGTGGTCAAAAATCTATTCTTACAACTTTACCACGTCATAACTAGAGTTTCAATCTAAAGATAACAAAGACATATAGAATTCAAAGTTTGACAAAAATCCCATTTTTCCAGGAATCGGTCTGTTGATTATGCTCTCCGCTGTCCCGGTCTACGTTATTTTCATCAGCTGGAAAAATAAGCCAAAATTCTTCGAAAGATTTATTGGTTTGTTTCCCCCTGTCTCCTGGTCAATAAATAAAATCTAATTTTTCCAGAATCTTCCACATTATTCATTCAAAAATTGTTCATGGTATGCGATGATTCAAAAGAAAACTAATGTTTCTCCCCCTGATTTTCTCATCTCATTTTTATATATGCTCCCAACGTGTAACAATTTCTCATATCTGTAACAGTATTCATTTTAATGTTAACAATTTGTAACCAAAAAAAAACAACAAGGCTTTAACAAAATCCACAAGTTTTTCCGCAAAGTATCAATTTTTTATCCCTCGAATACCATTCCATATCGCAAAATTGTTTGTTTTTCCAAATTTTGCATTTATCTGGAAACGCGTCGCCACAACAGCCTTCGCAAATTTGACAAGAAGTTGTTGGAATTGTGAGATTTTCGAGAATGTGCAGCGAGCGGAAACAGTCATTTCGAATTGTTGTGGAACACTTTGAGCAGGAAGAATTTGAAGAAGAAGAAGATGAGGAGGAGGAGATTGTGGAAGAATTTATAGAAAATGAAGAGGAAGTTGTGGAGGAATATGGTTTTGTTACTCCGCGTTTTGTTGAAGATGTTGGCTCGCCTGAAAGATGGGTGAGTTTTTGGTTATTATTTTCTTGAAAAAAAATCTTGAAATTTTTTTCGAAAGTTTTAATTTTTGGCTGAAATTTTTATGAAATTCCAAAATTTTCAATTTGTCAAAAAACTCACAACAATATTTTCCACCTTCACAAATTAGGATGGAGTTATCGCAACTCTTTCGTCCCAAAAATCCACTTTTACATTCTAAAAAATCTTGATTTTCTTTAAATTACTCTTCAAAAACTCACGAATTATCGAACTTTTGCCATTCTGACAAATATATCCGGATACTGTAGTTGTGTCAGCCAAAATCGAAAAAACCAGGCATGAAAAAACGAGAAGCACTTGTCCAAAATTAGAAAAGTTCATTTTATTTCTGTTATGTTTTTTCTCGAAATGTCCGAACTTTTATATCATGGATACTTTGAATATTTACACAGATTGAAAAGAGAAAAATAATGAAAAACAGGGTCAGGTGAGGAAAATATTTGGATCTGAAAGTGCCCAGATTTTTGTGTGGGTGGTTGAGGGCAACAGGAAATTGGAACAGGTTTGGAAATATTGGCTTTTGGCTTTGGTTTCTTTGGGATTTAGTTTAGCGATTATATTTGTGTAAAAGGGGGTGTTGAAGTTTTCGGAAAAAATGAAGAAATCAAGGGTTCGTCGATAGATTGCTTCGTGATCGATGTCGAAATCATAGTCGTCTTCAGGATTCTGAAAATTGAGATTTTTCAGGACCTAGGAGGAGTTCTTTGAGTGTTTTAAATCAGCAATATCTACAGTAACCCTGAAATGTTGCACTAAAAATCACTTTTAATTTGAGCAGTTTACAGTTCTTGATAAATTAAAAAATCAATTTGTTGTTCTCCCCCAACAGATATTCAAGTGTACTGTTCTTGTTTTCATTTTAGAAAAAAAAAGAATTTGGAAAAATTTAATCCTTTTTTTCAAAAGTATTTTTCATTGAAGTACAATATTTTCCTATTTTTTGGCTATACAAAGATTATTATTTCTACGAAACAAAACCCACATAATATTTCTTCAAACAATTGTTCATCAAAACTTCAACAATTTCCTCGGAATTCGCATAAACTGGGCCCAAAAATAAATCAGGCAAAATATCTTCATCATTTTGAATTTCTTGAATAACTGCAACACCACAACAATCATCTGTTTTTTCATCGAAAATTGCCACAATTTGTGGATAAGCTGACCAATTGATTTTTGAATGATTCATTGATTCAGAATAAATTGAAATATTTGAAAAATCTTCGGAACTCATCGTAGATTTCGATTTCACTGTGAAGCCAACCAAATTGTTTTGGAGATTTTCAAATCCTTGGGGAGAATCCAGAGTGATTCGCAGAATTTTTCGGCATATTTGAGGGATCAAGTTGTAGTTTTTGTGAGCACTTGGAATCAGATATGAGACTGAAAATAGTTTTTGAGGTGGCTACAAAACCGTTGATCGAGAACTCAAATTTGTTATGTTTGAGATCAGGAGTTTTAGAATATTAAATTTTATTTTCCAAAAAACCAACTTGAATTCATCGCCACATCTTTATCTTTATTTGTCTTCATAACCTCATTCATCATCATTTTTCCAATTCCAACATGTCGAAAATCTTCCACTACAAAAATAGTCCCCAAAACCACAAATTCCTCGAATTGTGCCATTTCCAAAATGCCCAAAACATCTTCTCGAATATTTTTGGCAATTAAAAATTTCAATTCAGCCGAAGGTTTTAATACATTCCGATAAACTTCAAAAGATTTCGAATCTTTCAAAAATCCACTTCGATATGCAGCTTCAGGAATTATCTGGAAAATAAGTAAAATCACAAAACTTCTATAAATATTCAAAAGAAAAATACCTCATCCCAATGTTGTCGTTTTCCCCATGAAAATTTGAACCAATATCCATTTTTTGTGTATGCACCAATCCACGGATCACCTTTTGAACTTGGAAAATGCTCATTTCTTGTAGTTTTCATCGGATATGGGAAATTTGGAATTGGGTGCATTCTATCGATAATTAAATCGAGAGATTCGAGATCGGATTCAGTTGGCCAAGACATGATAGAAGTATAAAATTTGGAAAGTGAAGGAGAAAATATGCACAAAAATTATTTTGGAAATAAATAAGAGCTAATTAGTGTTGGTTCTGGTGAAAATAAAAATCGGGTCTCAAATTTCAAATATACCTAATTTATTTGGTGAAAAATATTATAAATTTAGTTAATTCTGAAGTTTGAAAATTTCAAAAAAAAACTTTTGTCTATAATTCTTATCCGTTATTTTCAGATCAAACTACAAACAAAAGGTTCCAATTAATGATGTCAACTAAAAAATAATTAAAAATTTTTAGGACGTCTGAAAACTCAACAATTATTTTTAGAATAGTTGAAAAATACAACTTTAATTTTTTTTTATCTGAAAACTCCCAAAATTCAAAAATTCCAACAAACTCATCAAATCTCTTCATTGTTCTCTGTTCCAAAAAATTTTCATCACGCACGCCAAAAAATCAGCAAAAAAATCAGATTCAAAATAAATTATATGAGAAAAAACAAAGACAAAACTATTTTTCATTTTATTTTCGACCAAATCGAATGAGCGGAGCTGAACTTCTTCCAAATCGGATAAGTGGAGCACTGGCTGGTGAACGACCGAAACGAATCAATGGAGCTGATGGGGAACGACCAAATCTGTTGATTGAGCGATTAATTAGGGTAATTAATTATGGAAATATTGTTATGAGACCCTGCTTCATAAGGATTCGTGACCATCTTAATTACCTGATAAGTGGTGCTCCTGGCGATCTTTTTCCAAATCGAATCAATGGAGATGATCCTTCTGGAGCTCTTCCAAATCTAATCAAAGGTGCTCCATCAGGAGATCTTTTTCCAAATCTGATTAATGGTGCACCAGTTTCAAATCGTTTTCCAAAACGAATCAATGGACTTCCCATACCCTACAAAAATTGAGTTAGTCTAACTGCAAACATTTAAAAAAGCAGCTCACATCCGATCTGATTGGTCGATCTGATCGTTTGACTGGCTCTAGAAGTGTGTCATCTGAAACTGAAATTTCTTTGGTTTTCAAGAAATTTTGCAAAATCTTACATTGATCATATTCGAAATTCTCGGCATTTGCTAAGACAACCACAAAAAAACAGGCAATTAGAAGTGACGTCATTGATAATTTGTGTGAGCGAGGGGGAACACCGAGTTTGAGACGATGGGTTCTGCAAAAATTAGTGCTTGCTTGAAAAAATTTAATTGCATTTTTTCTAAACAGATTTTGCAAAATTTTGCAAGCAAATAAAAAATTGAACCAACAAAAAAATTTTTTTGGAGGTATGGGGAATTGAACCCCAGCCCTCTCCCATGCTAAGGGAGCGCTCTACCACTGAGCTATACCCCCACACGATGAAGACAATGCGAAATTGTCAATACATTCTTCGTGTGAAAAAATGAAATACACTGGATTTTTAAACAATTTTCAAGTAAAACTAAAAATTATTTGTTTTAATGTGTAAAACTAATTCGCATTTCCGCTTTTCGAAAACCAAAACCAAAAGGAAAACGTAGGAGTTTCAAAAGGGTCCATTTTTATTTGAATATATCACATTACAACAAAAGAAAATAGAAAAAATGGAGAAAGATCAGAATCAGCGCAACGAAATTTTGTGTGGTGAAAATGAGAATGAAAATGAACATCAAGTTAATTTTTTCAGCTTTTAGCAGAAAAAGTCACGCCCACTATTTTTTTAGGGAGACACAATTGAAATAATTTTGAAAATGGGATTTAAATCTGGTTAGAAATCCATTTATACAATTGGTAAATATACAGCAAAAATGTCAGATTGCGGAAATGCTCAAAATAGACAGATTTTGTGACCTTAATTTGTATTTTTCAGGCTGAAATTAGGAAAACTAGTTGGATATAAAATCTGAAATTTGAATTTGGAAAACATCGCGCAGATGTTTGGTGTTGCAGATAACACACAAAAATTGACGCGCAAATGCACGCTTAGAATTTTTCTTGAAATAAAACGTGTTTTCTGCAACACCAGAAATCGACGAGAAATAATTTGAAAATTTTTTCACAGACATAACCTTAGACTCAAAAGCCACGTGGCAAACTTGAAATCTAAAGGCACAACTCTAAAATTGTTAAGCTTGGATTCAGATCCGAATGAATCCACTCAACTTTTTCTAACTCCAAAAATCCACGTGGCATTTATTTTTGTGCCGCTCAGAAGAATCCTCCAATTTTTTCTCCTCCCCTCCACTCAAAAATAAATAAATAAAAATTCTTTGAAAAAAAGTATCCCGCAAATTAGTATTCGCAGAAAACAACAAAAATCTAGAATTTGATGAAGCCTGGATTAAAATAGTAGTTAGCTTATATCAGAAACCACGCCACGCCTACTTAGAAAAAAGAAGAAGAAAGGCGTGGTTTTGTTGAAGAAAAGTGGAAACTGGATACTGTAATTAAGCACTTTATGGTTGGATGAAATCAAAAAAAGAAGAAGTTCTAGACAAAAATTAATCAAAATAGGAAATTGAAAATGAGGAGTTCTAGTTACTTGGATAAAAATAAAAATGAAGAAAATAAGAATTTTTTTGAGGTTTCTATTTTTCCGAAATAAATTTCAAATTCGTGCTGGCTGAAAAACACTTTCGGACATGAAAAACATCAAAACACTTTGAGACAAGGAAAAATAAAAACAGAAGAGAATAGTTCTTAAATATTTATAGATAGATTGAAAAAAGAGCATTTATTAAAAACAAGGGGAATTTTCAGGCAGGATTTTGTAGAGCTTGGAAAATTGCTCATATTATGGCCGAAGATATTTTTTTCGGAAAATTTAATTTTAGAATTTCATAAAAATTACAAATTTGAAAAAAATTGCTTGAGATCTTTAAAAAATTAAACTTTTTGCAATGCGAATTTTTTGAAAAAATTCAATTTTTCCCAAAAAATATTCAAATTTCATTTCAAATTAGCTGCAAGGTTCATTTCCACAAAAAAATCTCAAAAAAAGTTTACAGGCAAGAATTTCAATAAAAAATACCAGTTAAAAAGCAACAATAAATAAACATTTTCAATTTTCATTGAGATTTCGAGCATTTAATTTGGGCTGTATTCGAAATACCAAGTAATGTGTTGAAGATCTGAAAAAAATGAGCATTTTTTGTTTTTTTTTCGTTAAAAAAATTGGATGAAGAAAATATTGAAAATTAATTTTTTTTTGCAAAATTCTTGTTTGGTCCTGGTCCACCAAAAATTATATATTTTTGTCGGTTTCTTGGCTTCTGATAATTATAGTTTTTCAACAAGAAAAAAAGCTTTAGTTTTGAGAATACATCATTCTTGTTTTTTGCTGTTAATCAGAAATGCACAGAAATCTTGGAACGGAAATTTCGAAAAAGAAAAATTGCTTTGGAGAATCGAGAATTTGAAAAGAAAAGAGCAACAATTCCATTTCCTTTATTTTGTGGGAAATGAAATTGATTTGGGACTAGAAATTTTCGGACTGAAAGAGTTCAAAGAATTTGGAATGAGGTACATTTTTATTAAAACACTCCACCCAGATTTCCCACTAAAAACCCACATTCGAAACAGTTCTATAAACATGACTCGTTTCATAAGGTCCAGTTCCATAAAATGAAAATTGTTCGGGTGAAACTGTCTTTCTCTTGATTCTCTTCCTGAAAAATTGGATTTTAATATTTTAATTGAAATTACAGAAACAAAAATATGAACCTCAATGTCATTTTTGGATTCCAGATAAAATCAAACATCATCGAAACCCAACTCGAATGTGTTTCCCAATCTTCATAATATTCTGGTGCAATTTCTCGGACCTGAAAAATCAATTTTTTGTCATTTCATATCTGTTTTTCTATTCTCTTGTTTCGCAATAAAAAACTATTTTTGGTTCAAAATTTTCCAGTAGGAGTTTTCAAAAAAAGATCAACATTTCTCAAATTTCGCTAATTTCCTTTCTTTTCCCCTCAAATTGCACTTCATAAATCGTTATTTAATACTTTTGAAAAATGAAAATGCACATTTTTTGGTGAATAATATTAATAATTTCAAGAGTCTCATTTACGAAACATTGGAAAATTTGTGACGTAAAAAAGAATTGGAAGAGGAAATGGGGATTTCAAGTTTGACAAAATAGCTGTTACAAAATTTCTCCAAAATTATTAATAAACTAAACTATGGTCTAAAAATCAAATATCTATTAAAATCTGAATTTTGAAATTTCAATAAAAAATCCCAAACCAACCTTTGCCAAATTGGCTCCAGTAATATATGGAAAATCGTGATGTTCAACATGATATCCAACATTAAAAACAACCATATTAATCGGTCCATAATAACTATAAGTTTCTTGTCCTTTTTTGAATGTATAATGTTCGGATACAAAATGTCCAGCACATGGATGTAAACCCATTCCAAGAACAAGTCCACCAAAAAGATAGAAAAATGATTTTGGGCCGAAATATGTGTATATTAGGGTGCTGAAGGTGAGCTCGATTGCAACGTTGATTAATTCGAGATCGGTCATTGACTGGAAAGAGGTTTTTTTGGGAACTGATTTTCAGTGTTGAATTCAGAATTTTGAGGCATCTATGTATCTGTTTTCCCTAAACCCTTTCCCAAAAATTCTCACTTTTGGATAAAGCATAAATGGTCTGATCCCATAAAACAATGGTTGCAAACTCATCCAAATCATTTTCCCCAACCAAGTTCTAAAAATATTCGCTTCGATTTCAGTTGGAACATCGGTATCAATAATATCGGTTCCCAAATTTCGATGATGTTCCAAATGATATTTTTTGAATGATATCGACATTGGAATACACATTGGAAGATTTGCGATAAATCCAAATAATCTATTCTGAAAAACTTTGCCACGTCATAACTCTAATTTTTAACAACAATAAAAAACTCACCGCTAACGGCCTCGACGTTCCAAACGCCTGATTATGACTAATTTCATGTACAGCTAAAGTTAATGAGTGATTAATTGTACCCGAAACAATATATGCTTGTAGAAAGACTAGTAACCAATCAGCATCTGAAATTAATTACTTATCTTAATTAGCGTTAATTTTAACAAACCTCTTAATAAATATGCGAATAAAATTTGTGCTAAAACCATGCAAACAACAACGGGTCGAAAAGCGATGTCTTGCCCGAATAATTGTTTGATTTGTGGATATTTTTCCAGCATTTCTTTTCGTCTAAAAATTAAAACTAATTAATTAATTACACATTTTCAAATATACCTGGTGGCATGTGGTTCTTCAGTATATGCCCACGCAAAATCCTCCTCTTTCCCCACTTTTTGGCCCATTTTGAATTACTGGAAAAATTCGTATTGAAAAAATATAGGAAAAAATTTATGAGAAACGGTGGTAGAAAATTTTGATGATGATGATAAGTGTTATGGATAGACATAGAATGCGGGAAAAATGAGATAAGAAGAGGAACGATCAAAGATAGGAATCAGGTTTGAAACTTTTTTCTCAAGGTGGGTAAGTTATATTTGTCGGAACTTGATGATTTTTGAATTGGAAATACAAATTTTGATCACGAGAAATTAATGTTCACGTGATTTATATTTTTTGGTAAATATTCGCGTGGATTTCTTTCATTTTTTGAATTTCTATTTTCGAAAAATGGTTGAAGATTTATTTGCAAAAAGTGAGTTTTCAGGGCAAAATAGTAATTGACGGATTTCGGATTTGAAAGACCTCAGAATGTTTGCTCGAAATTCCTAGAACTTATAATACAACATTCCGTGTAATTTTTCAAATAAATTTGAAAATTCCACAATGACCATGATAAAAAACGCGTTGTATGTCAACAAAAAAGTAGATAAAATTAGGTTTTCTCCGGAAATGAGGTTTTTTTGAAAAAAAAATTAACAAATAATTTTTTGGAATTTGCTGGAAATTGATAACAATATTTGATTTCTACAAATCATGAAATATTTTTTTAAAGCAGACAATTTTAGATTTTTGCAAGGAATTTTTGAGGGCTCAATATGAAATTCTAGTGATTTTTCATGAATATTAGCAAATTCTACTCGAATTTAATGAAACCTGATGGTCAAAATTTGAAAAAATTCCTTTACCAAGAAAAAGTGGCAATCAGAAAAACTTATAAATATCAATATAATAACCCCTTATCATTCAGAGAAACAATCAAAATTTTGTCACGCAATGAAAGTACATGATTTTTGGCAGAAGAAACCAATCGGATTAATTTTCAAAATATCAAAGAAAATACAAGATCTTCTTATATAAGATATAATGATAATTTATAACAAAACAAGAAAAAACAATACTCTCTACTACTTGAAAAAACCTATTCAAAACAAAACAAAAAAAATCTATGCAGTCGCTTCATTTTGTTGATCTTCCGAGCTATTTTCAGTCTTCTTTTCATCCTTCTTCTTTTTCTTATTTTTACGTTTTTCAATCTTCTCAATTTCTTCTTCGGTTGGAATTGGAAGCCATTTTTGAACATCAATTGCATAATATTCTTCACCAGGAACTGTCAGAAGAAGAGCTCTGAAAAGAGGATTTTGGAGGAGGAATGGAAAAAGGAAAAACGGGGGACCATGGAAACTTTTCAATAAAAAACATGGAAATGTTTAGAATAAAAGAGTGTCATAAATTTTTTGAACGTGAACTTTGAAAAAAAAAATAATTTTGAGAATTGAACGAAATTTAGCATTTCTGGTAGTTTTTCTTAAATTATGTTGTGGAAAATCTCAAAATAACAAGATATTTTAATAATATCTGGCTTCTCTTCAATCAACCAAACTCTTACCTATTGATAAAAGATCCCAATGCTGGATTTCTATGTGAACATGTTGCTTTAATAACAGTCGCAATATTCTCCTCAATTTCCTCATTCGCCATTGACAATCTTCCAACAACACAATCACTCAAACCCCAAATCGGATAAACTGGATCTCCTTTGATATTCAATTTCACTCCATTTTTGAATTTTTCAATGAGCTCTGGGAGATTTTCACCAAGTCCACCATTGGCGCGCGATGGGAAACGAGTTTTGAGAATTCCTCGAAGTGGCAGGATAAATGAGGCCATATCAGTGTGCGAAACACAGAAATCATAATCATCAGTTCGGAATTGACCTTTTATGATTTTTTTGATCATATCTTGTCCAAGGGCCATTTCTGCTCCTGATTCTGTCGCCAATTCTTGAAGTTTTGCATCATTCACAAATGCTAGAATACTCCGTTTTTCATTATGTTTAAATGGAAATGGAACTGGCACAATTTCATCAGATCCAGTTATCATTTTAGTCTGTCTTTCAGTTGTCATATTCAATTCCAATCTAAGACGAATCGGCGCATTTGGATTGTTATAAATACTCGGACTTTGAAGCTCTCTGTGCATGTCTAAAGCTTCACCAACTGAATAAAATTGTGTCTTGAAGTGACTTCTGAAAACATTAAGATTTTGGAAAGGTCTTACAAGGAAACCTTTTTTACTCAACACTTCAAATCTTGATGAAATTTTGTCCATAGATAGCTTTTGGGGTCATAAGAACACTCTAAAAATTTTAGTCTCCCAATGGACCTCTGAGCCAAGTTCTGGGCTCTCAAAAGTTCGAAAATTGCCAAAATTGGCTCATAAAACACGTCATAACTCAATTCTCGATCAATTTTATCAAAAACTGAGTAGCAGATGATGATCAGCGTGATCGATTTACCCAAAAAGAATCAATAAATCGAATTTTCAGAAAAATTTTTGATTTTGAAAAAAAGAATGAGCAGGGGCACATATGAATTTTCATGAATTTTTAGCCCAAAAATAAAAAACTTCAAAATTTTTCGAAATAAAGTTTTTTATTGATGTACTTTTAGGTAATCGACTATGCTGATCAATATCTGAAACTTCATTTCTCCAAAAAAAATTTGAAATGGAGCTATGATTACTTTTATGACCATTTTTAGGCCTTTTTTGAACTTTTGAAAGGCCAGAACTTGGCTCAGAGGTCCATTGGGAGACTAAAATTTTTAGGGTGTTCTTATGGTCCCAAAAGCTGTCCATGGACCAAATTTCATCATGATTTGAAGTGTTGAGTAAAAAAGGTTCCCTTGTTAGGAATTCTCAAAAAAAAAACACTAACTTGATAAATACATCTAAAGTTGGCTTTTCTGGTAGATTGACTTCTTCTTCAGGAATTAGGCGACCCGGATATTGTTGAGATGGAGAAAGACTAAATTTTGATTTCAACAGTTTTTCAAAAAAAGTTCACAGAACTCACAGATTTTTCATTCTTCGAATATTAATTCTTTCCATAAAAGTGTATTGTTTTCTGGCTGCCTCTTTTTCCTCTCTTTTCATTCGTCTTTCCAGTTTTTGTTGTCGAGTTATCGTTTGTTTCAGGGCTCTTTTTCTTCCTCTCACTTGAATTGCTTCAGCCGAAATTGGCCGAAGCATTGTTTGTCGGAAAAGCGACAACATTCTAGAATTTGATTTAATAAAAAGGTTCAAAATTATATTTTGGATAGAGATAAATCAGTTGCAAAAGAACAACTTATTTCCTCAAAAAGAAACAAAAATCGATGACTAGGAAGGAATGTTATTAAAACAAGTAAATAAATTAAATTAATATAATTAATTAATTATATGATTCTCTTAATATACATGAACCATCCCGTAGAAAAAAACCCAGAGAAGAACAAATGTGAAGAGTCCATTTCCAATTGACCAGGTGAAACTGTTCCGTTCCGGGAAATAATTGAGCCAATTTCCTTGCGCCTTAATATTCCAGAAAAGTGCTTGAACGCCGACGGATAGGAAGAATAAAATGAAGCCGTTGAAACCGGTTAAGCCTAGAATACCAGCAGCAATTCCAGCGGCGCATGATTGACAAGTTCTGCCGAATTCTAGCGATTCGGCGTTACTTGTTATAGCGGTTGCGCTGAAAACAACGATTTATATCAGGAAAATTCGGTTTTTTCAGAACTCACTTGTAACATTCATCACTTTTCTTGTCAGATTTGCTAGCCGATTCACTCATTTTCGATCTGAAAACTGGGTTTTTAGCGAATCCCAAACCTAAAGAAAGAACGGAAAAAATAAGAGTGTATGTCAACACCGAAAGCCCGCAAACAACAAATCCTACGCGCAACCTTGACGCGAAATACGCGCTGTGTGTTTTCGTGAAGAAATTTCTGGGGATTTTTAAAAATTGGGAACCCCCCCAGATTTTAGAAATGGACACGTTTAAAGTATAACATATGGGAACCCTGAGAATCTCTCCAATGTCGCTTTTCCCTTGGAGAATACTAGTTAAAGTTTACACAAAAAAAAATAAAAAATCGAGTGTCCGCAATCTGCATTTTTGCGTCGCCGTGTGTTGGCTATAGAGCGAACATTCCTCGTTTCATTTTTTGGTGAACTCTTTTTTTTTGTGTTTTCTGGTTTTTCGGTATTTTTCGGTATTTTCTGCTTGAAAATCCAGAATAGTTATGTTTTTGAAAACGTTGGATAAAACGTTATTCATGTCCTGCTCGATATCCGAAGCGATTCTTCATATTTGTCGTTATAAAAGAGTTTTCCCTCAAAACTCATATTCGATGTTTTTTAGATGCTGCGAACACCGGGAATATCAGCATGTCGACAGATTTCAACAACATCGTGCGCAATGAAAAATAAAGCTGGAAAACATAAGGTAATATTTCCAAAAATGTTCGCTCTATAACAATATTGTTTTTAGTCAACTGTAAATCGCACACAACTTCTAACATACGAAATGGCTCAAAAACCACACCACATTGGTGTAAGAAAATCATGGCTCACATGGCATTCACAAAATCTGGAAGAATTCCGTCAATCTCAACCAGTTGTCGTTGCACAAGACGAAATTATTCGACGATTTATTCGAGGTTTCTTCCCGCAAAATGTTGTTATTTCTGGAAATGAGTTAGTTATCAAGCGTCGTGGAAACGTGTGTATTGTCGCCGGATTTTTACAATATTCTCGAAGATTAGATATTCGTCGAATTTATTGGATGTTTGGTTTTGCGGAAGAGTTTCTCTCGATTTTATTGAAACAACCAGTAAAACTCGAACTCGCTTTTGTTGAAACCGAAGATGATGTCGCCTATAATTATATCTAAGTTTTTGTTTCGTTTTCTTTCATACATATTCAGTAGTGTGTTTAGGATTGTTAATATTTTAGTTGTTTCATGTTTTTTTCTCTTCTTATCGAATGAACCGCACCACCAAACTTTTAACTATATGCAGCCCCCCCAATATATGTATTTGTTGATAAGATAATTTTATCGATCAGCATGCACAATAAATAATAAATGGCATCAAGTAGTTATGATGAAACTCGTCGATCTTCTGATCCGCCGAAGGAATTATCCGGAAGAGTTTGCGCGGTGAGTTGTTTATTTCAAATCCAATATTCAGAGAAATTTTTTTAGGTCTGTTCTGATCGAGCAAATGGCTATAATTTTGGTGTTTTGTCGTGTGAATCGTGCAAGGCATTTTTCAGAAGAAACGCGATGAAACAAAGTGTAAGATTGGGCTTGAATCTAAATCCACCTGGGGAGACCGGGAGTGTAAATTCTGCTTTATCGAAAAAGCTCATTTTTTATAATTTCTGTTGGTTATCCCCCATAGAGGAAAAATTCGCTGTTTCCAGTGATCGAAAAAAAAACCATAAAATGTAATGATTATTAGATAAGAAAGAGAGAGAAACCAGGCATGTTCATTTTGCCGCCTTCCGAAAAAGCAAAGCCGCTTTTGCTTTTACACGGTGAGACTGTGAAAAGCAAAAGCAAAGCAGCCTGCCGAATTGCCGGCAATGCTTTTTCACTCCTTCAAAAATCATCTGAAAAGAGTGAAAAAACATTGACAAAACAATCTTTTTTTTTGCTTCTATAACGCGCGCGCGAGACTACTTGAATAAATGGAGACGCGGACGATTCACTGGTTTTGTGTGTTGCTATGTTTTGTGTGTGGAGGGGGCGGAGCTTCGCTTGTCGCCGTCTGTATTTTGAAAAAGCAGCCCGGCAATTCGGCAGGCTGCTTTTTTTTTGCTTTTTTCTTTCTTTGCTTTTTGCCAGCAAAAAGCAAAGCCACGCCCAGCAAAGCTGCTTTGCTTTTTGCCGGCAAAGCAAAATGAACATGCCTGAGAGAAACTTCTTCTAGACCTTTCTGAAAATTTGATAAAAATTTTGCAAAAAACTATAACTAGAATTTTTTGAGACAAGTTAGAGATAAAAAATTTTCTTTTCTGAAAAAAGTATCAAAATCCCCAATTCCCCACTTCTTACAGGAAATCAAATGTCCATTCTCAAATGCCTGCCAAATCACTTCAATTTCACGAAAGTTTTGTCAAGCGTGTCGACTTTCGAAATGTTTTGCTGTCGGAATGAACAGCGATTGGTTACATGAACAGAAAATTCGTGGAAATCCTATTAAAAGGAAGACAAAAATTGAAGATGAGAAAAAAGAAAAAGAAGATGATGAACAAGTTAGTGTTTCAAAGGTGTTTTTGCAAAAATTAATGAAGCAGGCTAATGAGTAAGTTATATTGATTTTTTAAAGTCTACAGTAATCCAATTTATCTTTCAGAAAACAAACTTCCTGCATTTGTAACTGTCAATGTGGTTTTTATCCATCTGGAACTCGTCTTATGGCATATGTCTCAACAACTCCATCATTCTCAAATTCTCCAATTTCTGTGGTTGCAACTTCACCTATTTCACCATCTGTCAATTATTTATCGCCTTATACCAATCCATATTCTCCTTCTTGGAATTACCAAACTTTTCGGCCACAAATTCAGTCAACATATGAACCATCAGCTTTGTAAGTTTTTATCATAGTTAAAAAAAAAATGTTTCTTGAATAAAAAAAAGAATGTTCGAATCGGAAGTCGAATTTTTAAGAAAAAAATACTGAAAATTGAAGTCGAATAATTTTTCGAATTTTAGCCACACCATCGAATCGAACCGGAGAAACGGAATTGATAAATATCGCAATGTTTTGTCAGCTGATGAAATCGCATTACTTGAAGAGTTACACATTCTCAATGTTCCTTTAAATGCACCACTCGAGCAAAATTATAATCAAGAATCATTATCAGATGTTTTCCAAATTGTTGTTGAAGCATTGAGAAGAATTATAAGTATGGCTGCACAACTCAAATCATTCAGAGAATTGGATATTGAAGACCGCAAGCAATTATTGAAATCTGGATTTTGTGAATTGCTTATTGTTAGAGGAATTATGGCCTATAATAAGACGAATAATTCGTGGAATCATCATTTTGCAAATGTAAATTGTTTGATCCGAGTTTTTCTTCACACTTCATTTTTCAGAACAAAATGGAGGTCAAGATAGAAATCCTAAAACAGGATCCAGCTTCATTGGAGCATTATGAAATGCACAAAAAGTAAGTTTTGTCCCAATACATCTCACCAATTTCCATGTATCTTTTCAGGCTTCTCGAATCATTTTCCGACGAAATTCGAAACAATGAGAATATCATGCTAACATTGAACGCGATTGTCATTTTTCATCCACGTGAGTTTTTTTTCAGTTTGGGCACTACATTTTTCTGAAACAGACAATGTTTCTATGATTTTTATACAACTTCTAAATTTTTTAATTTTTTTTTTTATTTTTTCGTTTTCAAGCAGTAAGGGGGAAAATTAATTTGCCATGATGAATTTATTAAGATTCTGGAGAAAAATTAGTTCCAATAATCATCAATCAAATTATTGTAAAGAATATTGCATCCAGTGATTTTGAATTCCTGTTTCTTGGCTGGTCTTGTATCCAAACAACATCTGAAATGACTGTTAGTCATACAACTTCCATCATATTTGTTATAACAATTGTGAACACATCGTTTATAGCAAGTTTTGTTGGTTTGTTGAGAGAAACTAATCCACGGTGAACAATAATCATACGATGCTCCACCATTGACAGAAGAACAGAAAGCTTGGCAAACAGCTTTGGTGACAGCACCAGCTCCAACAACTAGAGCAAAGATGACAAGAATACGGAAAATCATTTTTGATCATGCTAAATTGAACTCTGCATGCTATTTTATAGCAAGCAAATTGAAAGACTCTGTAGGAAGTTTGATTTTTGTTGCTGTTAGACTTCAACATTTTTTAATAATCATGACAAATAAAAATTTTAAAAATAGTTGGATACTGAAAAAAACCAACGGAACAAACCGACTTTTAAAATTAAAATTTGTAAAAACAGCTGGATACTCGAAATTGCGTAGGAATTCTGTTGACGAAAAATGACTGTGAATAGTTTCCATTCAAAATCGGTTTGTTTCGTTGGTTTTTTCATTAAAACTAATTCTACAACAATTTATATTTATGAATTTTAATAATCAAACACTACGCTTTTCAATATCCCACTGTTTTTTTTAAATTTTTATTTGTCATGATTATTAAAAAATGTTGAAGTTTACCAGCAACAAAAATCAAACTTCCCACAGAGTCTTTCAATTTGCTTGCTATAAAATATCATGCAGAGTTCAATGTAGCATGATCAAAAATGATTTTCCGTATTCTTGTCATCTTTGCTCTGGTTGTTGGAGCTGGTGCTGTCACCAAAGCTGTTTGCCAAGCTTTCTGTTCTTCTGTCAATGGTGGAGCATCGTATGATTATTGTTCACCGTGGATTAGTTTCTCTCAACAAACCAACAAAACTTGCTATAAACGATGTGTCAACAATTGTTATAACAAATATGATGGAAGTTGTATGACTGACAGTAATTTCAGATGTTGTTTGAATACAAGACCAGCCAAGAAACAAGAATTCAAAATCACTGGATGCAATATTCTTTACAATAATTTGATCGATGATTATTGGAACTAATTTTTCCCCAAAATCTAAATAAATTCTTTACGGCAAATTATATTTTCATTACCATATTACACGTGGCTCATAACGTGGGCGTCCAAGTTTGATACGAAAAGTGTATCATTTCAGACGTGTCACATCTGAAAGACAGCAGCAAAGTTCACGCGGCTCAAGCTCGCTACTTTGCTCTTCTTCTCAAAATATTGCGATATGAGTTCACAAAAGAAAAGGCTGATCGAGCCTATAAATCTCTTCTTGATGTAGTTATCGATCTTCATCGTGTCAATCAAACCATGCTTCACATTTTCTACGGTTTTGATCCATCCCAACTTGACCCTCTTGTCAGAGAACTTTGCAATTTTGAATGATCAAATGTTTTATTATTCACAGATGAAAATATTGAAATAAATTAATTGAGAAATAAATTAGATAAATTAAAGAGTATTCAAAATAAATTAATTATTATTCTAACAAAAAATATACACGTAAATGATTAATCATAGAACTTATCACATATCTATTCATCATCTTTCACTAATCTTTGACATCCTGAAATGTATCTCTCAACTTTCTCGCATTTCAAATTTGGATAATAGTTTTCGATGAACAAGCAATGTTCTTTTGCGAATTCGGCAACTGAATCAAACAAGAATTGCCTAGCAAAACTGCGCAAATTCAAGCATTGTTGGCGAGTTATCAAAACTCGTTTCTTGGTTCTCTTTGCTGGAGCTGATGTTGTTGTTGTTGTTGTTGTAGTCGATGGTTGCTCATCATATTCTTCGGTTTCAGTTTCAGCACTGTGAGCACGAGCAGATTGAATACGTTTCAAGACACGTTTGTGAATCTGAGAATACTTTGGGTTACTATTGGGTATAAAATACTCTGGTAAAATCCACTCTCTCTAAAATCATCCTCACTAACCTCTTTATCCAAAATAGCTTCCTCTTGTGCGGCTGTCAATTCCTTCTTCACTTTTTTCTCAACAATCGGACTATCATTTTGTGGAGCAACAACTTGTTGTTGAACCTCATCAACATCCTTGAACTCTTCGGTGAAATCTTCAGTGGCTGGAGAAACACTTGGAGCAACTTCGATCTTTTGTTGTTGCTCATCATAAAGATCTGGGAAACGACGGATTTCCTTCTTCTCCTTTACTTCTTCAATCTTCTTCTGAAAAAAGAAGATTGTCAAAGTCCATGGGTTTTTCCCAACTTACAATATTTTTTCTTCTGATAACTCGTCTTCTTTTCTTTGGAATCTCGGCGATTGCAGCTTCATCTAATTGTTCTTCTTTTGGTGAAACCTGTTAAAATTATCAGTAATTCAAGTTTTAAATCTTTTGAAAGCGATAGTATTAGAAGTGAAACAAAAAGGTTACTTTTTTGATGAGTGTCTTCCGATATTTCCTTTTCCTATTGATTGTTCGAACTCGAAGAGATCCCTAAAGCAAAAAACAAAATACTCTTGGTTAGTGTGAAATTAGGAGTGCAAGCTGAGTATATCATGTTTTTCTCCCTACCTCCTTCTCCAAAACATTTGGAACTTCCTCTCTTTGAGTCTCGAAATCTATTGGTTCAGTCATCTGAACAGTTTTAGCCCCAAATTGTCTAGAATGCATATCTTGAACCTTCTTTCCCATATAGTTAATAGTTCTACGTGGCAAAGATTTTCTACGTGGCTTCACAACCTCAGTGGTAGTTGGTTCCTCGGTAGTTGTTGTTGGTTCTTCCGTTGTTGTTGTTGTTGATGGTTCTTGAGTTGTGCTGCTTGAGAAAGTGTCGAAAACATTGACCATTGGTGGGAAAGTTGGTGCACCATAATCTTGAGATTTGCTAACTTTTTTGGTGATTTGCATTTTCTTTTGCTCTGGAACTGCTGGAACAGGCAATGTTGGATAGACATTTTGTGAGATGATCTTTGTTGTTCCATCAGCCGATTTCAATAATACGATTTGCTCGAAAACACTGTTAAAAAATTAGGTTAAATTATAAGATAACAAACAGGTAGAGAAAGTTATTAACAACTTACGTTTTTCCATCACGAACAACAGGACGATAAACAACTTCGGATTGTTGAAGAGGAAGGGTTGCGGTGAGAGAGCTAAAGTATTTGTAGTTAGAAAATATTTTTTAAAAATATATTTTTTACCTCGGCATTTCGAGTGGTTGTGGAAGTGGGACCAATGGTGGAAGAGTGACTGGTTCTTGTTGTTTGGCCAAAGCGGCTTGTTGAGCATGAGCCTCGCGGAGAGCATTTCCGGTTGCGGAAATTAGTCTGAAAGAATTAATTTTGGATATTTCGAATTACTTTTTACCGTTACAATGGGCTTTCTGAATGCGATTTTCATATGTGATTTCGAACCGTCTGATCACGATCTTAATGTCTGCTTCTCCATAAATGTGGAAAAAAGCGACTTATATTCAAGAGGTAATTAATCAAATTAAGATCTTCTCATATTTTCCTACGTCATAAGTTAATTTTAAAGTTGATCCACGGTAACGGAATTTTGGTCAATGAGTGAAACTATCATGAATTTTTCCCTCAGACCCTTTTCCCACTCACTTTGAGATCGAGAAAACATCATCGTCAATAATCTTGGCTGGTCCTGGAACTTTTGTTGTAGTTGCAACAACTTGTTCATCTTCAACAGTTCGGAAGCTGCTAGAGCTACTAGGAGCGTCATCTTGTGGTTGTTTTGATGGTTCAGCTTCTCTAGCCTTCTCAGCAACTTTGGTTTCTCCAGCTGTGGTTTTCTTTGGCTCAACGAATCCAGCACCGTATGCAAGTCTTGACATAATATCAGCGGGAAGTTTGAGAAGCGATTTGTAAACATCGTTGCCTTCATCAGCTTTTACAAGAGTAGCAGTTTCTTTTGTAGATGTTTCCACAGCTAATGTTGAAGCTGAAGTTTCATTATTCGCAACTTCCTTGATTGCATCAATTGTGTCTCGAACCAATTCTCGAACATCGATGAAATGTTCCTGCGAATAAACGGTAACAAAAACCATCGCCAAAATCAACACCCTCATGACTGGCTGTAAATGACCAAATGAAATCGAATAGTACAAATATTCTCGATGGAACAAAAAAAAATAATGGCGGATGTTTGATGAAGCGGTCAGCCTCTTTCTTTATTTGAAAAAAATCGGAGAGAGAGAGAATGAGGAAAAAGTAAGAAAAAGTGAAGGTTTCGCGCCAGGTTAATTATGTGTCTTCTCCATAAAAGTATCTAGTGTTCGTTGGTTTTTTGTTCTTATTATTATTATTATTGTATTCATCGGGACAGGGAAAAGGCATTAAGAAAAGTAGGTAAAAAGCTATTCCCGTAATTATTTATGGGTTTTGGTAAGTGGAAATTAATTTCAAGTTAGTCTTGAGATTAGTAATTTGTAGTAGGGAAACACATCTGAAAGGTACAATATGGCTACAGTAAGAAAGTTTGAAACACAATTAGACATTTATATAAGAGTGGTGGATAAGACCGGAAATAAAGCCTATCTTGAAACCTAATGCATTTTTGAAACAGCACAGCTTCAGAGGATTTTTCGAAAAGCCTAGGAAAAAATGATCCCAAAAACAAAGCGAAAAAAATACATAAATTTGGAAAAGTATTCCAACTGAAAGATGTTCATCTATCTCTAATATTAGTTATTTAAATAAAACAAAACATCATTAAAAGCATCACAAATCATAAGTGAAATAGTAACTTATCAAGATTTTATTTGCAAATATACACAGAAGCAAAAAAAACAAGTTTAAGATAAAATCCCTGCAAATTCCGTTCTACTTGGTTGGCTTTCAAGAATTCATAAAAACATATAAAATATGTTTTCAAACAATTCGATTCTTGCCGAACACAATTTCAATTGACGACTTCCTTCAAATTGGGCGGGAATATGAAACAACACAAAAAAGGGAAGAAGAAAAAGAAGAAGAAGAAGAAGAAGTTGTTGTTAATCAAGTTCTTCTATCTTCAAGTGGAAAAGCAAGGGGCATAAGGAAAAGCTGATACAATAAAATAACGAGAAAATGAAAAAAGAAGAAGAAACATCGGCTAATAAACAGGAAAACATCGAGATGAAATACAAAAAAAAAGACATTTTCATCAGGTAGCTTTTAATCAAAAACATCTCCAGAAAAAAAAAACGGGTGGAATACAAATAATTGCGTTTTGTTGATTTATTGTGAATTTATGGGAACTCGGGAAGACATTTTTTGCTAAAAAAATGGTTGATTGACGAACCGGTTTTCAGGGAAAATATTGCGCAAAATTTGGGAACGGGATTTTTTTATAGATATGCTTATTAAATTTGAGGAAATTTGACTATCCGGAAATTTTATCTGACTAGGATTTGGAAATTTTGAATTTATTGTTCATTTTGTTATTTTTTTGAGGATTTTTTGTCGTTGGAAAACGTCTGAAGTTCGAAATTTTTGTTTGAAAACTTTTTCTGAACTGTTGTTGAAAATTTTTTTGCTGAGGCAAAAAGAAGCTTCGGATTCTGAAGTAGTAACATTCAATTTCTCTTAATTTTATAGCTTCAAAATTTTCAACCAAAAAAACGCCAAGTTTTCTCAAAATTGTTCAAAATTTCAAAAAGTCCTACGTATTTCACTTTAGTTTTTCAAAAAATTTAATGAAAGTTTTCAAACTTTGACCAAAATGACCTACTGAAAACTTGACGCAATAAACTTTTGTTTTTGTTGTTTTTCATTCTCGCTCAAATCACGATCCGAGAAAAAAAAGAAGATAAAAACTCGATTTCGATTCATTTATCCCGGATATTATCATTGATAAAATCACATTAAAAAAACAACATTTATCTATGTTTGATACCGAAAATTGAGACAAGATGTTGCTTTGCAAAAAAACAAAACATAATGAAAATTGGGGAGAATGTGAATGAATTTTGATTTTAGCTCAAACCTATACATTTTTTTTGAAATTACTGTAGACTTTTTCAAAACTATCCACCATAAGACACATTTATTGCAACTGTTTGACAATATAAGCTTCTCCAGTTTTATACTTTGGCCCTTTATAATCCACAGATTTATCCCAATCAACACTCTTATTATCCGAACATCCATTAGCTTGAGCAGCTGATATGATTTGATTATAAACATAATCATAATCCGGAATATTTTGATAGCTCAAACTGTCCAAATATGTTAAAATTGCTGACATTTGATCATAACATCCGAAATTTGTGAACAAATTTTTCATTGCATTTTTATCGTCTCGAAGTTTCTTCTTTTCCGCTTTTACACCATCTCGATCTGTTCCTTTGAATGTTTTCCAAGGAAGATCAGAAACGATTCCTTCGGCAAACATATACCACCATGATTCGATGTCATCTTTTCGCGATTGTTCTCTCTGGAAAATGGATTTTTGTAAGTTTTTGTTTCGAAAACTTCCAAACACTTCAGCCATTCAAAAAAAAAACTGACCATATCATGTGCTGCCAATGCCGCATATCTCGTAGTTCCCCGAAATGCACAAGTTGTCCTCGGCGATCTCAAATCAACTCCCTTCGAACAAATTTTGCGACTCAACCCAAAATCCAGCACATAAATAATATGATGTGTCGAATCCTCCTCTCTTCCAATCGCAAAATTCGGCGGTTTGATATCGCGATGCAAAAATCCAACCCGATGCAAATCTCTAATTCCCTCAAGTGTTTGCTCGCCAATTTTGAGAGCTGTGTTCAGAGTATATTTCCGATTTGGAAGGCGTATTCGAATATCCCACAGGTTCATTCCAACCAATTTCAGGACAATGAATGCGAAACGGTTTTTGAGTTTTCCGAGATCAACAAGTTCAGCGAAATGCACCGAATTCAGCATGTTTAGGGCAATAAGAACACGAGCTTCGTGTGCAAGAATCTGCTTTTTGACGTGAATCGATTCACATTTCATTGCAAAATGTTTTCGATCGCTTTCTCGTTTCACCATAAAAACTGCACCAAAAGAACCTTGACCAAGTTGATCTTTTATCTGAAAAACACGAATTTATTCCAATGTTTGCGAGTCCTATATTACTTATTCCCGGTTCATATTCCCCACTCACCTCATAAACCCCTTTACTCGATTCAATATGTGTCTCTCCTTTATCAGTTTTCGGCATATCACTATTCTGCAAATTTTTAGTCCTTTCTCGCTCCAATTCTTTGTTTGCCTCCAACTTTCTTTTCTCACTATTCCCTTTTCCACTTTTTTTCGTATCTTTCGATTCTTCAATTGGTTCCATGTTCAATTTTTTCGTTATTATTATATTATAAGATACTTTTCCAAATTTTTGACTTTTTTGAAAGTCTACGAAAATCTAAAATGAGCGGAAAAATCGAGAACGGGGATATTTATGAAGGCAAATTGGGGTGACCACGTGAATTTTTAAATTTTAATTTTTATGGTAATATTTTTTGCAAGATGTTATTTTTTCTTATGAAATTCTCATCAGTTTTCCAGTCATTTTCAAAAGTTCATGAGTTCAAAAAGATTTCTCTAAAACCAAAAACAGTTGAGTCACACATTAAAACACACAGACAAAAAATGTGTTGCAGATTATACAAGCCTACTATTTTCTATTTTTCGCGTGTTAAAAAATAACATCAGCAACGAATTTTTGACTATAAATATGTTTTGGAAAAACAATGAAAAACATCACTTTTTCTCGATAAAAATGACATCTTTCAAAACTTTGGCTATTCTCGCTATTTTGGTGGCTGTTTCTTTGGCGCAATTTGGTGGACAAGGTGGATCTGATTCAAACTCACAAGGATCACAATCTGGATTCTCAGTGAACTCAACGTCCGGTGGTTTTGGTGGAAATGGAAATCAAGGTGGATTTGGTGGATCTTCGAACAACAGCTCACTGCGATCTCACGCAAATTCCACCACAAGATCAGAATATAGATATATTCTACAACAAAATCGTTGGTATGTTAAGATCGATTCAAGAAAAATCGCTGGTTCCACAACCAAATCACTCACAAAACAGAATAAGTGAATCCACTCGCCAACTGCTGACACTTCGACGAGAAACGAGTCGATCTGATCCATTATTCCACACCATCTCGGAATTGTGCCGCGAGGAACTTGCCAGAGATCACCAAGAATTTGCCAAAACTCGCCTCGTGAACGCAGCAATGGCAAGAAAAAGTCTGAAAAGAGTCGCCAGAAACCTCGTCGAATATCAAGCCACAATTCCATGCTTGAAATCTTCTCCAACCGGAACTCGGATCACTGGAAGAGGAGAAATCGAAAAAGAAATACATCAGTTTTACTCAAAGCTTTTCAAAAGCTCAGATGTTCCACAAAATCCCAGTAACAGAAGATTGAGAAGAACTGAAAATCCACCACCGTTTCTACCGAGTGAAATTCGAGCAGCTCTGAGATCATTCCCAAACGGAAAAGCCGCTGGCGAAGACAAAATCACCGCCGATTTTCTCAAAAAATGCACGGATAAGATAATCTTGATCATCACACACTGCTTCAACCTGATGATGGAGAAAGAGGAGATACCCAAGGCATGGAAAACATCGAAAACCATCTTGATCTTCAAAAAAGGTGATCGCGAAAACCTCGAAAACTATCGCCCTATCACAATCCTCCCAGTTCTCTACAAACTCTTCACAAAGTGCATTCTGCAGAGAATCCGCCGACCACTTGAGGAATCCCAACCTGTTGAGCAAGCTGGATTTCGAAGATCGTTCTCAACAATGGACCACATATCCACAATTCAAAGAATTCTAGAAGCCAGTCGAGAACACCAAATCCCACTTGTCCTGATCTTTGTCGACTACCACAAAGCATTCGACAGCGTAGAACCAGCTGCAGTATGGAATTCGCTGAAAGATCAAGGAGTCGATCAACATTACATCAAGATCCTCCAAAAATGCTACGAGGAGTGTTCCACCAACATCACGCCATTTTTCAAAAAAGTCGAAATCCCAATCTCAAAAGGAGTTCGCCAAGGGGACCCAATCTCTCCGAATCTATTCTCCGCGAGTATTGAAGGAGTTTTCCGCTCCACAAATTGGTCAGATTGTGGAATAAGCATAGATGGTAGAAAGTTAAACCACCTTCGATTCGCTGATGATGTCGTTCTGATCTCACACACCCCACATCAAGCTTCGAGAATGTTGAAAGAATTGGTGCAGGAAAGCGCAAAAGTTGGCCTAAAAATCAATGAAGCCAAAACAAAATCAATGAGAAACCGATTTGCGCTCACCCGCCCAATTGAAATCGGAAACAAAACCATTGAAAATGTCGATGAATATATTTATCTTGGCCGACAATTAAATCCTCAAAACGAACTCCTGCCGGAAATCCACCGAAGAAGAAGAGCTGGCTGGGCTGCTTTCAAATCCATCGAAAAAGCAACCGACGCCATCACTTGCCAAAAAACCAAAGCAAACTTATTCGATCAAACGGTTCTACCCGCCCTTTGCTATGGTTCAGAGGCATGGACCCTCACAAAAAAGAATTCAGAAGCTCTTCGAGTCTCCCACGCGGCATTGGAAAGAAGATTAGTTGGCATAACACTCAGCGAACAACGCGAAAGAAATCTCCACCGCGAAGACATCCGGAAGCTATCGCAAGTCAAGGATCCACTTCGACACATCCGCCAACAAAAAACCCGCTGGGCCGGACACATGGCAAGGAGAAACGACAACCGTTGGTCAACGGCAACATTGGATTGGTATCCACGAGAGTGGAAAAGACCAGTTGGACGCCCACCATTGAGATGGTCAGATGAATTAAGGAAAAACCACTGTATATATGACAACAACAACAAATTGGTCGAATATTGGACAACTCGTGCCAAAGACCGTGATAAATGGAGAACTGTGGTCCGCGCAATATGCTGAAGAACGGATCGACTAAGTAACTAAGTAACTAAAGTAAAACAATGAAAAACATCACTTTTTCTCGATAAAAATGACATCTTTCAAAACTTTGGCTATTCTCGCTATTTTGGTGGCTGTTTCTTTGGCGCAATTTGGTGGACAAGGTGGATCTGATTCAAACTCACAAGGATCACAATCTGGATTCTCAGTGAACTCAACGTCCGGTGGTTTTGGTGGAAATGGAAATCAAGGTGGATTTGGTGGATCTTCGAACAACAGCTCCTCATCAAATGGCGGACAACAAAATCAACAAGGGGGAAATGGGGGATTCTCAAGCAACTCGACTTCGGGTGGATTTGGAGGAAATCAACAAAATGGAGGATTTGGTGGAAACCAATAATTTCAAAATTTTTGCTAATTTTGATTACTATTAAAAAATTGCTCGGTATTTTTCAGAATTGACTATTTATTTCAAATAAACTATTCATCGAAATTGCTTTTTTTTTGACATTTGCAATTGACAACTTGTGGTTATTTTTTAATTATGATTAATTTTTGATTTTTCTATTCAGAAAACCTCCAATTCGGTTTTATTTTATGGACCTCACGAATTATTCAAAAAAAAATTTTTTTTGTAAGTGCCACGTCATAGAGGAACTCTTGAAAACCATAGCCCAAAAATTGATTCGAAAATGATTTATGAAATTTACTTCATAAAAGTTCATGTTCTGAAATAATTCTACTAGATCAAAATTAATTTATTTTACATATTAATTAAAATTAAAAATAGTTCGTTTCAAAATTAAAATCCTCCAAAAGATCGTTGATTATTGTTTGAGTTTCCGAAGTTTCCTTGACCAGAATATCCGGAATTTCCAAATCCACTTGATTCTTGGTTTGATGATTCATATCCTGAACCTTCATTTGATTGATATCCTCCATTGTTCTGGTTGGAATATCCATTTTGGTTATTCGAGTTGCTGGAACTTCCGAAATTCGAACCCGATTGACTTGAACCGTACGATCCATAGCTGTTCTGGTTTCCAAATCCACCTCTAGATCCATAGGAAGATCCAGAATTTCTGAAGTTTGAACCAGATTGACTTGATGCAGAAGATCCATAACTGTTTCTGTTACCAGTGTTTCCGAATCCACTTCTCGATTGGTTTGACCTAGATGATGATCTAGAACTTCCATAATTTGAACCAAATTGGCTTGAGCCAGATGATCCATAACCATTCTGACTTCCACCGAATTGATTCTGGTTTCCAGAGTTTCCGAATTGACTTGATCCCCGATTCCATCCAGAATTTCCAAAACTTTGAGTTTCATTCGAATTTGTAGAATTATAATTATTCAAATATCTAGATTGCACAAGTTGAATAGAAACCAATAGGAATAATGTTATTTTGATCATTATGATGATGAGAGACAATTTTTGAACTATACGAATTTTTCCAGAGTTTTATAGTAAACTATGGATTATGCAAATTTTTTGATGTTGAACTCGGGGCTGAGTCATTTTTTTCATAATGCCACCTACGCTGAAAACTTGGATCAGGTTGAAAATTTGATTTTTAGTATGAGTGTCCTGAAATTGAATTTGTAAAACTTTGAACTTCACAGATCTAACTAGACTTACAAATGAAATTGGAGAAAGTCAACTTTAGGATGAAAATTTCGAAATTTTCAAATTTTAAAAATGCATCCCAACCGTAAACTTTTTTCGATCAACAATCAAATAAAAAAGTAGGTTCAAAAAGGTGTCGATCTATCATATTAATTACAACCGGGATTAAAAAATCCCCTCCCCAACACAAACTTTTTCAAACATCAACAACTCTATGTTCCTGCTATATAAATCGAACTATGAACAATCATATTTATCATAAATTCATATTTTGTTTTGTTTGAACAAAAATGAGCAAAACAACACTTCTCGTTTTCTCCGTTGCTGTTTCTCTTGTGGCTATTGTTTTGGGTGCAACTAGTACCACCACAGGTTCCCCACCACCCTTGAATTCGACTGGATTCCCTGGAAATTTCAGTGGTGGATTTGGTCAAGGACAAGGTGAGGCTTGAAAGAAAATTATGATGATTTTGAAATTATTTTAGGTGATGATTATTATGATGATGGAAATCAAGGATCTGGACAACAAGGTTGGTTGAAATTAGGAAAATTATTTTTTGAAATGGAGAAGTTGTTAACATAAATTGTTCACTGCCTCTTAATTCATCAGAATTGAATCTAAATTTCAGAAAAAACTAATTTTTTAAATTTTTAGGCTTTGGAGGACAACAAAGTGGAAATCAAGGATCAGGAAATAGTCAACAAGGTGAGTGAAATTTTTTTTGAATAAGTCTGAACTTTCGAAAATATACAACATACTTTTATTTTAGGAGGTAGCCAAGGTGGATTTGGTGGAAACCAACAAAGTGGACAACAGGGTGGAAATCAAGGATCAGGAAATAATCAACAAGGTTTGTCATTCTTGAAAAAATTTTTTTAAAATTTCAAACCGCTGTTTTAGGAGGCTTCGGAGGTCAACAAGGTGGAAATCAACAAGGTAATAACTTTTCTGAATTGTTCCAAATCGATCTGATTCATTTCAGGTGGATTCGGAGGTCAACAAGGAGGTAGCCAAGGTGGAAATCAAGGAGGTTTCGGTGGAAACTCACAACAACAACAAGGTGGAAATCAAGGTGGATTCGGAGGTCAACAACAACAAGGCAAATTTTTCTTCTCCAGTTTTCTGACATAACATTCAAAAATTTTCAGGAGGATTTGGAGGTCGAGGAAACTTTGGAGGAAACCAACAAGGAGGTTTCGGAGGACAACAACAAGGTAGATAACCTTTTCTAAACTTCATTCAAAATTTTATGAATATTCAGGTGGTTTCGGAGGCCAAGGAAACTTCGGAGGTAATCAACAAGGAGGCAATCAAGGTGGATTCGGAGGACAACAACAAGGTAACCTTTTTTAATTTTTAAAACATTAGGTTTTAAAATCAAATGATACTGTCCTAACTTTTTATCAACTTTCAAATTATAAATTTTCAGGAGGATTTGGAGGTCAGCAAGGAAACTTCGGAGGTAATCAACAAGGTGGATTCGGTGGAAACCAACAACAAGGTATAAAATTCTGAAATTGTGTCAAACAATCTTGAGTTTTAGGAGGTTTTGGAGGTCAACAAGGAGGAAACCAAGGAGGATTCGGAGGTCAACAACAAGGTGAGATTTTTCTGGAATTTCAGAGTTCTGGGTGCTAAGTTTTATTCGAAAAGAAAGGATCATACACTTTTCAAAAATATTGAATTTTTCTGAACTTCTCAAAAATAATGAAATTTTAAGGAGGCTTCGGTGGAAACCAACAAGGAGGATTCGGAGGAATGCAACAAGGTGGAAATCAAGGAGGATTTGGTGGACAACAACAACAGCAAGGTGAATAAGTTTATCTTACTTTGCCACGTGGAATTCAAAAATTTTAGGAGGTTTCGGAGGTCAACAAGGTGGATTTGGTGGAAATCAACAACAAGGAAACCAAGGAGGATTTGGAGGTCAACAACAACAACAACAACAAGGTTTCTGATTTTTTTTTTGAATCTCAACAGAAACTTTTCATGTTTTTCGAAAATAATACAAATGCATCATTCTGAAACCTTTTCAGTCATTCAGGTTCTCATGAAAACACAGAGAGAGAGAGATCCACATTCTTAAAATTCTTCATTTGACCTGGAAATCTTGTTTGAGAAATTTCAAGCTCAAAAAAGTGTTTTCAGGAGGCTTCGGCGGCCAACAAGGAAATCAACAAAGTGGATTTGGAGGAAACCAACAACAACAAGGTAGGAAATTTTTCCTTTCAAAAACAAAACTAAAAATCGAAATTTTAGGTGGAAATCAACAACAGCAAGGAAACTCTGGAAATCAACAAGGTGAGAAACTTTGAAGCTCCGAATTCAAAAATCTGAAAGTATTTTCAGGTCAACAAGGAAACTCTGGAAGACAGGGTAAATATCAAGGAGGAAACCAACGTCAAGGTCAACAAGGACAAAACAATCAGAACCAAAATGGACGTCAAGGAAATCAACAACAAATTGGAAGACAAAATGGGCAGAATGGACAGAACAACCAACAAAATGGAAACCAAAACCAACAAGGAGGAAACTAGAAAACAATGTATAGCTCAAAATTTCTCATCAAATGAATATTTTTGAAATTTTGTTTGGAATTTAGATTATATTTTAATATGTTAAAACATCTTTCGAGTACATTCAATACAAAAAATAGATTTAATAAGTTTTTTTTTGAAAAATTAATTGATGACTTCATCCATGGCAAAATTAGAAACCATTCCTGATTTTGCCACGAGTCATTTTTTGATCGAAAAACTTGGAATGTTTAATGAGTTTTCCAATATTCACACCTTTCTTTAAGTAAACTCACGATTATTTGTTATTTTTTAACTAAAACACCGCGAAATTAAAAAAAATCCTAACCTAGTCCCGCAAGTTTTTAAATCACTGTAGATCACGCGCTATTTGACTATCTTTTTGTCTCTTCTCTCTCGTATGGACGCCAATCCAAAACCTAAAAAAACAACGAAAGAACTAAGAGTGTGTGTCAACACCGAATGCCCGCAAACACAAAATCCTACGCGCAATTTTGTAAAAATAAAATAACGACACTCCGCTCAAACAGTGTGAGAAAATTAAACAACCTCAGGAATTTTTTTGTACGAGTTCTGCACCTTTTTTGTACCCGTTCAGCACTTTGTTGCATTTGTACGCGTTCAGTTCCTGATATAAGACAGCTAAAAAAGACTGATCGTGTACACGCATAAGTTTGAAAGCGTACTTAATAGGACTGAACGCGTACAAATGCACAAAACGTGCTGAACTCGTACAAAAAAATTCCTGAGACAGGCAAGCCAAGTGTGGCTATTTCACTTTTATTTTTTTCCTTTTTTTTGTTTGTGAAGCTACTAGTATTTTGTAATATCTAGCGTTTTGAATCAATAAAAAACAACCAAAAATTTCATTAAATTGAAAATTTGTTTCAGATTAGTCGTGGATGATTTTTGTTGGAGCATGAAGCAATACATCAATTTTGAGCGATGAAATGATCGAGGAACGGTCGAAATTTTAAAGGTTAGTTATTTTTTTGGGTTCGATTGAGTAGTTAAACTGATTTGCATTTGAATCGAGGATGCTTTTGAAAGGAAGTTTTAGAATCTTTTAAAAACTTTGAGGTGAGTCAAGCCGAAAACCCTATAATCATATTTTTCGGTGTTTGGAGAAAAGTTTTTGAAGTTTTTCTTCTTGCAATCTCTAATGTCGTAAATTTGCTATTTTTGCTGCAAAGATTGTGAAATTTGGTTAAGTATGAACAATTTCAGCATTTTTTGTGAAAAAACGAAAAATGGTTTTGAGGTTGGCAAAAAATTCACAAACCGTCGTGTAGTCTGGCGTCTCTCTTGCTATTTTCTATCTCTCATTCTCTCTCTGTCTGTCCTCGTCTCTTCCATCACAACACTCTCTCGTTTATTTTTTCAATTTGGTTTTTTTCCGTGAAATCATGATCAGGAAATTTCACGATTTTCATTTCGAGTTTTTTTTATCAAAAAATGACTCGTGGCAAAATTAGGAAGGCTTCCTAATTTTGCCATAGATGAAGTCATCGATAAATTTTTCGAAAAAAAAACTCATTTAATATTTTTTCGTATTGATTGTACTCGAAAGATGTTAAGAATAATTATTACAATTGAATTCATTGAAAATTTCAAGTTTTTTGATCAAAAAATGACTCGTGGCAAAATTAGGAAGGCTTCCTAATTTTGCCATGGATGAAGTCATCGATAAATTTTTCGAAAAAAAAAACTTATTCAATCTTATGGAATGCGACTTTTTTTTCTATTGAACTGTTTCGCCTAGGGGCATCGTTCCTATTGTATTTTTTGTAAACGAGTAAAAAAATTGCATTTCGAGACCTTATCACCTCATTTTTGCCAGCCTAATTAACCTCTTTTAAAATCCCGTAGGTATGCATTAAAGTACAACAATTCATTTTCTTTCAAAGATGCGTCAGGGAAAAAGCATGAAATACGTTTTCAAAGTAAAAAAAAACAATTATTTTCTTCCGAAACCATTTCGATTTCCTGAATTTGAATTTGAATTTGAATTTCCTTGCTGATTTCCACCTTGTTGGTTACCACTTTGACCATTTCCTTGTTGATTTCCAGAATTTCCAGAATTTCCAGAGTTCGATCCTCCTTGTTGATTTCCCTGATTACCTTGAGATCCTCCTTGTTGTTGATTTCCAGATTGTTGATTATTTCCAGATGATCCGCCATTTTGTTGTCCTCCACCATTTCTTTGCGCAATGGCAACAACAAAAATTGATAAGAGAAGAACGAATAGAATCTTGCTCATTTTTGAATGAAACTTTTTTTTGCTGATGAAAATCAAAAGTTATGGAAATACTTATATAGTCATCCGAAAAATGTCCTTTGATGGTGATGTTTGAAGTAAGGAGGAGAAAAGAAGAGGGCTAAACAAATTTATATCCGAAACAACGGAAAATATATTTAGTATGTTAGTTCAGGATTGTTAGATGACTCATCATTTTTTCCGTGTTTTGAAATAGTTTTTTTTGGAAAAAATGAAGTATGAATAATCGGTCAAGTATCATTATGTTTTGATTTTCATAACGTGGAAATAGGAGAATCAGATTTTTCAACAAAAATTATCATTCGCGTTTCAAAAAATGTTTATTTCAACCAATCGTCTTCGTTTTCTGCGCATTTCTTTTTTTGTGCAAACTCAATGCCTCAAAACTTTGAGTTTGATTAACTTCAAGTCGAGTCGTTGGTCTATTCGGAGGTTTCTTTCGATTTTTATCTGATTCTTTACTATTAAAAATTTCGGATAACATTCTCTCCTGAGCAGCAATCAATTCCGCATTATATCCCTTTTTTGGAACAGGTTTTTCCGATTCATCCTTTTTCTGGGGAGTTTTCACAACTTTGATTGCTCTTCCTTTTGACACCTCTTTTTTGTTTGGTTTTGGACTTTCTTTGGGGCTCTCTTTTGCAGTTTCAATCTCAACAACAGTTTCACTTTTACGAGGAGTTAGTGGAACTGGAGCTGTTTCCACTTGCCTTATTGATTGAACCGAATTTTGATTTCGATTTGATTCTTTTGATGTGTCCGATGTTGGTGGTTCGATTTGGCTAGGAGTTTCAGTAATTCTGTTTTGTGATCTCATTTTTGCACATGATTCGATAATATCTGCAAGCTTGTATGTGCTAAAAGACAAAGACCTCAAACTAAACTTACTAGAAAAAAACACAAATGCATATAAAATGGTTTGTATTTCGAACATCTCTTGAAGATTTTATTAAAAAATGTAGAAACTGATGTCAGACTGCTTTAGGAGACACTTTTAAATCACATTTGAAATTAGGTCACGCCAAAATTTGTACAATTTTTATTTTTGAATAAACAATTGAATAATTTTTCAGAAAATTTTTGGTTGAAATATTTTAATCAGATTTAGTACTATCCCAAACCAATTTATTACGAAAGTCAAACAAAAAACATGTATTTCCAAAATTATCACTTCAAAGATCGTCTCTTCCGTTTTCCAGCACATCCACAAGCTGCACAACTCGGTTGCTGCTGAACACACGGTTGATACATAATTTGTGGCTGAGCACATTGACATGGTGGAGGCGGGGGTGGGCAAGGCGGGGGAACCATACACATTGGTGCGGGTTGTGGTGGAGGAGGAGCACAACCACAACAACATCCACTTCCGCCTCCTAGAAAACACATTTTGCCCTGAAATCTATGAAAAAGAAACCCTACCTCCAAGACCTCCAAAGAAAAATGCGTCAGAAGTTGAGAATAATATGAGCAATACAAGAAAGAATTTCGAAAACATCTTGATTTTTTACCATTTCAAATGATCAAGTTCCAATCTTTTATAGTAAAAATTAGCCGGATCGGATTAACGTTTTTTATTCCTCGAAATTTGCATTGTTCTCGGATTGCAACTGGATTAAAACTTGTTTTATAATTACATTTTATTTATTTCATTTTTGACAAAACAAAAAAAACCCGTAATTGTTCTTAAACCATTTCCAAAACAAAAATATTTTTTTCCTCAAACAAATTCCGCTTTTTTCGTTGGATCAAGTTGAATAAAAGCGCGGACCATCGATTTTTTGCGGCCAACTTTTTCGATTTGTCTTTGCATGTTGTAGTCGCAGATATAGACAAATGCTCGCCAGACAATTGTGAGCATATAGATTTCGAAGAAAATCACGAAGAGCTACAAAATATGGATTTTTTTTCTTATTTTTGATTTTGGTTTCTGATCAATTAGAAATAGAATTAGATTTACCAAAATCAAATGGTCATACACCGAACTTTGATTCTTCGCATTAATTGTTCCGAGAAAAGTGACAAACAAATGAAGGATAAGAACGAATATACAAAGAACACAAACTGTGAAATATGGAATGAGGAAAATATATCTGAAATTTCAAAAATTAAGGAGTTGTGAAGAAATTTTTGTTGTTATTTTCCAACCTTTTCAATCGAATTCCAATTGTTAGAAGAATATTTGTGATGCAGACAGTGAAAAATGCAAAACAAGATGCTGAAACATCAGAAACTTTAAGAGGAAAGTTTGAATTTCCACGTGGCAATTGGAAAGTTTTTTTGATGGGACGCCATTCCAGATTTTTAGAAATCAGAACTCACTCAAAACTTCCAAACCATTTTCAGCTTTACTGAATTGTAAGATTAGAAACACAAAAAGCATGATTGTTTTCAGAATTGTTAAAACCAGCAAAACGTGTTGAACATGAAAAATTCCAAAAATTGCGCGATATCTTATATTGTTCTCCTGAAAAAATCTGGAAATTTTCAGAGCTCACACAAGTTGAAGAAACTTACATCAAAACAAATTGGATTCTCTTTTTCCCGGTCAAAAATACAACAACAGAAATAAAGTTTAGCATAATTTCGAAGTGTCATTTTTTCACGTTTCCATCGTTCGAATTCCTCATCATCTTCTTCTTCAACAACATCCTCGTTTTCCCGAAACCCAACCATTCATGTGACAACTTCTTTCAACAAAATAAATGATCAAAAACGATGAAAAAAGTAGGAAATAAGAAAAAAAAATTGAAAAGGGTTAATTTGATAACAAAAAGATAGCACTACTACAGTTTGCAAAATGATTTCAGGTTAAATTATTTATTGAATTTGTTTGATGAAACCGGACAAAGTCTCAGGTTTTGTTTCAGCACAACCCAAAAAAACAAGAAGAAAAATACATAGATACAGTTTTGTATACGTGATACCTAGCAATGGACGAATAAAAAAACAATAGTGAGAAATGAAAACTGGAAAGGAATATAGTCGACCAAACATCGGAAGGAATGAACGAATGAAGACAAGAAAAACAGATTTGATAATCGATTGTCCGATTTTTGGTCCTGGAAAAATACCAATGGTTTTGGATGTTTATGTCTTGTATAAATTCGACAAACATGTGATTTCAATTCATTTTTTCATACTTTTTTGGGCGTTTCCGAACAAAGACTAGGGACATTCGCAACATTTCAAAACATGTTCCTGATTTTTAAATGTGATAAAACTTGAGAGTTACTGTAGGGAACTGATCACACATTTTTTTAAACGAGAAAATTTCACAAAATACTTGTTCACGTTTCCGAATTCAAATGGCTCGCAAAGAATGCGTTTTTTACAAACACCTTTTCAGAATTTATTTCTAAAATACACTAGACTTTGCTCGCCTAACACCAATTTTAATCAAATATCTAAATTTAATCTTGTTATGATTGATGAACTCTTCGAATATCCGTTTCCACGTTAATCCCATCTAAAAATAGCTCACCATAAATGATATTCTTAGAATCTCGTTTCTTCATCGTGACAATTCCGACGAGCTTCGTCCAAGAATCCTGAAACAAGAAGTTTGAGAGATCTAAAGATTTATCTAGAAAATAAGCTCACCTTTTTTCATCTCCTTTATGACAGAACCCATAAATTTTTCCCAACCAATAACAACCAGACAACTTTGATTAGCAGGAAATAGCGAAATCGTCGTTGCCTGCAAAGATTTCCGGACGTCGTCAAAACAAAGATTAATCAACTCACCGTGTCTTTAATGCTTTCATCTTCGCCATTTTCAGTTTTTGAGTTTTCTTGTGTTACAATTTCAACAGTGACTTTTTTAAAAGTCAACCAGTTATCAGCGCCAAAATTGACTCCCCTATAAAAATGAATTTGTCCTATCCGATAAGCCATTTGCAAAACATTTTTCATCGGGCAAAATCCGAGAGACGAGACTGCGGTATCCAGAAAATTCTGAATTCGATGTGCTTGTAATTGGAATTCTCTACAGCTGAAAACATCTTTCTCGTCAGCCTGAATACCAAAATAATCTTTAAATTGAGGTTTCCTTTCGATAAGCTCTTGCAGAATATGTTTGCCGATCTCACGTTCTTTTGCTCTGTAAACGTAGATTTTTTGGGGAGTTCTAGGAACAATTTTTTGTGTGGGTTTAAAGGAATAAAAATCTGCATTTTCGTCAACTAAATTTGAGAATGAGAGAGAAAAGTTTTATCTGAAAGTTTGGGGAAAATGTTCAAAATCAGATTCTGTGTACGGTAGAGGTTGTAGATCGACTGACTTTCGAGAAAAAGAACTCACCTAACCCAAACTTCTTTGATGGCTTCCATTTCCTCATCTCGCAGTTCACATAGATCCCGTTCTGGTGTTTTTCCAAAGCAGTTCAGCTTCATTCTGCAAAATGGTTAAAAATGTTTGAGAGAATCAGAATTGAAAAATAAAGTGCAAAAAACCATTTGAGCTGCTTAATGTGCCAAAACTACTCAGCGATCCGCAATCCGGTTTATTCCATTCTCGATAAGAAGGACATAAAATGGGGCGGAGTTACACATCATGCCACACAAAAAATTGAAGCCATTAAAAGAGCCTAATTCGAATGAAGATTTAATGGGAGAAAGCAAAAAAAAGAAGGAAAAACGCAATAATATTCTATTAAGAATAAGAAGAAGAAAACGAACGAATGGAGATATCACATTTCGAAGTCGTTATTCCAGGAAAAACATACACACACACAACAATGCAAAATAACATCGGAAAACCAAATTAACCTACGAAGAATGGATGGGAGGAGAAATGAGCATGAGCAGAGTTTTACTTTTTTCTTCGTGTTTTGTTTTGAGTTAGACCTAACTGGTCTGGTCAAACTTTTTTCTTTTATATGAAGAGGAGAGAGAAAGAGATGAGGAAGTATTTTGATGTTTTCGGTTTTGAAAATCACATTTGATTATAGGTTTTTTTAAATACAGATTGGGTGAGAAGTTATTGTGTTTTTTTTTCGGAATTGTGAAACTCCAGTAGTATTTCCAAGAGAAGGTCAGAACTTTTGAAAAAATATTTTTAACTTGTCTGGAACATCTATCGCGCAAAAACTAGATTCCAGTGATATCCTAACTTTTAAAAAATATTCTATTACCTCCCGCCCCCTCCCCAGTATTTATATCCCAGTAAAATCAGAAATCAAAATCTTCTGGTCTGCTCTGCAAAATATTCGGCAATCCTCTCCGATTACATTCGACAAACAAGATCAAACAGATTATCCACCAGAGCAAAACGAACTTCAAAATTACATTTCCCACGTTAAATTATTCAATTTGAAAATATAAAATCGTATTCTAAAAAATGTGTGAAACTTCGTGAGCGCAAAAAATAGGAGGAATAAGAAATAAAATTGTCATACGCTTGATGTTTCAAATGAATAATTAACTTGGGTGCAAAAAAAGTGACATAAAATTGACAAGGTTTCTGACTAAAGAACTTTTTTCGGCATGTGTTTTTCGCAATTAAATAGTCAGATTTTTGTCAGTGGGTGGTGTTGGTTAAAACAATTTACACCTGGAACACATCAGCAACAATTTTATTTTAAGAACATTAAAATTTGTTTCCTTCCGGAATCAATGAACATGTTTGAAAAAATCAAAAGGAAATGTTGTTCCTGGATTACTGTAATCTGCTTAAAAGATCAGAATGGAGGGAGATCAAAACACTTGAATTTTTGAGAAGGGAAAATGTCTAGAGTCGAAGTATAACTATTGAGACAAAGAAGAAAACATTAATCAAATTTGAAAAGTCATATTTTTCTAAATGTCTGACAAAGGTTTTTCATGTTCAAAACTTTTTTTCAGTTTTCAATCTAATTGATTCAAAGTTTTATTTTATTGCATTTTTTGGAAATGGGTAAAATTTTCCCCTGACAATTTCACATTCATAAAATCAGGTCATCCCAAAAATTTCGAATTCCAAATAATTTTTCTAATTCAAATGTTCAATTGTTTTCAAATTCCCACTTCAGACCTTCTCTCCTGTTTTTTTTATTTCCAACCACTCCCAAAAAGAAAACCGCAACCAACAATCATAATAATAACAATGTCAAACCAGATAACCACAAAACTGACACATTTGTGTGATGTCATGAATATTCACCGTATATATCTCTACCCGCTCTCCAACATTCCCGCACTATTTCTCCCGGTCTCCAAGGTTCCCTCGACCAAATAATAATGGTAAGTACTATAGGTCGCATACAAACATGGAAAATTGCGCAGTTTTGGTTGTTTTTGTTTTTTTTTTATTGTACAGAAATTTAATATTTTTCAATTTCTATTATTTTTGAACAAAAACTACAAATATAGTTTTCTTTTTTTCCGTTGTTATGGCAACTTTTTTGTGCGAATTGGATGAATCACAACATTTTTGTCGCCAATTTGTTTCTTTTATTTGCGTGACTATTTACTTTTTGGTTGTACTCTTTTTCAAATGTTTGTTGATTTATTTTCGATGCGAAAAAGACTATTTTTTCACTATTTTTCAAATAAAAAATTTGCCATCCTCTAGAGACTTTTTATTTCGCAATACTTGTTAAAAATTGATGAAAATGTCATCTCTGAAACTCCTTTTTTTTACCAAACATTTTTTTACAACCAAAATTAGCATAATCTAAAAAGTGACCAACCATTTTACGTCACTGTCTATTTTTATCGGCCAAAAAATATTTTTATCAAATATTTGTTATTTTTTTCCTTTTGTTGTTCATGTTTCCGTTTGATCAGTCTCGATTCCAAAAAAATTGATTAAAAATTATTGAAGCGTGACTATTGAAAGCTATTAAAACTTGGTTTTTTTCAGGGTTTTTGACTAAAAATGTCGAATTCCTCAGAACCGAAACAATGCAATTCTGGTATTCTTATACCAGCTCTGAAAACGTCGCCGGGAAATACGATGATATATTTTTTTGGATTGTTGTATTGTTTTCTAGGTGAGTTTGGGGTATCTAGAAAAATTTGAAAAAATTAAACATTCAAAAAAACATGAAAATAATTTTTTATTCGAATCTTCACGTTTAAAAAATTTCACATTTCTTGTTTTTCTCAAATTTCAGAACAATCGAAAATGAAATCAGTAGGTTAATTTTTTTTTCATTTAGAAAAATTAAATCTTGTTAGAAATCTGAAGTAAGTTTTATTTTGGATAACTGAAAAAAAGGATCAAATTTTATAACCTAAAAGTTCATAACAATTTAGAGAGAGATTATGGGTTAGGAAAAAAATTAACATGAAAAAAATCTTGTAAATTGGAGAAAAATAGTGCTTACCCCCTCTTCTTCCTAAACTCTGTTTTTTCAAGGAATTGCAATCGCCGCTGATATTTTCATGTGTGCAATCGAACAAATCACAAGTGCAACTCGAAAAGTCAAACGAACCCCAAAAAAAGATAAATTAGTCGAAGACGCCGCAACCGAAGAAGGAGAAGAAACCTATGATTATGTGAAAATCTGGAATCCAACAGTTGCAAATTTAACACTTATGGCTCTTGGATCTTCAGCTCCTGAAATCCTACTTTCAATTATTGAAATCATTGGAAACGATTTCAAAGCTGGAAGTTTAGGACCTGGAACTATTGTTGGATCGGCAGCTTTCAATCTTTTCTGTATTTCTGCTATTTGTGTACTTGCTGTTGGTTCAAAAGCTAAAAGAATTGAATTATACAGGGTTTTTATTGTCACCGCGTTTTTTGGAACATTTGCATATCTTTGGTTGTATTTGGTAAGTTTTTTTTTAATTTAAAAAAAAGCTGGAACAGAATGTTTTTTTATAGATTCTCATCAAGATAAGTAAAGATGTTGTTGAAGTTTGGGAAGCGCTTTTGACACTTCTGTTTTTCCCGATTCTTGTTGTTGCTGCTTATTTTGTTGATATTGAAATTTGGAAATCGAAAAAAGCAGATCTTCGTGAGCAATTAGAACTTCAAGATTGTGGAATGGGAAAAACAATCGAATCTGAAGGAATTACTGATGAGATTAAAAAATGGGCCAGTTCTTTCAGTCTACCAGATGAAAATGGAATTGTGACCGAAGCAGCTCCATCGATTGCCACAGTTCGAAAATGGACTAGAACATTGTCACAAACTTATCCAGATTTGGATGAGGAAGATCAAGCAAAAATATTGGCGAATAGAGTTTCGAGAACTTTGAGTCATGATAGACTTTATTATCGAATTCGAGCAATTCGACAACTTTCTTCGTCTTGGAGAAAAAGTCAGGATGAAGAAATTCAGAAAATTGAAGAAATTGGAAAAGAAGAAGCTGATTGTGGACCAAGAAGTAAAACATTTGTGGAATTTAATGCAAGAGTTTATGCGGTTGATCAAAATGATTCGAATGTTATCTTGAAGGTTTGTTTTATATTTTATTCAGAAATAGAAATGTTTTTCATATAATTTTAGGGAATAAAAATTTTTTAGAACTTTAGATCTTCTAAACATCGGGTTTAGAATTTTAGAAAGAGAACTACAAGTTCGATCAATTCGAATTTATATTTTGGAAAAAAAGACTTCTGTAAATTTGAAAACTATTTTCGAACAAACCTATTTCAGGTCTATCGATATGGAAACACTGAATCTTCATTCACAATCAATTACACAACCGTAAATGGAGTCGCCAAAAAAGATTTGAACTATCTTTTCAAAAGTGAAGTTCTAAAGTTCAACTCGGGAGAACTTTCCAAAGAAATTGTTATTCAATTGGTGCAACCAGAAAATTGGCGACCAAATGATGTGTTTTATGTGCATTTGAAAATTCAGGTAAGTTGAGGGTCCCTGCAGAAAATAGGGTGATTAATTTGAAAAAAAAACAATTTTATTTTGCAAAAAAAATCCTACAAAAGATCATGATTTTCAACTTTTTTTGAAAGAAAAACAACGTATTTATTTGATCTGTGATTTGTTGTCTGGAAAATTTTGATTTCACAAGGATCAAAAAGAAGCTTGAATGTCGAAATAATTAATCTGATCAGTGATTTTTTTTAAACTGAATTCTGAATTTTCAAAAAAATATTCCAGGATGAAGATGAAAATGCCAATGTTCGCCTCGGAATTTGTAACGTAGCCCGCGTGAAATACCCTGCAGATGAGCCGAAAAATGTTACCGGAACTCCAAACATCGAATTTGTCCGTCCAAATTATGTGGTGAAAGAGAACGCAAAATTCAGTCGAATTTATGTAACACGCCGTGGAACTCGGGCGAGTTTGAAAGAACCAATTATAGTAAAATATGAGACAGAAGACATTACTGCAAAAAATGGATCTGATTATCGAGGAGTTCGGGATGGAGAATTATTTTTCAAAAATCAGGTTAGTTGGTCCCTCATTTCCCCTGTTTTTGTTGAAAAAATATATATTTGAAATGTACAAAGAAAAACAATTTTTTTGTTAATCTATTTTTGGAAAGTTGATTTAATCTTAAAAATATTCGGTATTTTTTCTCAAAAAAACATGTTGGAAGTGCAGCAACCCTAATTAGGTTCAGAAATCAAGCCTTATTACGTAGGCAGAAAACACATAACTAACTAGATTTTTGTTTTACTTTAGGAATACGAAAAGTATATTGATATCGAGATTTTTGATGATAAAGAAGACGAGAAAGATGAAAGTTTTCAAGTTGAAATAAAAGAGATTGAAAGTAAAGAATATACAATTGGACAAAAACGAAAAACTATTGTGACAATTATTTCGGATGATAATGCATTGAAAAATATAACAAATGTTCATAAATTGATGTCGCATTATATTCGAGAAATGAAACCGGGAAAAGCCACGTGGAAAGAGCAAATATTGAATGCGGTTTCTGTGAATGGAGGAGATTTGACAAATGCAACAATTTCGGATTGTGTTTTACATGCATTGGCATTCCCATGGAAGGTTAGTTTTTTAGGGTGATTTTTTTGGAAAAAATACAGTGGATCAAGCTCAAATTCCAAAATTGCAGAGTTTTTGAACTGAGATCTTCGGATTTTTCAAATTTATTTTTCTAAATTGAACTTTTCTCTTTAAATTCTGCGACCACATTTCTGTTGTCAAACTTGTATGACGTTATGAAATTTGGAAACAGAATTTGCAAAAAATCAAAGTTTTGTAAGATCACAACTTTTCAAGATTATCCAACTTTCCTCACGTCATAACTCATGTTCAGAGTTGAGATAAGATGATTTTGAAAGCTCAAATGTGATCAGCTATGATGAATTTTGTACCAAATCAGAAAAACAATTTTTTCACGTGAACACCATTTTGAAACTTTAACGAAATTTTTCTAATTGGATATAAAAGTATTTTTCAGTTTGCCTTCGCATTTCTACCTCCACCAACAATTCTCAGCGGTTATCCATGTTTCGTAGTTGCTCTCATTGCTATCGGAATAGTTACTGCTGTTGTCGGAGATGTTGCATCGATTTTCGGATGTATGATTGGATTTTCTGAATCGACTGTTGCAATCACTTTGGTCGCACTAGGAACTTCCCTTCCAGATACTTTTGCCTCAAAAATTGCTGCTGAAAGTGTTAGTATCAATCAGCAAGATTTCGGTGAATTTCAAAAATCTCTATTTTCTAGGAATCATCTGCTGATAATGCTGTTGGAAATGTGACTGGATCAAACTCTGTCAATGTTTTCCTTGGACTTGGTCTTCCCTGGGTAATTGCTTCAATCTATTGGGCTTCGAAAGGTCAAGAATTCAAAGTTTTCTCAGGAGATTTAGGTATCAGGTAAGTAAGCCCCTAATACTTCATATCAAAAGTTCATCGTTATTTATATGATTGTTATTCTATTATACCTCCCCCCTAGAAAAGTGTTGTGTTTTTGCCCTTTCGTAATTAATTAATTAAATATACGTCATCATCTCTCGTATTTTTTTTGCAGTGTCGCTGTCTTCATGATTTGCTCTGTACTCTTCCTATCGGTTCTTGTGCTCCGGAGAAAGTTGAAGATTTTCGGACGAGGTGAACTTGGTGGACCGTTTGGACCAAAAATCTTGTCTGGGCTATTTTTCATTGCACTCTGGGTGGTTTATGTAGCAGTATCTATCTATAACTTCAAGAAACAAGCATAATAAATAAGGTCTTTAAAATACAAATTTTATGAACAAATAAACAAATTTTAAAAAAATTCTCGACCACGGCAGGATTCGAACCTACAATCTTCTGCTCCGTAGGCAGACGCGTTATCCATTGCGCCACGCGGCCCGGCGAAAACCCAAGGGTCAAATGAGTACACATGAACGAAGAAAAAATGAGAGATACAACTAGTTTGTTTTTTCACAATCAGTGGTTTTTTGAAAAAATTCAGCTGATTTTTGAGTTTTTGGCATCAAAACACATCCCCGTTGGAAAATACCCAATGATTATTGTTTCGCATAATTGTTTCGGAAATTTGAAGAATTTCAAAAATGTATCTCTTTTTTGTCTCATTTCTCTCTATCTCATTATGCTAATATTCGAGGTATGCGCGCCGCCGTTTTTGTTTGATCAAAAGCGAGAATTGGAATTCAGACAGATATTTATTAAGTTCCCCAAACAATTTCCTCCTCGAGAACTACACAGTGATCAGTTTAACATTTGACAACAAATTACAGTTTTGTGTTGATTTGTTTGTTCATCAAACAACTTGAAAGTCTCGTGTTTTCTCACATTTTCATCATTTCCAATCATTTATTCTCAAACTTGATCGACTTCCGATGATTCATAGATTTTATCACATTGGATAAACATTTCTTTTCCCTTTTCTTTCTCGTTGGGTTTCAAAGATGATATCACAAAAATCAAATATTTTTGCAACCGATTTCAGCTGCTTTTTTACAAACTCAAATATCAGTCGAGTTTCAGTGTCCATCCTGCAAATATCAGGCTATTTTTTGATCGCTGAAAATAGACGGAAGTTCTGACTGAATCAGGAACAAAAATCACCTCGATAAGGTTGTGTTTTGGAAAGATCACAAGGTTTGCAGACTTCAGAAAATTCAGAGAACTCTTGTTAGAAGTACAATAATATAGGATTGAGAACAGTTGATGAGTTTTTAATGAAACATATTTCAAAGAAATTTAGAAGCGGGAAGGAATAAACATCGAAGAGCACTACAGTATTATATGTGTGCATTTGTGTGTCATGGTGTTTGCGTCAGTTCTCTGAGCTGACCTTTGAAAATCTAAGCCGATAATCTACACATTTCTGAATATTTAGCAAATGCGCTCTGATGATAAAAATTGTGTTTATATTTTCATTTCAAAAATTTCTTCCCCAACACCCCTGAAACCCCTACCAGACAAAATTCAAATTGTAAGATCCCTTTTTGATCTCCGGGCATTAAAATGTTGCACTCTACGAAAAAATCAGATGTTGCTCGTAAGCTCCAAAAATATCAAAAACCGTTTCTTCCTGAAAATATCGAGCTCAAAAATAGACACGATTTCGTGGAAAATGCGCTGTGCAAAACTTTACAATTCCACCTGTCAATTTTCAACATTGTTTCTTCTCTCTATGTATCCTGATTTTTTCGTCGTCATCGAGAGAAAAAACACAGTGAGTGAGTAGCGAGTATCCAGAAAAAAAAACACCTTTTGTGCAGCCAGCGGAGGAGGTGTTGACCAAGAACATCTGTCCATCGAGAATTTGGAGAAAGCAGTAGGAAAAGAAGAAGTTAGTGGGAAAATGTGACGTGTGACGACGTAATTGAAATAATGAATTGACGGGTGTATTTTTAAAGCGAGCCAGGAAGTTCGAAGCTGCTTTTTTAGGTCAAGTGACGTGTGATGTGAGCAAAATGTTGCCATTTTTCAAATTTAGACGAAATTGAGAAATACTCACTTGTAACATTTCCAATGATGAAACGGATCAGATGATAGATTCAAAATTATCTGAAACTACTATAAGCTTACTGAAAGCGCAGTTTCAAACTGTTTGCACACTACATCGTACCGTAGTGATTTTTCAGCTTGTCGTTTGTCTGAAGATATTTTTCAGTAAGACTTGCCTAAATGAAAATTTGTTTTGAATTCGCGACCATCGTACAACAAATGCGCTCTGTTGATAAAGCCTCATTTTTCAGAAATTTTCAAAGTTTCTCGTGGCCGAGCTCCTCAAAATTCTTCTTCCACTTCCTGATTCTGTTCGAGTATCAAATCCTATATTTTACGTCACGAAAAAAATTGTCAAAAAATAATACCAATTGTTCTATTGTCAATTGTCTCCATTTTTGCAGTCTTCACTAAAAAAAAAAGTTTTTTTTTGATTCCTGAAATTATTTTTAGATTTTTCGGTTTGATCACTTGAAAAGTCGTGGATTTCAAAGAATTTCAGATTAGCTTAAACAAAATCCAAAGCCGGAACACAACTTTTTTGTTTTTTTTTTGTTGAATGAATGAATGAATAAATATTGGGGGTGGATGCAAAATACAATAGAAAAGGATTTTGATAAAAATATTATTAATAATATATTATTATCTGAAATTTTTTGTAGTTTGGTAAAAGAAAGGTTCTCGAGAATGGCTGGGAATTTATAGCTTCATTGAGAATTCAGACCTGATTTGATTTTTGGTGGTATTTTGGATTAGAAGATTTTTAAAATACGTAACTGGATGTTTTTTGTAGCTACCATTCAGCAAAATCATATTTTTCTAGGCAAACAAAAAATTGATTAATCATCCTCGTCACTGAACTTTAATTTACAACCAAAAACTGGCAGATGCAATTTCTCGAGAAAAAAAACGATCATAGATGAGATCTGCTTGATTTTGCTAATCTTGAAATGTTTTTTGTTCTTTTTTCAGTTGTTTGTTGCCAACATTTTTGCGACTTCAAAAAAGTCATTTTTAATTTTAGGGTTTGAAAAATGCAAAGTTGAAGAGAATAAAAATTTTGTGTATGTCTACTGAAATGGCACTGGAAGGAAAGGGAGATTTGGAAAGGGCGAGAAAATTAGAAAAATTATAGAGTTTTGAAGTTTTGGGGTGACTGGAAGGAATCGGGTTTGAGTCGAAAAGAAGAAAATATGTTTTGAACATTGAATTTCGAAATTTTTAAACCGAAAGGAAATAATTTTTAGGCTTAAAATTTAGAAATTGATGCAAAATCCAGAGAAAAAATAATTAATACTCTAGATTTTGAAAGCATCGAACTCCAAAACCAACTAGATTTTTTCGATTTCCCGATTTTTCGTCACAATCTCCGTCAATTATTTCCGACTACAAATTTTTGTGAAGCCCCACTACAAAATCATATTTCTAAAAGAATATCTTCCAAAAATTCTCTATTTTCTACAGTACCCCCACATCCTCTTCCCTACATTTTTCTCAATGTCTCCACCTCCTTCCGCGCGCGTTTCGCCTTCGAAAAAAAAATGGGCGGAGTCTCGCTATATATAAATATAATATATAAATAACGCCCATAGTGTGCCCTTTCAATCATTCTTCTATTCTGAAAAGCTCCCTTGGATATGTTCCGATTTTCCCACATTTTTGTAATTATTTTATTAATTACTTCTTTTTGCCTATTAATTGATGCTCGAATTGTTGAGCAAGAACAACAACAACAAGAAGTTGAAGAGGAAAAATGCGATTCTCATCAAAATGAGGCTGTTGGTGAAGTTATGGAGAGGATATGTATTATGTGCCATGAATTACATTCACATTCCAGACCAAATATGCGTGTTGAATGCAGGTAATTAATTAATTAATCACCTAATTATTTAATTAATTGAAATTTCAATTTTTGCAGAGCCAAATGTTTTACCACTGATACATTTCGAGAATGCGTCAAACTTTTCTCACCAAGAAGACACAATCGACACGATCGCAATTTCCGAACAAATTGACTTATGTAATCATTTTTAACTAATTAATTAATTAATTATTTTGCCCCCCTCAAGTGCCTGATTTCACGAGTTGCCCAGAATCTCGAAAATATTCACGGGTTTTTTGTTTATTTATTTTTAAATACCCTATTTTTTAAAAATTATTAAAATATAGTTTGTTTTGATTTGTTTTAGATGTTTCTACCGGTTTTCCTGATTTTCGTGATATATGTATTTATTTGGAATCGATCTCTCTAAATGAACAATTTTTTCAACATCAGGTGTCTCGAATCATTTTTTTGTTCGTATTATATGTGTGTATTCTTGTAAATAGTTCTGCAAAAATGCCAAAAACAACATTTTTCGTAGTAATTTCGTTGATTTCACCGTACTGCAGGTGATAATTTTTGGACGATTGAGTGTGTGACTAAACGTCTGCGTGCGTGAAAATGAGTTTTCTGGCTGGATTTTTTGTTACATCATGAGTCAATCTCAAAGTTAGGCTATGTTATAGTTCGGTTGGTTAAATAATAAGAGAAGAAGTTCAAGAATTATTTAATTTTGATACTTGGTCTTTAGAATTAATTGAATTTTTGCACAAACTTTAATTTACACTTTATTTGAATTGTTTACCAAGTCCTTTGCCACTAAAAATTCAAACTTCAAAAAAAAGAGAGTGACTTCTTTCTTGAAAAAGCTTCTACAATTTTTTTTCAAACAATTAAAATTTTCTCAATTTTTGAGTGTTTGTTTTAGTTAACACTGTAAATTATTTGTACCCAGTCAAAACTAATTTTCCCCGAAAACGCGATATATTTTTTTTTCAAAAAATTCACCTGAAATCCATCTAAGACTTAGACTAAATCCGGAAATTCTTCAAAATGTCCAAAAACTCATCTCTTATCTTTGATTTCAAGTCGGATGATTTTGACTTCCTGATCTGCTTTAATTAATCCGTTGTCCAAAAACTTCTCGAAAATTTCAAAAAAAAAATTTTATTCATCAATTGGGATTTTCCAAATATTCGCGGAGCTCCATTTTCAGCGATCTGAATAATTAAATTTTTTCCAAGAAACTATGTGACGAATTTTGAATTTTCTTCGCAAGTAAAAACATTGAGACATGATGAAACATGAGCAAAAAATGCACCTGTTGATCGTCAAAAACAACACGAAAAAAAACCAGAAAAATCCTCCTACCCTGCTATTTTCAGTGCACTTTCCAACGAAATCAAACATTTAATTTTGGGTTGATCGAGATTTGAAAGACTGGCTGTTGATAGAAGACCCATTGAGCTGAGCGATGAGATCTGCAAAACCAAAAAACATCAAAATTTGTGTTGAGTTTCGCAGTGTTTTTTTCTATTTTTAATTTATTTTATGTATATCAGATTATTCCGAAAAATAGGAATTTTGAAGAAGAATTTCGGAGAATAAACAAGAAAAGCACCAAAATATGACTAATAAGGATGAAAAATGGAAAAATAAGAGGTTTGACAAGAATTTTGAAATTGAAAAAATTGCAAATTTCTGGACTGCAAAAATAAGATTACTAGATTTAGGCCTAATGTTAGCCCAAAAAAACAGTGGTTTTTAGGATTGGGCCCATTTTTAGGCTGAGAGGCTTTCAATGAATCAGTCCAAACTTCGAAATTTTGATTTATCAGGCCAAATTTCAATGATAGCCTCAACTTCGAAATCCATACCCTAAAATAGAAAAGTTTCAAATTTTCAAACATCAAACTATTTTTTTTTCATTTCCAAATTTTTTCGGGAAATCCAAACTTATGCATAATCTTTGCGCAACCGGATATTTATACCTCCTACACTTTCCGTTTCATTTTCGTGGAAAAAAATTTTTGGAGTGTTTTGTGGAGCTTTTTTCCAACCAAAAAACGTGACTTTTTTGGGAAGTACACAATTTTTTTTGGTTTGCAGGCAGAACAGCAAAATACAACAAAAAATATGACGTGGTTTTTAATTTTCTTTTATTTACAGGATCCAGGAGGTTCGGACCAAAAATGATAGATTATGAAAAACAAAAAAACTGACATATTTTTTTGGAAATAATTTTTTTGTTCGAGAAAATAGAATGCTACAAATTTGGTTATTTTTGGATTTGGGGGGATTCAGGAACTTTTTTTGGAGCAAGATTGTTGAGGCATGAAAAAGTGCACGTCAGGTTAAAGAGAAATTCTTGGAAACGGAAAGGTTGAGGGATTTTTTCGGTCATTGAAAACGAAAATCAGAAAAAAAAACTTGCCACATTTTTAACATCAAATCCACGAATCGATCGATCATTGTGAAGAATCACAAGACTTTCATAAATACAAACAATTCGTTGTAAATCGGCTGCTTTTGGTTCGAGATCCCTCAATTGACGATTGACTTCCGCGCGAAGCTCTTTTTGTTCAGAACGTTTGTCTCGACCGTGATTCTGTAAAATTTTGAGAATTATTTTCAGAAAAACATTAATTTGATGAAAATCTCAATTAAAACTACAAATATCTGTGAAATTTACGAAACTCGCGCCGAAGGTTTTGGTTTTCAACAGCGACAAACCTTCACAAAAAATCTGCGATCAGTGAGTGCTGAATTGTTGCTTGCACAATAAGCCGCAACCAATAGATATCTCATTGAAGTTGGCATTGATTCGAAGCTATGAATTATATCCGAAGATGTTGTCGATTCTTGATTTTTATTGCAAAGCAATCCCAATTTATAATCCGCCGCCTTTTTTATACAATCACCAGCTCGATTTGCTTCAAATTTTTCTCTTTCTCCATAATTGGAAAATGCAGTTGAGATAATTTGAAGAATTGTATTTGGTGATTTACAATGCGCAAAAAGTAAATCAACAGCAAATCGGATAAATTGTTTAGGAACATTTGGCAAAGCATTTGAGATGAGTTGCGAGCATTGTTCAACGTTTGGTGATTTTATGTGAAAATGAGGAATTGGTGAGTGACCGATTGCAATATTTGTTTGATAAGTTATCCATTCAGATGGAGCTGATGTGACAAATCGAACTGTCATGTTAGATATCTTGAAAATGTCAATATTGTTTATGTTATATTCAAAAGTTTAAAATTTTACTTTTCAAAAGACTCACACATTTGTAAGAATTGAAAAAGCAGCGTAAAATTGGCGATGAAAAATTGACAACGGCTTGCGCGTTGTCTAAAAATATCAAAACTTTTCTCCTCTTCGGATTCGGCCACTCTACAGATTCATATAAATTACAGAAAAATTCTTCGATTTTATCGCCGCGAGTTTTGAAATTCATATCTTTGGCGAGAGATTCAAGCAAAAGTTTCATGTTTCCGTCGGCGTATAGGAAATCACCAGCAGTGCAAATCCAACTTTCGTCTGATTCTCGAATAATTTGTCTGATTATTTCACTTCGACCACTTCCATTTTCTCCAAAAACATGAACATGTCCGATTGATTTTGAATCATTGAATAGCAAGGCACGTAGGCGTATTATGTCTTGTGAGTCCATCTGCAAGAAAAACGACGTGAATTCGGTTTGTAAAAGCAAAAACGAGAAAAACAAGAAAACAAACCAAACAAAATAATCCATTTCAAATTTAGCGGGTTGGCATTGGAGCGCGAAACACACAGTTTTGTTGAAATTTACGGTAAACAACAGGCACATCGGAGTGTTGTTTGTACTTTCTTGAGAAAAAATAATTATTTTCAGATCAGGCTAAAAAAATGATGAAATTTTCAGATTGATGATGTCAACTGAAAAATTGACAGGAAAATAGGTAGTAAAAATATGGAAATGAAAAAAAAATGATCCAAACTGTTTCTTTTTTCAAACACGTAAAAATTACGTGGCAACCTGAATTTTTCTCATTTTTTAAAAATATATTTATTCTTCCTCGAAAAAATGATTGATTCTGGTGAGACATCTCCAAATTTCACACATATAACCTAATATCACTTTCAGATGATTTGGTAACAGCTGTCGAACCAACAAGAGTTATCGAATATCAACGAGCTCTTCAAATTCGCATAAAACAGCGCTATAATTGTCCGGAAATTCCGATTTTGACACTTCGCGCGCCATTTGTCGGATTTTCAGCATATGTGCGATTTCAGAGTCGCGCCCGGATTCATACGGTTGAGATTTTGGATAAGCGAGGTGATTTATTTAATTTGCAGACATTTTTTTTGTCCTGGGACTTTTTTTGATGTAGCTTAAAATTTATAAAATCCATAGGCGGAGTCTGAAAGTCTGTGCCTAATCCGGTCCGGGTTATCCAAACGACCTTTCTTTTAAACATATATTCAATTTTCCAGATATCGATCGACTTCTCAATGCAACACCGGTTTGAACCAAAATATGATGAAAAACAAAAATTAATTAAATTTTGAAAATAAAGTGACCCGTCAGGGTCATTCTTGTATGACGCATAATAGTTTAATAAAGTTCGCTGAAAATATTACACTTTTTCGAAATTATTTTGAAGCATCTTACGGTTTTCTCGTTTTGTGTAATATTTTGACATTTGGAACTGCCCTTGAGATGACCACTACAAAAACAGAGTGTTGTTTCAGTAATTTTCAAAATTTGAAAAAATGAAATCAATTTGCTATTTGGTATTTCTGATTGTTCCAACTTCCACTTTCCTTCTTGAAGGATTGGGTCTAGGTTTGCCGCGTCAACAATGTTGTTGTCCACCTTTACCACCACCACCTCCACCGTGTGGGGGAGGAGGCGGTGAATATGTGGGAAATTATGAGGGACCCCCACCACCACCACCATATGCAACTGGATATCCAGGTCCATACAAACATAGACAAAAGAGGTATAGTAGTTTTTAATTTTGAAAATCATTCCGTTTCGAAATGAATAACCTTTTCAGATCTACCAAACCAGCGAACCTTGAAGCATCTAGCGGCGATCTTTTCTGTAATAGTGTTCAAGTTCGAGATATTATCAAACAAGGAATGAATAATGATGAGAAGACATCAAGAGAAACCATCACAACTTTGTTGAAAACTCAACTTGAGCGAGAATATGTTGTGATTTGCTCGAAAAATCATTTCGATTTTTTGGCTTCAACTGATTCGGAATTCTGCTCGGTTACAAAGGAAGGATTGACTTGCTCTACATTTGTTTTCTAAATTTGATTTGTCTATTTTTGAAGATCTCAGGGATTGTGAATAAACCTTTTTTTCGAGAAACTTTGCAAAAAGTTTAGTGTGTGGCTACTGTAGCTTATAATGTGCACATGAAAAGATCCCGTTCTATATGTCTGCTTTCTGACACAAATATTTTTTCATTCTGATTTTCTTCTTATTCTTTCATTTACATATACATGATTATTTTCTTCTAATTGTAAATCGAACCATTTCCACCTGTGAAAACAAATGCATGTATGTTATGGTGGAAAAAAGTTCAACCAAAAAATATTAAAATTTTAACAATCGCAAATAATAGTTCAAATGTTGTTTCGGGATATAGTTGATTTTTGATTGTTGGTTGATTGATGATTTTTGATTCACATCAGAATTGTGATTTTTTATACTTCAGGAAAAAAATTGGAAAATAAATATTTTTATCAAGTTCAAGTTTGATATCTTAAAAATTATAACAGTTCAGACAGACAATTTAGAGTGCGTCGTTTCGATGAAAACTGCATTATTTTACTCTACACACGTCAGATACAAATCTACTGGTTTTTGGTCCTCTTAGACATAATAATTAAACATGTGTAACAAGAAATCTGCAGGTGAAACATGGATTTCATATCAGAAACAATCAGAACTAAGAATTTTGTAGCTCAAATGAACACCTACTTTTCTCGCTGTTCCCACCAAAAAACATTTTTCGAATCTGAAGAAATTGTTCCTCATTTTCTTCATATTTTTTCGATTATAACTTATCCATTGGCTATTTATTCATTTTATCTTATCATAAAAGTTACTCCTCAAAATATGAAAAATATAAAAAATGTCATGATTTTTCTGCATATAAAGTACGTAGGTGTTAAACATTTTCATATAATACAAATGTTTTCTAGTGCACTTATTGTTGATTTGTTATTGGATTTTTTTGTGATCCCAATTTTATATTTCCCAATTCCTGGAATGCATTTACTTGGTATTTTTTCTTGGCTGGGCTTGCCTGGAAGTATTGTCCTTCTAATAGGACAAGGCGCAGTTTTCTGTAAGTTTGCAAAATTAAGACACATTTTTAAGAGCCAATAATTCTATCAGCTTTATGGATGTCAGTAATTGCTGTGTTCCAAAATCGTCATAGTTATGTAGCATCTATAAAATATAAATTCATCAAAAAAAGATCCATGATTTTATATTATTTTCTATGTTACTTGTTTGGTTTTGCCGCTCTGAGTACATATTCGTTTGATGGTACTAAGGATTTAGATAAAAAAGTCTATTTACTAGAAACAAGTCCATATAAATGTCCACCGATTGAATACTTTGATGAGAATACTTGGTTGTTATCTGGTAAAATTGCTCATGTTACTATTATTGTGGCAACAATGACTGCTCTCATAATAATCAATTCATTTTATTTTGTATTAACATCTGCTTATCATTTAACTATGGTATCAACAACATCAATTTCAAAAAGAACTAAAAATTTACAATTGAAATTTTTGACCGCACTAATTATTCAAATTTGTATTCCACTGGTTGTTTTAGCATTTCCTGTTCTTGCAATGTGTTTTATTCTTTTGTGGGGAATAATCAATCAAAATGTTAATCATTTATTGATAATTATAAGTGGAACACATGGAATTTTGACAAGTTTGTCTCTAATTCTCATTCACAAACCATACAGACATCATGCTTTGAAAGTTATCAAATGCAAACGGGAAAAAGTCAAATCAAGTAATTCTGTGAAGATCATTTTAAATTCCAATGTCAAAGAAATATCAGAAAGCCGAGTTCGATAGGACTGTATTTATCGTTTTTCAAAACACGTTATCACTCGAATGAAAGCTTTTTGTAAAAATGTTGAAATCATAATATGATAATAAAAAATGGGACAAGCATGTGTTATTATTTTTAGCATTCATTTTTAGCTTCATAATAATCAATTCATTTTATTTTGTATTAACAATATTATCAGGAAAAAGTAACTCCATAAACATGGCAGCTGAAATAATTGCATTATTATTTTTATTGCGAGAAAAATGAATTCAACAAAATGTGTGGTAAATTTCTCATTTTTCGAAACAAAAGAAGTTGTCAGATATTTTCTACATGTTTTTTCGATTATAACTTATCCATTGAATATTTATTCATTTTATTTGATTGTCAAAGTTACTCCAGCAAATGTGAAAAATGTGAAAAATGTTATGATATTTCTACATGCAAAGTACTTAAACTTTTGTTTTATTCGATGGTTTTTGGGAATTTCAAGATGAAGCCTAAGAAAAAAACCAAACTCTACCAAATTCCCAAATTTTCAGCACCCTTCTTATCGATTTTCTAATTGATGTTTGTGTAATTCCAATTCCCTACTTCCCACTTCCTGCAATTCATATGTTTGGATTATTGCCGTGGCTTGGAGTTCCTATAAGTATTATTCTATATTTTGGTCAATTATCAGTCTATTGTAAATCCCAAGTTTTTCAAAAATAAAAAACAAGTTGTTTTCAGCATTAGCCATTTCAATTGTCGCAGTTTATCAGAATCGACATAGTGCAATAAGCACAATAAAATATAGAATAACTGAAAGAAAATCGCTTTTTGTTTATTATTTTCTGTTATATTCAATTGGTGCAGCGGGTTTTGCATATTATTCTTTCGATGGAAATTATGAAATAACATTGAAATTAGACCTCATTGAGAAAAGTTCATATAAATGCCCACCGACAGAGTTTTTCAGTGAAAATACTTTTACAACTGATAAAAACAAAACAATAATAAGTATGATTGTGGCATTTATAGCCGTTTTTGATTTATCTCAATTATTATTTTTTGGGCTAATGACTGCGTATCATCTAGTTTTGGTTCCATCTGTTACAGTTTCTGAGAAAACTCGGGCTCTACAATTGAAATTTCTGATAGCGCTGAGCATTCAAATCATAATTCCATTTATGGTTTTATTGCTACCAGTTTTAGTTATGTGCGCAATTGTGATTATTGGAATCGTAAATCAAATAATCAATAATTTCTGTATAATTATAATTGGAACTCATGGGATTTTGACTAGTTTATCACTAATTATAATCCATGAACCATTCCGTAAACACGCTAAAAATATAATCTTTTTTTGGAAAAAATCTCAAAATCCTCCAATTGTACCAATTGTACCAAGAACACATTCAATGATAAGCTCAAATACAATTGTGCCAGTGTGAAAAAAATTAGAAAAACAAAACAAAAAATTATTCTCATTTCTCAAGTTTGTATATTCATTATTATTATTATTATTTTTCTCACAAGTATGCTTCACCAAAAAATCTATTGTTTTCAGCATTTTGTTGTTTTGTGCATAAAGCATATTTTTTGTGCTTCGTCGTTTTTTTTCGTACAAAAAATAGTCATAAATTCGTGTGTTTGTAAGAAAAATCGAGTAATCTATCTTGTCCGCAAGAGAGACTCGCATATCCAAATTTTAATTTATTTCTTTTTTTTTTGTTGTTTTTTTTCGAGTCAGTTATCTACTCTACTCTAAATCTTTTGTTTTTTTTGTTTTCAAGTGGGAAGGTGGTCCGCCTTTTTTCTTCTTTTTTATAATAAAGAGTTAAACAAATAGGTCCCATCTTATATATTCGGGACCATATATATTTACTTTAGATCACTATTGTTTTATTTTTTGACTGACACCTTTTCTTTTTGTGACGTTCTTGTTTTGTTTGGAAGGATGAGTTACCTTATTAAGGTCATCATTTTTCGAGATTTTTTGAAAATATGTATGTTTTACTTTAAAAATTGAGTTTGAAATTTGGAATGTTCACGGCTCGATTAATAAATTCAAATTAGTTTTAATTGAGCATTTTTAATTGCAAAATTGTACTCGTTGTATTTATATAACCTTCTTGGAGCTAAATTTTAAAAAATCCGAAAATTGAATATTCTCAATCTAACATTAATAATTCACGTAAACCTATTTAGTCACGTTCATTTTCCATTTTGATTTAAATTCTTCATTTCTAAAAAAAACCTCCAAAAAATCTCACTCTTTGTTGTTGTTGTCTCATTTTCGAGACATGTTCTTCTCAAAAATGAAATCCCTTTGGGAAAACTTGCCCCCCTAAACAGTCTAACTCTGATTTCGAGTTTTTTGTTTTTCTCCAATTTTTTCTGGGAACTTTTTTATGCCAATTATTTTTAGTTTCATATTTCAAATTCTCATGTCGCACTTTTTTCCAAAGCAAAAAAATGAAAAAAAAAATAAAAATTATTTTTGCTTTTTCTCGCTTCAATTCAAGTATATCTAATATGACTAACAAAGGCACTCAAGAGGATAAAAAAACGAGAAAAGTTTCGCTTTTTTGTGCATTTTTTTGAAGAAAAAAAAATAATATTCATATTTGTATTCAGCTTTTTTTTTCGAAATACTTTCTGTAAGTCGTTTTTTGGAGAGACAAAAGATTCAGGAAAAACAAATAAAGTTGACATAATCATTAATGATGGTGTTTGAGAGAAAAAAGGAGAATTGAAGAGGGATGGGGGTTATTTTCTTGATATCTGGTTCATTTCTTGAAAAAAATAAATTTGAATTGTTTTGAAAGTTCTTTCTTTGGTTTCTGGTTATGAATTTTTGCTCAAATTTTCTCAAAACCCCAAAAAACTCACATTTCCTCCAGTTTTCCTCGAAATTCAGAATAATTTGATCAAAATTTTCCTCGCTAATTCTTCCGATATTTCCACCATTGTTCTGACGATTTTCCTGTAATGTAGAAATTAGTAAAATCTATATAAAGTACACCAAAAGTAAGAAAAATTCAAGAAAATACATTTTTCCATAAAATATCTTTTTTAGCTCCAGTTTTTGTATAAAACTATTGAAAATCAACTAAAATTATGTTATTTGTACTAGGAAAAAAGATATTTATGAATTTAGCAACAAGTTTCATTCAAATTCACGAAAAAACAACAAAAAAAAACGCGAATGAAACATTTTCGAAAAACAAAAACGAGAAAATAAAAGTAAAAATGGAAGTGCGCCCTATTGATAAAAATTGCATACCTTGCGCTCTTTCAAAAATGTGTGTGTTTCTTTTTATTTTTTGTGGATAACTTTGATTATCAATTTTTGTAGTTTCTAACTACAATTTTTTAAAAAATTGGTTTTCAAAAATTTCGAAGAGTTTTCTAAAATTCCCTCAATTTTTCATTTCCTCAAAAAAATTCTGAATTTTTTCCGAATTCCATTTGACTTTCTCTCTTTCTCTAATTTTCCAATTTTTTTCTCAAACAAGAACGAAAGCAAAAAAAAATAATTGTTGGTGTTTTTTGAGTGTATAAAAAGACGGTTGATTGGCATCTGAAAAAATAAGAAAAAGAAAAAAAGAATGTATTTAGTATCTATTAGAATTGCAGTAAATAACATATTTTATTTCCTCCTGGATTTTTTTGCTTTCGAAAAATAACTTTATTCAAAATTGCACTCTTTATATTATTATTTTTATTACGAAAATTACTTAGCTCACAGCTTCTATTCATTTATTTTTGGCCTCCCTCAATTTTTGGGGGCGTGGCCTAAATGTTCTTTCTATTCTTATTCTTCCATCAGCCTTTCTGAGCTTTTTCATTTTTTATTATTTATTTATTTTTTATTTGAAACACTACAATTATTCATGAGATTTTTTCAAGTTTTTTTTTCTCTTTTATTTTTTCTTCAAAAAAAAGTCACACTCTATAATTATTTCCAACTCCCACATAAATCTTTCTTTTGAGTACAAGTACAAAAAGAACAATTTCCGGTGCCTCGAGTTGTACATTGTTGTGGAGCCCACACAGAAAAAATTCCGGAGAGCACAAATTTTTTATATGTCATTTCCACACACACTTTTTTTCCCCATTTATTTATTACTATTTTATGTACTACTGATGAGTTTTTTATTTCATCTCATCTCATTTTTTTTTGTTTCAGAAAGACATAGTCATGAAAAGAATATTTCTGATATTCTGGACTTTGTTTTTGGGGGTCAATTCGATTGCCAAATTTCAAGTGGCCACAGTTACTGACAGTTCTTTAGTGATAAAAATGGTGGAGGCTGCAAATGTGACAAGTTTTGATATCACTGTTAATATTTTTGATTTGGCGAAACAGAATTTATTCCGGAAGACGCAGTTGGAACATGTAACTAATGATCAGGTAAATGGGAATTTTTTGGAAGAGGGTGTTTTATATTATGACTGAAACAACCTGGAAGGGTCTATACCGAAAAACCTCATTCCAGTTGCTTCATCTTAAAAATCCTAACCCCAAAAATCCTGACTCATAAAAAGATCTCTCATTTTTTGAACATTTTTTTCCTCCAAAGTACATATTATTTCACACACGCCTAATTTATTCAATATAATTTTGAAGTGCTCCAAACTCTAGATATATTACGAAAAAAACGCGTTTTCCTCATCATCAAAATCGAGACAAACTGAATGAACAAAAATAGAAATCAGATTAAAATCAAGCCCAACAAAAAGTCATTTCTTAATTGTCGCTAATTTTTTGTTGGAAACATTTGCGCACATGTTTTATTTGTGTTAGGACTAAAGTGTTCGATTTCATTTCCCAAACATTATTTGTTCCATCTCCTCTTTCCCCTTTTTTCGTGGTCCCTTTTAACACATTTTGTCTTCCGGAATTTACATTTCATGGGGACCTTTTTTGGAAAAAATGGGAAAAGAGGTGGTGAACTACGGCTTCTAGCTCTATTCAAGGTTGATGTCTGCCTAACACTAGGTTCCTTCTTTGAGTAAAAAGCGGCATTTACAAACACATACAACAAAACAAAAAAATGTAATTATGAAACACACGTGTCAATTGGCGGATTAGTATGCATATTTAAATATTTAGTCAAGTGGCATAAGGAACATATAATTGTTTTTCGGACCACACAATAAGAACATATGTATTTTACAGCTACTTGCCTTTGATGGATTAAAACCCGATACATGGTTTGCGATTCGAATTGAATATCGATTGAATTTTATGGATAACAGTGAGATTACCAAGCAGGTGGGGTTTAGTAGAAAATAAAACAATTACATTTTAAAAATTTTCTGGAAAGTCTGATTTTTTCAGGAAATGGTAATAAAAACCAAAAAATCCACCCGAGAAGATCCAAAAAATATCGAACAAATGGTCGCACACATCGATGATTTATTTGTGTCGAAAGATAGTATTTATATTGGAGTTGCTTCGGTTTTCAAAGAAATTAAAAAGGTTCGAGTTTCATTTCGAATAAATATGAATTAATTAATATTTCAATTTCAATTTCATTTCTCCTGCTCAAGAGGAAGGAGAGAAAAGACATTATTACATTTTCAAACATAAATGTATTTTTTTAGATATCTACTGTTATTGTTCCTGAACTTCGTTGTGAAAATCGAATTCTGAATCCGGTTTCTCAACAAATTATTCAACATGTTTCTTTTCACTTCGATTTATCGAAATTGCCAAAAGACGAGAGGAAGTGTAATATGGTAAATGTTTTAAAGTTATGTTAACTAATTCATTAATTTTTTTTTCAGATTTGTATGTTTCCTTATCTTCGAGTTTTGATAATTGATAACGGAGTTACGGAAACTTTTCGAGCTCAAGAATGGTGTGGAAGTGTGGAAGAAGCTCGACATCTTCTAATAAAATCATCAAATTTACAATTTTCAAGTTTAATAATTTCAATTTTATTATCATTATCAATTCTAGTCTAGTCAAAATTATTCAAATTTTATTTTATTTTTTTGTAAATAGGCACAAATTTTCCAAATCTCACGGGTTCTGTTAAATAAAGTTCAATTTCTTTCCAACTTTTGCGAAAGCATCGATTAATTGATCAATTTGTTGTTTCGAATGAGCAGCGCTGATTTGCACGCGAATTCGAGCTTTGCCACGTGGCACAACTGGGAATGAGAAACCTATGACGTAAATTCCGAGTTTGAGTAGTTCTTCAGCCATGGTGGAGGCCAATCTAAAAAATTGAGGGGAATTTTTTTAGATTCAGATTTTTCATTTCAGTTCTCCCGAACTCACTTTGCATCACCAAGCAGAACTGGACAAATTGGATGAGTTGGATCATTTCCCAAAACCACGAATCCATTTTCCTTCATACTATTTCTAAAATGAGCAACATTTGATTGAAGAGATCCAATAAAAGATGGATCATTCATAAGAAGATCAAAAACTTTGATGCTACTTCCAACAATACTTGGAGCCAATGAATTCGAGAATAAATATGGTCTTGATCGTTGTCTCAATAAATCGATAAGTGGTTTTGGACCAGTTGTATATCCTCCCATTGAACCACCCAATGCTTTTCCGAGTGTTGAATTTATCACATCTGGTTTTCCACCGACAGCTTCTGCAGTTCCTCGTCCAGTTGGTCCAAAGAAACCAGTTGCATGACATTCATCAATAAATAATAAGGCGTTATGTTTTTTGGCAAGTTCTGAGATTTTATCCAATGGTGCAACATCGCCATCCATTGAAAATACACCATCAGTTACGATAAGTCGGAAACGGGAACTTGCTGATTCGATAAGCCTGGCTTCCAAATCTTCTAAATCTAGATGTTTATATCGCAAACGTTGTGCTTTGCTGAGTCGAATTCCATCGATTATTGAAGCATGATTCAATTCGTCAGAGATGATAGTGTCTTTTTCACCTGAAATTTTTTATTGGTGTTGGAAAAATGGAAAATTCACTCCCTTTCTCTATTCAAAATTACCTGTCATAACTTCAAAAACACCTCCATTTGCATCAAAACAAGCTGCATACAAAATGGCATCTTCAGTTCCATGAAACTTCGCAATTTTGGCCTCCAACTCCTTATGAATATCTTGAGTTCCACAAATAAATCTAACCGAAGAAAGTCCAGCTCCATGAGTCTCCAATGCTTTTTTTCCAGCTTCAATAACTTCCGGATGACTACTCAAACCCAAATAATTATTCGCGCAAAAATTAATGACTGGTTTATCAACACCTGAAACTTTTACAAGAACTCCTTGTTTTCCCTCAATAACTCGCTCGTTTTTAAATGTTCCGGCGTTCTGAAAAAGTGATTTTTTTTTTCTTAAATTAATTTTATTTTTAAAAAGTGAAAAGTTACCTTAATTCCGGCTAGCTCATTTTTTAAATGATCAAAATAAATACGCGAGGAAAAAAGTCGACGAGAATTTAGAAACATTTTTGCAACAAAATCGATGATGATTGATATCAATGATTCGCATGGCGCAAAAAAATCTCGTTTTTGAACGTTTGATCTTTTTTAATTGAAATTCAAGGGAGATAAGGGAATTGATGGAAAAGTTTGGAAATTTTCAGAGAAATTCTGAAAAATGATAAATTTTCTTCATGTAAAAGAGAAGTTGCATGCGAATAGTGTTTTTGCAAAAACAAAAATTTATGAATCTAGTGAATCAGGTAAACCCAACCTAAACATTAGAAAACGCGAATTCATCAACAATATCTCGATTTTTTGATATTCACATGATGCTTTGTAGTTTATAGAGATCAAGAACGAAGTCTCATCGAAGATCACGTTCAAATTAACAAAATATTTCGTAGTGGGTGGCATGTGAAATTCAACTTGCAAAAATATGTCAAGGAAGGTTGGAAGCAAAATTTTTGAAAAAAAGCTTGAATACTTCAAAACAGGCTTTCTGGAAATCTCAAATTCATTAAAAAACATTGGCCACGGTAACCGAGAAGTATTTCAATTAAAAATTCAACTGAAAAACTTTCGAATTTAAAAATTGATCTTTCTGATACTTACATACACGGTATTTCGTAGTTCATAGTGATCAAATTAACAAAAAAAACAAAATTTTCTACAAAAAATTTGAAAAATTCTAATTTTACACTCATTTAGAACAAAGTTTTTAAAAATCAAAAAAGGCTCGATAACAAAAAAAAACATCATAATTTGTTATGATAAATAACCTGATTCAAAATTTGTACTTCCGAAGTCTTTTTAACAATAAAAATGTTCACGTGAACAATTAATATTTTCTGATTTGCGAAGTACTGTAGTTTGTGTGAACTTTTCGAAAAAAAAGTATATAAAAGCAATATTTTTCATATCTTTTATCGCTTGTATGGCTATAATGAGGTTATTTTTATTATTCTTTGTTGATAAGAATTTCAGCGAAACATAAATTTTTTTGAGGTTTCAAATTCGGAAATAAAATTTTTTTCATATTTTTTTAAATTGTCAAGCAGCAATCTTATCTATCTTGTGATTAAAAATTATGTAGATCATATTTTTTTGTCCACCCCCATAAGTAAATAAATATGGTTAACCTTGCTCTTATCACTTGATAAGTTTTAATGTTTTATTACGATTTCAGGAGAAATGAGCAAAAAAACTATATTAATATTTTTGATCCTAATATTCGCGAGTTGCGCTAACTCTTTGAATATTGTATTTTATATCAATGTGATTGCCCAAACACATGTTTCATTTTTCACAAAATCGATCAATTTGCTATTGAGTCGAGGACATAATATCGTAAGTTTTAAAAAAAGTTCTCAAAAATGTTTCATTCAACAAAAAATTTTCAGGATATTGTTTATGCGAAGTTGAATGATCGTGTAATATTGAAAGATATTACGGGAGTTAAAAATGTATATGAAATTGAATTCGCAGAAAAAAATCATTGGCATAACAATATGGCGTACTTGGGAAATCCATTCATCAAACCCTCCAGACCTTTTTTAGATCTTCCTACTTATGATGGACTTGCGCTGGAATTATGTGATAGTGAGTGAATTATTGATTTTAGAGAATCAAACAATTCTGATAACTTTTTCAGTTGCTGTAAAAGACGACAACCTTCTAAACTTTCTCAAAAAAGGAGAATACGACATTGGAATTTTCAGTGATTATGATCCATGTGCAGCAATTATGATGAGAGCTGCGAATATTCCATCAACTGCAGGTTTGCTTTTCAAACATTCCAATAAACATCAAATTTATTACAGCCTTACTTCCAACTGCAATGTTCCAAAATCATATTTTGAATGCTGGACTTCCTTCACCTTCAAGTATTTATGGCACTACAATTGTTCCAGAAAATGATGGATCGTTTTATGATAAAATGTTTCATTTCATTAAATCTGGTTATAATATTTTCTGGCGACTTCCGAAATTTTATTCTGGATTTGTGAGTTAAAGAGTGACAAAATCCAAAATGTTGTAAAATATTCAGGACTCTCTTACCCGCGCCAAATTTGGAAAAAGTTTTCCATCTACTAAAACAATCGAAGAAGAAGTCGATATTCTATTTGTGAATTCTAATGAAATCATCGAAAGACCTCGTCCGATTTCGCACAAAATTAAATATATTGGTGGAATTGGAGTCCCAAAAGCTAAACCATTGAGCAAAGAAATCGATGAACTGTTGAACACATCTTCAAAAGGAACAGTTATATTCTCATTTGGAACACAAATTCCAACCAAAAGAGTGCCAATTGAGATTCGGAGAAATTTCGTGAAAGCATTCAAAAAGTTTCCGGATTTTTTGTTTTTGTGGAAATATGACAATGTTACTGAAGATCAAGAATTATTCAAAGATGCGAATAATGTGAAGAGAATAGAGTGGTTGCCACAAACTGATTTATTACGTAAGCAATGTTTGATGTGTGAATTTGAATTTTTACCAATAAGAATTCAATCTAACAAAAAGAAGAAAGTTCAATTTTCTGAAATCTCACTTAACTTTTTTTGAAAAAAAAATGATGTGAGTTTTGAACAAATCACGTTTATCAGCGGAATGATAAAAAAATTAATTTTTATGTATTGAACACCGTAAAATATTTTCAACAAGTTTTCTTTCAACAAAAAAACTGATTGTTTCCAGAAGATGAAAGAGTGAAATGTTTCATTAGCCACATGGGAATGAATTCTTTCATTGAAACGTCAATCTTGGGAATTCCCGTGTTATCAATCCCTCTTATCGTTGATCAACAACACAATTCACAAAATGCCCAAAATCGAGAAACTGGAATTATTGTGGATCGAGATTCTTTGACTTCTGAAAATATCGAAAAAGCATTGTCGAAATTGTTATTTGATTCGAAATATATGGAAAACGCGAAGAAGATTGGAAAATTGATGAGAGACAAACCTGAGCAATCTGAGAAGTTGTTCATTGAATGGCTTGAATATGTTGGAAATAACCCAGGGTTCCATAATATTGTGAATCTTCCAAACATTTCTACATTTTTCTATTATTCTGGAGATGTCATTTTATTTGTGTTCAGTTTCATTGTGTTCACAACTTGGTTCCTCTATCGATTTGTATTTTCGAAAATTCGAATTAGTATTTCTTCTTCGAAAAAAATCAAGGATAATTAAAAAATTTTCATTGTTTTTACATAATTTAACCATTTCATAGACTCAATAAATACTTATGTTTTTGAACAAAAAATATAACACGTGTACAAAAGTTTAATCCTCTTCTTTTCATTCAATTTTTTCAACCTGACAATGAATTCAATGACAACTTTTCTATTAATTTCATTAATATGTTTTTCATTTATTATTTGTGATGAATCTCTAACTGCTTACGAATCGATAAAGAATTTGAAAGAATGTTTAGATATGGTTAAGGTAAGTCACGTCGACCCACTAAAGAACAAACTGCTGCAATGGGTGTGAGACAGAATGCATCAAAATGCAAGAAAACTACTGAACCATTTTGAAAACTGATAACATATTCGTGATCAGCGTGTTCAAATCTATGGAAATAAGGAGTTTTATGAATTCTAGTTGAGGTTTTTTCTCGTAGCACTCCGTGGAAAAACTGAAAAACCGTACCCCCATTGCAGCAGTTAGGTCGACGTGAAGTCATGTTCATTTATATGTCTTTCATGAATTGATTTTAGGACCCGAAAAATCGAGAAGTTTGTGCTGGAAAAATGGGACCGGAAAGGGATGAATGTGTACAACAATATACTAAAGTAAGTTGTCAGAACTTTCTAAATAATAAAAAATATATAAATTCAGAAAATGATGCCGAAAATCAATAAATGTGTCGAAAAAAGTCGGAAAAAGACAAAGGCTTTTGCTAGAGATGAGTTATAATTTTTGAAGCGTTTATTTATTTTTAATAAATATTTTGTGTGAAAAAAAATCACGAAAGTCTTGAATATTGTGAAAAAATTTTAATTGAAAATATAATTCACAAAAAACTTCAATCTGTGGAGATTCCAAAAAAATAGAAAAACAATCTCAAAATTTCACAAGTTTCATTCACCCGTTAATAACAATATTATGGCAACATTTGGAAATGGGAAAGAAAATGATAATTTTCAAAAAAAAATGGGAACCGGTAAATATGGCACAGGGAAAAGGAAAGAAAATAAATTGGGGAACATTTTACAAATAATCTCGTTTTGCGGCAACAATTTCAACTCGACTTTTTGGTGGACGTGGAATTGTGTCGAATACCAAACTGTTTCGCATTAATTGTTCAACAGCTAACGCTTTGCCGATTTCGGGATCGATTCTGGAAAACAACACGAATATCATTTTTTTCAACACATATTTCAAAAATACCCACTTTCTCAGCGTCAAATCAGCTTTCGGTGAATTTTGCATTTGCATACTTTGTTGTCTGGCTCGACGACGTTCTTCAATTCTTCTGAAAAATAAGTATTTAATTAGAAATTTGATCTCAGAATTTTAGAAAAGAAAAACCAACTTAGCACTAGTTTCATCAATACATTCAAATGCATCATTATGACATTCAGGTCCATCGATTGGTGTTATAACAGAAAGAATTGGCGGGCGACTCGAGGAGCCTCTGAAAATGGGTTTCAATTATTTTGAGGAAAAACGGAATACATTTTTTTGTATTTCTCATTTTGTTAGTGGTTCACAAGGAAAAGTCATTGTTTCAGAGCTTAAATTTTCAACCTAGATAATTTTCAGCAAATAATCAATATAATTTTTAAAATTATCCAAGATGAAGCTTTAACTCTTTAATTTTCAAACTTTCAAGGTGAACTTCCGGCCCAAAGAAAAAAAACCCACTTTTTGCCTCTTCGACACTTCAGCAAATAAAGCATACAAACCACCAAACACACCAAACCCGCTCCAATAATCAATAAAATCACTGCAATTTCAGTCGTCGCTTCATCGAAATATCGCATTTTTTCATCACCTGCAAAAAACTTGGGTTTCGAAAATTTTGGGAAAAAAATAATCAGGAGATAACTGAAAGAGTTCTGAAAAGTCACATCAAAATCATCTAAATCTAGGTTTTTATGAAAAATATATATCAGATGAAATGCGAGAAAAAATGCACAGAAAATTATGGCAAAAAAAAAGAAAAAAATATTTACAAAGTAAGAAAAAATTTTTACAAGATGAAAAATATGAAAAAATGGGAAAAACTCAATGATCCGTGATCATTTTTCAGCAGTTAGCGCAAATCCTTTTCTGAGCTCTTCGAGTTTTTTGCTCATTTCCGCAGTTTGCCCCATTTGACTCAATTTTCGACCTTCCACCGATAGAGTTCTACAAAAAAAGCGAATTTTTTGCCTTAAACAAAAATTGCCTCAAATTTTTCACTTTTTCAATAAAATTCTCTATTTTCTGTGAAAAAAAGTGTGTTTATACATAAATACACACCAAAAAATAAATAAACAGTTGTTGTAATTAATTATGTTTCGAGACGAGAGAAACATTTTTTCTGTGTGAAAGAAAAAATGAGAAAAAAACTAGAAATGATTTTTAATAGAGAACAATGAAAATCATTTTTTTTATTGAAAAATTGATTTTTCTAGGCCAAATACTTCTAAAAAATTAATTTTCGAATACAATTCGATAAACTGATATAATAGAACCAATAATTAAATTTATTTAATATTCTAGTTTCGCACAATAAAAAATTGGCGCCGAAAATCATGTTATATAATTTTCTGAAAATGATTTTATTTCGAAATTTTACGAGCAAAACTTTGTTTTCAAAATCAATACTTATATTTTTTCTAGTAGATCCAAAAATATAAGTTTCCCTCCTTCTAACTATTACTTATGATAACTATAACCTTCAATTAAATTAGCATAATTTGTTTATCAAACATTTGAAAAAAAAAATCAGAATATTTTTTAGAACTTGAAAGGTATTCAAATTTCTTGAAAACCCATATACGGAACTTTTCATCTCAAACACATTCGAAAATTCTCAGCTTTTTTGTTTGTTTACTTTTGCTCGTCTTTTTAATTAACAAAATCGGAATTTTGGGAATAACAAAACAAAAACTTCACCTACGATATTTGATGAATTTAAAACAAAAAAGAATTTCCAGGTTCAAAAGTTTTCAGGACAAAAATTGAATTAAATTACGTTGATGTGAATAATTTATTTTGAAAACAAAAGGTTTTTTTTCAAATTTTATTGGAATAACTTTCAAACATATTTTAGATTTATCCAAATTATCAAAATTTGAAATCAGGATTTTTTTCAAACCTTTTTCGTTTTGAAATTATTTTCAAAATTATCCCATAACCAAATATTCCCATTAAAAAAATCCCAAAAAAAAACTAACCTGAGACTTCTTCTTTCAGCCGGCGGCGGAATGCTATAATGAGCCGAGAGGCGCAACAAAGACAACTCGTCAATCAAATTTTTGTCGGAAACCTGCAAAAAATGCTTGATTGTTTCCTTTGAAATTATTCATGATGAGAAGGGGGGAAATTCGATTTTTGTTGAGAAAAAAATACAAACAAAAATATTTGTTTATATTCAACTTTGTTGTTATGTTTTATATGATAACAGATAAAAGAATCAATAAAAATGAAAAAGTTTTTTCTACAAAAAAAATATAGCAAAAAATCCGTGATCCAATAAACTAAAGTGAAAAAATGAATGACAAAGAGGCATAAAAATAACAAAGAAGTGTATAAAATAAATAAAAATAAACAAGTTGCTATGAATAATTGAAGAAGTAGAAACATATGGAAGCACTCAGACAAAATTGCAATTTTCTTGGGTGAAAAAATATTCGTTTGAAAACACGGTTTCGACAAAAGAGTTATATGATGGAAAATGTTGGAAATCTAGCAAAAATAACTTTGCAAAACAGAAAAAAAATTAAAATTTACCGAACTTATGAGTCATTCAGCAATAAAGAAATAATACTAGAATGACCCAAAATAATCAATAAATTCTGCTCTGCAAACGATAACAACAAAAGTCAAAGTGAAATAAAAATTTAGGATACCAAACAAATCTCCAGTAAACAAATTCTGGTGGAAAAAATACACCCATATCTGATTTTGACACTTCGCCAGGTTTAAATACCCATTTAGTCATCATTTGTCAAAGAAGGAAAAAGAGGGCGGAGGGAAAAAATGATAAAGAAACAAAAAACAAAGTGAATAAAAAAGAAAATGCTCAGAAGAAAGGAAAGAGAAGACTGATGTAACCTTTATGGATTTCAAGTTCATTTTTATAAATGAGTGTTTGAACTTGAAGTTGAACTTCATACCGAAATTTTTGATATGGAAATTTACGGGGAAATAATATCTGATGTATTTCGGTACCAAACATCTATTCGAATCTGATAGAAACATGATGCAAAATTTCGAATTTTATTTGAGAAAAAACACGCCACAGTTCATTTTTCAATCATTTTTCCGAGGAGAATAATTTCGAAGGTAACATTTTTTGATCTACGGTGGCCAAGCATTATGTTTGCAAAAATCACAAATGGACAACACGGTGTATTTTGAAAGAAATTGGCACCAAAACATGTTTTTGGACATCAGTTGTCCAGATGTGAAAAAACAGAAAAATCGTTGTGAGACCTAAGAGGAAGGAGCATGAATTTTTTTAAGCGATAGGTTTTTTGAATGAAAAATTTCCAAATTCAAAGAAAAAACTAATTTTTTACTCGAAAAAAACTGATAAAAAATATGTCTAGTTTGACCTCAAAAAAAGTTGGACCAATTTCTCAAAAATCTCCCAAATTGTATCTAGTTTGACATCTCAAAAACCCGGCTAACTTTAGATCAAAAATTTCCATGAAAATCCATCAATTTTCTAATCCTCTTTCAGGATTTTCTCTTGAAAAAATAATGATAATTTTCTCGGAAAACTCTGCAAAAAAAGGGCTTTTCATTGAAAAATTTCAAGAAAACAAAAACAAGATAAGAATAGTCCAAAAAACATTTTTCTTGTTTGATAAAAATAATTCTGACCACGAAAAAAGATGCATTGGAAAAACCTAGACTAATGTAGATAAATACAAAATTAATTAGATAATTAGAAAAATAATTAATTAATCTCATAAAAACACAATTTCCCAAGTGAATAAATGAATGAGAAAATTAAAATGTTGTGATAAGCTTGACGGAAGGCGAAAAAGTGAAAACAAGCGAAAAAATGAAGAAAAATGGGGGAAAAAAAAGAAAGAAAAAACGGAACAAGATTACTCGTTTTTCCAGTGGTCAAAAAAAAGTAATTGAAAAAAAAAACATACACACATTTTTCGTATAGTTTGGGGTTCAAAAATATTTTTCATTTTATTTTTTATACATACTCGGAGGAGAGAAGAAATATGAGATTTTTCGAGTAAAAAATTCGGATTTTAGTTGTTTTTTTTTCTGGGTGTATTTTCAGATAGAAAAATAGATGGAGAGAATGAGAAGAAAAAGAAAAAACAAATCTCGGCGAGAAAAACAAAAAGTTCAGGCTCCAATTAGTTGAACGCTTCGAGAAAAAATGCACTTTTCAAACAAAAAAAACCTATGTCGACTAATTCAAATTGGAATTTAGCTTGATTAGAAAAAATTCTATTTTCTAAAAAAAATTCGAAATTTACCGTCAAATGTTACGTTTCAAAAAAATGGTAAAAAGTGAAACAATTTTGGAATACTATTATATTCATATTATCATCTATATTAAAAACAATAAACATGTCAAGATACTAAAATTCGTGAATTTCGATTTGAAATTAGGAGCTAGTCGAAGAGAAACATTGTTAACACTAAAAATTTAGCGTATAACTTTTAAATTTGGGAAAACCCACGATAATGAATAACAAATACAGTCTGAATCAACATTTTTGAGTGCGTGCGGTTGCAACGCGGCTTGGAAGGCTTTGAACCAATAAGACTAGACAATATTTGTATCAAAATCAAATACTCTCCCCTTCTTTCCCTCCCAAAACCACGCACCTTTTGCAACATATGATACATCGACGCAGTTTTTCCATTCTTTGCCAAATCTCCTGATTTTCTCAACAAATCGATAGTTTCTCTCAAATCATCAATAAACGCGTCTATAATTCCATCTTCACACATTGATAAAGTTATCGGAACTCGAGCTGCAATTGGCGATAAAAGTGGATCAACATGCCAACCTTTGGCAACCATTCGATCAACAATATTATAAATATCTATATTATTATTATTCTTATTATGTTCTGAATCTGAACTTGAAGTTGTTCCAAATGCAACAATACAAACATCAGCTGATCCTGAAAAAAATGAATTGTATTTTTTTCCAAAATACAAAAATCTCTACCTTTCAATTCGATATTCTCCAAATTCTCCAATCTATATGCCAATTGTCGAGTTCCTTCAATAATTCTTTGACAAGCATTCATATATCCATCTCTTCCTTTTCTTAACATTGTTGCCCAAGCCGTGGCTACAGATCCGCCATCTCTTCCGCCAGAAAGTGTTGGTGTCGCATAATAACCGCCTGGCCATTCAGAATTTGTGAAAAATTGGTGACGGAGGTAGACAGGTTCGCGATACATTAAAACTGATAGACGACCTGGACACTGACCATACTGAAAAATATTGGTTTTAGAAGTTGCTCTCGGTTAGGATCGGAGTTTACAAAAGATAAATTGTACGCTCCATTTTTAACCCTAAAGTCTCTCTAGAGATCCTAGATGTCAAGTAGCTGTGCCTAGAAACCACACCTCAGCCAATCCGTGGCTGGCCAGAGTACAATTTTTTCTGATTTTCAGTTTTTAGAGGTCAAAAACTGAAAAATTACAGCTTTCAGAGAACAAAAACTGAAAAATTCACATTTTTCATACTGTAAAAAGTTAGCGTACATTTTTTTATATTGGAAATCACGATTTTGGCCGATTTGTGCTAGAAACTTTAACTGTTTAGAGCCCGCGCCTAGACTCAATTTTCAGTTTATTCCTCTCTATAAACCCACCCTATGCAAATCAGCCGAAATCGAAGTAACTCCAGGCAATCGAAAATCAAAAGCCGGCACTGAATAATCACAATATTCCATAAATGGCAAAACAAATCCACCCAGCGTGCAATCAACATGCAAAGGAATATGATATTTTTGAGCCAATTTTGCCAGTTTTTCAATCGGATCCACGGTTCCAGTGATGTGATTTGGAGCACTGGCGATAATCTGAAAATATATATGTGGAATACGGGAGAATTTTGAGAAAAAATTACCATGCAAGTTTTTGTGCAAATTGCTCTTTTCATCGCCGCAACATTTGCTTTATCATCTTCTTCGTTGACAGGAACTCTGGAAATGAAAGATTTTTTTTTGAAATCTAAAAATAGACTTTTTCTTTTGGGTCACGTGAGAAATTGCAAATTCAACAATTTTATATATTTTGACAGGGTGATCTATTTCTTCATCGGATGAGAGGATTCAAAAAAAATGAAATTTTAGCCACAAAAATCCACGTGTAATTTTACCTACCTAATAATAGTCATATCAAAAAATGCAGCAGCTTTGTCAAGAGCTGGATGAGCAGTGGATGGTGCAATTATTTCTCCTCGATATTCTCCTCTTGCTCGACTACGGTTCCGATATGCTAAACATGCCAAAAGAAGAGCTTCAGTTCCACCGCCAGCAACAACTCCACATGATTCTTTTCCACCGTGGAACATTGCACAAGTCATTTTTAGGATCTGCAAAAATCTTAGCAATAGAAAATCCATCCGGTTATCAAAAAAAAGGTCCAACCTCAGCCTCCATTTTCCTAACTCCTGGAAAAGCATCAGATCGATGTGGATCAGTATGTGAAAACAAATCAAAAAGTTTGGCAGTCAATTGCATATCGTCTTGTTTTGTTTGCGGATCATAATGTTGCATATATCTTCTTTCTCCCATCATTGCATATCTTCTAGCATCAGCTAGAATATCTTCACTATCCATACATCTTTCAGGTAGAAATTTGTAGAATTCTCGCATTTGATCAAATTGATGAATTTCTTCTTCAATCTCAATTTGTGCTCTTGCTAAATCACTTTCTATTCGTTTTCTGACCCATGGAAGTGATCTGAGAAGAGCAAATATCGATTTTCGGATTTGGGTTTGAATTGGGTCGGTGGATCGAGTTTGACGACGAAACCAGGCAATGAAAAAACAGAAGGATATTGCGTAGGAGACAATCTTGAAACAATTTTTTGACTTTTTTTTTTCGATTGTTTTTTGGATCATTAATATTTTGGAGAAAACTCGTTAAAATACGTTTCAAAAAAATTTTGAAACGAATATTTTTGCTGTAAATATGGTGTCGATTTTCAAAAAAAAATTCAAATATCCAAGCTCTAACCTGCCACGATTCCAACCCGGAACATTTCGAATTTGCCAAAATTCGAAAATCATCTAAATAATCCAAAAAGACACGAAATGTTAGATGATGTTCCTCGTCCGGCATCTGAAAAAAAATCTGTGATCTGAAATTAAAATTTTAAAATATCAAATAAATAAATAAATCGATGGGTACGAGGTATCGAGAACAACAAAAACAACTTGGGGATTAATTTTTATCAAAGTGGAACTTCAAAAACAAATAAACAAATAAATAAATACATTTGAGATTTTGGGAAACACCGTTTAAAAGTTTAATTTTCAAGTCTTTTTTCGTAATTTGCTCACAATTGTCACGTATTGCCACATTGTATCAAGAGGTGTGTAATTTTGCGGACCCTCGTTTGAATTAAAAATATCCGGACGATTGTCGGCCTGAAATTAGGAATTCTGTAAAATTGATGAAGAAAAATTCTACAACTCACATATTTCGCAAAAATGGTCTTAATAAACTCGGTCATCAGTTCCTTACATTGTGCCACAACAGCACATGGCTCAAAATCCACCTCTACCACAATTCCCTTGACCGTTGTTCCCTGAACCGCCGTTCCAACTCGAACCACAAAATCCTCCAATCGATATTCACCGCCACTTATTTCGATTTTTCCATGTAAATCCGGTGTTGTTCCATTCCTCATTTTACTTAAAATCAAATCGAATCCACGGTCGCAAACGGCTTTCGGCGATTTTTTGAAATTTTCTCCAGGAACTGCAAGATTATTTCTATTTTTCTAACAATAAAACTTCAAAAAAAACCACCTACTTATCGAGAATGTGGTTTGTGGAAATTTGGTGTGATGAACCACATAATTTTGAGGAATATCGATCGAATGTTGAGCTGTTGGAATATATGGAGTTACGTCAACTGTGAACGGTCCGATTTTTTCAGCTCCATTTGTTTCTAGCAATCTTTCCACGGATTTTACACTTTGATCAACTTCAAGCACCCAACTTATTCCCATCTGAATCTTTGAATTAATATCAGGATGATTCGTTTTTCGAATAAATAAATATCAGGTGATTTAACCATTCTTCCAATGAAAAAGTGAACCAAATGAATTTTTCTTCAATAGAATAAAAATGCCAACAAAAACAAAAAAAGCAGAAAAGAAGAGAAAAAGTTAGAGATCATTAAACCCGAAGAGATTTTGATTGTGAAAAGTTGATTTGATAACACAAATTCCTTCGTTTCAGAAAGAAAAATGTGTCTTCTCGTCACGAAAATTATCCAATAGTTGTTTGTAAACTCCATAAAGAACCTTGGGAATTGGAGTAATTCGATTGCATGATTGCTGACCTTCTAAATTATTTTCGATGAAAAAATGAAACTAGAGAATTTAAAAATGGCTCACCTTGGTCATAGAAAATATGAAATAAAAATAGGCCTCCTACTTCGAGATCAGAATCATCGGGAAGTTTGCAATGGAGTTGAAGAACTCCGGTGTGATCTTGAACTGTTGGATTTGGCGATTGTTCGATCAAATATGCACAGAGGATTGTCTGCCCTTTCGTTTTATGCCGTAAACTCTCGCAATCATCTCTCTCATGCATTTTGCACCAGAAAACGAAAGAAAAAACAAATGAAAAAAAAGAAATGAAAAAAAAGCAATGTGGCCGAGAAACACAAATTTTCTCGACCGTGCAAACACTCGGCCATCTGAAAAACAAAATGAAAAAATTCACAAAATTCGTCGGAAAAACGTCATTTATTCAAAATTCTTGGGTCAATTAGTCCGAACATTGTTGGATACTCTTGAATCCATTCAGGATGATTGTGAAGCACATTTCCGAGAAGACGGAACTGCAAAAAATGGATTTATTCAGATTAAAAAACTTTTTTGATTCTTCACAAAAAATCAATCGAATTCTCACCTCCATAGGCTGATTGGTTTGTGTGAATGAATCCTTGTAAGATTTATTGAACAATTTGAGAATATCTTCTACGACAACATTGCGAGAATTGAAAGTGTGCCAATTCACCGCGCGATATTGTGAGCCTCGAATTTCAGCAGTAAACATCACTAATTCTCCAAGTGTCACAACATCTGTCAGTTTATCGGCATTGATCCCAAAATCACCGCCAGTATAAGTCAACATATTGCAGCTGAAAAATATTTTTTTAAATATAAATATTACGCGAAAAGAAAAAACTGACTAGATGTACTGCGATACTTCAAGATCAAATACTTCACAATAGTAATCTTCCAATTTTGTGATTTTTCCGATACTTCGACGTTGACCTTCCGTACCAGCAATCAATTTTTTCGCAAACTTTGCTTTATATCGACATCCACTCATTTCTGGTTGCTCTTCAATTCGAACCACCAAAATATCATCAACTTTCAAATGGGCGTTGAGTCGTGTTGTTTCATTCGAATCAAAAGCTCCGCCAGGAACAAATATTGGTCCAAGATTTAGTCCATCGACATAGGCAAAAGTTTCGGTGACTGTAGTTACACGGAATTTTTTATAATCATCGTGAGAAGTTGTTAGGGAATCCGCATTTTTGATTGAACCCGAACTTGTGTTGGCAGATGAGGAAGATTTTGGTGGCGGCATTTTTCGCATTCGAACTCCTCGCAAAGCACACCCGTTTTTTATATAACCCTGATGAACCGCTTTTACATAAACCCGATCGCCAATCCTGGAAAAAAAAACAATTTTTTTTGGGATAACTCAAAATTCAACCACTTACGAATAAACTTCTAGAAGATCTGGGAAATCCTGATCTTTTGGAACTGAAGCACCCAATGGCACAAACACACTAAACTTCTTGTCAGAATCTGGAAAAAAAAAAATTGCGGATTCTGATAAATATTGAACATTTTTTATTGAAAGACAGCGCTAAAAAAAAGAAACAACTAGAGAAACAGAAGAATGTTCTCGAACACAAAACATTTTTTCAAAGGCGCCGAAAAATTGCACTTTTGAAAAGGGCATAGGTTTTCAAAGAGCGCATAGCTTATGACTAAAGCCGGAAATTGTTCAAATTCTTTTTGATTGTAATTTCATGTCTACAGACAAATGCCTATGTCAAATCGTATTTCTCTATTTATATATCTACTTACCTTCTTCGGTACAAGTGACATATGCGAACTTTGTCTCTATTTTGGTAATAATTCCCTGTAAATTCAATTGGCCCGACATTTCCTGAAAAATTGAAATATATATGGAGTTGAAAGTAAAAAAAAGAAAAGATAAAAAATTTTTTTTTTGAAAATTAAACTGTGCGCAATCGGAGTGTCGTTGTTTTTTTTCAAAAAACCAAAAAATTATCTATTTTTCGAATTTTCCAATCAAGAATACGCCAGAAAAATTTATTTTCACCTCAAGTTTTACGATCACTTCTCAATCATATTGTGATTTCCGGGATGTGACATTTTTTTGACTGGCATCGTTCTTTTTGGATTTCGTTTTTTGGTTCGAGTTTTTGTGTTGTCATACGTGGATACGGTGGATACTGTAGAAATTGTGCTCACGGCAATTGTGGATTTTGGCTCGAGTTTGACGCGTTCCTGTGAAAAGAAAATTGATAATTATAGGATAAGATTAAGCTCAAAATCCTTCAAAATTTCAGTTAAATTATGTTTAAAGATCAAAATGCTCACCTGCTCCGCCTGAACTTCAACAATAACCGGTTCCATAAATCTGACAATATCGTCCATTGTAACTCGTCTCTTCGGATCTTTCACATAAACCTTCTCATAGATAAAAGTTCGGAATTTTTCAGGACATGTTTCGGGAATTTGCAAATGTTTTCCGGAAACCACATTTTTCTTGGCCTCCGTATTTGTTATACTATCCCATGGTTCTTCGCCTTCCGAGAATATTTCATAGCACATTACTCCGTAACTGCAAAAAAATATTTTCAAAAAAAATTAGAATATTTTAGAAAATGTTCTAGAAAATTTTATAGTAAGGCAAATCTGCTCACCTATAAACATCCGTCTTGAAGGTGAAAAATAGCGTAGTGATAGTTTCGGGAGCCAACCATTTAATCGGCAATTTTTGCGAAGTTTGCAATTTATACGCATTCCCAATTCTCGACAATCCAAAATCCGACAATTTCACAACACGATCATTTGAATACAAACAATTTCTTGCGGCAATATCTCGATGTATACAATTATTTGCGTGCAAATACTGTAGTCCTTGCGCAGCTCCCAAACACATATTCATCAAATCAAAAGTCGTTTCCTTTCTATTTTTTTGCAAATACGTGTTGAGACCACCGCCTTTCACCAATTCCAATAAAATATAGAGGGGTTGTTCATCGACTGCGACGCCGTAAAATCTGACCACGTTTTTGTGTTTGAATCCACGCATGAGACGGGCTTCTTTCATCATTTCGCGGATTTTTACCTTGTTTAGGTCACCACCTTTCATCTGAAATTTTTCGTGAGATCAACGGAAAAACAATTCACCAAAAATGGATTCTGTGAGGTATTTATTACCCAAAAAGTTTATTTTATAAAAAATCAAATTCCAACAATAAATATCAACAGAAATACATTGAACATTTTCTCAACACCAAACTACAAAACAAAAAACATCCCTCTAACTAGGTCAAACTAAAATATAGCTCTACTCTTATTCAATAGGGCTGATTCACGAACGAAAAAAATGTTAAAAAATGTTTTTTTAACATCGAAAGATCAATTCACGAAAAGTCAAAAAATGTCGAAAAAACATTGTAGGTCAAAATTAGTTTTTCCAGTTTTTCAGTCAAAAATGATGACAAATCGAAATTTTTGAAGTTTCTGGAGTGATTTCTGATGAAAATAAGCTTCGAGAACCCTATTTTGCTTTATTTTATGATTTTTTTCGAAATTCATCAAAATTTAAAATTTTTTTATTTTCCGAAAAATCAGCAAAACCTTCTGGAAAGTGAATTCCAAGGTCAATTTTCAACAGAAATCACTCTAGAAGCTTGAAAAAAATCGATTTGTCATCATTTTGGGCTGAAAAACTCGTAAAAATTATTTTGACCTACAATGTTTTTTCGACATTTTTTGACTTTTCGTGAATTGATCTTTCGATGTTAAAAAAACATTTTTTAACATTTTTTTCGTTCGTGAATCAGCCCTAATAAAATACAAAAACTCTCTCTCTCTCTCTCTCTCTCTCTCTCTCTCTCTCTTGTTATTTCTCGGTTCATTTTCGATATGCGTTATTGTATTATTTTCTTTATTTTTAGACAATTTTCTATTTCCTCATCCCTTAATTTTTGCCCATTAGTTTAGGTTAGGAAAATTCATATTTCTTTTGATTCAATTTATTTTCTCTCTCATCTAATATCTTATTTTAATCCTAATCTTTATTTTATTAAGAGTCAAAACATAGTTAAAGTTACTGTAGGTTATTTGAGCCAAAAATCATTGATGTTTGAATTTGAACGTTTTAAAGAAGGCCTCAGCTTTAAAAAATCGCAAATTCTCACTGAAAACTCACCAATTTCACGGCCACCTCAACTTCTCTGCCTTTTCGCTTCAAAATGCCCGTTCTCACTTCACCATACGCTCCTTCGCCCAATAATCCGCCCAATTTGATATCCGTATGTTTGTATTCCCAACTGTGTAATTTGACTGGATTGCGAAGAAATCGATTCTTTTTTTGCTGAAAGAAAAATTCGGGTTCAATCTATAGCTCTCTCTCTCTCTCTAGCTTTAGATTTACAATTTCTAGTTTCAAGTCAAAACTCACATCCGATGTATTGCTCTGATGATAATGCTGCAAAAGATCGTTGATAGTTTCAAAAGACAACGACACTTCAATTCCAAATCTACCATTATATCTTCTCACAACCATATTCCTCAATTTTCCCTCAAAATTTCCCTCTGATCTTGGATCTCCTTTCTCTTTTGCAGCTTCAGCATCAGCCACCAAATTTCCACCAATATTTGCACCGCCTGGAGTTGGACCATTTGGATGTGCACATTCGAAAACCGACAAAATCAGGTCCCTTTTGATCTCCTTTGTTGCCGTAACTTCGCTGACTCGAATCAGGTAATCACCGTCATTTCTGAGTAAACATCGCAAATCTTCGCGCGGCAAAAAACCGTGGTAGAATGGAAGTTGTTGAAGGCTTTTGAAAAGGGCTTCGTCCTCTACAATATCCTTGACTTCTGAAAAAAAATGAATTATTTTTTTGGATCTGAAACTTTCGTTTCTGAATCGCAAACTTGATTTTTTTGAGCCCTGAGACCTAGAAAATAAATCCTACCTGGAGCTTTTTCCTTTCTTTCCGGCGGAGTTTCGACAAGTCCTTCGGTTTCGCGTTTTTCGAAATCTTGATTTCCTGAAGGATCGGAAATTGTCGATTTTTCAGTGTTGTTCGGTGTGCCAGCTCCATTTGTGTCGTTTTCGGCATTTTCTTGATTTGCCGGCTTCTTTTCTTGATCTGAAAATTTGGAAAGTTTTTTTGAAGAACGAATTTCTACAGTATCCAAAGAAGTCAAATTATCAAGATTTTCAAACAAGTTTTGCTACAGTAATTTAGAAAAATCAGAATGTCAGGGAACGTTCTATAAATCCCCACAAATCTACAGTAATACTTTTCCTACAGTAACTCACCATCACTCATTTTTTCTTTATACAACGCACACACTCTTGTCCAAAACGAGATGAATTCAACGAAAAAAAATAATAAGATGCTCTAAAATAAATGGGCAAAACTGACCGAATCGCTCATTTTATACCCGAAAATGCCACGTGGCAATTGGAACACGTATGTTAGAAAAAAATTGGAGCACGCGGGAATTTTTTTTAATTTTGAATTTTAATTTATTTCCCCTCTTCTTTTTTTTGCACCAAAAAATGACACAATTTGACGCAAAAATGCAGATTTCCCATTTAAAATCACCATGGCAACCACCCAAAAACAAACAATTCTCGACTTTTTTTGGATTTCATTCAAATATTTTTAAAAAATATCTAGATTTTCCCAGCTTCATATATTAATTTCAGACCTCGGATTTTAAGCCAAAAATCTAATTTCTGAAATTTTCCAGAAATGCGGCCCTCGATAGTTCAGTGGTCTCCACATTCGTCGTGGATTTGTGTGACCACTTTCGATGCTGAAAATTCAGAAGGCAGTGTTTCGTTTTGCGATCATACGGTAAGGTTTCAGATAAATATTCGGTTGAAAATAGGTACGCAGCCAATTCAGTTAGATACTCAGCTAAAATTATATGAGCAGTCAAAACAAATTTTTTAGACTCATGTTGAAGCGCTTGATCTACCTTTTAAAATCATTCGATACTCAGCCAAGTACGCAGTCAAAAACTTCCAAAAAATTTCAGGGAATCAACAAAGAGCCTGGTGCTTCTCGTCCAAGTCCAATAACATGTCTCAAATGGCATCCCACAAAAAACTTGGTTCTTCTTGGCTGGAAAGACGGAACCATAAATCTAGTCCCCTTGGGTGGTCCCATTTCACAAACAATTCAGGAAAATGGGTTGGGTGAGTTAGTGCAAGTCGATTGGAGCCACGATGGAAAACTTATAATGGGCTTGTTTGCTCCTGGCCACGTGAAAATCTATAGTTATGACGTGGCAAAATCGGAGAGCTCATCAAGTTCGAGCTCACTTTTAAGCCAAGTTGATTTGAAAGAAGAAATCACGACTTGCTGTAAACGCCTGATTTTTGAGAAAAATCCCGAAACTTCACAGGATTTGAGCATTTTTGACAATAAAATGAAGAATGACGTGGGAAATGAGTTGGAAATGACAGTAACCCCTCAGAACGTTGTGTCGAGACCGCCTGCAAAAGCGATTGGTACGGAATTTCTGTTCGGAAGTGAATCAGGAACGCTGTTTTGTGTGAATCTAGAGGAGAATGGAGTTTTGCATAAGGTGAGGTTTCTAGAGCTGAATTTTGCCACGTGGTAGGAAATAGCCATATTTTCCAGCTGGACTCTGAAATCTTATTTCTCTCCTACTGCGAACAAATCCAAACAATAATTGCATTCACCCGAGACCTCTTCATTTTTCATTTACAAAAATCAGAGAAAGACGATAAAAAATGGCACGAAAAAATCAAAGTGAAACTTGGCGGAGCATCGGAAAAATATCGACTCGAGCTCAGCGACTCCATTCTAGTTATGTGTTATGAGGAGAGAGAATTGAGAGTTTGGGATTTGGTTCGAGAAGAAAATGGGACTATTTCATTGGATTCTGCGAAAGGATTTGATAAATCGGAAATTTTGACGTGTTTGACTGTAAATTCTAGAAAAGGAGTTATAAGTGCTGGAACTAGTAAAGGAAATATGGCACATTGGAAGAGACGAAAAAATGATATGCCAATTGATCGCGCGTGGAAATTACAAGCGGCTCATCCCACCGGGGATGTAGTTAGTTTTTATTGGTCCCAAAATCCTCTAAAACATTATTTTTGCAGATAAACGCGATTCACTGGAGCCCAGTGACTAGTAGTGTGGCTGTAATCACATCCCAAGACTTGATAATAATTCAGGAAGACAATTTCATAGTTCAAATGCGCGGAAAAGTTGGAGCAATTCAAAATAGTCCAACCAGTTTTATTTTATTGAATGCTGGAACTGGTGTGACTCAGGAATTGAAACTGCAAACAATTCCAAGTGCCAAAGGAATTAGTTTGGGCGAAAAACAATTGGTGGTTTGGAATGAGGATACGGTAAGTTCTTTAGAAAAAGGAGGCATACTAGATGATTTCTCAGACTAACAAGGGAACCTTTTTTACTCAACACTTCAAACCTCGATGAAATTTTGTCCAGAGACTGCTTTTGGGGTCATAAGAACGGCCTAAAAATTTCAGTCTCCCAATGAACCTCTGAGCCAAGTTCTGGGCTCTCAAAAACCCAAAAAAGGCCTAAAAATGGTCATAAAAGTCACCATAGCTCCATTTCAAAAATTTTTTTGTAAGAAATAAAGTTTCAGATATTGATCAGCATAGTCGATTACTTAAAAGTACATCAATAAAAAACTTTATTTCGAAAAATTTTGAAGTTTTTTATTTTTGGGCTGAAAATTCATATGTGCCCCTGCTCATTCTTTTTTCCAAAATCAAAAATTTTTCCGAAAATTCAGTTTATTGGTGCTTTTTGGGTAAATCGACCACGCTGATCATCATCTGCTACTCAGTTTTTCATAAAAATGATCGAAAGTTTAGTTATGACGTGTTTTATGAGCCAATTTTGGCAATTTTTGAACTTTTGAGAGCCCAGAACTTGGCTCAGAGGTCCATTGGGAGACTAAATTTTTTAGGGTGTTCTTATGGTCCCAAAAGCTGTCCATGGACCAAATTTCATCATGATTTGAAGTGTTGAGTAAAAAAGGTTCCCTTGTAAGCTACAGTCTAGTCTCTAGACAAACTACAGTAATCAAATTTTCAGATAGTAACCTACGACGTTCAATCTTCATTGGCAACCATCCAATCCACTTCATTCTCCTGTCAAACTTCAGGAGTCGTTATTGCTAATCAAACTCTTTTCTGCATGGAAAAAGACAAAATCAACGCGAGAACCTTGCAAGGAACTATCCGCCAAATAATATCTCTCCCCGAAATCGAAGGAGATCCCCAAATTCTAGATTTGAATAAAAATTGGCTGGCAGTTGGAACATCTCACGGTTTTGTCAGGATTTATAATCTTGCTAGAAAAGATGCTCATCAAGAGCACAACTCGAAATATGCCATCGAGAATTTTCCCAATTTTTATAAGTTTCTCAACGTAAAAATCAGCCCGAATGGCTCGAAAGTGGCATGCACATTTTTAGAAGGACCCACACAAGTTAGCGAAACTCTGCTGGTTTTCGATGCGGAAAATGATAATATCACACATTTTTCGTTTGATCGTGGAATGACGGATCAGCAGGAATATGAGGCGCAAGCGGAATTGGCGCATACGACTGGCGGAAGGCCTGTGACTGCGGCTGCGCGGAAAATGGCAAAAGAGAAATCGCGGTTTCAAATGATGATGCATCGGCCGGGAGAAGTTGAATGGGATGAGACAGATCAACGATTTTTGGTGGTTGAGTGCAATCATTTGCAACCAGATTCTGTGAGTTTTTTGGACTATTTGGAACAAAAAGTTCTATATCTAACTTTCAATATTCAACTAGTAATCTAGAAAATATTTTGATTTCCAGACCGACAATCGTATCCTCACAATGTTCGTCACTTCGGAACACGGCATTCAACTTCAAGACATCCAACAAAAATCTCAACAATGTGGTCGACTCGTCTCAGTTTCAGTTCCAAATTTTTATTTTTTGAAAAAAACCGATTGGGACGAGGAAGAGATTCGAGGCGAAAAAACGATTGGCAAAGTTTTGGTGGCAAAAACATTGCGAGAATTCAGTGGTGTGGAAGTTAGTGATGAGGGAACCAGAAAAGCTATGATGGATTTCTCGTTTTATTTGACACTTGGCAGTATGGATGCAGCATTTAAAGGTGGGTACAACGACACTACGCATTGACGGGGGGTGATTTTGAAGCAACGAATTTCAGCCATCCAATACATCAAAAGTGACAGCGTCTGGGATCAAATGGCCTCAATGAGTGTGAAAACTAGACGACTAGATGTTGCAATGGTTTGCCTTGGACATATGAAAAATGTGCGAGGCTCAAGATCAGTCAGAAAAACTCAACAAAATGGCGAGGATGAATCAATGCAATGTGCAGCTTTGGCTATAGAATTAGGAATGATCGACGAAGCTTTGATGATTTATCAACAAAATGATCGATGGGATTTGATAAATAAGACTTATCAGGCTCAAGGAATGTGGATTCAGGCTTTTCAAATAGCTGAAACTCGAGATCGAATTCATTTGAGAAATACACATTTCAATTATGCAAGATATTTGGAAGCTAAGAAAGATGAAAATAGCATTGAGGAGGCTATTGAAAATTATGAAAAAGCTGGGGTTCATGGATTCGAGGTTTTTCGAATGTTGCGCGATAATCCAAAGGCAATTGAAAACTATGTGAGAAGGAAGAGAGAACCGTTAGTCTTCTGAAAATGTTCTGTAAAATTTTCAATTTTTCCAGCACCCTTTTCAAATGGTGGGGAACCTATTTGGAATCTATTGGTGAACTCGAAGGTGCCTACAATTATTACAAGTTTGCACAAGATTTCTATTCACAAGTTCGCGTGAAATGTGCGCAAGGACAAGTTGAGGAGGCTGCAAAAATTGCGAATGACAGTAAAGACAAAGCGGCATGTTATCTAATAGGTGAGTTCAAAGCCCCTCTTGAATTTTCATCAAAATCTTTCAAGCACTTGAACCTCTTGAATCTCTTCAGGTCGTCTTTATGAAACGGAAGGCGATCTAGTTCAAGCTGTCAAATTTTTCACCAAAGCTCGAGCTCTGGCCTCAGCTATTCGAATTGCTAGGGATAATGATATGAAAGATAAACTGGCAAATTTGTGTTTGATGGCTGGCGGGAATGAACTAGTGATGGCTGCCAGATATTATGAAGATATGCCGGGTTATGCACATAAATCAGTTATGCTGTATCATAAGGTGCGGTGATTAGGGCGTGAAAAATTATGACGTGGATTTCAATTTCAGGCTGGAATGATTGGGCGAGCTCTTGATCTTGCATTTCGAACAGAGCAATTCAGTGCTCTTGATCTAATTACCAAAGATCTTGACGCTGGAACTGATCCAAAAATCCTAAAAAGAGCAGCAGAATTTTTCGAAAACAATCAGAACTACGAAAAAGCTGTCAATTTTTTGTGTTTGGCCAAAGATTTCCCAGAAGCTGTGAGATTGTGTAGATCGAGAAATGTAAGAGTGACTGATAAGTTCGCCGAACTCATGACTCCGACTAAAATCGAGATGCCGAATGATGTGGAAAGGAAGCGGGTTTTGGAAGGTGTTGCCGAATTGTGTTTGCAGCAGGGTGCGTATGCTGCAGCCGCTAAAAAATATACGCAAGCTGGTGATAAGTTATCGGTGAGATATGCCTGGATTATTGGTGGTTACTTTTTGAAAATTTGAAATTTTCAGGCTATGCGATCACTCTTAAAATCCGGTGATATTCAAAAAATTCGCTATTATGCAAATACAGCGCGAAATAAAGAAATCTATATTTTGGCCGCAAATTTTTTGCAAACTACAGATTGGCAAAACGATGCACAGACTATTAAAGATATTGAGACTTTTTATACAAAATCACAAAGTTATGAACATTTAGCCAATTTTTATAAATCTTGTGCTTTCGTAAGTTTTGGGTTTTTCAGGGGCAAATTGCATTTCATTTTTTTTCAGATCGAAGCGGAAAACTGGAAAAATTTTGAAAAGGCGACAAATGCTTTGGATATGTCTATTCATTGTTTAGAAACTGCAGATTCAAAGGATAAATCGACTCCAGCAATGGAAGAATTGAAATTAGAAATTCAAAAATATCAAGCACAGTTGAAAAAGTTGATAAAAATTATGGGAGCCATGGAATCCGACATATCTGACGGAATTCGACAATTAACAAGTTTGGCCGAAACATCCGATGAGAATGATATAGTTCCATGCACAAAGATCTACGCGATGTTGATCGAAGAATATTTTTACAAGAAAAACTGGAAAATGGCGTATCGAAGTTTGACGAGTTTGCAGAAAAAATTGCCGAAAATCGATCTGGAGATGTATATAAATTCCGAAACTTTGGATCAAATTTGTGACGAGATGAGAGTGGAAAGAGTGACCAAGAAAAATGGAGCAAAAAATGGTGGAGATGGGGCGGAGTCAGATGGTGAAGAGGTTGATTTTTCACATTCGATGAGACGACAGAATATGATTTGACAAACTTCAGTAGATTTCTAAATCATGAATAAATATGAAAATATTTATATTTTGTGGTAACTTTTTTCTCGAATGACTTTGAAAATTGGACATTTCCAAACTGATTGTTCTACAAAACTAAATAGAAAATTTCCGACTCAATTTCCGCTAACCCAACTAATTATCTAACAATCCCCCTAATTATCTCACCCCAAAACCTCCCACAATACAATTCATCCCATTCTGTCACCCACTCTTCAACAAAAAAGAGCAACAAAAACTAAAGAAAGAAGGAAAAAAGAAAGAAAGTGGGCGTGGCTCTGGCGAAAAGGTGTCAATTTTCCGTTTTTCTTCTTCTTCTTTGCCTATTTTCTTCATCATTTGCTCATCATCTTCTAATATAATAATAATAATAATAATGTATATTTTCTTTCTATTATTATTAGTTGTTGTCAAATCTTCAAATACATTGGCATATTTACAAGATTCATGGGCAATGTTTTCTTCAGAACGACCTGTTGGTCCAAAATGTTTAGATATTCCAAGTAATTTAACAATTTGCAATGGTATTGAGGTAATTTTCAATTTTTTTCAAATTTCAAATTTTTCATTTCAATAATTATCCTAAATCTCAGTCAACATTGCAGTATTCTCAAATGCGACTTCCAAACTTTATGGAACATGAAACTGTTTCTGAAGTTATACATGCTTCAAAAGATTGGGAAAGTTTGTTAAGACTCAATTGTCATCCGGATACTCAACGATTTTTATGCTCACTTTTTGCACCAGTTTGTTTGATGCAAATGGACCGCGCGATATTACCATGTAAAAGTTTGTGTATGGCTGTGAAACAGGTGAATCAGAAGGAAGGGGTTCCGCGGTTGATTGGGTTAAGTTTGGGCGGCTATTTGTTAATGGTGGGAGTAAGGTTTAGAAAAACTTCAAAAAATCATGCTTTACAGAAAATTTTTTTGAGCCATGAATATTTTTTTTTTTTGGAAAGTTGGAATCTTTTTCCTTGACAATTTTCTAGTACAAATTCCTCAATCCCTTCCATAATTAAAACTATAAACATGTTTTAAAATTATATTTCTGTCAGGTCCAGAAAAATGTCGAAAACATAGCTCATTCTCCTCATTTTTTTTTGAAAGATTTTTTTGAAACTCTCCCTCTCTCTCGCTCTAAAAATAATTTTTTTCCAGGGATGTGAAAGTCGTATGGTGAATTACGGTTTCCCGTGGCCCGAAATGCTCTCATGCGACAAATTCGAGGACGATGATATGTGCATCAAACCCATGACACCGGCAAAACCAGAAGCAGGTACGTATTGAAAAAAAAAACATTTGAAGTGCACGCCGGCGGTGTGGCTCAAAAACATTTTTTCGATAGAAAATGTCACTAATCGGTCACTCATAAGTGTGGCTGTTTGCCTGCGGGTGAGAAAAAAAAAGATGGATAGCCCGGGTTTTTTTTCTGTTTTACTGATTTGTTAGACCTAGCTGGAGGGATGGGGGAAATAGGTTTCTGTGTGTTGAAATTAATCTGTGGAAATTGAAAATATAGAATTCTGTCTTGACTTTTTGCATTTGACAGATTTGATTTGAAGAATTAAATTCTTAAAAATCTATCCTCTTCATTGAAGATTGCTGCTGAAAATTTTGAAATAAATTAATTACTAGCGAAAAAAAAACTGATGTCTAAAAACTATTTCAATCTGATTTTCATCCCACCCGTAAAAAATAAAATAAAATCACTAGGGGGGCCAGCTGTGATAGGAGTCAGGTTTCATTGTCCGTCGGTGACTCTTTCACCTCAAATCTTACAGTAAAGAAAAAAGTTGTTGGCGAGTAAAAAGTATTCGATTTCAGGTGCAATTGCTTCGTGTTCAGCGTGCTCGCAAGTTGAGACTTATGAGAATCTTATCGATCAGTTTTGCAGGTCGAATTTGGGTGAGTGAGAGAGAAGAGGGGGACGGGGAAGTTTATGGGGGAAAATTGAGAAAATTTGAGATTCTCAAAAAAAAGTTCGGAAACTTTCAAGTGAATTTGTTGAAAAGTTGAAAAATAATAGAATTTTGTTGGAATTCTGAAATTTTTAGATTTGGAATTTTTTTCAGTTGTCAAAGCAAAAATCACAAATATAACCGGCTCGCAAATTTCAATCAATAAAGGGCAGAGTTTGAAAAAAGGAGATCGACGTCGAAATGTGCCAATCACTGAAATTCGTCTCTCCGCTGACAAAACCGGCTGCCCTTGTGAAAACATCTCAAATCAACCAAAAAATGAAAAGTTTCTTGTGATGGCAAGTAGACAACAAGATGGAAAATATGTGGCGAATTTGATTTTACCTTTCAAAAAGAAGGATAAGAATTTCCGAAATGCGATTCGTCAATTCAAACGATTGAATTGTCAATCATTGGGTCGAGAAATTCGCGAATCTGCTTCTCGTCGACCACATTATTATGAAATGAGAAAACATAATACTGGAAGATTTCAATTGTTTTGAATGAATTAATGAAATTATTTGACTGTCATTTTTTGTTTTTTTTTTTCTGGAATGAAATAAATTTCCCGGCCTTCGAAATACGTTTCAAGGAATTTTTTAATAAAGAAAATGATTTTTCACAGTAATATGTTTCGGGAAGTTTTTGAAAAAATGAAAATGTTCTGGGGATTTTAGTTCTATTTCAAAAAAAACCATGAAATGTTTTTTTCACCGTTTTCCCTCAAAATAATACAAAATACAACTAGAATTAACAAGCGATTTACTTTGAAAAAAAATGTACAACCATTTATATGTTTTGTTCGCAATTTTTTATTTTTGCTATTCAATTTCTTATGATTCTCCAAGTTTTGATGTGATAAATCGATGTCATCAAGAAATCAAGGTATTTTCCTTACTTTTTAAGATTTTAATGGTAATTTTCAGATTAAAAACAAGTGCACATGCTCAGAAAATGATTCCGACTGTCACCGCGAGTTTGCAATGGTAAATATTTCATATATTTTTTTCTAGGAAAATTTGTAATATTCAGGGTCATTGGTATGTTATAAGCAGATGTATCGCCGAACGTCAAAGAAATATGACAAAAGCAGCTTGAATCAGAAAAAAATTATAATTAAAAATCCCGCGTTGTGGTTTTCCGGAATATGGCCTAGAAATCCGTTGTGTTTCTAGGCCATCTTCATTTTCTCGAAAACCCACGCGTGGCCACGTTTTTCTTTCCTTTTTTTGTGCGCTTGTAGTCTTGTGTTTCAAAAAATTTGTGTTTATAAAAAATGTGCCCACCTTTCAATTTCCGAAAAACCAAATATTGTGTTTCAAAAAAATGTGTAAAGTCAGTCAGCAAATCAAATATTGGTTCCACAATCTTCCAATCTTCTTCCCCAATTTTTTTATTCAAACGAAAAAAGTTTTTTTCTATTTTTTTTTGAAAAATATAATAACAGCGTTGATTAGTCTCATCAAAAGTTATTATTGTTGTGTTGACTGGTATAAAAGAAAGATAGTTATTCTTTAGATTCGAAATTCTTTTTTGCTGAGGCGGCGCACACAAAAATGATGACATTTTGTGGCGTTTGTTTATCGAAAAAAAAACCTATTTTGTTCTTTCTTCCTATAAAAATACCTGCCCACTTTTTTCCCACTCACACGATTTTTGTCGCCTTTTTTGAGTGATTTTTGAGGCTACTTTTGGGGCGACCTTCACGTAAACAAGTTTTGAATTTAGTTTTTTTCATGTCATTTGCAGTGATTTTATTTAGTTTTCAATTGAAAAATTATCTATTTAGTGAGGGAATCTTTGAATGAACTTTCTCTGAAAATTTTTAAGAATGATATAAATGTTTTTGCCGAGGTGTTTGAGTTGAGTACCATTCCAAAGTTGAAAATTCAAAGACATTTTGGTAAGGAACTGTATAAGGTGTTTCTTCCGCTGGAAATTGATAACAGTTTGAACTTTTTCTAGAAAATAAAGCACGTTATTCAAATTTATTTCAAATATTTTTCGATTCCCAAGTTTGTTCTCCACCTGGGAAACTTTGACCAAATAATGATCCGCTTAAATATAAAAATAAATGTTTCCTCACCCACAAATATTCCACGTGAAAACCATTATGTTTCAATGATCATTTTTCAATTATTCTTCGAAAATTATCCGACCAATTTTCTTTCTCGAAGAGAATTAGAGATAAAAATCGTATTATGACCATGATTGATAACAATATTTTTCATTTTGCTTTTTTTTGTGACTCCTCGTGGGAGTTTGACGATTTTTTTCAAATATTTAATTGTAAGTGAAGAAGATTTTCAGATTAAAAATGGCTGAAGCTGATATCGCTGTAATTGGTTTGGCTGTCATGGGACAGAATTTGATCCTTAATATGAATGATCATGGATTCACCGTATGCGCCTTTAACCGAACAGTGAAATTAGTCGACGATTTTCTAGCCAATGAAGCCAAGGGAACCAAAATTATTGGGGCTCATTCAATCGAAGAGATGTGCAAGTAAGCATTTTTTCTGAAAAAAATAGACATTTTTCTTTGCAGAAAATTGAAACGCCCACGCCGTGTTATGATGTTGATTAAAGCTGGAACACCAGTCGATTCGATGATCAACGCAATTGTTCCACATTTAGAAAAAAGGCGATATTATTATTGATGGTGGAAATTCAGAATATACTGATTCAAATGTAAGAAACTGATTTTTTGCTTGCTTTTTTCCGAGTTTCATGCTCAAAAACTGCTCACATTTCCATTTATGCTCTATGAATGCATAATTTTCAACATTTTTCGGAAAAAAAAGTTCAAAATTCCCTCTCAAATTTTTTGGCAAACCGGAGAAAAACTTCCGATATTTCCAAAACAAAAAATCACCCCACTCTCCAAAAAAATTCCAATTTTCCTGCAAACACTTTTTCATACACACAACACAATCAAAATTGCTTATCATTTCACACGAAAAAACAATGTGATAGACACATTTTGTCTGCATCTTTTCGGCCTCTCCAAAAAATTCAAATTTTTTTCCAGAGACGCGCCAAAGAACTCGGCGAAAAGGGAATTCATTTCGTCGGATGCGGAGTTTCGGGAGGAGAAGAAGGTGAATTTTATTCAAAATATTATGAAAAATATCACATTATGCTTAAAAATTAAAATATCACATGGGGTAATTCAGTCTTCTTCAATTGAAGGCGCGTGGGCGACAGGAAGAGAATTTGTAGAATCATCTGAAAACTTCAATTAGAATTCATTCACAAAACAGCTCGAAAAATCATACTTGTTTTCAAAATCGAAACTTTCGAATCAGCTGAATAGTATTTTTTCGGGATCGGTTTATTGATCACAGTCAGCCAAAAAGTTGAATAAACTGGTTTGTGATCGGAAGGACATGGTCCCCGAAGCGAATCGTATTTGCAAATTTGAATCCAGTCGGGATTTCGGGACCAGTAGAGAACACGGTCCTAGAAGAAATTGATTTTTGTCGAAATTTGATTGGGGTTTTGCTTGAAAGTTTTCGGAAAATTCCCATACCGTGAAAGACGGTATACGTTTTGCCACGTAGTTATCCGTATCCGGTTCGAATTTATGCGTTGGTGCAAATCTGATGGGCGGCTCTGCAAACTCGGAAAACGCGATTCCTTTTCCTCGAAGTGTCGCGAGCTCTTCTTCTTCCAAAACTTTATCATAAGTTTCACTATCAATTTTATCAAACTCTTTCCAATCTAATTGATTATCATTAGTCACCCGGAAATTCAAGTCACCAGTCCAAAATACGACCTAGAAAGAATAGCAAAAAATTGAAAAGGTTTTTGCCGGACTTAAAAAAATGCTCACATCTGAAGAAAATAAATCATGGTTTCCTGTTGCATGAAATTTCTTCAATGAAGCGAATCGAAGCGTTTTCACGATTTTTACATAATCTTGAACACGCGCTTGTGACGTGGCGTCTAGAAACAATTGGTTGTTTTTCTATAGAACTTTACAAGATGCAGGAACTCACGAGATAAATGACAACCGATAAACACAATCCATCGTTGATAAAGTCGAAGGCAAACTGCGATGGCGCCTTTTGTACGAACGGGTTTTGCCATTGCACCAGAAGAGACAAATGACACTTGGGGTTCTAGAGGAATTATGTTATTTTTTTGAGTTAGAAGAAGTCTGTGTTCAAAAAATTTCTCACGATTTGATGTTTGTGTATGTTCATGTTTTTAATCGAATCTGATTATTTTTTAGTACAAAAATTCAGTTTTCTTCGTTAGAAAATTCCCAATAATTGTTTTAAGAATTCTAGTGCTCAATTTCGATATTGAGGATAATTTTCCAAAGAGGCCAAAATCTTCAGTTTTGATCGAAAGTTCAGAAAACCGAATTTTATTCCCTGAATTCCCTTGAGACTCAAAAATAAGAATAACCCAATTTTCGTGTAAACTTACGTATTGCATATTTCAAATGTTGTTTTCGAATAAAAACGATAACCATTTGAGACCAAGCTCGATGAGAAAGATAAAGGCTATGCGTTTTCAAAACGGGTTCAAGGATTTTCAGTGCTTCTTCGTGGAATGTTCTTAAATCACAATTTTATAGGTTTTGAATAGATTTCTTAACTCACTTCGCTGTTGATGGAATTTCCTGAAGGCAGATGAAAATCACATCACTATCCATATTCTCATAATTTTCCGTGATTTTTTGTGCCAAATAATTAAGAACTTTCACCGATTTTTCATTCATATTCCATGTGATCGATGAAACTTTTAATCGTCTATCCGACATTTTCGCAATATCTTCGTATGAAACAATTGGAACATTACCAAATCCTTTGATCGGAAGTCTGTTAAATGGACAAATATACATTTGAAATTAGTATTCATAAATATAGCAAAAATATTAATAAATTACCCGCCACTGCTTTCCGAGTCGTAACAATATGTCCAATTTCCGTCGCTGATCTCTCTGACTGAAAAAAAGGCGAAAAGAATAGATTTTTTGTTTGACGTAGGCGGCACTAGGGATTAAACAATTGACAAGATTAAAAACAACTCACATTCTCCATTGTGTTGTCGCCATGGAGCGGGTTGAGAACTTGAACGAATCCATGGTGGTTGACGATTGTATGAACGAGTTTGGCTTGAAGAAGTCGAATTCTCGACTTGTTGTTGTTCCATTGATGATTGTTGGGATAATGGTGGAGTTGTAGTTGGTGTCGTGGTTTGATTTGGTGTAGAATTAGCATCTAGAATAAATCAGGATTTTCTGAGGTACTTGATTTTGAGATTTTCAATTTTTATTATTGTCTTCCCATGTTTTATATTCATTTTGAAACGGCATTCCGATTTTTTACTTCTGAAAAAACACTGGAAATTAGTGCTTTTCCGAAAAATGAATTATGACGTCGAAAACATTTGTGAATATAAATGAATGGAAAAGCTACAATCTGAGTTCAATTTTTTCTGAAAATCCGGATTACAGTATCCATTTTTTTAAATTGAGTTTGCTAGACTTGAATGTAAAAATGGATTATTTAATTAATTTTCCGCACGGTTACGTGAAAAATCCAACACTATTAAATCATTTCAAATTTTATTAATTCGTCAAAATGGTTGGATTTCGAGTGAAGTGAGTTTCAGCTATTTATTTGTTTTTCTTCAAAAATGAGGACCGAAATTCGAGATTTCTGATGTTTTCAAATTTTCTTTAACAAAGCACATATCTCGAGTGCGATAGTTCTAACCTTTAAAAAAGTTTAGGGCTTAACCTACATTTTCGACTTGAATTTCTGTGGAGATTTAAAATCCGATGAGCCACCAGCATCTTAAACTAGACACGAAAAATTAATGATCAGAAATAAATATTTTTGTTAACCACGAGACATTTTCATTAAATATGTAAGTGTTTTCATCGCAAATATCCGGTCGCCTCACACATTTTCCCCTTACTGATATATTTATTATACATCCTAATCTATGACCAGTCAAAACTATTAAATAAGAAATAATTCATAAACTCACCCAAATATGTTTTTCATTTCACAGCTATATTGCTCTTCGAGCAATAAAAAAGGGTAGAATGGGAAAAGAATTCGAAGAAGTGCGTAGTGAGACAAAAAAAAAAGAAAACGACAAAAAGTGGACCATAGTGATGGTTGCCTAGGAGCTATAGTTAGTTAGAAAAGAATGCCCATTGTTGAAAAAAAGTGATACTTTTTTGATTGGGGAAGAATAGGAAGATATTTGCCAGTTAGCCTAACTAGATAATCAAGGGTTGATTGAAAACGGATTGATTTTTAACGAGAAGAGTTGAAATTGACGGCCTCCTGGTTCTGCCATGTGCTCATTTTTGGCACTAAAAATTATGTTAAAAATCTAGTGTTCAAACTTTATTTTGCCATGTGGATTTTTCATAATATTTTTGAGGCTTTGCCACGTGGATTTTTTTGAGAGTTGAAAGAAAGAGTCTAATTCAAAGGCTCGTAAGTTTTGCAAATGTATTTGCTTTACATTTTTTATCAAATTTGAAAATTATAATCAAATTTGACCCTAAATTCCACGTCTCAAACACCAAATTTTCACATTAAATATTTTTTTGATCTTTCCCCAAAGGACTTCCGCCGGAAATTAACTAGATTCTGTTTCAAATTCAAATTTCTAGGAAACATTGAACCCAAAAACTATTCAGACTTACCAAAAGTATAACTGCGTAACATCAATTTTCGAATCATATTTATTCTCGAAGACGAAACGTTTTTTCTTGGTTTTCGTTTTTTGGATTGAACGAAAATTGAAAAAGACGTCTGGCTGTTGGCTGGTTAATTTGTATCCCTCGAGATGTGTGTTTTGTTGGCCGCCTTTTTTACGCTATAATAAAAAATGAGGGCGAGTAAATGATTATTCTCAAGAAGCGATCTTGAAATCGATTTTTGCACAAAAATATATAAAAGAACGGCGAAAAATAAACGCATGAATAAAAAATGCGCTATAAAAAAATTGATGAAAAAAACGTTTCATATATATGATAACGAGAAAATGTACAAATATGGCCGAAAAAAGTATAAATTATAGAAATTATGGGAAATGTGCTTGGAAGAATTGGAGAAAAATAATGTATTTTTATCGGAAAATTTTTGAGATTTTTTGGGGGAGAAAATGGGAGAGAATGTGAAGATGAATAATACCTCACCTGGGGAATAAAAATGGCTATGAGGCATACTTATTAGTCATCTTATGTTTGTGTTTTGGTTACCTTTTTTGATTGACTATAATTTTAGTTTATAAAACCTAGTATAGATGATTTTCTAGGAAAACTCGCGAGGCATTTATTAGTCATATTTTTCACCTTTTCCCGTTTCAAAATAAGCATCTGAGAGGAAATTTAGTGTTCAAAAATTTATAGAAAAGTGTAAAAAGTTATGGGATTTTTAAATGTTTTTTTTGTGTTGAAAAACCGATGGTTTTTTTCTAGAAGAGCCTCGGAAAAGTGTAATAAATGTATAGTTTTTCGAAAAAAATAGACAAAAATTGTATGATTGAACATACAAATGTAGAAGGGTTTTGAAGGAAAAAGGCTGGAATTTCAGAGATTGCATACCGCTTCGATTTAAGAAAATGTTTGTTAAACATAATTTCTCAATATATGCAATATAGAAAACCTTTGATTTTTAGTGTAGAAATAAGTACAACCAGTTTTCAGTTAGAAATTTGGTATTTTCACATCTTTATATACGAAAAAAAACTCCAGTTGGTTCCTCTCAATTTTAAAAATCTTTCAGGTGCTCGATATGGTCCATCTTTGATGCCAGGAGGTGATCCAGCCGCATGGCCCCATCTCAAAAACATTTTCCAATCAATCGCCGCCAAAGCCGACGGTGAACCATGTTGTGAATGGGTCGGAAATGCTGGATCCGGTCATTTCGTCAAAATGGTTCATAATGGAATCGAATACGGTGATATGCAATTAATCGCCGAAGCTTATCATTTATTATACAAAGCTGTTGGTTTGAATCATGATCAAATGGCTGAAGTGCTACAAGATTGGAATAAAGGAGAACTCGATTCATTTTTGATTGAAATTACTGCGAATATTTTGAAATATCGTGATGAAAATGGTGAACCAATTGTTCCAAAAATTCGTGATGCTGCGGGTCAAAAAGGAACTGGAAAATGGACTTGTTTCGCTGCATTGGATTATGGAATTCCGGTAACTTTGATTGGAGAAGCTGTGTTTGCTAGATGTTTGTCGGCATTGAAAGACGAACGTGTTCGAGCTGCCAAACAATTGCCACGACCAACTGTTTCATCGGATGTTGTTATTCAAGATAAGAGAGAATTTATTAAGCAGATTAGCAAGGTTAGTGAGATCATTGAAGGAAAATCTGAAAATTACAGTACTTTATTTAATTTTTTACAAATAACTGATTTCTCCCAAAAGTGTTTCAAAGTCAATAATCCTGAAAAAGATCTTCGAATTTGAATAAATTTCTAGAAAAACATAGATTTTGTATTGAAAAATTCAGATAAATTGTCCATATTTGAATTTCTTTGTCATGATCAATCAAAATTAAAAAAAAATTCATTCCTGGAAAATTTGAATTTTCATGAAGAACACAGGTTTTTTCATCATCTAATTTTATTCCAGGCACTTTACGCCTCAAAAATTGTGAGTTATGCACAAGGATTTATGCTTCTCGCTGAAGCTTCCAAACAATTCAATTGGGATTTGAATTTCGGAGCAATCGCTTTGATGTGGAGAGGAGGATGTATTATCAGATCACGATTCTTGGGAGATATCAAACGAGCTTTTGATAGTAATAAACAATTGTCGAATCTTCTTTTGGATACATTCTTCACTAATGCAATTGCTGAAGCTCAAGATTCGTGGAGAGTTGTTGTTTCGTCGGCTGTTCGTCTTGGAATTCCAGTTCCAGCACTTTCTTCGGCTCTTGCTTTTTATGATGGTTATTCGAGCGAGGTTAGTGTTTTTTTTTGTTGAAAATATTGGGTATTAGCCTAAAAGTGGGGAAAAATATTGATATCATAAAAATCCGCATGTCTACCTAAAAATTTGAAAATAAAATTCCATATTCTTCATGGAAACTGTTTCACCCACAAATCCCTGTAATTTTCTTTTTGAAAATTTGAAGAATTCTAATTTCCCTGAACCACATGATCCCTTTTTTTAAGTTCACATTCTTCCTTTATGCGAACAAAAACTTGATAAACTGTGTTTTCTTCTTATCTACACTGCGCTTTATTTATTTATTATTTATCTTTTATTCCCTGATGGAGAAAATAATGATGATGAACAAAAAACAAGCGAAAAACAAGTTATCAAAAAGAATTTCTAAACGAATTCTTTTTTTCCTCAAAAATTTCAGAAAAAGTAATTATGCAAAAAAAAAGTCAATAATTTCTTGCAGGTTGTTCCCGCCAATTTGCTCCAAGCACAACGCGATTATTTCGGCGCGCACACTTATGAACTTCTCGAAAAACCTGGAACATGGGTTCATACTAACTGGACTGGACACGGTGGACGTGTCACTTCTAACACTTATAACGCCTAATTGATTTATTTTTCCGATTTCATTTTTTCTCGAGAAAATTACACATATATTACGTGATATTCACGCAACTCTGTGATTTTTTACATGTTTTTTTTTCCATTATTCAGTTTTTTTTCTTTATTTTTAGTTTTTAACATAAAATTACGTATTTTTTCAACCTACGAAAGGTGTTTTTTTGACCCGAAACGATCAAAATACCTTGTTGACTTGTTTTTTCAGACTGTGACTCTATATATTTTTTATCAGTCAGTCAGTTTTTGTTTCGCGCGAAGGTCATTGACCAGTTTGTTTTTTTGCATGTGAATATTTACACAGTGTATGCTTCTTTGGTGTGTACTTTTGAACTTTCTTTTGTTGCGTCACGGTTGTTTTTGAGGAACCCAAAGTGCGAAGTTTTGAAAATGGTGATATCCGGTACATGGGATGATTTTTTGGAATGAAAATTGAAAATTTAGATTTTCTGAATAATACAATTTCTGAGAAATTTAAATCTACTACAGAATTCTAATCAAATAAAATTTGAAATTTACAATTTCTGAAACTTTGGGATTTTCAGAAATATCACAACTTAATTTGAATTTTTTAAGATCTTGAAATTTTCAAAACTTCAGAATCTTCTGAAATTTTAAAACTCTTCCTGAATCTTTAAGGTTCATGTAAATTTTAAATTTCTCTCTAAAGATTTTCTAAAATTGCTGACTTCTCCTCTACTTTTTCTCGACGTAAAACTGAATATTTTTATTTTCAAATAAAAAGTAAGAAAATCTCCATCATATTTTTTTCACTATCATTCTCATTTTTATTTTCATTTTCCCCCAATCAATTGATTGATGTCTTTTTCTTCCGAAAGTCCTTGAACTACACGACCCCCTTCTTCATCTGAAATCTTGAGTTCGATTTCAACTTTCACATGAAAATCAGTGAATTAAAAAACATAAATATCAAAATGTTTATTTTTTGATTTAAGAGTCGTTGAGATGATTATTCGGCCACCGTCATCATTTTTATTTACATGTACTAATAATAAAAAATAATTAGATTTTGGCAGGTATGAAGAATAAGAAAAAATAAGAATAGAGAAATTAATGAGCAAAAATTGAGATCTGAAAAGGTTCACAGAAATCTGGAACTTTAAAAATTCGGGAGTCTTTTGGGAGAAATTTGGGATTCTGAAAAATTGTTTTCAAGATAAATTCTGACAAGATTTCAGAAGGTTCAGAAGGTTCTAAAAAGTTCTGGAATTGTTCCAGAATTTTCAGATTGTCTGAAAAAACACCATTACTTCTCCTGGACCCTCTCTGAAAGCTCTTGAAGTCAAGAAGATCTGAAGTTCTGAAACTTTAAAAAAACTTTCTCTAGGCTCATTTCAGTTTCTATTGTGAAAAACTGGTTTTCAGCTTCAAAATTTTCCTGTAATAAATACATCGAACTCTATTTTATAATTAAAAATATTTATTCTTTGGACAGATTTTGTGAGACCCGTCAAACAAATAAATTATGCTAAAAAGCATAAATGTCATGAAAATTGCACAAAATGTACATCTCGCGGTGAACAACAAAATTCAAATTGAAATTTCAGATTTTTGTCTCAAAACAAATGAGAACGTCTTAAAGCATTGATTTAAAGTGTGATTTGTGATTGATTTCGAGGGTCAATTTCTAATCGCTAAGATCTGGTGAGCTGATTGTTCGACGGAGCACAGATTCTAGAACTGGACGAAGAGCATTACGAATTTTCTTCTCGTCTTGTGGAATTTGCACTTGAGCAGTTTCAGTTCCATTTTTCATTTTCTCTTCGACAGTTTTTTCGGATGAAGTATCTTCTTCCTCGTCATCTCCGATTTTGTGCGAATATGCAAATTGATCCTTATTTGGTAATTGATAGATAACATTTTCCAATTCTTCGGCAACCGTCGATACATTCATCTGAATTTTTTTCGACCATCTTTGTGGCCGACTCAATTTCTTGCCATCTTCTTCATTTTCGCCAAATTCAGCAACGATTTCTATAAAACAAGAAGAGGTTGTTTTGTATTTTCAATTATGCACTATTATCTTCTTACCTTTGCTATCTTCAACTTTTTTATTTCTTAACCACATCCATAATCGAACGATTGGAGCACGTTGACCTGGTTTACGTGGCAAAACAACAAAGAGCAATAATTGGATAAATGAGATGAATGAGCCAACGCCATTTGGGAACTAAAAGAAAATAATTTTTGAAATATAAGTTTTTTGGAATAAGTTTGACTTACAATAAGATAGAAATCGTTTCTCAACAATCCATAAAGGAACCATTCAGATGAAACCAAAAAGTTTGCAATACACAATGGAAGTGGCAAAGTTGAAGTGGCATGTCGACGAATAACAACTTTAAGTCCAGCAAGTGGAGCAGCAAAATCAGCAATATTCAAAGTTAGGCAAACGATTCCCAAAGGATGGAAGATCGCCATTCCGAAGAAATGAACGCCAAGCACTAAACTGGTGCAAATTGCGATAACTCCAGCCACTTTCAATGTGATCCAAAACTTCTTTTTTGTCATGAACCAATAAAAAATAGTATAAGTTGTGTAGAGGATAACTTGACAACCTGTCACCCATTTTACTGTTCCGTCATTTTTCAATAATCCATAAGTCATCCAGCAGCAACCACCAACAACACCCATCAAAAATGGTGCACCAGAAATCTCATTGGTGTCTTTACGTTTCCAGATTTGTCGACAAATTGGACTAGAAAGAATTGAATTAGATTTTTGACAAACTTTTTAATCCCCTGATCTCCCCTGGTTAAAATTCAAAAAAAATAAACTTACATTCCACAAAAGAATAGTCCAACTGTAGTGAAAAAGGCCAAAATCGAAAGTAAATTCAAAAAGGAGAAACCCTCGGTGAAAATTTCAAACATGGTGTATTTTTTTCGCGGTTGTTTGAAAGTGAGTGTTGTGGTTAACCACCGACACGCACTTTTGTATCATACACATTTCACATTTAGCACCGCCCATTTTTTGGGCAAAAAAGTCTCCGCCTCTATTTTTCGTCGCTTCTTTGATACGGTATTTTTGAGATGTGAATTGAGCCAATTTGGAAGATGGTATGAGTCAGAAGTGAGACTATTTTTGAGCATGTTTTTTGTGTATGATGTTTGATGTGGAACATAGAGAAAATACGTTGCGATTTCATGTTAGATATAAAAATAAAATGTAGGTAAACGTGAAGAATTGAGATGTTGATAAGGGGAAAAATAATAGTGAAATTTGAGATCTAAAAAGCTCGAAAATTTAAGATTGTGAAGTTCAGAATGAGGTGTGAAAGAGGAACCCACTACAGTACACTTTGTCGGAATTTCGTTTAAAGTCTGATACTTTTTCGGTAATTTGGTTTAGAGTATTTGCAGATTTTTTGAAGCTACAGTTTTTTGTTCAAGATGATATTTTGAAGAAAAACTGTAGAAAACTTGTAGGTGGGGAAATTATGGATTTGGCAATCAAAACTTTCAGAATAATTAAATCTTCTCTCACAATGCATTCCAAATTTTTCTCCCAAAGTTCTAAAATTCAACAAAATTTTCTTGATTTTCCTTTGATCAGTATTTGAGCCTGTCAGATAATTGGCTCAAATTTCTGCCTATTTCTGGTATTCAATGCACTTCTTTGACCAGTCACTGAGCTATTCGGTCATTTTTTAAAATACAATAAGAACAATACAGAAAAAAATAATAGCACGGTGGGATATTTTTTCTTTCTACAAAATAAAATCACACAAGACATATTTCAGAGATCGACTATGAATTCGCCAAATTAATCGTATTCTTCATGTGAAACGGAACAAATTTGTACCTAAAAAAACAAATGTTACACGATCTGGAGTTAGCCTAACTTATCATAGTTCATCAGATCACTAACTACAGTACTTTTGATAAGAATTTAGAGATGTCATAGTTGGTCGTTGGTCATATCTTCTTCTTCTTCTTCTTTTTTTTCTCAATTTCACACTTATTATTCGCTATATTCTATTGTTTTTTTCTTCAATACAAACGTGGTCTCATTAGACAAACTAGTTACAAGTTCAAAATTCGACAAGTTCAAAGAATCTTATTTCACATGCTTCGAAATTCGAAATCACATGCGTGCGTACAAAAATGTAATCAAGCAATCAATCAATTTTTCAAATACGATGAACTTCTCCTTCTTCTGATAAATATTGAAAAAAACTATGAATCAAGAAGGAAATAGATATGAAGAAGGTTAAAAATCAAAAGATTTTTTGAACTTCTTAGCTGAATTGATCTGAAAGGGGAAGTGATTTTGGTTCGAAGAAAAAGTGATATGAGAACAAAAAACCGGACTTTGAGTTTTTAGGTGATCAATTTGGAGAAGTTTTTTTTTCAAACAAGGAACCTTTTTTTAGAATCAGAAACTTTTTTTCTAATTGTAAAGAAATTGGTGAGTTGAGATTTTTTTTAAAGTTTCAAGTAACAAGACTGGCACAAAGTTTTGAGGCAGTAAAGAAGCTGGAAAACGGTGCTGTGAATTTTTAGAAATTTTTTATTCATGAATAAATCTGACAAACACCCAAATTTCTGCAAACCAAAAAATAAAATCTTTGCATACTGTGGAAATAGCTGGTTTCTCTCTAATCTAATAATAATTTTTCACAGACTTGTTCGAAGTTGTACACGTATTATCAAAATCAATCGATCTGTCTATCTACACACAACATCTATATTTCTTTCTACAACAAATAAATATGAGAAAATGATATCACTTAACTGTAACCCTTCCTTGTGTGTAAAATGGTTTGAACCCCCCAAGATTTTGATTGATGATGTTCGTCGACTTGGAGATTCCATATCATTGAATGTTCTCATTTTTCTTCGTTTTTATTTAAAAATAACTAGAAATACATGTGATTTCACGGGGTTTTTAGGCATGCGATGTTTTATTGAACTTGACACGGTGTGTAATGAATTCAGAGAACTTGGTCTTATCAATCAATGGTATGGAAATAGTTTTGTTTGTTTTATATAAGGCAAAAAATAACGGTGTTATGATTTTTCTGATATCAAACATCTAGTTAGTTAGTTAGCAAAACATCTTATCATTTTCATTTTTTGGCACTGGGAAATCATTGAAAAAATAGTTCGGTGGTGATCACAAATCGGAACTTTCTTGCAGACTGAAACTACGTAGTTGCAATTTTGAAAATTAATTTTTTTTTTGAGAATTTAGGGCAAGTTTAAGGTAATGTTTTTTGAATTAATAACACGTATTTTTCGTAATTCTGAAGCATTTTTAAAAATTTTATCCACGTCATAACAAACATCTGAATTTCAAAAATCTGTACTGACTTCTGAATTTCAGAGCTGACGCTATTGAATTTTAATCGGATTTCAAACCCATTTTCTACCACGTTGAACTCATGTCCAGTTTTTCTCCCCAAAAGCATTTAAAAGAAACCGCAAACTTCTTGATCGAGCCGCTTTTTGAACGACTTGATCTCATTCTTCTTTGGCGGGAACATCGACAAGATTCAACGAAATCAAAAAATTGTGATGTCATGTGGTCATTGTGAACACAACAATCATTAGTCTACTGTAATTTATGGGATTTTTTCTGCTACTGTCAACACGTGAAATCAAGAATGATATCAGGTCAAATTGTTCATCAAACATCCGTTATTTTGTAAGTAAATATCGTGTATTGATTGATTTTTGTCGTCGTCTTTCCACATGGCAAATGACAATGTTGAAAACAATAACAACGATGAAAAAAAACTAGAAAATTCCTCATGCTTTTTCGAAATATCATTTTTTTTATTACACTTATTTTTAGGCTGACCATTGTTGTCTCGGACGTTTTGGTAAGACCGAAGAGTGGCGGGGTTTGGAGAAATAAATATATATTTGAGACACACACATAAAAACAGATAAGATAAAAAACATAGAGAAGTTTGATGAGACTTCTTCTAACAAGGGACCGTTTTCGGAAAAGAGGGAATTAGAAAAGTAGGCCCTGAAGAGTTTGCTCAAGCCTGATTTTTTGAGGATCAAAGAACCTATCTTGAAAATTCTTTTTGGAAAAATGGTCCCTACTGGTTCTATCCAGAATTTGTTTGAAATTCCTAAGTCTGATCCTAAGAATACTCCAAATAAGTTCTCATTTTCGAAACCACAAAGAAACTACTGTAGAGCGCATTTTTCGCATGACTCACGTTTTTTGTTATTTATGTGGTCCTTTTTTTTCCGAAAACAGAAAACACGGGGTTTCCCCGAAAAAATTGCCTGCAATTTTGAATCTTCAAAAATTGTTGTGTTTTTTGTTTTTTGTATTTTATTTTTGAAAATAAATATGTCGATACATGTAAATAAAAGGGTGAATAAAGAATAGGGCCAAAAAGGGCTTTCGAGTTTTCAAAACTTGAGAAAATCAGATTTTTAACATTGCTCATGTTAAACTCTCATTAATTTATGTGTAAAAATCACATGTGAAAAACACAAAAAGAACTTATTTGAAGTTTTTTGAAAACATTTTTGGATCAGTCTTTTGACATTACTCATATTGAACTAAAGTCATTTCCTTTTCAGATTGGGAATAAACAAGTTTTACCTCCAAACTCTGAAAGATACTGTACTTTGCACCCGCGCAGTCCAAAAAAAAATCAATCAAGTACTTCTGTACCCAATGTAGTGAAAAATGATAAGAATGTTTGAAATTAATTACTATTTGGATAGATAGTAGTAAATAAATAGAAACGCAACGCATCAGGTCAAAAAATCTATGTCAATGACAGGAAAACAAAAAAACTTACAAAATTGAAAAATAAAAAAAGATGAAAAAATAAAATAAAATAAATGATAACCCATAAAACGTGAAAAATGGCTCATTTTTAGTTGATAAACCTTATTAAAAACAGTCGGTTTTCGAAAAAAAAAAACAAACTCGAAGAGGAGAAAATGAATATCCCACCAGGTAGATCAAAACATCGTATAAGATAGAAAATTCGGAATATTTTCAGGAGTATGGCGTTTGGATGCCATTGTTATGGGATTGTATCAATTGGCGCTGTTTTTTGCAGCTCAATTGATTATTGTCAACTTTCTCGAGTATACACCGAAAACATATTGTAATAATGGTAAGTAATCTACAAGAATTTTTCAGCTAGGAAGAATTTTTAGCTGAAGCTAACATGTAAGGTGTTTGCGAGCTCATCGAATCCGAATTCCACGTATCAACATGTTTAATTTAACGTGGCAGTCAAAATACACGTGGCAAATTTCACGTCGAAAATTATTTTTTTAAATAATTTTAAAAATTCAAACAAGAATTGTTGAAAAAGGAAGTTCTCCTGCGAAATTTTGTGACTTTCTAGAAAAATATGAAATCAAACAGGAAAAAATCTCCTGATGTTTTGGATTTTCATGTTTTTCAATTGGAAAAATCCAGCACTTTCTCAGAAATTCGCTGGCCAGCTCGCCACCAGAACACATTTTCTACTGCATTTTCTACTGTTTTTTCACTTCCTAAGGTTTCAAGTGCTGCGAAAAAACAGAAAATGAGCCAAATTTTTCGAAAATGCCTCAATTCACAAGTTTTTCAGACATTTGCATGAAAATTCATTTTGACGCGGCGAAGTGGCCACCACGTGGTAGCTATGTGGCCGTGACCTAGCCAGAGCCTGGCCACCTTGCCAGCAAAAAAAACCGGGCGACATGGTTTCCATGTGGTCCCCACCTGGTGGCGAGCTGGCCAGCGAATCTCTGAGTTTGAAGCACAACGCTTTCAAAAATGTTACTGTAGTTTACAAAAGTGTTTGCGACTTTGCGGTTCTCACACTGAACCTTACGCGCATTATTTTAATTTTTTTCGTGCGCACAAAAAGTTGTTTAAACAACATTTTCAGCCGATTTCTGCTATAAAACAAAGGATAAATGTCTGGATCACTACGATCGCGAAGCTCCAAATCTCTGCAACAAAGATTCTTCGGATTTCGTGAGTTTTCCTAGAAAAAAAGACTTTTAAACAGTTTTAAAACTGAAAATTTACAGAATCACTGTGTTAAGGAGATGAAATATGTATATTATGATTCTGCGCAGTTACAATATCAACACGATTGTGAAAATTGGTCATACTAGTAAGATTTTTGTCAAAAAGACTGCTCTTATATCAAATTATTTCCAGCTTCTCTGCCACAACAGCAATGTACATCGGAGTTCTTCTATCTAGTTTGGTTTTGGGTGTCTTGGCTGATAGATTCGGAAGAAGACCAATATTTTTCGTTGCCGTTGGATTTGGTGTTATTGGAATGGTAGGAGCAGCAGCGCTTCCTGGTGTAAAATGGTATTATATTTTCCGAGTTATCACTGGAGTTGGTGTTGCTGGAGCACAAGTTGTTGGATGGTCTTATGGTTCCGAATTGATTTCAGCAAAACGAAGATTTCAATTAAGAACATTTTCGAATTGGGCTAATGCAAGAATTCTGATTGCACTCGTCGCAATTATTACACAAGATTGGCATTATTCGCTTTATCTTTGCGCATTGATTGTGCTCTGTATTGTTCCGATTCTTTGGTATTTACCAGAATCACCACTATTCTTGGAGCAAAAGAAGAAGACTGAAAAAGCTTTGAAAGCCAGGGAAAAAATTGAGAAGATTACCAAGATTCCGAATGAGTCGAAAAATGATGCACCCAAGAATCTGAAGAAGATCACGTTTTTCTCGATGTTGAAGAATCAAAGACTCAAGAAGAATTTCTATATTCTCTGTTTCATGTGAGTTGCATAATTTTCGAATTTTCCAAAATAAATATTTTCAGGTGGTTCTACGTTGGAATGGCGACTTATATCACAGATTTGAATGGTGGGGATATGTCCAAAAATATTTACATCGGTCAACTTTTATCCGGAATTATCCTAACTATTTCGAAAATTGCTATTGGGTTATTCGAACCTCACGCGCCTTGGTTTGGAAGACGAATGATGTTTTTCATATCACAGGGAATTGCAATTGTCGCGTATGTTGGAATTCTCATCGCTTTATACACGAATAATAAGGATAGTTGGTGGTATTTGGTGATGTATGTTTTGGCGTATTCTTTCCAACAAATGTGCACAGAAACTTTGTATTTATCTGTTGCTGAATTGATGCCAACTGATGTTCGAGCTACGGCAGCAGCTATTATGAATATTCTATTGAGAGTTGGAACTATTGTGGCCTCAACAACAGTGAGTACAACTTTTGAAAAAAAACTAGGTTTTGCGATTCTTCATTAAATTGATGAATAATGTAATCCGAAATTAAGCCAAAAATATGTTTTTTTTTTCAGAAACCTCTCAAATATTCCTACGAACCTGGCCTATTTTGGATCAATTTAGTTGTTTGCTGTTTCGGTGTTGTTGCAGTTTATCGATATTTGGAAGAATCAAGAAACGCAAATCTTCAAAATGTTGGACAAGAAGAAATCAAAGAATCAGATAAATCGAAAAGTGTGGCTTCATCTTCGAAAACCAGCATTGCATCGGAGAAATCTGGAAAATCCGAGAAATCGACGAAATCTACAAAGTCTGTCAAAAAAGGACTTTCATTGAAAAAATCAGCGACTTCGAATCGATCTGAATCTATCACCAAAACATTAATTAGTGAAACTGAGAAATCGACAAAATCCGAGAAATGAACACAATAAAGTTTTGCAGTACAGAACAATGTTTCTCTATTTGAATCCCGATATTAAACTGAGGTACTTTTCAAGATTAAACAAATGATGATCATAAATTTTCTATCGAACAGTTTTTTGAAAACACAGAAAGTTTAAAAAAAAAATGTCGGCCGCTTTTAAAGATAAGATTGTCCAAATCAAAACATTTGAGATCAAACGTTCTCAAAATGTTTTTTTTCTAGAAAAAAAATGCAATTTTCCCAAGTCGCCCTCAATTCTCAAAATTTAGAATAAGAAACAGAAATTGGAAAAAATAGTGCGCGACTTGAGGAGGGTCCCAAGACGAAACAAAATAGCGAGTAAACAATTTTCCTTAAAAAACCTCATCTTTTTCCAGAAATGAATATTTAGAGTTTTTTTTTGAAGGCCACGTTTTAAAATTCGGACTATAATTTCAATAATTTTTGAAGCGTTCCTTTGCCGTGCAGTTTCTCATTTTTCTGGAGCTCAAAATGCACTTTTTAAGGGATTAGGATTAAAGTATGGCAATATCTATGGGATTAGCTAAATGGCACCGAAACAGGCTTCTTTTTTCCTCTCAAAATTTTATAGTTTTCAAAATTCACGTAGAATAGAATTTTTCGCATAGGAAAACAATTCGAAATTCTGAATAATTGATATTTTTGGAACTTTTTATTATTGGAATTTTGGCTTCAAAAATGAGTCTAAAATTTAATTTTTTTGAATTTTGAAAAATGCTTTGCCACTTCATATTTCATTGTATCTTTTCAAGTTCATAGAACACAAGTTGTTCTAACAAAGAAGATCTCTCATCATTTTGTAATATTTTATGAAAAATTAGTTCAACGCGATCAATTTTTGTCTTCTTTTTGATTCGACACAAAAAAAACATCTTTAAAAGTGTGATATTTCTCGCAAAACTTTGATATTTCTTATCATCTCAAAAACTTTTTTTTGAATTCTTTATTTTTTATTTTGTTTTATTTTTCTGTTGGAAAATATTGACATTTCCCTTTCCGATCAATTTAACGTGTTAATTGGTTTTTTTTCTGGCCATGAATCAGAATTCATAGAAAGAGTACATTTCTGTTGAATGAAATAAAAAATAAAAATAAATATGAAAAAGAGGAAAGAAGAAGAGAGCCCGCCTTTTTTCTCTAAACCTCTTCGTTTTTCTCTGATTTTTCGGTTGGCGACCATTGAAGGCTTTTTTGCGTTTTGTTAATGTTTCTGTCTGCATCTGTTTCGTGTTGACCATTTGCCATTTTTTGAATGGTTTTGGGTTTTTTTTTCATGAAATGAGCCCGTGATTCCGAAATTAGAACAAATTTCAAGAACTTCTATTTTTCGTGGATTCATTTTGCATATTTTTGGAATCGCGGACTCAGATCTCAAACAAATTTTTTCAAAAATTTTCATTCCGATGTATTTTTTAAAGTTCTTCAAATCCGCCCCACTCATTTTCAAAACCAATTTTCAAAATTAATTTCTATTTAGAAAATGGGGCAATGGCGGTTGGATCTTGGGTTGATGGTTTTATACCAACTCACACTTTTCTTCTCGGCTCAAATGCTTTTTGTCATTTTTCTCGAATACATGCCATCCACATATTGTGATGCAAGTTAGTCTTTTTTTTGAAGAGGGTTCAGCGATCAAAATGTTACCCTAAACAAACACGTGTTTGTTGAGTGACAATAAATGATCTATGCTCTAACTTTTTTCTAGATAATCATTGTCACAAGTTGCGAAGCAAATGTTTGACCGATTATGATCCAAATCAACAAAGTCTCTGTCCACTCAACGCACCTCCAACAGATCAATGTGTTTTGGAAAAAAAGAAGATCGATTTCATATCTGCGCAATATGAATATCAACAAGATTGCACATCTCTCAGATCTTTTTCAGCATCGAGTGCAACATTTTTGGGAACTTTGATTGGAAATATTGTTCTTGGTTATTTATCAGATCGACTTGGTCGAAAACCAGTTTATATTGCATCAGTAATCATCGGAGTTCCATCAATAATCTTCGGCGCTGCAATCAATCACATAGTTCCATATTATATTTTCCGATTTTGCATCGGATTTTCCATTGCTGGAACTCTGACAGTTGGTTGGACATATGGCTCTGAAATGGTCTCACCACGAATGCGATTCCGTTTGCGAACATTTTCAAATTGGGCAAACGCACGAATGATGCAAGTTGGAGTAGCTTATTTGGCTGGCGAATGGCGATTGACATCTTATATTTGTGCTGCCATCTCGTTTTTGATTCTACCGATTATGGCAATTCTACCAGAAAGTCCGGTGTATTTGGAGCAAAAGAGAAAATATGAACGAGCTGCTGTTGCGAGAAAAAGAATTGCTGTCTTGACAGGAGATCCGTACGAGGAAAGAACTTATGCTGATGAAAAACCATTAAAGAAGATCACTTTGAAAATAATGTTCCAAAGTCCGACGCTTCGCAAAAATTTTGCTGTGTTATGTTTAATGTAAGTTTGGAGGATAGTAGGGAGAATGGAACTTGAAAGCTCAAAAAATTTTCTGATAAAAAGGTTCTAGAAGGTTTTTGATTGAATTCTAGAAGGTTTCCAAGTGAAGGCTCTTAATTATCACAAATTTACTCTTAAATCTCCGAAAAATCCCTTTCCTATTCTTGCGAAACCAAAAAACCTCAATTTTTCAGGTGGTTTTACGTTGGAACTGTCAGTTTTATCACCGATCTCAATGGCAGTGATATGTCATCAAATTTATATGTCGGACAATTTTTCTCGGGTCTCATTTTATCGATGGCTGGAATTGTGAGTTCGGGATCAGAGAACGATTTCAGGAAAAAGGAACAGGTGTTGAGTGTCTGTTTGCAACAAACATGTGCGAACTTTGAGAGAAAAGTGCAATTGTTTGAAGTGGAAAGAAACACATTTTGTACACTGATCTAAACATGTGATTTTGGAAGAAAAATGGGGGAAACCCATGAGGTTTTGATTGATATGACGTCACAAGGTATCAGTAACACTCAATACAGATTTTGAAGTTTTCTAGCTAAAAACCAAAAAAATGACTGATTTTCTGATGACGTGGTAACTCAAAGAACGTTTGGATATCTCGAACTAGACTTTTTTCGGTTGAAAGGATTACATATTTTGATTAATGTTTAAAAAAAATGCACTTTTCTGATGACGTGGAAATATGAAACAACGGGAAATTTTGAGATTTTTTATCAGATGAAGTGATTATTTCCTCACAAACTTGAAGAATTTTTTTTCGATTTCTTTGATTCAAACTTAATTTCCAAAAACTGAAACCAAATATCCATTTTCAGTTCATCGGAACAGCCGAACCTTATTTACCATGGCTCGGAAGACGTACAGTATTCCTCGTAGCTCAATCAATCGCAATTGTCACTTATATTCTTATTTTGATCGCTTTATATACTGATCAAAAACAAACCACTTGGTATACAATTTCTTATATGTGTGCCTATGCATTCCAATCAATTTGTCTCGATTCTTGCTATTTGTGTCTAGCCGAATTGATCCCAACTGATTTGAGGAGTACTGTAGGAGCTATTGCTAATAATTTGTTCAAAGTTGGAACTATTCTTGCATCACTTTCGGTAAGTTAACCAAGTTGAAATTCATTCCCACGTTCAGAAAAAAACAGTGAAAAATCTCATTTTCTTCAGAAACCTTTGAAATACGCCTACGAGCCTGGACTTTTCTGGATCAATTTGATTTTGTCATCAATTGGAATTGTTGTCGTCTTTTTCTATTTGCCAGAATCAAGAAATATGAATTTGCAGACAGTTGGACAAGATGAGATTCAAGATAAAAATGGAGACATTGATGAAAAAGAAGAATTGACAAATCAAAAAGAAATTGAGCTCGATAAGTTTGGAAAGTAGATCTTTGTTAGAAAAATTTAATTAATTTATGTATGACACTTTGAACTTTATTTTTGTTTTTCAAAAATATATTATCACTTTATTCAAACAGGAATATTAGGGGCGGTGTCCCTAAGCGAAACAGTCAGAAAATCCTCAAAAATTCTAAATTTTGAAGAAACCCCTATTTTTCGCAGCTAAGCTGACGTGAGAGAAAATATTTCTTTTAAAAAGTTACGTCTGGGAATACGAATTGTGAAGTTTAATAAGTCATAGATTATAAAAGAAAAATCTAAAACAAACTGGAAATCGCGTGCATAAAACTATGAAAAAATTAATCTACCTATGAAATATTTCATAGTTTGTTTTTCAATAAAATCTATAGCTTCAAGTGTAATTCAGAGCTTCATCTAATCATTTAAACATAGTAATTTATACACAACTTTCCTTTAACATCAATAGTAATTATGAATAAAAAACTTTACCCAATATTTTTCAATGAAGCTCAAACCTCACCTGTTAGTTTTGTGCCCCCCCCCCCCAAACCTCAAAATAAACTAACTTGACTGGCCCGTTCCGTGAAAAGTTGTTGATCTCTTCGATCATCCTGTCCAAACGAAACATCTTGTTATTCGGAAGCCTGAAACTTCGACATTATTTTTCTCAAAATTTTCGCCTATTCTTAAACTTACTTCAGAAAATGAAAATTGTGAATTTCATGGGACCGCTGCATTCTGTGACTGTTGTCTCTGAAAAATAAGAAAATTAAAAAATGTACCAAACACCCCATTAATAACTTTTTCTGCGCTGAAAAAAACCACTCAAAAACCAGAAAAAAGCAAAAAATAAAAATGTCGTGCAAAAAAAAATAAAAGAAAAACAACGATACTCCGCGTGCGCGTTGTTTATACATTTCAAGAAAAACATTTTTGAAATGATTTTTTTTTATTTTGCGAAAAAAATGTTCACGTTATTATTTTAAGAATAAATATTTATTCGAAAAAAATCACGCTAGATTTATTTTTTATAGGTTGGACGCTCATTTCTTGAACTACTTTATTTGTATTCGGTCTGTCGTTCAATGTCAGCTCTCAATTAAACGTAAGTGGGAGTTTATTTTTCTTTCTATGACCCAGAGAAATTCCAGGTTGCTCGAGAATTCCGAATTGAGTGAGCCGATGTTGGTTTCGTTTCGCACTCCGATTTCAATGATGAAAACAAAATGAATTTGAGGATTTGGTTTGAGGATACAAATGCAACTCCTTTCAGGTCAGTTTAATGGGTTTTGGGTGAAAGAACACAGTGATTTGTGTTAAATTATATAAGGTAAGTTTGGGGTATATTTGTATAATGCATAATTTGAGACGAGATATGCACTCTCAGTTGCTCACAAGCTAGGACTTGTGGAAAAAAGAGGAAAATCCCTTAAAATGTTTTTTTTTTCATTTTTCTATTATTTTTATTGTTTTTAAAAAAAATATTCCAATTGTTTTCAACTAGCTTTTCAACTTCTATCGGATAATCAAATTAAAAAGTTTGTATTTTTTCTATTTCAAAAAAAAAAAAACTTTCTTTATTATAAAAAGTTTTCAAAAATAAAGCTTATCATAATTTAGCCATCGGTTTCTTTTCATCTAAATCGTCAATTTTCTTATGTTTAATAATTAATGATTCATCGATTGGTGAAAGAAGTTTCAAAATAATACTAAAAGCTGATCCGATAATTCCAATCATTGCAATGTATTTGAAACCATACGATTTGAGAATATTTGTAGCCATCAAAGGTGCAAAAGTTCGGAAAAGAGAGTTGAGAGCACTTGCTGTGCCAAGGACAATTCCCTGAAAAATTATTCGATGTTTTTCAGAAAGTTAGAAGGTTTCCCGAATTTTGTGTGATTTTAGTAATGCTTCGAAAGGGAAAAGGGAACGTATTATTTTTCAAATTGATCTTTCAAATAGCTTTCAGTGAATTTTCGTCTAGTGTCTATTTAACAGTTTCAAAATTATGTGAAAAATATTCTCCTATAAAGTCACACATTTTCTATTCTAGTCTAGACTTTACAATATTCTCATTCGAACTTTTAAACCCCTTCTTTGAATTCACAAACCTGTTCAGTCTCATCAACCAATGTGGTTAACAAACTATCACTGCAAGTTGCCACAACACTCATTCCAAGTGATAAAAACGGCATGATTAATAGTATCATCCAAAAATCATGAAAAATGAATGTCAACAGGATGTAACCAATTAACTGTAAACATATTTTAGTTAGAAATTGTCAAATGAATTTCGAAAAACTCACAAAAGATAAACTTCCAATTATTAAAAGTTGTTGCTCGTCGAATTTTTTGGCTAGATAAATTACACCGAAATAATTGGAAATAATTATATAGCTTCCAATAAATCCTTGAATCATTTGATCATTTGTACTTGTTGCGTGCATGTTTTGAATCATATAAAGCTGAAAACATTGCTCAGGTTAGAAAAGAACATAGTTATTGTAGAAGTTAAATTTTTGAAATTTGAAAAAAAATATGTAAGATTCTGATGTGAAAATATTTTCTTAGAAATTTTTTTTGCACTTCATCAAAAACTTACACTCAAAACCGACATGACTAGTTGAAACGGCACAATTGGTCCATTTTTCTTCACCAAAATACTGAAAACCCCCGGCAATTTCATAGTATAACAAATATTTTTGATAGTTGCATGCGTCGGATTCTCAACTGATTCTTTTTTATATTCCACGAAACGATAAACTAGGAAACATAGGAATACTGAAAATACGCTTGAAACTAGAAATGGGGCTTTGACTCCAAAAAGTTCCGTAGAAGATATTGAAAAAACTGGGATCAGAAAATAGCCAATTCCTAAAGTTGATCCCATTTTTGCAAATGCACTCGTTCTTTCTTTTCCAGCATTTGTTAAACTGGCTAATAATATTTGATGTGTTAGAACTCCTTGCATAAAAAGTGAGGGAATTTGCAGAAAAAGCATCGATTGATAATCAAATGCAAAAAATAACCCGATTCCTGAGATACACATAGATCCATATGAGATAAATAAAGCAAATCGAATTCCGAATTTTTGAATAACATATCCACATAAAAGTCCTCCAATCATTTGAAGAACTCCAGAAACTGTTTGAATACATCCAAATTGTGTTTCTGATAATCCGATATGTTTAATTAAATAAGGAATTGCTGTATATTGCAATTGAAATGTGATATTATAGAGAATAATTAAAATATAGGTTATTGATAGGGTTTTTGGGAATTTAAAACTTCCAACAATCAACACTTCTTTTTCATCAATCATAGCTATTATAGAAATTTTATTTGTCCTCTTATCATTCTAAATGCCATTAACCGTTTCGTTTTTTTCTGGGTTTTTTTCGCTGAAAAAAAGTTATGTAATTTTTTTTGGTAGAGAAAAATTGTTTAAATAGTTTTGGCCCGACATTCACACGATATTATGCAAATGTTAGTTTTTTTGTTTTAGAAAAATCAAAAATGATAGCCAAAATATGTAAATATGAAGCGCTAATAAAATTATCAATTCTGTTTTTTTGCGATGTTTAATTCGATCTTCAATGAATTATTCTGGCGAAAAAAATTGGAAGATCAAAATTATGTAAATGTGGATTTCTTTGTGACTATTTGAAAATCGGGAAGCGTTCGAAGAAGAGAAACCGAGAGTTTCCATATTTTTTTCTTTTTTATCAGTCTGGAATGGTTCTTTGTCTAAAATTATTCTCAAATTTTATTAATCAAAATGTATTTATTGCATAATTATAAAGAAAGTATACAAGTATTGAAAGATTATTAGTTCGAGAATCCAGATTGTTGATTTCCAGATTGGGAATTTCCGAAACCGGAATTATTTGATTGTCCTGATTGATTTGAAGAAGATTGTTGATTTTCATAAGAAGATGAGCCTGAGTTATCGAAACCGGAAGAGTTTTGGCTTCCAGAGTTTCCGGAATAGCCTGATTGTTGGTTTCCAGAGTTTCCAAATGATGAACCAGAATTTGAGTTTCCGAAGTTAGAGTTGGAACTTGAAGATCCTTGTTGATTTCCATTTGAGGATGATGATTGAGAGTTTCCAAAAGATCCTTGATTTCCAGAGTTTCCAGATGATGAGCCTGAATTTCCTGAGGATTGAGCTCTATATTGAACTCCTGATCTTCCCGAATTTGAAGAGCTCTGTTGATTTCCAGAACTTCCAGATTGGGAGTTAGAAGAACCAGATTGTTGATTTCCAAAGTTTGAGCTTGATGATCCCGATGAAAATCCAGAATTTGAATTTCCAGAGTTTGAGCTAGAGCTTGAAGATCCTTGTTGGTTTCCAAAGCTTGAAGAGTCCGAATCCGAAGATCCTTGTTGATTTCCAGATGAAGATTGGGAGTTTCCAAAAGATCCTTGATTTCCAGAGTTTCCAGATGATGAGCCTGAATTTCCTGAAGATTGTGCTCTATATTGAACTGATCGTGAGTTTCCTGATCTTCCAGAATTTGAAGATCTTTGTTGGTTTCCGGATGATCCTTGATTTCCCGAGTTTCCAGAGTTTCCAAAATCTGATGATGATCCAGATTGTGAGTTTCCGAAGTTTCCTTGATTTCCAGAACCGTTATTTCCAGATTGTTGATTTCTCAAATTTCCATTTCCAGTTCCATTTCCAAAACTGGTTGAGTTACCAATGGAAAAGTTTCCGAACCCGCCAAAATTTCCACTTGAGAAGTTTCCAAATCCACCAGTGAAGTTTCCTTAAATGAAAAATTAATTTGTTTTTCAAAAAATCTAAAAGCTTACCTGTCATATTTCCATTTCCACCTGGAAATCCGCCAAATCCGGTGAAATTTCCAGAGTTATCATAACTCAAAGTTGTTGATCTTGTTGCTCTCGAAGTTTTAGCCGCCAAAACTGCACCAAAAATCGCTAAGCTTATGAGAATAGAAGAAACTCTGAACATTTTGAATTTATGATGTGATATAATTTTTGTTGTTGAAAAATCTGTTATATATAGTTCAAATAGGTGTTGATGTCGAGTTTAATCGCATCATTTTTTTTCTGTCTCGCTGCCCACCCCAAAACTATGTGTCATCTGTTTTTTTGCTGTTTCAGAAAAGATCGTGGACAAAAAATTATATAGTTCCGAATTATGCAAATTGACAAGCAAACCTGTGCATGTTTATTATATTTATTCGAAAAAAAACAGAAAAAGTTATTTAGCATTTATCTTTTCTGTAGACACTTTTCAAAATTGGGAATGAGCCGCGGCCGCAGATTCCAGTGAAATCATCGCCGTTCACACTGCGGATTCCGATTCCAGCTAATTCTTCGCGAACAGCAAAGCCAATCTGGAAACAATAGTGAACATTTGTTTTGGAAACGATTTCTAAATGTTTTCGGATTTTCACAATCTTTGAACTTTTCCACGTTATAACGCATGGTCAAAGAGCAGGATTATGTTCATTGTGTCAAAAGTACAAAGCATTTTAATTTCAGAACTAGATTATGAATATGAATTGCAAAAGTTTATTCTACTTTTTTTTGAAATCACAAATGTTAGAAAAAATTAAAATTTGAACATTTTCTTGAAATGTTTTTTATTCGAAATTTTAAGAGTCACGTTTTTGCCACGTCACAGTTGAGAACTCTACTTTCTAAAATATCGAGACTCTCACTCTCTAAAGCCCCCCTCCTCTTACCTTATATTTGAAAGTTGCAACAGTCGGTGAGCTGATAATTCCCGCATCATGTCCAACAGTTGAAACCAAATCCAAAAAGTCTTCATCGAAAACCGCGCGATTTCCAACACTTTCACAAACTTGTCCTTGTGTCAAAGTTGAAACAGTTCCATTTTTCGATTGTTTGATTGCAAATGGTGAAATCTCCAAAACGATTTTTGAAGGTTTAACTCCACTAACCAACCAGCGAGATAAAACTTGTTCCTGAAATGAAATTGAAAATAAGATTTGTCAAATCGAAATGAATGAGGCTAGGCTTACTGTAGATTTGGCATGACTTCCCAAAAATTGTTGATCTACTCGTTTTGCGTCAATATTCGACAATGCCACGTGTGATAATTTATTGAGTTGGGAGATTTGATAAAGTGAATTTGGGCTCGAAGTTTTGTCACTAAAACGGATTGAAATAGTGTTGGAACAATTGTTGGCGGCTTTTTGAGAGTCGAGTTTTTCTTGAAGAGTTTTGAGGAAAGTGTTGAATTGACGCTGAAAAATCCACATTTTTTACTAGTTTTATTTTTCGAAAAGAAATTGTTTGAAAAACTGACATGATTTGTTCGTTTGACGACTTTTTCGCAATCTAAAAGAATTCCGGAAAACTTGTATTCTCTCATTTTCTGCAAAATATTATCGATTGTTGAATTCATTTTGTCCACCAAAAGTCGAGTGAAATCTCGTTCATTTGAACCGCATGAAAGCGACATGATTAATCCGCATTTCTCCATTTTTGAGTGGAGAGTAGTCTGAAATAAAATTTTTTTCCAGTAGTTTAGAATCAAGAAAAATGATTCCGAAGATTTTAACTTTTTTCAAAAATTTACGGAAAAATTAACTATAAACCGAACCCACCAAATTCTTTGCCACATTTTCCTGATTTTTATCAGCAAACACAATTTTTCCAGTCGAATTCAATTTCAATTGCTCGACAACAATTTCAGTGCATCTTTCATAAGGGACAATTGAAGTTTTGAAAATGGCTGAAATTTCCGAAAAAATTTTCGACTTCGAAAAATAAATACTCACGTTTCGAAGATTTCAAATCAAAGCTACAAGAAACTGTGAAATCATGCTGACATTTTCTGAAATCGTGTTGTTTGATGCATTTCGAACATGTTTGAGTTCTAGTCAATTGTGTCAAAATAGGAAAAGCTGTCCGATTATCACAAATTCCAAATGGATCATCAGCTGGTAGATTATGAATTGCCATTCCGATTCCTTCAATTGAAGCCCAAACTGCTTTTACTTGAGCACTTCTCAAATTTTCGTATGCAATCAATTGATTTTTTCGAAGGATAACTGGAACATCAGCTGTTTCTACCCAATTCGATTCTGATGTTTCCATTTGCAAAGATTCACAGATTTCTTGTTGTGTTTTGATGTCATCCGAATCTGATCGAAAAACTGAAGCAACTTGACCAAATGGCGATTTTGAAATAGATTTTTGATCTGGAGAAATGTAAGACATTGAGATTGCTGAAGCAGAAATTGAGATTGCCAAGCGTTTTCGAGACATTCCTTGGCTTGTCCAATGTTTCACCATTTCTTCAATACTCATTTTTTGGTTTTGCATTGAAGGAGTTGCACGAAGTGGCGATGGGTGACCTGAAAATTGGAAATCACTTGTTTGATGTCAAGAAGCATTTTGTTTTAAAAATACCTGTGAACGGAATCTTGTTTGAATGAAGTTTGTGAGTTTGCAAAACAACAAGATCCACGGTTCGATTCAATTGCGCAATATCATAAAAATTGGCAAAAGTGCTTTCAGCACTCGCAGCAACCATAATTTCAATCAAATTATCCTTTTCCTGCTTACTATTAATTTCCTCAATCAATGACATCAAGTTTTTCTTATCAAAAACATCGATCATACTTTCTTTTGTCCATGAAATCTCAACTCCATCAGCAATCTCTTCATCAACATATTTCATAATATTATCGACCAATAATTTTCTCAAAGCATCGTTGCCAACAACAAATTTCCAAACACTGCTTTTCTGATTTGATCCAACTGACAAAATGAGGCTTGGTGAATTTTTCTCGCCAATTTTCCGCCGCCAGGTATTCAATTTCTTGAGCAACTCTTCAACTCCTTTTCGTTTTGTTGTCAATTCTCCAACTCCGAATTGAATAGAATCTCCAAGTTCCAAATAATCCACAATAATATGTGAACAAAATTCGGATTTTAATGAATCGAATGGGAAATTATCATCAATCTCTTCTGGTGAAATATAACAAAGTCTTGTACATTTTGCTGGTCCAGAAGGAAGAGTTCCCAAAATAGTTTGCATTGCCAAAACATGAGATGGAAGTGGATCATTTCCACATTCTCCTTTTGGATCATCTTCGAAAATTGAATTGAAACCAACTCCAGCAAAATTATTGTCGAGAATCCACTCGATTTTCATGCCAAGAGCATTTTCCGAAGGAAGATTTGCACAAGTCCAATCTTGTCCGCGAATTGTGATTTCGTTCAAAGTTTTGTTGTCAAATAAAACTGCTCCACGAGCTTTGCAAGCGTTTTGATAACTGATTCGCCTTCCAATTTCGTCCGCATACATTCCGTGATTGATTTTGAGAACTGATGGAACTTTGAAAACCCATCCTGAAGCGGATAATCCAATGATCAATTTGTGAGGCATAATTCCCTCTTCAGCAAGTCTGAAAAACACTTTTTTGAAAAATCGAAAACTATAGCCACGTGGGCTTTTTGATAAGAATTTTTGGCAGAGTTTGAGAAATGATTGGAAAAACCAACTTGTCAACATTTCCCTGAATCGTATCTTCATACGGAATCGATCCATTCGCAAATACAACATCAACTTGTGTAACAATCATTGGATCTTCATTTGATGGTACTGTAGACATATCCAAATAAATATGCTCAACGTGTTCTGCAATCTCTCGAAGTCTGTTGATCACATCATTTTGCCAAACTCTTTCCGCAGTTACTCCAATACTTGGTTTCATCGTCGACGTTTCCAAAGTTTCCATAAAAACAACGGAGGACAATTGGGAAAGATGATAACCGTTGAACTTCACATAAACACCATCGAATTGCCTGAAAAGATAATACAGTAAAAACTCAAAAAATTTGGCTGCAACTAACTTCTCCTTGTATGCTTTTTGCATACCTTTTGCAACATTTTGTGCATCAATAACATCTCTGAAAGAAGCAGTTCGTTCAACTCCAAGAAGAAATTTGGCATCTCGATGTTTTGATCGAAGTCTCAAAAATTTGCGAATATTTCCATCTCTTCCATTATACATCAAATCATAGTTGTTGAATTCTGGTTTTCCTTTTGGATTGTTGATTGGAACAAAACCGTAGACAAAATGAGTGCAAGAGACATTTGAGAGAACGTTCGGATCAAAAATTTGACGCTGAAAAATCACAAAAATATCAATTTTCTTGGAAGATATTTCTGAGTTCATCTAAAAAGGTTCACCTATCAAAAATCTTACATCTGGTGTATTGACGAAACAATAGAGGGATCTCTCACTTTTACCGGTCGAATATTGCAGCAAAGTTGAGATGGATAGGAAAAAACATGAAAATATCAAGGAATTTCGAAGAATCATTTCGAGAAAAAATGATAAGAATTGTTTTTGATTTTGATTTTTATATACATTATGGAACTCCCACGCATGATTTCTGAGATTATTGGATTTTTCGAGATTTTTTGTAAAAAAAGAGGATAAGGATATCGACAAAATTTATGGAACAAAAAATGGCGTGGAAGTTCCAATATGACTTGTTCAGGGTTATTTCAAGTTGTGACAATTATATGAAAATTTAAAATTAAATTGTGGCTTGACCAAAAATAACAGTAAAGTTTTTTGCTCGTCCTGATTTTTTTTGTCAAATCGATTTTTTAAAATTAAAATTTAAATTAAAATTATTAAATTCCAGAATCTCTATCAAGATTAGTTCTCAATAAAATAAGTTTCCAAATCGGTCTGATTTTTTTCGTTTTATCAAGGTATCGAAAATCAAAAAAGGAAATTTTCAAGAGATCAAAGTTGTTTATGATTTTTTCGAGCTTTACAAATTATAATTATTTTCGTACTTCCAATTTTTTTTATAATTAATCTTTGATATAATGTGAAACTCGAATAACACTCCAATTTTAAATAACTTGTAGTCAAAGTAGGAAGCAAACTAGACATTTTTTCTATTTTTGTGTTAGTCGAATAAATGTGCTGGGGATTTCAGATAAATGTTCTGCTCTCCAGAATTCGTTCACAGATATACATTTGTTCCAAGACTTTCATGTGATCTTTAACTCAATTTTTCTGGATTCATATTTTTGAAATATAAAAAACGTTTACATTTCAATCGTTTTTATCCGCTCCATTATTAGTACTTATCCACTTATACATATTATCTGAAAATCATTTTTGATTAAATTTCGAATTTGCACAACCTCATACGTCTCGACTTGGTTTCATAAGGATTATCAGGATTGTTTATCTCAAATATTTGATATACATTTATTTAATTTCATTTCGAAATTTTTGCAAACCATTTTAATTTTTCAGCAATGTCATTAGAAAATCAAGAACTTTGTTCGTTGACAACTGAAGGTTTTGATCTTATGGAAAATGAAAGCGAAAAGAGTCAGCTGTGTTTAGTTTGTCTGAAAACAGCGGCTGGAAAACATTATAAAATAAGTTTTTCATTGTTTGAAAAATAGATGACCGAATCTGATAATACTGGTTTTTTGTTTCAGGTTCCAACTTGTCATGGCTGTAAATCATTTTTTCGTCGAGCATCTGTTCAAAAAACCATTTTCCCGCCTTGTGAAAATGTCAACATGTGTTATCAAAATATATCCAAAACAAATCGACCCCAAAAATGTAAATATTGTCGATATCAAAAATGCCTGGATGTTGGTATGGTTGTCTTTTATTTGGAGTATCGTAGAAAATCAATTTCAATTGGTTCAGTAAACCGAATTAGAGTAAGTTAAATTTTGAATTTTTGTAGAATTTAAATATTAAATATAATCAGAGTAGAGACGCAATTTCGATTATTGACGATTTGATTGGCAGCCTTTCTAATGTTGATCTTCAAATATCGGACTGTCGCCTTTCCAAGTTCAATCCAATAATACATCCTGATCTTGAAACACTGATTAAATCTCCTAATCAACTTAACAATGTTGCACACTTCGAGGTAAGAGGTTCTAACTTTTCAGATTAATAAAAAACACCAAAATATTTTGTAGAAAATGTCTGGCTGGCCTTTACCGCAAAACGAGTTTATGGAACAACAAAGAAGACTTATTCAAATAAAAATCAGATATGAACATTCTCAATTGCCTATTGAAACCACATTAGAGCAATTTGATATAAAAACGTGGGTATTAAAAATATTGAATAGAAAAACGATAGATACTTTTTTCAGTAAGGAATGGTTACCATTTGATATGATGATGGCTGTTGAATTCGCCAAAACATTTACATTCTTCTCAAAATTAGATTATTCAGATCAGATAGCAGTTATAAAGAAGTCTACATTTATGAGTCTAGCACTAACAACAGCTTTTACTTCATATCAAGCTAAAATGGGAATTTTACAAACACCTGATGGAGTATGCATTTCGGGACCAACTAGAAATGAACAAGCTGTTAGACATTTTAATACGTTAATGAGTTTGAAAATAATGGAACCTTTGATACGACATCAATATACGAAACCGGAATATTTGCTGTTGAAAGCGATTATTGTTTGTAATTCAGGTTTAACATTTCATTCCAGAGAAATAGTTTTTCATTCAAAACATTTCAGCTTCAATGCTCTCTTCATATGGCCAACAAATTGTGGAAAAAGAAAAAAACAATTATAGAAATGCACTTTTTGATTACTGTCTTTTCAAATATGGAAAACCACACGGAGTGACGAGATTTTTAAATATTCTCAGCTACATTAATGTTTTAGAACATTATCAACGTAATTTTCGTGATTTCATGACAACTATTCAAATTTTCACCCCAAATGTGATGTCAGAATCGAGGAGAAAACTTCAAAGTGAAGTCTTATGTTTAGAAGAATTTTAAAATAAAATAACATTTTTTTCACATTATTACCTACTGAATGTACTCGAAATTTCCGCGATTTTTTTTTCAGACTGAAAAAATAAAAAGTGCAAAAAATGTATTTTTCTTTGTTTTTGTTTTTCAAATATTTCTCATTTTTTTCCAAGAAAACTACAAAAAATCATTTTTCTCTCTCTCGCAACAATAGAATCTAATTTGATGTAAAATCTATGTAATAATCCGGTTTTCATTGCAATACAAATATATTGATTTTTTGTGTTTTCCTCTAGAAAATAACTATATTTGTAATAAATTTTTTGAGTTATGCTGGATTGAAGAAAAAACGATGTTTCGAGATTTTTGTGGATGTTTTCAAAATCTGCGAAATCAGAGCTCTGATGATCAGATAAAAGGTGAGTTCAAAGAAAATTGAAAATTGAATTTTGAAATTGTGAATTTCGCGTGTGACAATTTTAACGTGGTGGAAATTTCTGAATTATTAATATTTTATTTCTTGTTTCAAAATTTCCACTAAACAATTATCGTAGAGTGAGTTTTTCATAAAATTCTGTGAACAGTTCAACATTTTCTAACTTTTAAATTAAACGTTTGCTTGAATGATCGATTTGACTTCTCAATTTCCGGGAATTTATCACAACTTCAGTTGAAAATACAAAAAATGAATAAACAAACAAATAGACATTGTGGAAAACGCGGAGAGTGCGAGAGACAGAAAGGAAAAGTCTGCAAACACCATTGCGTACTTTCTCTGCGTCTCTCAATTTCGCGCCATCTCTCTCTCTTTTTTAGTTTTTTTTCTTGTCGACCGACTAACGGTTAAAAATTAGTATAAACTCGTGATAACACCCGAATTTTACAGAAAATCAATTGTCTATGGGTGTAGTGGCTTCGGGGATGCCGCCACCAACATCCACCCGATCAAATCCCCCGACAAATGGTGAACCCGACGCGAAACTTGCAAAATGCGAAGATTCAGCACCTAGAACATCGCTGAAAGAAGCATTGAAGATTCTAGCGACTTCGAAAGCTGCGATTATTTTTGATAATGAAGATGAAGTTGTGAAAGAGGCTGTAGGAATTATTGAAAATGCTGCAAAAGTTGCTGAAGTTGCGAATTTCGAAGTTGCAAAAGTTCAAGTCGATAAATTGACAAAGAAACGTATTCAATATTTGACTCTTCATGATTCATGGCCAATGATTTATGTCAAGGTATTTTTTTTATTATAAAATTAATAAATTCTCATGACTCAATTCAGGGCGATGCTGTCGGTGGAATCATTGATTTGAAAATGTTATCTGAATCAAATCGTTTGTCGGAATGGTTGAAAGATCATCAATATGATCTGATTGTGATCGGAGGAGGATCTGGTGGTTTAGCAGCTGCAAAAGAAGCTGCTAGACTTGGTAAAAAAGTTGCATGCTTGGATTTCGTCAAACCTTCGCCACCTGGAACAACTTGGGGATTGGGAGGAACTTGTGTGAATGTGGGATGTATTCCGAAAAAATTAATGCATCAAGCATCATTATTAGGTCATTCAATTCATGACGCCAAAAAGTTTGGATGGAAATTGCCAGAAGGAGAGATCAAACATAATTGGGGACATTTGCGTGATTCAGTTCAGGATCATATTTCCTCACTGAATTGGGGTTATCGTGTCCAACTTCGTGAAAAAACTGTGACTTATATCAATTCTTATGGAGAATTCACTGGACCGTTTGAGATTTCCGCGACGAATAAGAAAAAGAAGGTTGAAAAGTTGACTGCTGATCGATTTTTGATTTCTACTGGACTTCGCCCCAAATATCCCGAAATTCCTGGAGCCAAAGAATATACAATTACTAGTGATGACTTATTCCAACTTACCTATCCACCTGGGAAAACTCTTACTGTTGGAGCATCTTATGTCAGTTTGGAATGCGCTGGATTTTTACATGGACTCGGTTTCGATGTGACAGTAATGGTTAGATCGATTTTATTGAGAGGTTTTGATCAAGATATGGCTGAGAGAATTCGAAAACATATGGTTTCCTATGGAATGAAGTTTGAGAAGTGAGTTCTTTCTTCTTACTTTTTTGAGAGTTAAATTTATTTTTTGTAGTGGCGTACCTTCGAAAATTGAGCAAATTGAGGAAAAGACTGATGAAAAAGCTGGAAGATATATGGTTTATTGGGAGAAAAAACTTGAAGATGGATCAGTTGTTACAGCACAAGAGGAGTATAATACGGTAATTTCATTAGTTTTGAGTAATTAACTAATTAATAAATTACAAAAACAATTTAGATTTTGATGGCGATTGGTCGAGAAGCGATGACTGATGACGTTGGATTGGATTTGGCTGGAGTGAAAAGGGCTAGAAGTAAAAAGGTTTTGGGAAAACGCGAACAATCGACAGTTCCTTATATTTATGCGATTGGAGATGTTTTGGAAGGAACACCCGAATTGACACCGGTTGCTATTCAAGCGGGAAGAGTTTTGATGAGAAGATTGATTGAGGGAGCGAATGAGTTGGTGGGTTTTTGTGGTGGGAAAGGGTTTGTTCGGGTGAAATATTATACGGGTTTTTTCATTGAACAACTCAAATTCTCAAAGTTTAGACAAACGAATTGATTTTTTGTTGTTGAGATTTCAAACAGATTTACGAAAAAATCGAAACAAAAAACCAATGATTTTTGAAAAATAAAGTGAAGGTTAGAACTTTTGAAAGTTATGATACTCTTCGTATTTTTTTCTGGAGATTTTTTTTACAAGGGAACGTCATACGGTAAATCATGCCACTATAGAAGTTTTCACCAAAGAGTGCTTCAAATCTTTTATATATGTCACCCTTAAAATGCTGAAAAATCTCTTTTCCAGACGGAATATGATCAAATTCCAACGACAGTTTTCACTCCACTTGAATATGGATGTTGTGGTTTATCAGAAGAAGATGCGATTGCAAAACATGGAAAAGATAATATTATAATTTATCATAATGTTTTCAATCCACTCGAATATACGATTCCCGAAAGAATGGATAAAGACCATTGTTATGTGAAGTTGATTTGTTTGAGACATGAGGAGGTAGTTTTTCACTCTGGAAAAGAAATGAGTTTTCTTAAAAGGCCCTAAACTATTTTTTTTCAGGAAAAAGTGATTGGTTTCCACATTTTGACACCGAATGCGGGTGAAGTTACACAAGGATTTGGAATTGCGCTCAAGTTATCAGCGACAAAGGCAGATTTCGATAGATTGATTGGAATTCATCCAACTGTTGCTGAAAACTTCACAACATTAACATTGGAGAAGAAAGAAGGTGATGGGGAATTGCAGGCATCGGGTTGCTGAGGTTAAGAAGGGTCCGCGATAAGCCTTTTGCTTATCAGCGGGCCGTAGGTAGATTCTGAGTAGCTGCAGCTTTGTGACGATCATTGGCTAAACTCGAATTGACGAGCGCTTCTGGTCTGATGCGCGGTGAAAGGGTTTACCGCCAATTTTTTATTTTTATCTTTTGGTATTTTTTTTTGTATTCGCCATGCAATATTTTTTTTCATTTTCTGGTAAACGTTTTGTATTCAATTCAATGATTTTTTGATGATTTCAGATAAAATTTCAGACTTTATGAAAATTATTATGCTAATTCGAAGCTAATTAAATTAAAATTCCTCTCAGAAAAGCGTTGGCTCATTAATATCCAAAGTTCCATAATTGTTTCCTCCTATCGATGGTCCAAGATCGGTCAATAATCGAACTTCCAAAGGATCCATTTTGTAGTAGAATTTGGTTTCCGGTAAGAATCTCCATAAAACTATCACACATAGTGATCTGAAACATAATCAGATATATTTCAATAATTTTTCAAATGAACTCACGTTGGTATAATGAACATTAGATAACTCCATCCTCCGATTGATTTACTCAAAGGATAGTAAAACAAGGTTGTTGTTATGGTACATATCCAATTGACTGCAACTGCAGAGCCTAGACTTGCTCCAGCTGCTTCAGGTGGAACTAATTCAGCAGGTAGGAAGTATGCAACTGGTCCGACACCTAGATTATATCCGATGCCGTATAGGAAAAATGCGACAGCGAATCCCCAAGACGCCCAATCGGCGCCATTTTGTGAAATTAATGTGAAGACGAGGAAAAATATGTTGGCAACAATGCAAAATAGAAGGGTTTTGAGGAGAAGTGGGCGGCGGCCACGTGTTTCGACCCATCGAAGAGCTGGGATTGTTAGAATTATTGATATGATTGATCCTAAAGCTGGAAGGAATGGAACCAATGTGTCGATGAAACTCACAGCTTCAAACATTCTGGAAATTTCGAATTTGCTTTGAAAAAATATGACAACGAAAAACTCACTCTGTAGAATATGAAATTGAAACCATTGATCCAGAGAAAACCTGTGTTCCACTTACAATAAGTCCAAGTATAATACCCTTTCTAATCGCTGGATTAGCCCACGCTGCATATAATGATAATTGCTCAGGCATCTCTGGAATCATATCCCAATATTCTCGAATTATCTCATCCTCATCTTCATCATCAATATCATAATAGAATCTGATACTTTCTATAGCCTCCGAATATTTTCCCATTTGAAGTAAATTGTTGGGCGTGTCTGGAACCCATTTTGATGCCGCAAATATTGCGACACCGAAAATCGACGGAATCATAACTAGAATCGGCCAGGTGGTTTCACTTCCAAACATGAATGGAAGTGAGAAAATGGCACCAATTGAAGAACCAAAACATACCGCAATGTGAAGGAAACAACTCATTGAACCCTGAACAAAATGGTGTTTGATATGACTGAAAATCAACTCACCTTGATGTTCTTTGGAACAATTTGTTGTAAATAGATCGGTGCGAAGGCACAAGCTAAACCAGTGTAAATTCCTGTTAGAATTCTTCCTAGTATAAATGCAGGAGGAAATGCGATCCAATATGAAATAAACATGAGAAGGGATCCAGATAATAGAATTATGTTATTGATACACATTAGAACATGTTTTGCACCATATTGGGATAAATTGGACACCAATAAACAACCGATTAATGCGCCAACACCTTGTGATGAAACAGTTATTGACCAAATTATACTTTTATTGTTTTCAGACAAATTGACACCGAAAAATGTTTCATAGTGTTGCCACATAAACTTCTGAATCACTTTTTCTGGTACATTCAACATCACCATATGATATCTGTAAAAAAATGGAGAAAATTTGATATTTTCCAGCAAAATCACTAACCCTACAGGTAAAATTGAGAATAAAACTGTTATGAGACATATGAACACAACTTTTCCCTGATCTTCAACCACACTTCGAAACATGAATGTTGTTGAGCCAAAAAGAGTGCTTGGCACAGTTGCTATCTTGAATTTTTGAAAATGTTTTTGGAAAGCATGCAAGATAGATTAAACTCACATTCTTCATAATAACTAAAAACAAACAAAAAATCGATAATTATAAATTGTGCATTTATCATTGTTATCATTTTTTGGCCTGATATGGTATATGTGACTTGTGTTGATGATACCTTATAGTTTGTGCTTGTTTTTTAAAAATAAGTTTTTTTATCCTTTTCAGGTTCGTGCATTTTTGGAATAAGCTTTGATAACAAAACAACTTAATTACCTTTTCAGATTTTTCTAAGAACGAAATTGAACTATAAGATCAACTTTTCGAAAATTTGAAGGAAATAAACAACTTTGCATTCGAATAGGATATAATTATTTCACATGATTTTCAAGTTTTTTTGTTGTTTATATGTTTAAAAGGAAATAAATTTGTTCATTTTTTGCTTAAAGAAAATAATATTTCCGATCATGAAGTATTGCTCGTGAAATCGGAATAAATTATCAGAACGCATTCGACTCTCCATTCCTTCATTTTGACAAACTTTGGACCTTTTTCTATCATCAGATATGATTCATTTTTGAATAATCATGACTCAAATATTTGTTAATCACACTCTCTCTTGGGATTTTTCCAATTAGCAACCCAACTTTTGAAGAGAAAAAACTCGTCATTTCATTTTTTCTATACTGAATAGATAAATGATTAATGTCTAATGTATTTGTGTGTGGGAGTGTTCAATGCTTTTCTAAAAGTCAGAAAAAAGTTTAGTCAAATCAACATTGTCTATTTTCCATTGTCCAGCAACTTCCTCTCCTTTTTCGCTACATTTTTGGGTTTCACAATTAGTACAAACATATGTTTTTGGTGTGTTTTATCACATGAATAAATCATATGCTCCAAAATCTCCAATTTCTTTACTACATTTTTTGCGACAATTTTTTCCAGTCACTTTTATGCGAAGATGGAATAATTCATTTTGTTTTTCCCCTGTTTTTCGCTGTTGCTAATTTAAGTCTGAAAAAACTTCCTGGGAGAATTATTCTGTGTTTGTTGTGACTACGAGATATGATTAATCATAGGAAAATAGATGATGTGTGTATTCGAGTTTTTTTTTTGCAAAAAAACCCATTCATTTTATGAGTGGGTCAGTAATGAGTACGTTAATGGATAAGATGAAAATAGTATAGAATGTGTGTGGTTTGATGGGATTTTTTGCAGAATGAGAGGCTTCTTTCGTTTTCAATTTCAAAAAAAAAATATATGAATTTCCGGTGTTTGGATTATTGTTTTTGCTCTTTATTACAAAATTTCCATGTGATTTTTCAAATCAAGAAAGCATCCCATTTTCTTTTTGATCTATAGTCACGTTTTAATCTCCTCCCACATTTCGAAAAAAACAAACATCTGAAAGGAAATGCTAATGGAAAACATGTCAGGATGGTTTCCTTAACATTTCCTTTCGAATCATCCGACTCATAACAACGACTTGACTTGTTCTTTCAACTATCCATTCTATCGCACTATTTTTATGAACTTTCATTATTATTTGTTGATGTACTTCTTCATTCCCAATAAGTGCATACATTCTCTGACCCAAAGAAAAGTCATTATTTTCGTCTCTTTTTACATCCAGATATTACTGCTGAAAAATGAAATATAGGCACAGCTGGATGTTATTACGTCATAGGAAGAAAATACAAAAATTGAATCCAATTTCATCTTTCTTGCAGATTCTAATTTATTGAAATTTTGAATTATTTTCTTTGTTCACCTCATTTAAATTCATTGTTTTGTGATCTATTTATTCTGGAACAATGGCACTCTCAGCGTCATCCGGAAATAAACACAAGAAATGTCATATTCAGTCAGTTTTGGTGTGTCACACAATTTTTCTGTTCTCTAAAATGTTCATTCGATTTTCTGAAGTTCGATGAACTTTTATTCAGACATAGATTTTTTATTTGTTTCATTGTTGATCAATTCCCTTAAAGTTAGGGTTCCAACCGTCATGATTAAATATTTCAATTCCCTTTTGTTTTCAAAAAGATTACGTGTTCAGAATTTAGCACTGATTTCCGATTCTCTAATTCTACATAGTTTGATCTGTGCAAGTTTTAATTTAAGAACGCCTTGTGCACTTAAACTGAAGTACCTCCTTTTATTTTCCAACACGGAAACTCGAAATTAAAACTTTTTGCAAATTGGTTTTCAGATTCTCACGTCATAAATAGTTTTGTTCTAGTTCTAGAATAAATTCTAGTTTGCAGTTATCCGTGTGTTTTTTAGAAATCAAAACTTCAAAGCCAAACTTGTCCACCACATGACACGAAGAAAAAACCCAGAGCAATTAATTTTTGTCGCCTCTTTTCATTCATTTTTCGCATTTGAAAATTCGCAACTTTTCTTGGTTCTTTTCTTTTTCAATCAATCCGCAAAATTCTCGTTTTCACTCCTAATTAGACGACGTTTTCCTATAGCAGAATACGAATTTGACACCGTTTGATGATTGTGACTAGGGAAAAAAGCAGGGGGGAGGAGAAGAAGGACGTAACTACTCAATTTTATTTTGAAAATTATGAAAATAAAAACATGTGTTACTTTTTTCGGTATCTTTTTCTTGGTATCAATTTCTCTTGTTAATTGAAAAAAATCTACAATGATCTTTGAAATATTTTCACGTCATGTCAACTTTCGAATCGGCTAAACATCAAACAGCCGAAAACGAGGAAGCATTCGAAAAAAGATCAAATTTGTTTCTTTCTTTCAGAAAGTTGCGTCTTATTGAAAAACACCTCTCTTTTGACAAGTTGACTTTTTGAGTCATCATGAGTCAGTTAAACGATGATAAATTCATGTTATTTTTTTTGATAAATGTAACTCCAAAGAGACTTTGTAGTTTTTGGTCTTCTTGATTTTGTCTAGAAAGTTCTTCGAGATTCTGCTGATAAATCTGATATCCTATAATTATACTTGTTTTCGACTTCAGAGCTCTGGTTTGAATGTCATCGATTAATCTCTGATGATTACGTATTCAAATTGTTAATATAATAATTACCTAGGTTCTCTCATTTTCTAGAAATTAGAAATTTGAGTACCCTTTTTTGAAAATATCTGACCTCTCTAAAATTTTCTGTTCATGGTGAAGGTTTTTGTTCTCAGGACATCTCCATATTACTGAAACTTCTATAGTTTTTTTCTTGACAAGAGCCTGGATATTTTGCAAAACATTTCCATTCTCTTTTTCACGAATATCTAATTGACCCTATACTTTATGGAATATTTCCAGTTATACTAATTTCGATTTTTCGATTTCTAGTTTATCATATCCAAAAAACTTAACATCTCAACTTCATATTAGTCATTCTCCAAAACAAGTTCTTCAAAAATCACATTTTCTATGAATACGTAAAAACTCTCATTGTTTTTCTTTCTTTCCAAATTTATCCAGAAATTCTCCGATCTTTGTCATTTTTCATATTGAATGACTCAACTCGTCTTCCAGACATCACGAATTTTTATAGTTTCCACTTTCAAGAACAACAGTGTCTTGTACTTTTTCTAATCATACAAATTTTTAAAAATTATCACCAACCCGCCCACTGATTATTGCTTCCTTCAAAATCTCACGCAGTTTTTAAGAAGTAGTTTTTTTGTGTAGTTTCTATAAATAAGTCCGAGTTCTTGAAATATTTATCAGATACTATGAATATTAGATTAGAACATAAACAGATTTTCAAATTTTTTGCGAATCGAACGATTATCTACGTTTGTTTTCCTGCGAGGAAAGAGTAAAATATTTTGAATAACATACTTATTCTTTCCTATTTTATTTTCGAATTTGAATTTCAGACATAACATTTTTTGTATTTGAAGAACAAAACTAAATCTTGATAATCTATTTATTGAAAAACATAACTACTGAACAACAATTATTTTTCCAGCTTTTGAGGAATTATTACTATTTTCAGTGAGAACCAAAGTTTTTTTTCCTCACAATCATTTTCCAAAAACAATTTCATTTGCTCAATTAATTATTCTCCGTCTTCAGATCTAAATAGCACTTTTAAATTTTTAATGTCTAATCTTTTTGAAACAGGAAATTTGTGTTTTTATTTTCAATTATTTAGTTTCCTGCAGATCTTTGGAGAGCTCTTGTTTTTGTGTGTGTTCAGTTCTGATTAAGTCAGACTTGAAGTATTTTTAGATTTTTTCCGGAAAAATTTGAAGACAAAAAAAAACAAAAAAAAGTCATGTACTCTTGATGAACGTCATTTCAAATCCGAAATAGATTTTTCAACAGGAAACTATGGTTTTACCTCTCTAAAAATGATTACAATGAGTCAAGGCTTGGAGAACTTATGATAATTGTGAAATCATACCTTGAGGTTCATGCCCACAAACGTAATAATTATATCCTAGTTACCCCCAGATTTGGTCGTGATGTGAGAACTTTATTTATTCATTTCCATTTTCTTTTTTTTTGCACGTGTGTTTTTTTTCAAAATTCCTAAATTTCAACGCTTCTCGCGGGTTCAAAAACCCGCCCCACTCACTTTGTTTTCCCATAATTAGTATGCATGTTAGGAAAAAATTCAAAATCTCTATTTTTGCTCGTTGTTTTTGAAAAATAGGAAATTACATGGAAATGACTAACTTTCTGTTTGCTTTTGGATAAATTTTGTAGATACTACATTTTCTTTTTTTTTTTATTGTCATATGTTTTTACTTGGAATTATTTATTAGATTTGGAGAGATTTCGTTATTCAATAATTTGTTTTAGTCATTCACACTCAACAACGGGCATCACATTCGGCGGAGACAATTTGATTAAAATGTGCTGGTTCCAAAAGTTGTACAGGTTGGTTTTAGCTGTGAGCTTTTAGAGAGAAAAAAATAATTTTTTAGTCTTCCTATCTTGGCTTCCACACTCCTCATCCTAATTTTATTATCATCACAACCCACACAATCGGAGGCAACATCAATGCGATTGTGTGGTTCTCGACTGGTTCAAACACTTCAAGCAGTATGTAGAAATCAGATATGCAGTGGAATGAGTGCCTTCAAACGTGAGTTCCAAACTTTTTTCAAAATTTTTTTCAAAAAAATTCGGATTTTTTGTGTTGTAAAACAAGACTAGGGCAGATTTATCATATTTATTACAAAAACTTCGAGCTGCCTTTAACAATTTCTTCGAATTTGCATCTCCAAACCAATAATTAGGGTGTCATTTAAAACTAAAACTAAGTATTAATTAAGTTTTAACCACCACAATAAATATCATTCTGTACTTGGAAATCTTATGTCATAAGTAATTGTAGGTTGAGATTAGTCATTTTGAGAAATATCACGAGTTGCAAAGTAAAAAATATTGAATGGTGTGAGAAGAGCCTTTGATCTGATGTCTCATCCTTTATTTCAGGTTCACCGTTTTACCGTTCACGAGAAAGTGCTGCAACTTGGGCCCCAGCGACACACGAACTATTCCGAATGCATCATGAAAATAAACGAGGTGGTATCGCGACAGAATGTTGTGAGAATCGATGTACAATGACATATTTGAAGACATACTGTTGTCCCGAAGGCGATTTGATGAATTAATTTGCGCCTACTCTCTCTCTCTCTTCTTTGCTCTTCTCGATGTGTTCTAGTGTGTTTTTTCTGCAAAAACATACCATTTTGGTGTTTTTGCCACGAGAAGTAGACAATTGTGATGTAGTATGTTGCATAATCATTTATTTTATCTTCACCAATATTTTTATAATATTTATAAATTTTCCAATCTGTTTTTTACTCCTTCATTTATTCATTCATTCTTTTTTTTTTATCATCATTGAACTATCAAAATGTAATAAAATAAAATAAAAAAGACTCGACATTTCAAAGATTAGAAAATATGCGACATTTTTATTTTTTTCGAATTTTGTGAAAACTGATGTACTGGGCTTTTTTGGGGTGGAAACTGATGTGATTTTTTTTCATTATGGGTATGTAGGTTTAGAAACAATACGTTTGAGATAAATTCAGATTTCGTCAGGAATTAATTGAGTTTTTCTAGAAAAAAAGTCTAGAATTTTATCTGAACTGTGACACCCTGAGAAGTATACAAGCCACCGGAAATGCCCGTGGGTGATGCCTAATATAGAAATGAAAACACGAGATGTATTTTTATCATTTGTAGATAAGCACACAAAAAATCAGTAGCTCGTTGTTATTAATTTGTTTTCTCTATCGATTGTGTACTTTTTTGCCAATGGAGTTTCAGACAATGAAATCAAATGATTTTCGTCGCAAACCACTGAAAATTCGAATGAGAAATTTTTCTCTAGAAGATGAAAAATATTGGATTCAACCGAGTCGATGTTGTTCAGTAGATATGAGTTCGAGAGAAATGATCAATAAATTGAACGAGATGGAACAAGAAGAAAAACTTTTCATAACTTATGATGTGATTGAAAGAAATCCGAAGTTTGCTACAGTTGGTGGATCAATTTTCGAATTCATAAATCTTACTCTCAAACCTGTATTGAAGTGCCATTTATCACAAATCAAAGATATTGCAATGCTACATCTTATAACTTCTGCATTCTTCAAAAGGTTGGTTCGAAAATAAAGAAGTTCAGATAATGTTAATTGTAGCACAGGAGTGATTTACTCGAAATTTGGTCGGAATGTGAACATCCAATGTTTGCTGGTCTTCTAGTTGTTTATATTTCAAATAGAATGAGAAAATTGTTCCTAGAGCAACATGAACCAGTACTAGCTGAGGCATTCGAGAAGATTCAAGAGTGAGTTAGGAATATCCTTTTAGATTTTTGTGTTTGCATTTGTATTTTCAGTGCATTTGATGATGAGTGTACAAGTCTTCTTGATCAATGTTTTCATAGTAGTGAACGAGATACTCGAGCAATTCTCGATACTAATTATCATTTATTTATTCATTCCGATGGATGTCCGGCTAGTGGAGAAGATATGGAATTGATGGATCTTGCAGCGAGAGCAAAGGCGAAGAATTTTCTAGCACATCCAGCTTGTCAGCGAGAAATTGATTTTCGATGGCAACCTGGTTTCAAGTTAGGTCAACTATCATTCTGTTTATTTTTTCTATTTCCTCCGTTATTTTTTCTCCGTGGAAGGCAGCGAATCAAGAAACGTGAGATCAAAACAATGGTATTGAATTTGAATCAAGATGGGTATATGATGGCGGTGACACGAAGGTAAGCAATATATTTTATTATCAGTAAACAAAAATTTGGAACAATTTTTCGTGGACAAATCAATCACATCATGAGTTGATGTTGACTTACTGATAAACCAAATGAAAAATACAAAGAAAAACGTTCTGTTGATTCAGCACATTTCTGATACGAGTATACAACTTTTACACATCCCCCAACTCCAAATATGTGATTCACACGTTGTTTCGAATGTTCTATGTGGGATTTTATGCGTATGTTTTGATGACGATGACAAGAAAAACAATGGTGATGAATGAATTACATGAATTCTGGGATGAGATGATCATTTTTGTTTGGCAATGCGCTTATTTGACAGAAATGGCTGTTTTGGTTTATAAAAATGGATTTCATCCGTGGGCACAGAATAATACAGCGGATTTATATCGAAATTATTTGGTAGCGTTGACGTTGATTGCGTGGTCTGTAGCTGTGATTAGCCCTCCATCATGGTTAGCTTTGCTTGAATTTCGGATAACTTCAACCCTGATTTTTGCAGGCCGATCCGTGCATTTGCCATCATCGCTGCTGACTTATTTTTCTACTTTTCCTTTGTGTTTGCCACACTCCGATTGATGAAAATAGCAAATGTTGATGCATTCTTCGGTTCTATTGTTCTAATGATCAAGAAAATGATACCAATAATGGTTAAATTCATGTTTGTTTTCATGGTTTTCTGGTTCACATATGCAGTTTGTCATATCAGTTTGGCAGGTCATCTTAAAAGCACTCCAAATATAACAGATGTTGTGTGGCCTTGGCTAATTTTCAGTAGCGGGGCTTTTGAGATTTTTGGCGAAGCTGATGATGAAGATAAATTGGGACAAGTTCAGAAATGTACAAATGCGCCGCTGAATTGGGATGTGTTGACAGATTCGTCGGTTCAATGTTGGTTCAAGGTATCTTTCACCGGGAATTTGAATAGGATTTTTATTTTGAATAAATGACTTTCAGACATCGATGATCCCAATTTTCCTATTCTGTTATATGTTGATTTCAAGTGTACTTCTAGTGAATTTAGTCACTGCTTTATTATCGTAAGTACTAACCAATTTTGAATTTGAACAAATAATTGTTCCAGGAAAAAATACGATGATATTGATAAAGTTTCACATATTTATTGGAAATATAAACTTTATAGTCGACTTATCGAATATGAGGAAAAATTATGGATCCCGGCCCCTTTGTCCCTAATTTTCTACAGTTTGAAACTATCAACTAGATTTGCAACTAAAGTTCCAATTTTTCGTATATTTGCAAGGATAATTATTCGAATTTTGAAATGTTTTGAAGGTCATAATTATGCAAAAGATCGAAGAGAAGAACGAAAAACCGAAGCAAAATTTCGAAATGATTTGGAATATGATGAAGATATGCCAACTGATGTTGATCGAAAAGGTGTTGAATTGGTGAAAAAACAGATGGAACTTATGGTAAATTTCATAGTTTATATTGAAATTCGCAGACTTTTTCAATTTCAGGAAGCGACTCGGAAACGTCAGAAATTTGAAACAGCTACGATTCGGCAGCGATTTGAAGACATTTTGAGCGAATTCGAAAATAATTGTAAATTAAGAAAAAACAGATCTCAAACTAATATCTCTTAACTTTTGATTAATTAAATAATTATATTCCCGAAGAATAATAAATCATTTTGAAAATTGAAACTATCAACTAGATTTGTCAAGAAAAATTTTGATCAGTTTGATAAATCAACAATTAATTATAATTTTTGATAAAATTGGAAACAATGTAACAAGAGTTTTTGATTATTTCTCACTTAATAATTTAGAATCAAGATTCAACTTTCCAGAAATAATTTTTTATTAATAAATCGAAATAGAAAAAGTTATTTACTCCAAGTCAAAAATAATTCATAATATTTTGTTCAAACAAACTGTGTTACCAAGTTACCAACCGAGCAACGCCGGAAAATACTTCCCAAAATTTCAGCCAATTTTAGCCAAGTTCCAAAAACACACAATTTTCTCACCACGTCGATTAATCTTTTTTTCTTTCTTTTTTTTTGCAAGGCAAAAGATATATATCTGAAACTCAATCTTTTTCTTATATTTTTTGTTTTGTTTTTTTTTGTTTATATTGTTCTCAAGTTATATTATATATTTTTCTGTCAAAAATAAAACAAAAAATTCAATTTTCAGTTGATGATCGAGAACGATTATCGGGTAGAAAAATATGCAAATTGATTTTTTTCGCTCTCCATAACTCGTCTAGAAAAATAACAGAATATTCACATTTTTTCCAACGAAATTTTATGGCATGCTTGAAAAAAGAGCTACTTTTATTTTTCAAAGATCCGTTGAGCAGGTGAGCATTTTTGTATTACAAGATTTATGAAATTTAAACAAAAAACATATTTTTCAGATTCCTATGGCAATACATTTTCCCAATTCAATTTATTCTCGGTGTTTTGGGAAACTCTTTGATTCTTTGGGTTTTGGCAAGTGATGAAGTTCCAAATATTGCCAGCGATATGTTGGCAGCTGTTTCATTTTGTGATCTATCGTTTTTATTTATCATGTTACCCCATTTTTTATCGTCATTTGATACATTCGCATATGATTCCGGGTTTCGCTATTTTTATTTTAATGTCAAAGTGCATTTGGAGGCGCTTGCTAATTGGATGAGTGCTGCTGCAATTTGGTGAGAGACAATTTTTTTCTAAAAAATTTGAATCTTGAAAATTTTAAAAATTATGTGCTCAAAATCTAGGTTTACACAGATACTGTCATTTTTCTCTATTTTTCAGCAAGGTTTGAACTGCACATAGAAATTTATGAATAATCATTTTTAAACTTTGATTTTTTGATTTTTGGAACTAAAAGTAGCAGAGATGCAGAATTTCGATGGTTGCATAAGTCACTCACAAAAAGACACAATTTTTAAAAAAATTCTGAAAATTATAATTAACTGAAATTTGCAAAACTTTTGCGTTTCAAAAACAACCAAAAAATTTTCATGAATTTTGAAATATATCCTGATGTTCCAGGCTCATTCTGGCTGTTTCAATCGAAAGATATCTGATAATAAGATCACCTCTCCGAGCAAAATTATATTGGAAACGAGCCAGAATGGTTATTGTTTTATCAACAATATTTGTCACGACCGGACTTCTCACAATGTATCATTATTTCGAATTCGATTGTGTGATCACTGAATTTTGCAATGGTACACAATTATATCATTATTGCTCATATTCTGGAGAAAGACATGCAGCTACTTATAAAAAAGATGTGTATGTAACACCGAGTGAAATCGAAAAATGGATATTGATGTTTTCCATGTTTGCCAATGCAGTTTTTGTTGTGTGTCTTCCGATTGTATTTGTTATTATTTTGAATATTCTTATGATTCAACAACTTCATAAAAATTGGACTTCTCCAAGAATTGAATCATTACGCGGGACTATTAATCGAACTCAAAGTGTGAGTTAGCTTGTTTTTTTCAAACATAAACGGAAAAGGAATTCAAGAGTTCACAAAATATTTTTTTTTCTGAAAATTTTCATCGCTTAAAATGTTCAAGGGAACTTGGTTTAAATTTTTTCGAACTGAACTACTTTTTTTAAAGCCAGAATAAGTTCACTTTTAAACAAACTCGACTCAAAATTTTCCTAATTTTGCAGAGACAGCGTCAACGTGTCACGGTTACTGTAATCGCAATCGGACTCTGTTTTTCCCTAACTCAAGGTCCATCTGCTTTCATTGTTTTGATCAACCGATTTGAGCTCAGCGAGACACATTTTTTATATACAAAGTTTGTTTTCTTCCCCATCCTTTTCTTAAAAAGAAAAGCACGTTCTAAAGAAAATAACTTATTTTTTCAGTATAACGAACTCTTTGGTGATCACTGGAAAGACGATTAACTTCATTTTGTTTTGTTTGTCGTCGACGCATTTTCGTCGAAAATGTTTTGTTTTGATTTATCGAAAATTTCCAAAGGTCGTTTCTATTGAACTTTCCGCTTTAAAATCATCAAAACAAAACATTTCAGCTTTTCGAGAACGAATTCGGTCAAAACCTTTTAGATCATCAGAGATGTAATTCAGTGGATCGTTCTGCATCACTTCGAACTCTTCGAACTTCAACGTCGAATAATCCAGCTCCTCAACCACTTTTATCTTCCGAGTCTCCAGAATCATGTGCCAAATGTTCTACAACTCGTAAAAAACCGACGAGATCGATATCCGAAACGAGTCGACCACCAAATTATCGAAATCGACAAGACTCGCAAATTTCAGATGGTTGAATTTTGATGTAAAATTATTATTTGTAAATTATTGTTGTACATTTTTTGTTTGTGTAAAACTTTGATGAAGACTTTTGAAAAAAAATGTGAAGAAATTTTATATTTTTTGAGATGGGAAAAAAGTTGAATTTGTATTTATAAGTTGTTTTGTATCAAAAATGCGTCAGAAAATCCCTTAATGCAATTTGAATACAAAACTTTATAATCACCAAAAAGGTCAAGGGTTTCGGTACTCATAAGTTTTCACGCTAGTGCGTCAATAAAACTCTTGACGCATTTTTTAAACAACGAAATTTTTGCGCAAGGTTTTTCCAAACTACAGTTTTCAAAAAAAGAATTATTTATTTACAATCGTTCTTAGAACACGTAAAACACAATGAGACCCACGGAAAATGAAAGAAAAAATTGAAAATTTGAATGATGAACAATCACACAACAGTATTTCGAATAATCGATCGATTGCTGCTTGCTGGCGGTGTTGGAAAACTATCAGGAGTCGGGATTGAAATCAGCGGAAGATTGGGTTTTGATCCATTTATACTTGAATTGCTAACTTTTCTTGAAGTTGAAAAATTTCGAGAGCATGGTGAATATACCAGAGATGTTTTTTGTGTATAGTTTGATCTTGATCGATTGAAGAATTCGGCTCTAGAAATTTGTAAAATATAAGATCAGATTGTAAAATTTAAACAAAAAATCTACAAATTATTAAATCGTGCAAATCTTCAGCCATTCGTGATCTATCATTCAAGCAGTTAGGTCAAATCAAGCCAAAAAATTAGCATAACCTAACAACTTACGATTTATTCATTTACCTTGCCATTTTGGTGTTGCGTCGTCCTGCATAAAAAATCATCGAGCACCAAAATCGGCAAGTAAACCAAAGTCGTCTTCTGAAAGTCTCAGAAGACAGGCAGAACAACACGATGTTTAGCATTTTGCCAGTTAGCACAAGTTGATTTGCAATAATATTGGAGATTGGTGGAAAGAATCCGTCGAAAATATAAACAATTGCAGAAGGACCTTGAGTTAGGGTAAAGCAGGAGACAATTGCCAATACGGTATTTGTCATTTTCTTTTCTTGCTCTGCCATTGTTGATGGTCCCGATGGAGCATTTCGAACTAAAAGTTCTTCGGAGCGTCGTTGTTTCACTAATCGAATAAGACTGATATTCAACACTGCTACCGCAAAAATTGGAAGGAGAACTGCGAAAATTGCATTGGCAAATACCGAAGTCCTGATATAATATTTTGTCATTTCCGGTGTTGGATTAGGTGTCCTTGCTGTGAAACTATCCATTAGATTTGAAAAACAAGTTCCGATAACTTGAGTTCCTTGACAAACCACATGAGATAAACAAGTGTGAGAAATATGGTGATAACTTGTAAGGAGCAAGGTTGCCAGCATAATTCCAACCGATACAAATCCAACTTGTTTGGCCTGAAAAAAGACACATTGGTTAGAGAACTGTGAAAATTGTTTATCTTTTCAAAAAAACATACATTATAGGCATCGAGAGATCGAAACGGGAACTTGATAATTAGCAATCTTTCAAGCGACACAGCCAACACAAACCAAATAGCGGCAGCTGAGAACCAATTACTCAAAGCGCCAAAATGAACTTTTGAATGGTAGTGAAATATTCGAAATTGAACGGATTCGGAAAACCAGTCTAATGAGGCCAAATAATGAGGAATCATCATGAAAAATACGAACATATCGCAAAGGGCAAGCGAGGTCAGAAGATGGTTGGCTCTGAAAAATTAGCATAATTTTTTTCTGTAATTTATTGAGTTGAAAGAACACTCCAACATTTTTTGAGAAGGTGCAAAATGCCTCTTGACATAAGAAAAAATTATTGTTCGTCTTTCCGTGTTATTTTTTTGTTGTTGTTGAAAAAAAAACATATTCACCATCTGGGAATTGCTTACAAATTGTTTACAATTTGGAATTTCGTAAAACAAATTGTATTATACAATTTTTCAGAACTCACCTGTTTTTTATATGTCCGCTTAATAAAACCGTCATAGTTAAAAGATTTCCAACAACTGTGATCATGAATTGAATCGGGAAGACATACTGAAAATTTATTTTGGGAAGGTTGTATATTTTTAAGATCCCATATTTTTTATTTTCCTGTCAGGCCTTTATAACTTTTTTCTCTAGAATATCTTTATTTCAAATCCCGAGGTCACCCAAACCTTTTTTTAAGGTCTCATGCATTTTCAAATCGTTTAATCCTTTTTTCTGCAAATTTGCACAACTTTTTGGCTCAGATGGGTGTCCAAAACACGAGGAAATAAAACTAAAATGTATCTGGGTACTAAAATTAATTGGAAGTATGTATGTGTTGCGTCATATCGAATTAGCCTAACAAACTTTGATCGGAAGTTATTTTTATTAAGACAAGACAACACTTTACTTTTTTTGAGCTTGAGAATCTACTGGTTTTTGCCATGTTAGTTCTACACTTAATTAATCCTCGGGCAGGCGAAGCAAAAAACTTGACAACTTTTAATCCACTTTTTCCCAAAATACACATCAGTCAAACTAAAACGTGTAAAAAAGGCAGACTAAAGAAACCAGGAAAAAACTCACTTGATTAATCGGTTTCTCAATATATGACATGAGCAACAGTTTTTCCGGATCAAAACATTTCTCATACAGCGAAATCGTACGATTCTCCATAGTGGTTAGGTTTTGGCGCAGGTCTGACAAAAAATAATAATCTAGAAAAAAATTGCGATGGCTCTCGGAAAAAAAGGGGCGTGGCTAGAAAAATGCATATAAGTTTGTTTTTGTTGTTTGGCACATGAGTGCTTTTTTGTACTAAATCAAAAGAAATAAGAAGAATTTCGTCAAAAAAAAACGACTAGACAATTGAACCAAGCAAGTTTCCGAATTCCAATTTACGGGAAATTAGATTTGATGAAAATTTGAAAAACTAGAAAATTTTGTGTGAATGAATGAATGAGCTAGAATAAAAGGGAGGAGTTTCTGAAATGACTCAATTAATATTCATATATCTACTAGGAATAATTATTTTTGAAGAAGAATGTTCTTTAACCTGAAGCTGAGAGTTATGGTAACTATTTTTAGTTGAGATTTGGCTCAAAATAAAACTTGAGTCCAAAATAAAACAGTAACAGAGTTCAATTGTCACCGGACAAAAGTTTCCAAAATTATTTCAAATTTTTAGAAAATTTAAAAATTTAGATCATCAAGAACTTTTAGTGAATCGAAAATTTTTTATTTTTATGTATTTTCAGAAAAAAATTTGAGCAGATTTTTGGAGCCTCAAAGGACAATTTTTTTTCGAAAATATTTTCAATTAAAAAATCTCAAATGCAGGGGTGTTTATTTTTTTTGAGTTTCAGAAAAACAGATTTGCAACAGAAAATGTTTTGAGATGTAAAAACTTCAAAAATGTTCCGGGTTCAAATAAATAAAAAATTAAAGAGACAAAAAACTTAATTAAAAATTAGAAAAACAAGAAAGTTCACATTTTCTCAAGCGTGACCTCAACGTCATTTTTTACTTCTAATTTCCAGAAATTTTTAAGACACGGGGCATTTATATTTAGGATGAAGTATGTTTCGAAAATTTCAACAACATAAAAAGGTGTTGAGAAAAATGCATGAGAAAAAAAAACTTTTAATGCTCAAAAGTTTGAAGAAATGGACACCTGTCTCTTTTTCTCGCTTTACAAAACGATTTTTGAACTTTTGCACTGGCGAAAAATTCGAAAAGACAAAAAATCCAGAAAAGGTTTTCCCATGAGATCACGTGTATCTTATGTTTGTTCTTTTTTTTTGTTTTTTTTCAGGGAACTCTTGAAAAACTTTTTGGCTCTAAAAATATAATAATTGAAAGTGCAAATAGTTATTACTAACAGAAAAAAACATACATATACATAAACAAAAATTGGAGACAAAAGTATCAAATATACATGTATATGTATCTATGTGGGGGTGAAATTAGCCCCGTTTGAGGCTGCGAACAAGTTGACCACGCCCACTTTAATTTTCCGCCGCCATTAATGACGTGACGTGCGTACGGGCGTGCAAAAAAGTTGGAATCCACGTGGGAAAAAGTCATTTTTTTGAGGAATCGAACAATTTTTGGAATGACAGAGGAAAGAAAACACATATTTTCTTGAGAAGCGATTAAATTTTGTTGTTCGGTTATTTTTCCAAAGAATTTTGAGACTTTTATTCTAATTTTTCTCTGGAATATGAGTTATGACGTGGAATAATCAGCAGAAGCGATGAGAATTGAGAATTGACAATACTTTGATTTCCAGAAAAAATATTGATGAAAAGATTTTTCGAAAAAATTGGATTATTTTTTGAGAACGCATTTTGAGAGACTTATGAAGACTTTGGTTCAACTCATGACGTGGCAAAGTTTTTTTTGGAAATTTTGTGAATATAGAAATTCTGGCAAAAGCCAATGTGGTAAACGTGCAATTTTCAAGCAAAATTGGTATTTTCTTGAAACTACAAAAAATAAATCATTTTCGGAAATCTTATTAGAACATTTACGCGACTTATTTCCAGAATTGTTCAAACTTCGCCACGCCATAATTATTTTGCAGAATGGAAAAAAAACTGAATTCGAGCTCGGGATTGAAATTTCAAAATAAAATAAAAGTGCAAGTTGAGAAATTTCCCCTGTGAATAAAAATCAGAACAAACTTCAGTTTATCGACATTTTTCAGTGAAAAATGTCAGTTTTTGAAAGATCAAACAATTATTCGGGAGAAAGGCTAAACTAGAGCTTAGCTCTATTCAACTACAACTATGAGTTATGACGTGGCAAAATTTCAAAAAGGAGAAATCCTCTAATTCGAAGATCAAGAGATCATAATTTTCCAAAAAAAAATGCAGAAATATAGAAATTAGTTATTTTTTGTTTGTGAGAAAAATACGGAAATTCAAAGATCTTGTTTTGTTGACCCGAAAAAAAGTAACCAAGAAAATTCAAAAAACAAACTCGTGAACTGCAATTTCCGCCCCTTTTTCTTCTGATTTCTTGATGCTCAATGATCAAATATAGTAAATTAGCTCATATTAACAAAACAAAATATCTACACTTTTCTGACAAAAATTGTTTTTCTGAAAAAGTCACGTGTCAAAAAAAAACTGGACTTTATTAAACTTATTTGTAGGCAAAGTTTGACTAAAAAATACAAGATTTTGAAGCAAATTTCTGAAAATAAAAATCCAATTTCGAAATCGATTATAATTATAGGTTAAGAAAAGTTTTCTTCTGTTATCAGAACGTTCTTGAATTGACTCTGTCAAAGCGGGAAAATTTGATAAACCGAATCCAAATTCTGGATGCCTTCAGAAAGATGTCAAATTCACAAACAAGGAAAATGGTAGATCAGAAATAGGCTTCTAAATTCAAATAGAACTAAAAATAAAAATCCAATTTCAAAACCCTTTATAATTTCATGCTTTGAAAAAAAGTAATCCGAATCTCGAAAAATAAAAAAACGTAAAAAAAACTTTAGCCTAATATAAAATTCGTTCAAACTTGTCAAAGCCAGAGTCACCGAAGTCAGTTTATTGTTTTTTTTTGCAATTTTCTAAGCTGAGCCTAGCTACTCCCATTTATTTTAATTTCTATTTTTTCAAGCTGAACCAAAAATGAAAGCTCAAAGTTCGAAAAAGAAAATTGAGTGTTAATTTGAGCCATGTCTATTGTAAAAATTGTGAAAAAAATCTTGGAAATAATAAACGCGAATCCTGCAAAAAATAATAAAAGAATGGAAAAAAAAACTAATGGAGGAAAAAGAATAAGAAAAATCATATTCCGGATGATTTGGTAAAAATAATATCAAAAATAAAATAAAATAGAAAAAACTTTTGGTAGCGGAAAATATCTATATGTATATTCTGAATTATTCAGCAGAAGCAACAGAAAAAGAAAAGCTTTTGTTGTGTCCAAAAACGACAAGAGAGTCGCGGTCGAAAAAAATTGGAAAAAGACAAGCAAAATATAAATAAGTGATTTAGGTAAGTACTTGCTTGGACTGACTGCAAAAAACAACAAGAACACATAAATTTTCCTTGTTTTTCTTTCAGACTTGCCTTCCTTCATTTATACATATTTCAGTGGGTTGAACAAAATGCATCTGCTACAGTAATCAAGTAAAATGGAAAAACAACTAACATGAAAACTAAAATTAATTGAAGGTTTGATATGAGTAGTACGTTTTCGTAATAATCTTTTATATATACTTTTGAGACTCAAAAATTGACTGATGAAATTTTAGAAACAAAGCCTAGCCTATCTCGAGCCGATTTACAACATCTCGAAACAAAATCACATGTTTTTCTGAAAAATCAGAATTCCGAGAATTTTCCCAATTTGTAATTATCTGAAAGTTCGAATAACTAATTATTTTCCGAAAAATCGGCGCGTCATAGTTTATTTCTAGTTCAATTTATTAGATATTCCAAAAAATTAGACCTGTTGAAGTCATTTCAAGCTTCCAATTCATAGCTCAAATAAATATCTATTTTTACATGATTGGATTAGAATTTGAAATTTTATGAGCAAAAAATAAATTAGTAAATAAAATTTGTTTGCTCCTCAAATCAGGTCAAAGTGATGTTTTCACATCAAATCCCACATCGACAATATGGAAATAACATCTAGGAATTCAAAAATTATCATAATTTCTTAATTGCCACGTTGAAGGTCACCTCAAAACGTAAAAATTTAAAAAAATGTTCACAGGTCTTCGGAAAAAATGAATTTTTGGAGATTAAAAATTCCAGACATAATTAATCCCTTTTATTTTACCATGACCTATATTGTGGCAATTTTCAAAAAAAATCTTTTCAAATTCAAGTTTTCCATGCCAATTAGCAAAAACGTCCTTGTTTATCATTTTCAGCACCGGTGAAATTGAAAGAAAACGAAAAACAACAAGAGCCGCCCCAAAAAAAAGAGACATAAATTGCTCAAGGACAATTGTACCCCCGGTTTCCTTTATGGCTATTTCTTACTACGTATTTTTCCCCCTATTTTTTGTGTTTAAGAAAAAGAAGATGTTTAATCTTTGAAGAAGTTCTGAAAATTATCTCGGAGTTTTTTATTTTTTCTGAGAAAAATAGAAAAATGCGGGAAAAAATATGTGGTATTTGGATTATTATTTATTTTCATTCATTATTACTTGAAGATACAAAATGAGCAAGATTATCGAACATTTCGGATAAATGTATGTGGATCTTTGAGCAAAAGAAAAACACATGTGAATGATTTGGAATATGAGAAAAGAGAAAGGAAAGGGAAACCTGAGACCGATATCAATGAATAAGTTATGAATAAATAAATGAATAAAAAGATTCTAGTATGAACCTCAAGCTTATAAGCCGATTGGAGGGGCATAACAAAACTTGAAAATTTTGAGTTTCTATCAAACTTTGGTTCAATGGGAATTTGAGTTCTTCTGGAAAAATTCTAGTAGCTCGTAAAATTTTTCAAATCCAAAACTGCTCTTTGATCAAAAATTTCGAAAAAAAATCTCACAAACAATTCAGAAAAAAAAACTTTGGGGTTATACACATATTTCAATCGAAACACGGGTCAAATAACAAGTGGTGAACAAACAAAGCTTCTTCTCCACGTGATTGTTCAATTATCTGATCTGATTCAAAAATTAGTTCATTACCTCTATAACAATGAAGAATGGAACATCGAGAAATGAATAAAAGACGAAAACTGGTTCATTTCACATTTGCCATTCCCAAGGATGTTGTGACGTGGTTTGCGTTTCGGTGTCTCGAATCATCATATTGAAATAATCTTCTTGATCCATGGATGTGCCCATATGACGTGTTGGAACACTGAAAAAAATATAGAAATAGACTTGTTTGGATTAACCAGCTAATCCTACTCTTCAAGGGTAGTTGTTCCAAAACTTCGAGTTTGCGGAACTTGTGTTTGATGATATCCTTGATGCTCATATCCAACTTGATCATAATATCCTCCCATATGATGATTTGGATAATATGTGGATGTTGTTTGTTGTGAAGAAGCTGTCATTATCGGGTTTTGTGATGTTGATGGTGCGATTGTTTGAATTGCAATATCCGCAGAGTTAGACGAACTTAACGATTGTTGGATATTATTGATGACGCTTTGAACATCATTGGTGGGAACGATTAGAAATATTGGATGGACAACTGTGGTAGAAGTGGGACTGGGATTTGAAGCAATTGTCTCGGTGGGATAGTTCTTCTTCGATTTATCTAAAAGATTATTCCATTCGAGGTTTGTGTGATTCTTCAGTCCAAAAATAGGTTGTTCAAAAAATCAGAGAAAAATGTAAAATTCATCAGCTTCATCTTTGATACACATAAAAACCGCATAAATGTGTTGTTTTTTCTTTTTTTTTTCTTTCTAAGCAGAAAAGATTCCAGAAATCAGGGACGTTCTCTTAAAATGTGGAAGATTTTAATAGCTTCACCCCCAGAAAAAAAAATTTTCATCCTCCTTTCGTAATTAAAAAGTCATCACCCACAGCCATGGCTAATCAAGTTTCTTTCTGCCAGATGACAGGAAAAAAAAAAAACTTAATATCCACATCTAAACACGAGGAAACAAAATTCCTTATCGAAAAACCAAATCTTTCTGCCATTCACTTACAGTTAGGCTATTTACTTCTTCTTTTTTTTGTCAGTTGTTTGAAAACGAATCACTTTCACTCAATGACCTTGCTCATTATAATAAAAAATCAACGAACAAAGAGAAAAATGGAGATAGCGAAAGTGATTATGCTAATTAGGTGTATCAAAAACTGTCAAATAAGACATTTTCTGGAAAAAACCCCAGAATTTTAAAATATCAAAGTATTGTTTTTCGTATTTTTCAAATGTTAGCCTTCCTTGTTTTTTTCATCATTAAAATATTGTGTAACAAACAAAGCATCCGGTTTTCTGCACTATTTTCAGAATTTTATTCATTGATAAGGAATTTAAGAATCGAATCCCAAAACTTTTAGAATCCGATGATTCACAAAGAAAGTAACAAAAATTCGATTTGAAACCAAAAATCTTTCAGTTTACACCGAGGCTTTTGGTGATAAAATCGCAAAAACATCAAGGCGCGTTTTCAAGGTTACAAACAGCTTCGCTCCGCCCACAAATCGCATCTATATAAAATAAGAAACAAAATGTGTAAGAGAAATCATCAAGAATGAGTACGAAATTCTTAGTGACTGTCGCTTCAGGAGCATCAGGTGTTGTCATTTTGGCATGCTTGGTTATGGTTGGTGTCCTTTTCCAGGATATCAATAACTTGTATGATGATGTCATGGATGATATGGTTGAATTTAGAGTAAGTACTTATCTTACTTGATCTTTTTAATTTAAATGATTATTTTTTAGTACACCGCTAATGAAGCTTGGAAAGATATGTTGAGCGCTGCACCAGCTCGCCCAGTTGACGCCAACACAATCTTCGGACGTAACAAGAGATCAGGAGGTCAATGCGGATGTTCAGCTCAACCAAACAATTGCCCAGCTGGACCACCAGGACCACCAGGACAACCAGGAGAGCCAGGAGAGGATGGTGAGAATGGACAAGCTGGAAAGAACGGTATCAACGGAATCTCGATCGCTAACCCAAGTGATGTTGGAGGATGTATTAAATGCCCAGCTGGAGAACCAGGACCAGCCGGACCAGACGGGCCAGCTGGACCAGCCGGACCTGATGGACAACCAGGAGCACCAGGAGCACCAGGACAAGACGGACAACCAGGAGCCGCTGGACCACAAGGAGATGCCGGATCTGCTGGACAAGATGGAGCACCAGGAGAGAATGGAGCACCAGGAGCTAATGGACAACGCGGACAAGGAGCCCCAGGACCACAAGGTCCAGCTGGGCCAGCCGGACCAGCCGGACAAGATGGAGCACCAGGACAAGACGGAGCACCAGGACAACCAGGATCTGAAGGAATCGCCGGAGCTCCAGGAAAAGATGGAGCCGCTGGATCACCAGGAGAGGCTGGACCAGCTGGAGGACCAGGAATTCCAGGACAAGACGCTGCCTATTGTCCATGTCCACCAAGAACTGCCGCTGTTGAAAATCAACCAGAGGCTCAAGGATACAGACGTCGTTTCTCACATGTCTAAGATTTTCAATAAACAATTCAGCATTCATTTTTTGTAGTTTCTTTTTTTTGAAAATTCAGATTTCTCAGCTTCAAGTTTTCTAAGAAATTTGAAGCTGCCCGAATGAGATAAATTCAACAAAGGAGTTTGATTCATAGTTTTCTTGGAAAGTAAAAAACTTTATTTTTTCCCAATTTTTCTCTATGGAAAACTGGCCCATAAATCACTTACCTTGCGAACTTCTCAATCGACACCTTGATTTCATATGATATTTCACATCTTTCTCTAGCGCTGATCGAAATCCACACGAGCACGAAAATCGTTTCTCCATATGAGCCTAGAAAATTTTAATTTTCAAATTCCAATTTTTTTATTCTCAATTTACCCTCCAATAATGTTGTTTCAAATTCCTCATCCCATCGAACGCCGATTTTTTCGTCAAGCAAACATTATTCGGGCAGTGATATAAATATGTTATTGCTGAAAAATTCGAAATATCATCCTATTTCATTATATTTTCCTCACATTCTCCTTCTGATCGATCATGAATCCTTGAATCTGCCACATTATTTTTATCAAACAATTTATGAACCTTTACTCGATGCAATCGACAAGCCGATGTGTTTTGAAATTGTTTTCCGCAAACTTCACAACTCGAAAACATTGATGAATCATTTTGTATGATTTCGCTTGTACTTGGAAACACGTCTACCACATTTTTATTGCTCATTTCGAAGTGTCTGCAAACAAATTCAAGAATGAAATCATCTTTTGACATTTTGATAAGAAACGTTTTTTTCCTTGATATAAAAAAAGACCACAAGAGCAAGACAAATTTGAAATTGAGTCAAAAAAGTAAACGATAATGAATTTTCTATATTTTCCGATATTTTTGTTCGGAATTTCATTAGCCGATCCAAAAATCTTATATCTGAATAAATTTTTCGCTGGAACTACTACTTATATAGCAAATGTTGAGGGTTATTCAGCATTATATTTGTCTTCGAGTGATGATATTCAATTATTGAAGAATATAACAATCGATATCGGAGACTCATTAACGTGAGTTTCTAAAGAGAAAAAGGATGAACATCTAGGATTTTTTCAGAAGGCAAAAAATTGTCTTTTTTTCTCAGAAAAAATTCAGGAGACTTCTTTCTCCCTAGGGCTTTTCATTTTAAAAAATATATGAAAATGAACGTTAATAAGTTTACCAAACTGATTTTCATTCAACCCAGGTACAGGAATTCAAGAGAAAAAATATAAGTATTACAGCCTCGATACTTTGGTAAATCGAAAAAACGCCGATGGTTCCCAAAAAGCCTTGACAATCGGGAATGTTCTCAGTTTCACAACAACCAACTCCGATGCTATAACTCAAAGGCTAACAGGATTTATCTATGTCGCTTCTGCGAAACAAGCAGCCGATCCAGATTTTTCGGTATATGTGATTGATGGCAAATACAATATCACCAAATCATCAAGTCTCTCAACAACTGTTATTTTGAATACATACTACGGTTTGACTCCTGAATACTATGCACCAGATATGAATAGTTATGTTGATAATATTCAACAAGATAAATCCGCTAAAATATGGCTATATTCTGATATTCCTTTCGACAATTATACTCAAAAACCAGCATGGGGAACTTTTTTCTACAATCCATTAGTCTTTGATAATATCGATGAAAACAACAATGCATATCAAACAGAACAGTAAAATAATTGCTTTTAGTTTTAAAAAATAATCATGAATAATTACAGATTCTTCGATAATATCGAACCACTTCAAATTTCCTATGATGCTTGGTATATTTTATCCAACGGAAAAATTAGCTTAACTATTGATAAATACTGGGGTAAGAATCAGAAAAGAAATGACAAACTAGAATAAGTATCTTCAGATAACTCACTGGAGGACAGTACAACGAGCAGAACTACAACTGGATTGATTATTAATCCACCTCTGGGACTATTCGCAAAAACAAAAATTTATTTCCAACATGATGCGCACAACAACCGGACAACTGGAATGTATGCGACATCGAATGTTAATTCACCCGTCGATGTCACATTCTATTCATCCCAAGCAACACTTTTTGCACAATTCGTAGGTAATAAACCTATTATAGGACTGCAAGAATGGAGTCCAAATGATGCTACTAGTCTTTTTGTAAACTCTTCATACTTGATGCCTGGACAGTTTTCTGTTCAATATTTTGTTATCGATGGTTTAAGTGTTTACACATTAACATCTTCAAGTCCATCAACAGTTCAAACTACTACACCAAAGTCGTCAGTAACATCAACAATTCAAACAACAACAAGTGACTCATACCTACCTAATTTTTCCTTGACATTTTTGTGCTTGCTATCATATTTGCTCACCGTTATGTATTTTTGAAACGTGGTTTTCTTATAATAAAATTTTATCAATGCTTTTTTTGCTATTAAATACTCGAAACACTTCAATAACATTTATTTAACTATGATTTTGTTCACACTTTTTGCTATATTTTCTCTAATTGTAGCAGATCCAAGAACTATTGATCTCTATTCAGAATCAATATATACACGAAGTTTCCAAGTTGAAGTTGGATCAAACTTATTTTTATCATCAAATGATAAAGCAACATTTCTATCAAAAATAACATTGACAAATGGAAATACTGTGAAGCTGTGAGTTTTTTAACGACAGAGAATTAAGGGATAAATTTAAATATTTAGAGCTAACACTTTGTTGAGTCAGTTTAATAGTGATGGATCAATGTTGGGATGGACTATGACTGATTCTACATTGACAATCACTACCACTAATGATAATAACACAATCGTCAGTTTGACAGGATTTATCTATATTACAACAGCTTCACAAGCGAATGATGCAAATTTCCAAGTGTTCAAAGTACAATCGAATGATCAACCTTTGAATATCAAGAAATCATCAACAGCTGTATTTCTAACTGTTCAACCAACTAGAAATGATTCCGCTCCCTCTTATCAGCCATTCAGAAATATACTCTTCACGAATTTTGTGCAACAAAATGTGAGCAAAATTTCGTGGGAGCAGTACAATCAAAAATATTTACAGACAACTAATCTTCGAATTTACAACGAAATTCCTAAAGAATATTACAAAAACGACACTGCAACAATGAATCAATTGATCTTCAGAAATCCAATTGATTTAACACCACTTAATGACACACGTTCTTATGTATTTTTCGATAATGTTGAACCAATTCAATTCCCGTTGAGATTCATGTATCTAACGGTTGATGGTGATGTTAGTTTCACTGTGTCAAACAGTTGGCAAGATCAAATTATTTATAATACAACAGCTGTGACAACAACAGGAATCATCACAAATCATTTATTCGAAGTTAACACAACAGTCAACTTCCAAATAAATCCAAATAACAATAGAACAGTGGGTCTCATCGTAAGTGCTTATTTTATTTTATTTTTATCTGAAACTAAATGTTCTAGGCATTTTGTGATGACTTATGGGCTGGTTTGAACTACACGTACTCTTCTTCAACATCGCAATCAACAATTTCATTTTCAAAGGGATCCAGTATTAACAATGTACTATTCACAACAAATCTTGCAGCTACTCAACTATATGGAGTTCCTCTATCTAATTCGGTTGGAATATTTTACATGCAATACTTTGGAATTGATGGAATTCCATTATCATCAACAAGTGCGCCTTCAACAATTTCAACAACGCAATCACCTCCTACAACTCCCACAATCAGTCCAACAACTAGTTTAGTGACAAAGTCAACATTTTCTTCAATTTTAATGTTTTTGTCATTATTATTCTTGTGGAATTGATTTTAATTCCAATATCAAATGAAAGTTTTCCTTCAAAAAACATAAACTATGACGTGGAACTCCGAATAATTTAGATAACGTATTCAAAAATCAACAATCTCAGTATCAGTACACATGAACTCTGCGTGATAGAAAAAATGAAATGATGCCACACCCGAGAAAATGTTCTGTTTATTAGTTCTTAATCATGGTTTCACAGTTCTGAAGGCAGGCAAAAATTCGAACAATCAATTTTAACATTTGAAAAAACGACAAGTGATTCATCATCGAGTGATTTCTCGAAGAGTTCTAAATTTTGATACCATATTTGCTCACAGTGATGTGTTCTGAAGCGGTTATCTTTATAACACATTTTTATCAATAAATTTTTGGTTAAATACTCGAAACATATCAATAAAATAGTCCACTATGATTTTATTCATAATTTTCGCTTCATTCTCTGTTATTTTGGCAGATCCAAGAATAATCGATCTTTACTCATTAGGAGATACACAAAGTGTTCAAGTTGAAGTTGGTTCAAATTTATATTTATCTTCGAATGATAAAGCATTAACTCTATCGAAAATAACTTTGACAAATGGAAATATAAATAAAGCGTGAGTTAGTGTTGAATTGTGAACATCGAAGTGTATATTTGATTTCAGAACGAACTCATTGCTGAGTCAATTTAACGCTGATGGATCAATGTCAGGATGGACTATGACTGATTCTACATTGAAAATTATTAATGCAAATGATGTAAACACAACTGGAACTTTGACAGGATTTATCTATGTTACAACAGCTTCACAGGCGAAAGATGAGAATTTCCAAGTTTTCAAAGTTCAATCTCAAAATCAAACTTTGAACATCAAAAAATCGTCAACAGCTGTATTTCTAACTATTCTGCCAGACAGAAGTGCTTCGGCTCCAATATATCAGACGTATAGAAACACTCTCTTCTCAAACTTTGTGCAGAAAAATGTGAGGATTAACTATTCGAGTTTAGAAATCAATTAAATTTACAGACAACTAAACTTCGAATTTATAATTACGTTCCTCGAGAATATTACAAAAACGACACTGCAACAATAAATCAATTGATCTTCAGAAATCCAATTGATTTAACACCACTTGATGACACACGTTCTTATGTATTTTTCGATAATGTTGAACCAATTCAATTCCCAATGAGATATATGTATCTAACTGTTGATGATGATGTTTCTTTCACTGTATCAAATAATTATCAAGATCAAATCAATTATACAACAACAGCCGTGACAACGACTGGACTTATTGCATATCATTTTTTTGAATTCCAAACAACAGTAAACTTTCAAATCAACCCAAACAATAATCGAACTGTTGGTATTATTGTAAGTATTTATCTTTTTTGTTTATTTACAAAAAAAGATGTTTAAGGGATTTTTCGACAACCTATGGGGTGGTTTGAACTACACATTTTACTCTCCAACTTCACAATCACAAATTTCATTTCCTAATGGAACTGATGTTTACAATTTGTTATATACAACAAATGTCGAAGCGACACAATTGTATGGATATCCTTCTCAATTAACAGTCGGTGTATTTTATGTTCAATATTTTGGAATTGATGGAATTCCAAAGCCATCAACTATTGCACCGCCTTCAACAATTTCCACAACACAATCAACTTCTACAATAGTTACAACAACAAGTTTAGTGACAAAGTCAACATTTTCTTGGGCACTATTCTGTATGTATTTATTATTTTTGTGGAATTAATTTTTGATAAACAAAACATTTTCAATAGTTGTAAGACGTATAAGTTTACAGACGAATAATTATTTTTTGGAAAAACGTGAACTATGACGTGACAATTTGGAAACATTAGGTGGCAAACCCAAAATTCATCAACAAGCTTCACAGTTTTTTTTTCCAAAACAATTCTTTAAATGTCAAACCACGTCACTTTTCCGTTGAAAATGTGCCCAAAAAATTGTGACTCGAACAAAAATCGAAGTTTGTATCTACACTGATAAATTTCAACTATATATTATCACCTTTTTGCGACCAAAACTTTATTTTACAATGTTTTTTGAACGATTTTTATTGATTTCGACATTTTTTTCGATAATTTGGTCAGATCCGAGAAAATACTATCTTCAACAATTCGATCCTGCTACTCCACATTTGATAACCGATATAGAAGTCGGTGCAAAATTATTTTTATCTAGTAAAGATTTCGTTGAACGTTTGCAGAATATTAAACTGAGGAGTGGAAATGTGACAATAACGTGAGTTCTCATGATTTATCTACCTTCCAACAACGATTTTTGAAGCGCTGACCAACTTTCGTCAAACAAAAACGCGGATGGTTCTCAAAAATGGCTAATTGTTGAAAAAGATGGGCTCACCATTGAATCAACAAATTCCAAAATCGAAACTCAAAGTTTGTACGGTGTGTTGTACTCATCAACCGCCAGACAAGCAGCAGACCCTAATTTCATAGTTTTTGTTATCAAGGACAAAATTACTGTAGACAGAAAGAATAATCAAAACTCGACTATAGTTTTATTGGGTCCAATTCAAGTTGCCGATATTTCTGCTCCAACCAGCAACGTTTATATTGATAACATCGAACAATCAAAGGTTAGAAAATTGCCTGATAAAAGAACATGAGCATTTATTCAGACTGCTTCGCTTATTGCATTTCGCAATTTTCCAACAGATGATTATCAAAACTTGGCAAACAATTGCACAATATTCCGCAATCCATTAAAATTCAGATGGGACAATAATGCAACAACTGAAATGTTCGTAACTGAACATGAAAACTAGAAAATCAATTACCCATTTTAGATTTTTCTCAAAAACCGATGATCTTCAATTTCCAATAGATGCATTTTATATGATAGTAAATGGTGGAATCAGTTTTCAAGCTAGCGACCAATGGAAAGATCGAACAGTTCTAACATCCAGTGCTTTAACAACCACAGGTCTCATTCTAAATTCAGGGGAAGTTCCTTTCAGCAAAGTGACTTTTATGAACAATACAAACAAATTACAAACAATGGGAACAATCATAAATGCAAATGTAGAATATGACCTTCGTGTGAGCATGATCTTACAAAACTCTACAATTTATCAAGTGTGAGTTGGTCAGGAAAAATTGATTATTCACAGTGGTTTTAGATTCGAAAAGGGTCATCCTGTATATAATCAAATCAAATACGTTGATTCACATATAAATGCATTGCTAGTGGACCCGCAAACTTCGGCGGTCTCTGATTATAGCGTTCAATATTTTTCCATAGATGGAATGGCTTTTCCAATTGAATCAACTACAACAATTCCATCAACACAAACATCAACAACTAAATCTGAAACAGTAATGACAACAATGCAAACATATACAACGACAAGAGGTGCGGCTAAATTGTCATCATTCATAACATTAATTTTTCTTCTGATTCATTTTTATGCATAAAACTCGACTCTTATCATTCTTTGTGAATAAAAAATGATTTTTTCAATTTTTGTGTTATGTGTTGGTTTCGTATCACCTCTGACTATTTCCCTTAATACAATTCCAAAAAAGGCCGTTACATATGATGTGGAAGTAAGTTAAAAATAAGATAGAAGAAAAAATATATCAATTTTCAAAGGTTGGCTCGTATTTATACGTGGCTTCGACTGATGCATCTTCACTGCTTCAAAATATTTTCATAACTGATGGAACAGTTACTACCGCCTATTATTTATCACAATTAGGAGTGAATTCGGATGGAACTAAAATACCGTATGTTATGACAACTGATAAATTAACGATACAAGGAAATCAAGAATATGACTTTTATTTCGCAACTGGATACATTTATATAACAACGGCAAATCAAGCTAAAGGTATATCAATGAAAAAAAAACTGAAAAATAACAAATTTTGATTAAGATCCGTATTTTATGGTTTATCCCGCTGATATTGAGTCATTTATTTCAACAAATTATAAAAATGCAACTCTGGTATTTTTAAATTATGACATAGATATTCCTAGAACAAGTGCTTATATTCCTGTAAAATCAGCAAGAATAATTGGTCTGTCAAATACTCCTTTTAAAATTTATTGGAATGAACCATCACCAAATTGGAACAACGGAAGTGATTTCCCTCTTCAATTAGTTTTTATGAATCCCTATGAAGATATTTATTTCAATAACATCGATCCGATTCAAATGAACACCGATATTTGGTACATCAGAGTTTATAACGGCATAACTCTTCAAATTGATCCAACATGGATTGACCCAAATACTATCGTTTCATCGGGTTATAATGCAACTGGAATGATTATGAGTACATATAATATTCAAGATATTCAAATTCCACTGACAAAAGATTCTAGTTATGGTGGTACATCAGGAATGAGATGTATTTATAAAGTCGAATGCGAGACAAGTTTCACATTGGGAGGATCATTTGCCTTGGGGTAGATAATTCCATAAAATAATCTAGATTTTGTGATAAACTGATCTTTCAGCATGGGTCCATCTAATTTAGTCGACCTCAACATTCGATCCGGAGTAACTCAACAAACTAGTGATTATTTTTCAATCAAATCTGAGGATCCACACGTGGGTGTTTTTGCTGTACAATACTTCCAACAACGTTAGTTTTGTTAACCGGAGATTTTGAAGAAAAAAAATTATATGTTCAGAAGGCGATAAGTTAACTACACCAGTTCCGACTAGCACGGCTATTCTTTCAACAACGACAGGAACAACAACAGTTACAACGACGCAAATAATTCCAACTACTACAACAAGTTCTTCACCATCCGCTTATTTTTTACTAACTTTTGCCAGTATTTTCGCATTCTTCGAATTGTATAATTAGCCATGAATTATTATTTTTTCATAAGACGATAATAGTTAGATCAAATGGTCATTTATTTATGGAATGTCGTTCGGAAATGAGTCTACAACAAGAAAAACAAATGTTCATTTGAATATGAAACTTTGACGACGTCAATAAAAACAGATAAAACGACAAGAGGTGCGGCTCAATTGTCATCATTCATCACAATAACTCTAGTTCTGATTCATATGTATGTATAAAAAGCAACGATTCTTATCAGTTGTCGAGAATTGAAAAAATGATTTTTTCGACTTTGCTTTTATGTGTTGGTTTTGTATCATCTCTGACCATTCACTTGAATACTGTAACTAATACTCCAGTTACATATGATGTGGAGGTAAGTAAAAATTTGGTGATTGAAAAAATTTGAATAGCGTTTTTAGGTTGGTTCATACTTATATGTCGCTTCGACAGACATGTCTGTCTTACTTCAAAATATAATAATAACAGATGGAACACCTTATACCGCATATACATTTTCGAAATTAGGAGTAAATTCAGAAGGAACTATGACAGCATATGTTATAACAACTAACAAAATAACAATTCAAGGAAATCAAGCATATGATTATTCAATGACAACAGGATATATTTATATTACAACTGCAAATCAAGCAAAAGGTATTTACTTTCAAAAAAGACTCGACAACTGACAGAGTTCAATTCTAGATCCTCATTTCTTGGTTTACCCAGCTGATGTGAGCTCATTAATTTCAACAAATTATAAGAATGCGACACTTGTATTTTTAAATTATGACATTGATATTCCAAGAAAATATGACTATATTCCGTTGAAATCTGCGAGAATTACAAAGCTCTCTAATAGTCCATTCAAAATATATTGGAATGAACCAACGCCAAATTGGAATAACGGAAGTGATTTCTTTCGTCAGTTGGTTTTCATGAATCCACTTCAGGGAATGTATTACGAGAATATCGATCCGATTCAAATGAACACCTATATTTGGTATATCAGAGCATATGACGGCATAACTCTTAGTGTTGAACCAACATGGATTGATCCGAATACTATTATTTCATCTGGTTATAATTCAAGTGGGATGATTATGAGTACACATAATATTCAAAATATTTCATTCGCTCTCGCAAAAGATTCTAATTATGGTGGAGAATCAGGTTACAGATGTATTTTTAAAGTCGAAAGCGTCACAACAATTTCGTTGGGTGATCCATTTCCAACAATGTAAACATCGAAAATTACACGAATTACACTTGCAAAATTCGAATTTTCAGCATGTCTCCGACTAATTTAACTGATCTCAATGTGCGATATATAGTGAGGGGTGCACCTAGTGATTATTTTTCAATTCAATCTGCTTCACCAAGCGTCGGTGTTTTCGCTATACAATATTTCCAACAACGTTAGTTTGCGACATAACTTTTGATTGAAATCAAAATTATTGTTTGTTGAATTTCAGAAGGCGATAAAATGACTACACCACTTGCAACGAGTACATCAATTCCTACAACTATAAACGGGGGAACAACACAGAAAACCCCAGCTACAACGACAAGTTCTTCATCATCAACTTACTTTTTACTAACTTTTGCTGGTATTTTTTTCTATTTTGTGAATAATTTAAACACTCACCATGAATTATGAAGCATGAAGTAGAATAAATGTTTGTATACAGTGAATATTCTCGTAAAAATTCAGAAATTTATGAAACAGAGCCAGCTCCGAGCCGAAAAAAAAGAAATAAATATTTGTGGACTAGTATTCCAAAAAAAGTTCGTCCCCCGATTTATTTATTGTTTTGTGTGTCAATTTTCAAGCGCTTTCCGATAATTTCACTGATTCACCAGGAAGCCCTCGTTGTTATATGTATTGCGAACATATCATTACTAGAATTTAAGATTAATTTTCAGCTAAGTCTTCTCTCCCAACAATTAATAGCTACGGCCTAGAAAACCAAACCAAACGCAGTTTATATTTCTCGAGGACTTTAGTGTTTTGATTTTTTCGGCTCTTTGAAATTAATTTAATTCTTGAATAACTTAGTTGCAGAATGACGAGACATGGAAAGAATTGTACCGCTGGATCAGTATATTCATACCATGAAAGAAAACGAGATGCTAAAGTGAGTTTCTATTGGTTTTTGAACAAAATAATGAAACATTTTAGGCAAGTGGTTATGGAACACTTCACGCAAGACTTGGCGCCGATTCAATCAAAGAATTCCATTGCTGCTCGCTAACTCTTCAACCATGTCGTCAACCTGTTATCACGCCAAATGGTTTTATATATGATAGAGAAGCGATTCTCGAAAATATTCTAGCACAGAAGAAAATGTTTGCCAAAAAATTGAAGGAATATGAGAAACAATGCGCTGAAGAAAAAGCAGATCAAGACAGAGAAACTGTAACTGAAGCAATGTCGAAGAAGAATAAATTCTCGATAATTGAAAGTACGCCAAGTCGAACTGGAGCGCAAGCGCTTTCTGCGCAAATAGCTGAAAAAGCTCAAAAACGCCCGGGAGGTGTCATTTCTTCTGAAATTGCTGCAAAAGTCAAAGCGCATGGTGAAGAAGGTCATATGTCAAATATGCTCGGAGAAAAAAGTACATCTTTGCCAAGTTTTTGGATACCTGAGTTGAATCCAACTGCGGCGCCAACAAAATTGGAAAAACCAGTAAGTCATATTCAATGTTTTCCAACTAAACTTATTTGTATTTTATAGAGCTCCAAAGTATTATGTCCGGTTTCTGGGAAACCTCTGAAATTGAAAGATCTGATGAATGTTGATTTCACACCAATGCCTGGCACTGAAAATTTGGCACAGAAGAAATATATTTGTGCAGTTACCAGGGATGAATTGACAAATACAACGAAATGTGCATATCTCAAGAAATCGTGGGTTTTTGAAATCAAATTTTGAATTTAAAATATATTTTGAATAGCAATCTAGATATGTTGAATTCGAGTATAAAAAACTCCCAAAGACTTGGAAATTAATATAGATAATTCCAGAAAAGCAGTCGTAAAATTCGAAGTTGTTTCAAAACTGATCAAAGACGATGGAGTTGATCCAATCAGTGGAGATCCGATAACTGAAGACGATATTATTGAATTACAACGAGGTGGAACTGGTTATTCAGCAACTAATGAAGTCAAAGCGAAATTGATTCGACCGCAATTGGAATTGCAGTAGTGATTTGATTATTTGTTAATAAATGAACATGAGAAGTTATCATCAAGGAACTGTTTATGACTCAAACCTCACCCAATACCTGGAACTCCAGGTGGGCAATTTTTTTTCGAAAAACCTGGGTGGGCAAATAATTTTTAGAGGCTGTAAGGGGAGCCCCGGGTGGCGAGCCTCAGGCGGGAAAATTTTTTCACTAGGTGTGCAATTTTTTACCCGCTACTCCAGGTTCTTGGGTGAGGTTTGGTTTATGAGAATTCAATTTCACTTTAAAATTGGTTTGTAAACACGAGAAAGAAAGTTGAATGATCAGCGGAATTATTCTCTCTAGTGTAACTTGATAGAAATAATTTTTTTGATCTTGGGACAAAAAGATCTTTGGGGTGTTTGCTCTACCATTAGGTAAACTTCGGTAAAATTATTTGTACAGTCTTTATCAGTTCCGAAATACCCGTTTTACGCGAGAAAACTGTAAACTCACGATAAAATGCACAATTAATATTCGAAACCATCTATATCATTTGCTTGAAATTCATTTATTGATTTTTTGATGTTCTGGAAAAAAAACTTCCAAAGATATACGGTAGTTCAACTCACTTTCTGAGCATTCATTTTTTCAACCTATTTGGACTGAGGTTTCATTTAGAAATAACACTATTATTTTCACCCTGAGTGAAAAAAAAACATATTTAGATCAGATAAGATACGTGTATTTTCATTTTGTCGAATAAAAACGTGAAATTTTTTTGAATTCAAATTCTCGAAACATTTTGAGAAATACAAATTTCTGAAAATCATCAAAATTCAGTATTTTTCCTCCTCAAAAAATTCGCCCACTTATCAAAACTCCAAATCTCAATTCTTTAGTGGTTCGAGATGCACTCGAACCACATAAAACAAAAAGAAATCATATGAATTATTCAAAAAATAATTGAAGTGGATGAATAATTTATGGGATTGTTCAAAAAACATCAAAACTTTTTTTTAGTTTCGCTTTTTTTTCGGGCACATTATTATTTTTGAAATGGCCGACCAAGTATCCGGTTTGAATTTTTTCATTGGAAAAGTTTTCACGTGGCAAAACTTAGTTTCTATTAAATTAAACCACTTTCCAATGCATTGACTGTAAAAACTCCATAATAATCTAAAATTTTGCACCTAAAATTTTCACATAGTAAGTATTTTTCCCACGAATTCGAATTCAAATCCAAATCCAAAATCCTCGAAAAAAAAGTTCAATTAAAAAATTCATTTCATTTCGCCAAAATCTCCTTCTTCTCATCTCCTTTTCTCGTGCACTATTTTTCGTTTATGAGTCCTGTTGAGAGCCGGAAAAAAAGAAGATGACCAACTCTCTCGGGGAATTCAAGAAGGAGAAGGCCTCCGAGATTTTTTTCTAGCTAGTTTTTTTTATATATTCAAAGGGCATATATATTTCTTGCGCATATTTTTTACATGTTCCGATTTTTCATCTTTTTTTGTGTGCGACTTTGATAAATGCGAAAAGTAAAATTGTGTCACTTTCAGTGATTTTTTCTCACTTTTCCTGCTTTTTGTTCTCACGGCGCTCAAACTTTCAAGTATGGATATTTTCCGAGAAAATGAATATTGATACTTTTTTTTAGAGATTCTGCAGAAAAATCCACGTGGCGAATTTATTTGAAATAATTCAAAAATTTAATTATTTAATGAATTTTTTAATTTTGCGCGAAAAAAATTGAAAATCTGAATTTGAAATTTTTTGGGAGCTTTCCAAAAGTTGACATTTTTTGTAGTCGGTTTCGCTTGAAATTTCAAAGCTTCATAACATTTTTCCTACGTGGTTTTTTCCAGATTTTTAAATTTTTTCTAAAAAAAAATCTACAAAAACTCGTCATCCAAGCAAAAAAAAAAATAAACGTATTTATTTTTCTCGCAACAGAAAACAATTTTGGCCCCTCCCGGAAAAATGCGACCCAAGCCGCAAATTAAATTTGTTATTTAAAAAAAACTAGACAAAAAACGAGGAGAAGTATATGTATATTTTTTTTGTATATGTTTTGACTAGATTTCTGATCTTTTCCGCTTTTTTTTTGAGTTAGTTCGTCGTTTTTTCTTTTCTTTTTTTGCGCTGTTCCGGTCAGGATTAGAAAAGCGAATAATTAGAAATGTTCCGGCCTAACATTTTTCTGTTTTCTTACTAATTCCATGGTTTTCTGAAAAAATACTTTTCGCATTTTCCAGAAATGAAATCATCAGTGACACAATTCCTACATCAAGTGAGTTTTATTTTTGTTAAAGCTTTTTATTCCCCGGGTATATACATTTTCAAAAAAAAAACTTTAAAAAAATAAAAACTGTAAAATAAGGCACTCTGAAATTATAAATAAAAATTGGATCATTGATTCCGATTTCTGAATTCTTTGACAATGTGAAAAAGTTGAGGATAGGCTTCGCGGACCATTTGACCGATACCGTAGGCCAGAGATACGAGACGAAGCTCGTTTTCACATTGAGAAGCCCAATCGATCTGAAAATTTGTAATTTTTTTTATATTAGATTCATCAATTTTTCAAAAATCTAGAACGCTTCTCTTTTTGAAAATAGTTTGTATCGAATTTCTGACTTTTTACGATCTGTGAATTTTTTTTATTGCTTTTCTAGACAGAAAAATTTGAAAAACGCAAACTCTTAAAGCTTGGAAACTTCTCTAGAAAATGAGAAAAACATTCATATTAAAAATTGTGATCTATAAAAGAATTTTCTCTCCGAAACTAACCCGTATCTCATTTTCACTGAAAAACGATCGATTTGGCAAAACTGTTGCCACACATTGATCCTGTGTCAAAACCGACCAAGATTCTTTCGAAAAAAGACATCCACATTGTTGAAAAAGTGTGGAAAGTCCCGAAGTTTGAGTCATTATTCTAGCACTGTAATTTGAAATTTTTGGAGACAAAAAATGTTTGCAAGTTACCCTTTCAATTCATCAGTGTTTGTCTGAATCAAAATAGTTCCACCGAGTTCTCGCAACTCGTAAACCGTCATTCCTGACACCGGATGTTTGATTTTCAACAAATTTGTTGAATCTTCAATATCAATCAATGTAATTTCACAAATCTTCTTCGAACTTTCTTGAAGAATAATTTCATCTGGATATACGCTAGCTGAAATATGAGATTTCCTCATTTATATTTAAAAATAAATAAATAAATTGCTTTTTTTCTCTCAAAAATATAGAAAAAAAGGAAAAACCTTGCATAAATCGATAGCCTTCTTTGTTGAAAATATCAAATTCCACCGGATCAAACTGCACTGAGTTTCGCATCACATAGTTTTCAATAGCGTTTTGAAGCTGAAATTTTCTAGTGATTTGTTGGATTAAGGTGGGCAGTTTTTTAAAAATCTTTTTTGAATATTCGATTTTTTGTGATATTTTGGGTTCGTCCAAATGTTCATTTTGATTTCCCAATTTTTTCAAACTCCTTTCATCATAACCTTTTTTTCCAACTAACCTGAGCAATGTTGTTCAATTTTATCTTGACATAATTCAATTTTTGAAGAATGTGTACATTTTCAATTTTGGTTAATGTTGGCACAATTGCAGTTGAGAAGCGTCTGAAATTTTTTAATTTTTCAAAAAAAAATTCATAAGTTATGGATTGAATTGGATTGGAACGCTGAAACTAGAACTCTAAGCCTGGATTTCTATAACTAGAAGTTCAAACCTAAAAGCCTGGAACTAGATGTTCAATCCCAGTAACCCTGTTCTAGTTATCTAGAAAACCCAAAAGCTTTCCCAAACTCACCTAGCTTGTCTCGAAATCTGCGCAGTGACAGAAGATTGTCTTCTCGATCCACCAGCCATTATCGCGTCAGCCAACTGTGAACTTGTGGTTTTCGGCTCTTTTTCCGCTTCTTTTTCAGAATGATCCTTATTTTTCTTTCGCAAAGTTTTCTGAAAGCTTTCAAGTCGTAAAACAGAATGGATAGATTAGAATTCATTTTTTTCTCTATTTTTATTTACAACTATTTTTTAGAAAACAAAAAATAATGAATGAACTAATAAACGATAGGAAAATAATTATTATTTTAATTTTATGCGAAGGGAAAAACTAAAACTGAAATGAAATGAGTATTTGACCTATGGTCACGTAGGAATAAAATTGAGTTGATGTAAATTCATGGAGGAAGAGGGAGGAAAAAGATTAGAATCTAATTATAAAATTCTTGGAATTCATGTTTTTTATAGATTTTTTTGAGGACTTCTGGGTCATAAAGGTCTTTTTAAGTTGAAAAAGGACAAGGAAGTTAGTAGGAAATTTTTGCTTTTCATAGATTTTTTGTAATTGGGAGACGGTGTAAATATGACAGTATCATTTTGATTAGGAAATGTCTTGATAATTCAGAAAGTTGAATTGGATTATTAAATTTTTCAAAATTAAAAATTATAAACGTGATCTATGACGTGGCAATTCGAAAAAATCTAATTTTATTTCCGAAAATGGGAAATTCAATAACCATTAAATTTTCCAAAATCAATAAACGCCAATGATAAAATGGAATACGATAGAATTATTTTAGCTTTTGTTTCTTCTTTCTACTGAAATTGTCACGATCAACATTTTCAAAAGAAAAAATTAAGAACAATTAATTAAAAATCTGCAAAAAATGATCACTAAAACACAGCCTTCAAAAATCAGACAGACACCATCAATGTCTCTTTCTTTTTTGAATGAAGTGTCAAATTTCTGTTAAAAAGCGCGCCCCAAAAAATTGTGATTGAGTTGCGTGTTGGCCATTTTTTTGGCCTTTTCCTGTTCCGAGACTAATTGAAAATTTAAGAAATGAGAACGAGATAAAAAAGAGAAGATGACGAGCAAAAAATGTCACATCATAAATAAGCAACTTTTTTCTGGATTGAATGTTGCGATTTTCTGAGTTTTGAGTTGATAATTTATTGCAAGAAAAGTGGGTAGATTTTTTTTTTCGGATAAATTGGAGTTTTTCTTGGAATTTAAACTTTTGGGATATTTTTTAGATAAGAGATTACAATTCTTTGAATTCTAAGATCCATAATTGGAATGAGTTAGGCTAAGTTTTGGAAAATTTTCGAAAAATCAGTAATAAACTTATGTATACATTTTTGAGAAAAACAACTTTTTATTTTCAGATTTTCCCAATTTATCTGAATACAATTTTTATGTTTTTTTCTCAAAAAATATACGAAAAACAATATTTCAAATGTTTGTACTTTGAAACTGATCAGTAAATTTTCAAAAATCTTTGCAGTGAAATCAGCTGTTTCCCACTTAGTTTTTCTAACAGGTTTATTTTTAGCTCTAAATAAATTTGTCATAACAAAAAAATTTACTGGAAAAGGTTCTTCTTTTCCAGAAAAAATAACAAGAAAGGGCAATTTTTAAAGACAAAAGAGCTATAATAATAAATTACTATAAAATAGTCTTTTGTCTTTTTTTCAAAAATTGATGGAAAATATGCAAATTCCTCCAAAAAACGGACCTACAAAAATCTCACAAATCAAAAAAATCTGAATATTTCATAGTCTACAAAAAACAAAACAATAGAATTAAAAATTTTGAAGCTTTTTTTGGAAAAAAATCCTGGTTTTTTGTAAAAACAACCATTTTGAAAATGAAAATTTATTCTGGAGAATTTTCGGAAGACAAAGCAACTAATAAAAAAATTCGATAACTTTTTAGATTTAGCCAATTTGAAAGCGTCATTCGAGGAATGATGAGTTCAAAAAATATAGTATTTATGTATGAAACATTTTTTGTGCCGATGAGAAAAAAATATGAGTTGGGGTTGCAAAAAAAAGAACAAAGAATGATCTTGAGAAGAGAAAAAAAAATGAAAAGTTGAAACATTTCCGGTCATTTTCGAAATATAAAATGCAAAAGGGAACATATTTCTAAGAATCTTGAATCTATGATGAAATTTTGAGTTGATATGAACTTCCACGAGATAGTTGTGATAGGAAGGAATTTTTGGAGATTCGAGTCAACTATCTCACTTTTTGCAAAAATCATGAATTCAACCTGCCACGTCATAACTCTTGTTCTAGAATTTTTTTTGGAAATAATTTCTAATTCAAACCAATTTTTGAAGCGGTTCAAGTCAAACACCAAAAATTGGACCACTTCAAGAAAGTGGTTCGATTTTTGGGATTCTTTAAAAATTCGCTCAGAAATCAAAAAAAGTGAAAGTGCACTTTTGATTCTTAATCCTAAATTTAAAAAATTCATACTCCGATCTTTGAAAATATTTTTTTTTCGAAAATAGGTCGCCCATAGTTTTATCTTTCCAATTTCACGAATCAAGTTCAAAATAAAAAATCCGACAAGACAACAAAAACCAAAGAAAAAGGAAGACAAAAAGCATTGTCGATGTTTAATTCGAAAATTGGCCAAAAAAAAGCACAATCCCAATTTTTTGTCGTCGAGAAAAAAGACATGGAGAAAATTAGACATTTTCCCTGTTATTTATGTTTATGCCTTTTCTTGGTGTTGGTTGCTAACTGAAAAAGTGCTTATAAAATACGTCAAAACAGGATGGATATTTTTTTGTTAGTTCACCGGAAACATTGAAAAAGTTAACTTATTTAAAGGGGATTTCGAAAATAACAAAAAGAAATGAGGAAGAAGTTGAAGATTTCGTGGGTTTTTGAACTTTGGAGTTCAATTCACATTGTTAAGTAAAAGTTTTGAATAGCGGAAATATGGAAAATTAGCCAAATTTATTCTAACAAAATTTCCCAAAAATCAGAGATCTCGAAACTGTTTCAAAATATTCTAGGGTTCTCTACATCCATCAGTTAATGTAAAAAACATTTTCTGAACTCTTGAGTTTACAGGACCTCTAAGCAAATATAAAAATCCTCAGAATAAACCCAAACCATAAACAAAACAGAAAAATCCATCTGTTTTGTTTTCAAAAAGAAAAAAATCGAATAAATAATTATAACAAGTATCCCATCGGATTATTCAAATAAAATGCATAAATAGACAGACAAAAAAAGATTCGCTGAAAAATTCAATATTTTCGACGTTCCCCCCAAATAAATCGTGTGGGAGAATAATCGAACAAAAGAGGGCCCAAAAAATCGATGATTTTTCGAAAAAATGAAAATTTCATTTTTTATTCCATTTTCCTGCGGAGAAACTAACTCTAGATTTTTTCCAAATCTCAAAAAATGTCAAAATACTTGAAATGTTGCCAAAATTGAATCTGATGAATAAGTTTTGATGAGGATGAAATTGAGTTTGAGTTAGATATGAAAAAAAATAGGAGAGCGATTTTCTCACATTTATTTCGCGATTTTTTCTTGAATAAAATATGGTTTTGAAAAAAAATGTTTTCAAATAAATTTCGAATCAAAACACAAATTTTTCCAGCCGCCCACTATAAAAATAACCGTCTCTAGAGAATAGCCACTTAAAATTTCATAAAACCATTTTTTTTTCTGAAAAAAAACTCACCGAAAAAATGCCCATTTTTGTTCTTGAATCAATAGAATCGGCCGAAAAATTGGAAAATAATAAAATAAAATAAAAATTTTTGGCACACGAAAAGAAATAAAAACTTTCACATTAATGTATTTATTCAAATTTGCTTGGCTGTTTTTTTCTTGATTCGAAATTTTCATTTTTTTTATTTCTGGAAAAAAATTATGAGGGGAGGGGTGGAATATTTTGAAGCCTGGGAAACCTGTATTCAAAGTTTTTATATTTTGGAATTACCAGAGGTGGCCAAATTTTCTAAGTTTTTTCTCCAGTTTCAGATTTTTTTGAATACTCTTTTTGTAGTTATACAGACTCAAAAACCAAAATTAAGGTCTAACCTAAAATCGATTAATTTGTGACCTTCAAAGTTTGTTAACTATGTTTTTTTTTTGAAAAAGAAAATAATTTTCTTCAATTCTGCAAAAAATTTCAATTAAACCAATCTTCTTTGCAAACTTTCAGCTTCTAAAAAATGTTCACACATTTTCCTTCTCAAAATAAACATTCTCTTAATTTCCCCCAATTTTTCCAGCCTTGGTCTCCAATGAAACGAAAACGAGCAAAATCATCGAATCCCAGTCGACTTACAGTAACTCCACTTCTTCACACAACAAATAATCTGGTCGAAAATAACAATATAGCACTTCCGGTGAGCCCACATTTTTTATTGAGAAAAATTTTGGCTCCAAAAACATCAATTATATATTTTTCATAATAATGGTGAAAATCGTAGACCAAAAATAAAAATAAAATGAATCTTGGTTTTTTTATTGAAAAATGTTGTTGTGAATTACATTTGTATAGAAAATTGTGGTTTTGATTGAGGTTTTTCAAATTTAGCCCCACTTTTAATTCTTTGTGATCTTCACAACTTTGATCATCATTCCAAAATTTTATTTGCAAAACAAAAAAAACGATGAATAAATAAAATAAAATGAAAAATCATATCATCGCCAAAAAAAGTGTAAACTTTTTGTCTTTGTCACAAAAAACTATACATTTTTATATATTTTTTCGCCAAAGATCTCCCATATTGTTTATATATGTTTTGGTTGTGTTAATTTCAACCAGATGTGTTTTCTCTTTTTATTTTTTGAGAACTTCCTCGTTGCATGTGACCTATGAAAACTTTTATTTTTGTTTCAAAAGTGTTTTCTGGTGACAGCCTTTAAAAAGCTTTTGTCTAATTTTTTCCACTTGATCAAATAGTTCAGCACACAAAAAATCTTGCAAAAAACATTCTGAGAATAGAATTTTCAGAATTCTACAAGTCAACCAATGTTGAGCACACAATCTGCTCGAGGATGCAATACACTTCCAAGAAGAGTTAGTTTATTTTATTTTTGAAAAAGTTTTGGAGAAAGTGCAAATTGTTTAAAAATTTGGAACCGCGAAAAAATTTGTTTATTTTTTCTATGAAACTTCCCAAAACTCCCGCAATTTTTCATGAAATATTAGATTTGCAGGTAAGAAAACTATCTAAAACCTTTCTGAATCTATAAAATGTTCCGGTTTCAAAGAGACTATTTATCGAATTATAATATAATACAAATTGAAATTGTATTCAATCATTCAGCCGTTCATAATAAAATAGAATAGTACCACATTTATTGAAAGAAATACTGAATCGATACATGTTTTTGAAATGAAACCAAACGAAAACTACTAATTATTTCTTTGCTGTATAGATAGACAGTGTCATTTTCATTCATTCACCTGTTCTGTTCTCTTCTAATTTTGTTCTAATAAAACAAAATACTGTGTGAATGGTATTTCCTAAATATGATTGTAAAATTCTTGATTTCGTTGGAAAGCGGGTGAGTACTGTTCAAGATTTCTATAATCTGGGTTTACTAAAACTATAATATTACTGTAGAAGCTTAACCTCGAAAGAGTTCAAAGCCCGAAATGACCTAACTTCTCGACCAACCCAACAAATTCATGTAACTTAATATTCCACAACTCACTCACTCATTGTCAGAAAAAAGAGTCAAACAATAAAAAGAGTGTAAATATGGATGACCCCTGAAAGAGTGTCGGTTCGGCGGTCGATTTCAATTGTTCAAAACTATCAAAATTTTCATTTGTGTCCGCGTTGACAAATATTTACACTTGACGGCTCAGATATATCATCCAAAAATATCTTAATAGAATTCTTTTGGCTTTTGCCCCCAGTTGGCCTTGCTTACTAGAAAAAGTTTATTATAAATTCATAAAATTATGCATTTTTCTCACACTTGGCATTTTTCCTTTTTCATTTTTTATTTTGAGAAAAATGTTTTATTTTTGTTGAAAAGTTTTTTGTGAAACAAATATTTTGAAGTGGAGCAACAAGTTTTATAATAATCTGAAATTCAAATATATTTGTAATGTATTCTTAGGCTTATGCTAGCAGCTAGACTAGGGTAAAAACAAATAAGAAAAAGAAATGGGCTCATTGCCAGGTTGTCGTTTTTTCCTACTTTTTGTATAAATACATATAAACAGCCGCGCACCTGCCACCCTGTTCTCTTTTTCTCCCGCCACCCAAAACAACACATTATAGATGACCCCTGGTGACATCTTAGTCTTGTTTTTGTTTTCTTTTTGACACACTCAGACACAAAATGCGCTTTTTTGTTGAATAATAAAATATTTGGCTTTTTGAGAACTAGAAAAACTTTTTAGAAATACGCGATTGCTTCTGACTTTTACTATTGTTTTCTAGAAGTTTTTAAAATTTGAATTATTTCTACTGTACCAGGTTTCTTTTTTTGTCCGTAATTTTTTGAGTCAATTTTTTGTAGATGGTAAATTGAAGTTGTGTCTAGAAAATATGCGTTTTGAATTGAATTTTTTGGCTGATTTTGCTCTTGTTTTTTGACATAGCTTAGCTCAACATTGAATATGAGTTATGACGTGGCAAAACTTTGAAATCTGAAAAATTGTTTTCTTGAAAATGTTTTGAAAACATTTTATGTGAATTTTCAAACTGATTTGTTTCAGAATTACTTTAAAAAGAAACTTCAAAGTTACATGATGTTTTTTCCGATTTTTTGCGAATGATTTTTTCGGAAATACATTCCCGCGAATCGATTTCGACATCGAAAATATTTTATTTTGATCAAGCAAACTTTTTTCCCAAAACTTTTATCATCCAGTTTTCTAAGAGTGGTTTCTCAAAATAAAAACAATTTTTCCAGCATTCCTCAAACAAAAATTTTTAATCAAAAACTTTTCAAGGCCACGCTGAAAAATTTGAGATGTTTCAAAATGTTCTCATGTTCCTCCAATTATCCCTCCAGGTCCAATAATTTCCCCAAAAACCAAGGAAAAATGCAAATTTGCCCATCTCATGTGTAGATATAAATCTTGTTGGCAAATCCTCGAAACATCTCCTTTTTGTCGATTCCTTTTTCGTTCTCCCGCTGTTCCATATATTATAATCCTTTATTACTTTCCCCTTTTCCACCAAAAAACATTTTTTTGTTTTCATTTTTCGCCCATATTATTATTATTATTAGTACAGAATACATACATTCAAGAAGTTCTTGTGGTGTTTTTTAGAAACCGGATTTTTTGCAAGAAAAAATTCGTAATAAAAAAGTTTTATTATTGATAGTTGCTGGACGGTCTCACTGATATTTTTATATTTAATTTTTGATGTAAGAAGAAAATTGTCATGAGAACTGTAAAAAATGTGAGGAGCAGCTGATTGATTTGAAAAATTTGATAATTTTTGTTGATTTTTGAACTTATTGAAAAAACTGTATTTAGTTTCATGAACTCAAATTACTGTTTCTCAATTTTTGAAATTTGTACCTTTTTTAGAGCTCCTGAAATTCTTTCATAATTAAATTAGCTAGCGTAGTACAGAGTTACTGTAAATAATTGAATTCAGTTTACTCGACCTTTGAAGTTCTCATATCATTTTTGAGGTTTTGAAACCTTCCAGAAAAATAACGTTCATTAGAACTTTGGACCTGATTTTGAAGCCCTCGGCATTTTCAATTTTTTCAATGGCTACCGTAAATTAGGATTACTGTAGAAACTGGAGGCTGAAAATACCTTATTTGAACTGGTTCCTAAATTAATCCCGAATAACCTAGAAACATGTTTATGACACCTTTTATAATCCCGCCGTCCTCAAATTACAAGTATCTATGTATCTATAAAACCTTGTTTTTCTGACCTTCACCACAATTTTTTCTCCTTTTCTCGTTCTCCCAAAATATTTCCTTTTCTAGTTTTCCACCCCGCCAAACCGCAACTTTTTTAGCCCATTGTTATTTTGTCTCGAGAAAAAAAGAGGCGACAAAAAATATATAACTAATTCCATGTGGGTGCGCGACATTTGGCTTCAACTTCCTCCTCTTTTTCATGTTTTTTTGGGACCCTGCTAACTAAATAAGTTTTTTTTTGCGAAAAGGCGCGAATTTAATTAAAAAATACTTTTTTTCGGAACTTTTTTTTGTAAATAATTAAATGAATTATTTTTTTGGCGAGAAAATGAAAATGCATTTATTTTTGACTGAACTGAACATAAAAAAGACAACACATGTGACATTCCGTTTTTTAGGGCAAAATATTTTTTGATAAGAAAACAATGATTTTTTTGCAGTCTACAATCCTGTCATCTTCTCAGAGTCAAACTGGTATGATATCATTGACTCAGCAGATTGGAGCTGTTAAATTGGATACGCATAAAAGTGACACTTTTGAGCAGAATGTGAGTTTTTTTATGGGCGATGGGATTTTGTGGGAAAAAAATTAGTAAAGTTTTTTTATTTTAAATATTTTTTATCAGAAAATATTGTCACTCAAAATTTTCAAATTTCATTTTTATCACTTGGAAAATTTTTTTCCGAAAAACTGATTTTTTGATTTCTAAAATTTTGAATGTTTCAAAAAATTCTTAAATTTTTCAAACGTGACCTCTCTTGCAAAAAAAAATCAATTTTCCCTCAAAATAATCTCATTTCCAGGACTTGGTGCTAGACAATTCGGGAAATGTATTATCGGGTAGCCGCGATGCCTTAATTCGACGACTTGTTCCAACCAAAGACTTCTGTCCAGATAGCTCATATATTTTTTCGCTTCTCGTGAATATCCGCACTTTTATCAGCCCTCATGAACTAATGCAAAAAATTGTGCAGGTTTGCTTGGTCTCGAGAAAAAGAAAATTAATTCGAGTTTTTTTAGTACTGTATGTTCGCGCAAAATGCCGATTCTCACAATTTTGCAAAAGAAGGTCGAGGAAGAATGTTTGCACATATTTTGAGATTATGTTCTGAATGGGCCACGAATATACCGTATGATTTTAAGAGTGAATATATGCGAACTAGGTTGGTTTATAGAACTTCGAGGTCTGGATCCAAAGTTATCAAAAATTAATTTCAGGCTAAACGAATTATTACGATTATGCGCTGTGGATAAAACCTATCAACAAAAAACCACTGATCTACAATCATCACTCAGATCAGCTCTGAACAAACTAGATAGATATGAAAAAGCCGTGTCAAATCTTCAAAAAGCGCTCAGCGAAAATACTCAATTACCAGAACAATCAGATATGATGAATGGATTATTTCAACTTTGTAATGATCCCAAAATAATTGCTCAACAATTGACACATATTGAAATGGAGAGATTTAGTATGGTTGGAGTTGATGAAATTGTACAATCATTGGCTAGTGATCCATTATCGGAAATTGGGAGAAATCAGAAAAATAAAGAGGGAACTATTAGCTCGATATCATTTTATATTGAATGGTTTAATCGATTATCAGCATTTTCGGCTATTGAAGTTTTGAAGCAAACTAAAAAACGGTTGGTTTTTTTTTGAAAATGATATTGTTTTTGATTTGAAAAATTCTGAATATTGGGGCCAAAAATCAAAAACTGAACATTTGAAAAATGTCAAAAATTGAGCTGCATTACTCCGAAATTTTCAGACATCGAATAACAGTTTTCGAATTCATGATCGACATCGCCAAAGAATGTTGTGAAATCGGAAATTTCAACTCAATGATGGCAATTGTTGCGGGTCTTTCGCTTCCCGCCGTCGCACGATTAAAAAAAACTTGGAGTCGCGTCGAAAAATCAAAACTCGAAATCCTTCAACATCAACTCGATCCATCTGGCAACTTTTTGAGCTATCGAGCGACGATAAAAGCGGCTCAATGGAGAGCGGATGGTGCGAGAGGATGTGCGAATCAACAACGAATTGTTATTCCATTTTTTGTGTTGTTGTTGAAGGATTTGTTTTTGATTTATCACGGTAATTCGAGGATTTTGCCGAATGGACATTTGAATTTTATGGTGAGTTTTATCGTGAACTTTTTATTTTGAAAATTTTGTGAAAACGGGTTTTCTTGAATTTGTCTGAAAATATAAGTTCCTACTAATTCAGAACCTTGAGTTGCAATTCAAAATTTATCCACAAGCCAATTTTAAAGGCGACTTTTTTCGAATTTTCTGCTCAATCAATGTTGAAGGTTCAAACTACAAACATTTTGTAGATCAATTTTAGAAAGAAAATTTCAAAACTTGAAATGAAAACCCACACCTCAATGCTTCTTGCAGGCCTTCTCCCAACTCGCTGAGCAACTTCGTGACGTAATCCAATGGAAATCGACGAGTTGCAATTTCGAGAAAAATCCCCAAGTCCTTCAATATCTTCTAATAACTGCAGTTTCCGGCGAAAAAGATTCGATGCTAATGTCATTTGAATGTGAACCACCAGAATCATCAGCCGAACGAGAACAACACAAAAAACTCAAAACCAAATAATAATTCATCTTGTTTTTGTTGTAAATAGCCTTCTTCTAGTCATTCCTGTGCACATTTCAACAGTCATTTTGCATCATCATCGATTCTCATTTTATGTATTCCAATATGGATAAAAATTATATGAAAACCTGAATTTATATCACAAAAAATTAAAAATGCAATAAGAAAGTTTTCGGGTTTTCCTAATCAATTGAAAAAAAAACTTAAAGATTATGCAGTTGAAGAAGTGTTTCAATGGCAGCACGATTCAAATCGACAAGTCTAGCATTCAGACGGATCGATTCGACGGTCTGCAAACATTGAAATTGCGATTTATCCTAACTCAACAGAAAAAGATACCTGTCCAATTGGCCGGTTCAAAGTTTGTCGATCAACATCTGTCAATTGTCGACAACTACAGTAATAATCTTGGAATTCAACAGCTTTGGCTTCAGTTGCGAAACTTTCTCCGGTATATTTGACACAATCTTGAAAGAGGCTTGAATTGGCTCCGCCGTATTTGTCCAAGAATGTCTTGATGTTCTCCTTAAAGTATTTCCAAGAATAATCGGAGCCCATTTGTGTTGAACCAGTTCCACAGAACAAGTAAATTTGATCTTGTGGACGAACTTTGTTCTGAAAATAAGAAAATATGAATATTAGGGAAAAAAACGATACTATAAACCTGTCCGAATCCATAATCGAATAATTGTGCAAGCAATGTTTCATCAGGTGTTTGTGACATTGCAACAATACATTGTCTATCAACTTCTCCAAAACTAGTAGTTTCTCTAATTTTCAATAATTTATCATATCCATCTTTTCCGCCATATCTAGCTGCAGCTCCAAAAACAGCCAATCGAATATCTGGATGCAAAACAGTTCCTTTTTCAACATGATCATTGAACATTTTCAAAAATGTATCAATTGTTGGTTGATGTCCAGCTCGAGCTAATCTTGATTGAACCAATGATCGAAGCATCATTTTTTGAGAATCTTCTCCAGATTGTTCAACAAAACCAAGTTCATTTCCAGCTTTTTCAAAAGTTTTACAACAAGTTTCTTTGCTCTTTCACTAGTTTCAGCTGAAATATGTCTTGAAGATGATAAGAATTTAGCCAATCCTTCATCAATTGCTCCCCAAACAACATATTCATCTTCAAAAACTGAAGAAGCAGCAACATTTACGAATTGATCAATATTAACCCGTCCTGAATTGAGCAAAGCAGATAAATCATTAATTAATCCAAATCTATCAAGAACTGGCATTTGTCTACTAGCAATAGCTGGTAACATATCTTTCAACATTTCTTCTGAATATTCTACTCGATAAAATCCAGTTGTTCCAGCATTTAATTTCAACCATTCTCCTGGTGCAACATTTTCAACAACAAATTCTTGTGATTTTTGTTTCAATACAAATCTTGCTTTCACATCATTTGGATTACTTCCAACAGATACAGTAATTGGAACTTGCCACAAACTATTTGCATTATCTTCACCTCCATCACTTATAAATCTTCTTTGTTCCAATTTCAATACTCGATTATTTCCATCTTGTTTTTGTGATACTTTTACAACTGGAAAACCCATTTGTTGTGTCCATCCAGACATTAAATCATTCACATTTTGTCCCGATGCTTCACTCAAAGCTGTCCATAAATCTTGTGTAACAGCATTTGAATATTGGAACTTCTTCAAATAAAGACGAAGTCCTTTTTGAAAAACTGGTTCGGATAAATAATAACAAAGCATTCGATTGACTGAATTTGATTTAGCATAAGTGATTGAATCATAGATTTCATCAAGCTCATTTGGATTATCGATTTCAACTTCGATTGGATGCGAATTTCTCAAAGCATCGAGTGACATTCCAGAAGCCAATTCATCATTCACAAAATGAAGCCAGATTTTGAATTCTGGATAATTGGCACCAACAAAAGAATATTCCATAAACGAAGCGAATCCTTCCTTGAGCCACAAATCTGTCCACCATTTCTACAAAAAAAACAGACGAGATAATATTTTACAAGAATGAATCTACATTCTTGTTGCTACCCAGCATACGGCTGCGTGCTCTATTTCCGTATTCTACAGTAATATATCATACATTTTCATAATTTTTGGCAATCAGTTTTAACACTGTCCAGATGTTTCGAATCATTCATAATTTTCTAATATGCAAGCCTTCTATATTAATTTCAGACTAAAATCATGAATTTTGGCCCCAAAAGAAAATATTTGTTATTTCATCTATGGCAAAATTAGGAAGCCTTCCTAATTTTGCCACGAGTCATTTTTTGATCAAAAAACTCGAAATTTTCAATGAATTCAATTGTAATTCTTATTCTTAACATCTTTCGACTACAATCAATACGAAAAAAATAATAAAAAGGTTTTTTTTTTCGAAAAATTTATCGATGACTTCATCCATGGCAAAATTAGGAAGCCTTCCTAATTTTGCCACGAGTCATTTTTTTATCAAAAAACTCGAAATTTTCAATGAATTCAATTGTAATTCTTATTCTTAACATCTTTCGAGTACAATCAATACGAAAAAAATATTAAATGAGTTTTTTTTCGAAAAATTTATCGATGACTAAAAATTTATCGATGAATCGATTCTCATTTCACACTGATTGAGATGGGGTCATCAATTGCTCATTTCATTTTTCGAAAGAAACGAAGCACATTTCCAAAAATATTTCTTACTCGATAGGGAAAAATTTTTTGAGCGGGAATCAAGCCCACAAAGAGAATGAAAGAATTCTACAAGAATGAAACGACCGGCTTCCGCCGGTCTTCCTGAATTGAAACCTGAATTAAAAAATAGTTCTCACCATTGTGACCAAATTTCCAAACCACATGTGAGCGAGCTCATGAGCAACAGTGAGCGCCACTGTCGATTTTTGGCGAGTTGAGGTGACTCCTGGATCAACGAGCAATGCGATTTCACGATATGTGACCAATCCCCAATTTTCCATAGCTCCCATACTAAAATCTGGGATAGCAATCAAATCGCATTTTGGCAATGGATATGGAATATCGAACCATTCATTGTACCAATCAATAGCTTTGACAGATAAATCAAGACTGAATCGACCTTGTTCTTTTTTTCCAGGAACAGTGTAAACACGCATTTCGACGCCACTTTTGGTTTGGGCCTGTAAATTGATAATTTTTGAATGGATAATTAATCTTTAAACACTTACACTGATATATTCAAGTTCTCCAACAGCAAAAGCTACCAAATAAGATGACATTTTTGGTGAAGTTGCGAATTTAACAGCTTGTCTTTTTCCATCAGAAGTTGTTGTAGTTGAAACTGCATTCATATTTGACAAAGCAGTCAATCCTGGAGCAACTTCAAGAACAACATCGAAAGTTGCTTTATAAATTGGTTCATCCCAACATGGAAAAGCGAGACGAGCATAAGTTGATTCGAATTGTGTTGAAGCAAGGAATTTTTCAGTTCCAGATGCATCTTTATAACTACTTCTATAGAATCCACGCATTTTATCATTCAATTCTCCAACATATTCGAAGTTCAAAACAGCATTTTGTGGAGCAATTTTTGATGGCAAATTGATAGTTAGAATATTAAGTTTATCATCATAAGATGTTCCCAAATTTGCAGATTCTGAAAAAAAAAACAATTTAAGATATATTTTTGAATTGTTGGTGGATAAAACTAACTGGTTCCATCAGCAAGAGTTATTGCAACATTTCGAATATTCAAAGATTGTGAATGAAGTTTGAGAATATCTGTTGCTTCTTTGATAGTCACATTAATATCAACATTTCCATCAAATGTAAATTGCTCGAAATTCGGAACCAATTTGATGTTATAATGAGTTGGTTCAGCAAATGTTGGCAATCTTTCGAATTTGACAGCCGCCTTGTTGCTTCCACAGGTTGTCATTGTTGAAGTTCCAAAAAAATTTAATTTTCTATGACAAAATTTATCTGAATATTGTTGAAAGTTCGGGGAACTTAACATTTTACCAATATCAATGATTGATTTTAAATGATTTATTCCAATATGGATGAAAACTGTATAAACAAAAGAAAAAACAATTGAGAAAAAAAGATTATGAAAGGGTGATCAATAAATAAATAAAACTGATATGTTACATAAAAAGGAAAACATTTAAAGATTGTGTTGTTGGAGAAGTTTTTCAATGGCAGCACGATTCGATTCAAGAAGACGAGCATTGAGGCGGATAGATTCGACGGTCTGTAAAAATTGAAATTGCGATTTATCATAACTGAACAAAAAAAGATACCTGTCCAATTGGCCGGTTCAAAGTTTGTCGATCAACATCTGTCAATTGTGGACAACTACAGAAATAATCTTGGAATTCAACAGCTTTGGCTTCAGTTGCAAAATTCTCTCCAGCGAATTTCAAGCATCTTTGGAAGAGGCTTGAATTGGCTCCGCCGTATTTGTCCAAGAATGATTTGATGTTTCCCTTGAAGTATTTCCACGAATAATCGACTCCCATTTGAGTTGAACCGGTTCCGAGGAACAAATAGAGTTGATCTTGTGCGCGAACTTTGTTCTGAAAATTGGTGAAATTGTGATGAGATTTTTAACACTTCAGAAGGTTTATATGATCTTGGAATTTATGAACTTCGGACCACCAAACTAGAATTTTCTAACCCTTCGAAAAATTACAAACCTGTCCGAATCCATAATCGAATAATTGTGCAAGCAATGTTTCATCAGGTGTTTGTGACATTGCAACAATACATTGTCTATCAACTTCTCCAAAACTAGTAGTTTCTCTAATTTTCAATAATTTATCATATCCATCTTTTCCACCATATCTAGCTGCAGCTCCAAAAACAGCCAATCGAATATCTGGATGTAATACAGTTCCTTTTTCAACATGATCATTGAACATTTTCAAAAATGTATCAATTGTTGGTTGATGTCCAGCTCGAGCTAATCTTGATTGAACCAATGATCGAAGCATCATTTTTTGAGAATCTTCTCCAGTTTGTTCAACAAATCCAAGTTCATTTCCAGCTTTTTCGAAAAGTTTTACAACAAGTTTCTTTGCTCTTTCACTAGTTTCAGCTGAAATATGTCTTGAAGATGATAAGAATTTAGCCAATCCTTCATCAATTGCTCCCCAAACAACATATTCATCTTCAAAAACTGAAGAAGCAGCAACATTTACGAATTGATCAATATTAACTCGTCCTGAATTGAGCAAAGCAGATAAATCATTAATTAATCCAAATCTATCAAGAACTGGCATTTGTCTACTAGCAATTGCTGGTAACATATCTTTCAACATTTCTTCTGAATATTCAACTCGATAAAATCCTGTTGTTCCAGCATTCAATTTCAACCATTCTCCTGGTGCAACATTTTCAACAACAAATTCTTGTGATTTTTGTTTCAATACAAATCTTGCTTTCACATCATTTGGATTACTTCCAACAGATACAGTAATTGGAACTTGCCATAAACTATTTGCATTATCTTCACCTCCATCACTTATAAATCTTCTTTGTTCCAATTTCAATACTCGATTATTTCCATCTTGTTTTTGTGATACTTTTACAACTGGGAAACCCATTTGTTGTGTCCATCCAGACATTAAATCATTCACATTTTGTCCCGATGCTTCACTCAAAGCAGTCCATAAATCTTGAGTAACAGCATTTGAATATTGGAATTTCTTCAAATAAAGACGAAGTCCTTTTTGAAAAACTGGTTCCGATAAATAATAACAAAGCATTCGATTGACTGAATTTGATTTAGCATAAGTGATTGAATCATAGATTTCATCAAGCTCATTTGGATTATCGATTTCAACTTCGATTGGATGCGAATTTCTCAAAGCATCGAGTGACATTCCAGAAGCCAATTCATCATTCACAAAATGAAGCCAGATTTTGAATTCTGGGCAGTTAGCACCAACAAACATGTATTCCATGAATGATGCAAATCCTTCCTTGAGCCACAAATCTGTCCACCATTTCTGAAATAAAATCAATTATTTCAAAATTCAAATTTATCCAGACAATATATGAGTGAATTATATGTGAAGTGTTTTTTTTCAACTATGAATAAGAGTAATTTTGAAAATCATGACTTTACTAAAATTTGAATCATTTCGAAAAAGGTTATCACGAAATTTAATTTCCAAAAAAGGTTGAAATTTACACCGGAAAGCATTCCGGAAGAATTTTGCAATAAAAAATGTTATCAAGATTTTATCACAATATTATTTTTCATCAAGAATATACTTTTTGTGAGATGAAAAACTGATTGGGAGGTTAGATTTCTAACTTTTTGTAAACAATAGTACTAAAAACAAGTTTTTCAGGTTCAGTGAGGATTTTCAAACTTTTCCTAACTCATCTTTAGATAAGAGAGAGAGAGAGTCAAAAAATAAATAGAAAATGGATGAAAAAACATCTTACCATTGTGACCAAATTTCCGAACCACAAATGAGCCAATTCGTGAGCAACTACGAGTGCAACTCTCGATTTTTGGCGAGTTGAGGTGACTCCTGGATCAACGAGCAATGCGATTTCACGATATGTGACCAATCCCCAATTTTCCATAGCTCCCATACTAAAATCTGGGATAGCAATCAAATCGCATTTTGGCAATGGATATGGAATATCGAACCATTCATTGTACCAATCAATAGCTTTGACAGATAAATCAAGACTGAATCGACCTTGTTCTTTTTTGCCTGGAACAGTGTAAACACGCATTTCGACGCCACTTTTGGTTTGAGCCTAGAAATTGATAGTTTTTGTATGGATAATTTATTCTTAAACACTTACACTAATATATTCAAGTTCTCCAACAGCAAAAGCTACTAAATAAGATGACATTTTTGGTGAAGTAGCGAATTTAACAGCTTGTCTTTTTCCATCAGAAGTTGTTGTAGTTGAAACTGCATTCATATTTGACAAAGCAGTCAATCCTGGAGCAACTTCAAGAACAACATCGAAAGTTGCTTTATAAATTGGTTCATCCCAACATGGAAAAGCAAGACGAGCATAAGTTGATTCGAATTGTGTTGAAGCAAGGAATTTTTCAGTTCCAGATGCATCTTTATAACTACTTCTATAGAATCCACGCATTTTATCATTCAATTCTCCAACATATTCGAAGTTCAAAACAGCATTTTGTGGAGCAATTTTTGATGGCAAATTGATAGTTAGAATATTAAGTTTATCATCATAAGATGTTCCCAAATTTGCAGATTCTGAAAAAAAAAACAATTTAAGATAGAATTTTGAATACATATATTCATGGGTAAAACTAACTGGTTCCATCAGCAAGAGTTATTGCAACATTTCGAATATTCAAAGATTGTGAATGAAGTTTAAGAATATCAGTTGCTTCTTTGATAGTCACATTAATATCAACATTTCCATCAAATGTAAATTGCTCGAAATTCGGAACCAACTTGATGTTATAATGAGTTGGTTCAGCAAATGTCGGCAATCTTTCGAACTTTACAGCCGCCTTGTTGCTTCCACAGGTTGTCATTGTTGAAGATCTGAAAAAAGTTCATTTTCTATGGAAACTAAATCACAATAAATAAATAAAGATTGTTGAACGATAAAGAGCATATCACAGAAACAAATAAAAAGAGATATTCACAAGAAAATTATTAATGAGCAAGTTCAGCAGGTTTCTCTTCAGCAATTTTTTCTTCACTTTTTTCTTGCTCAAAAACAGCAAGAGAATGCGGAGTGAATGCATTTGGCAATAAGTCCATTGTGGTTGTGATTAGAAGTTTTGAGTTGGAGGCGGTGCCAATAACGACCTAGAATGGAACTATTCATTTTTATATAGGAGAGAAGAAAAAACAGCTGAGGGCATTGATAAGTAAATATTTTGCTGACAATGTGATTACGTCATACAATCAAAGAGTTCAGATTATTTTGCAAGATCTATCTAGCTTTTTATATACAAAAAGCGAAATTTTTCTATGATTTTGATGCTTGACCACATGAAATCATCTGAATTTTTGCAAATACTGCACTTTTTTATCAGAATTCGGGGTTTTCTTGGACGTACCTTGTAGTTGCCGAACTCGACCAAAAATTGACGGCAAAGACCACACGGTGAAGCAGGTTCAGTCAATTCAGTGACAATTGCAATCGCTTTGAACTTTGTATAACCTTGTGAAACTGCTGAACAAATTGCACTTCGTTCTGCGCAAATTGTTCCTCCATATGAGGCATTTTCAACATTACAACCTGAAACAAGCTTTTTAAAACTTTCAGATTAATTGAATATGAACCTACCCTCAATAAGTTGCCCGCATTCAGTGAAAACAACCGCTCCGACCGGAAATTTGCTGTAAGGACAATACGCCTTTTTCATGGCATTTCTCGCCAAATATACCAATTCCAGATCGGAAAAATCTTGAGGTACGGACTCCATTTTGTTGGCTAATCACTTGAAAATAAAAGAAACACGTTTTCAAACAACAAAAAGGTAAGAAATGAGCACCAACCACGTGGCAAAAATAAAAAGAAAAACGAGGTTACGCAAACACCGCGTGTATACCGTATACTAACCGTTTGAATTTTGTTTTTGGCGCGTTGCAGTTTTTATGCTCGCGAGGAAGAAAAACACAGATCGAAACTTTTCGAATTTCTTGGGTCTACAATAACACGATTTACAGAATGTCTAAAGCCTATATACTAATCGAAATACCCAAAGATCGTCGGTCACGCGATATTTCAAATTTGCGGAAATATTTGGTGAGTTTTTTGGGGACATTCTGGAAACAATCTTTATGGATTTTCAGAAAAATCATAATTTTTCAAAGTTTGAAACTAATGAACCAGTCGAGATTATCTCACAACTACTCGACCCAGCGCCTGATTATTATGATCAATTGGTAAGAAAAGAAGATCACGTTGTTTTGAGAAATGAGGAGGATAAACATGTGATTATTAGAGAGAATTCGAATCAAGAACTCTTGGAGAATTGGGCGGTAAGTTTAAAAAATAAGAGAATTATCTACCTCGAGTTTTGAGTATATAATACAAATTTACAGCGTGAAACTTTCGAGGAAAATTCGGATGAAATGAAATTGTTATTAAGTGATGAGACGAATGATATTCAAAATAGAAATCTCAAACGCCCAAGTTCTTTCAATGTTGAAGATCTTCTTGATTTACATGAAGATGAAGATAGAGAAGCTAAACAATCATCGGTTCAAACAATATCTTCTGATACAAATTCCCGGGAGCGTTATTATTCATCAAGCAGTTCTGATACAGTTGTTGATCATGATGCTAGATATTTTCGAAAGAATGTGTACAGTGATGAGGAGGAATCGCATGAGCAACGGAAAATGAATTCCACGTGTAATGTAAGACTGGTTTCTAATTATAGAAAAAAAAAATAAACTAAAATTTTTAAAGCTATGCGATAAACTTCTCGAAGCTGGCTCGAAAAAATCACAACTTCGCGCACAACTTTCGCACATTATAAGAGAGCATGCAATGTGCAACGTGCTCAACGAACACCTAATCAGAAGGTATTATTATAGAATAGTAAAACTGATAAGTGGAGAGGAATTTCTTTTGTTACAGATACCAATGCCAAGCATGCAATAAATATCTGTCTTCTTTCGTACCACCGTGTGAACATATCAATACGAATCATCGACTTGACACATTTGAAATTCGTTTCAATGATTTGTGGTGAGAAATTTAGAATAATATCATATAAAATATACAGAAAACTTGGAGGACCCATTTGAACTTGTATGCCAAAATAAAAATTTCTAATTAATTTTTTTGAGATTTACAATTTGGCTCAGAGCTGTAACTAACTAACTCCTATAATTTTAAATTCGACAAATCAATTTTCCAAAAATAAAAAAAACATTTTTAGGACCAAGAAACAAATTGATCAATGCAATGTAACTCTACGAATGTGTTTCGGAAGACATCTTCCAATTCCACGTGGACGTCGAGCTACAAATGTTTATGACCAGAAATCGAATTATACAATCATTTCTCATGAAGAACTCGAAAGTGGAGAAGCCAGCAGTTCAAGAACTATCAGAACACAACGTGTTGGTTTGTCAGTAAGTTTTGAAACCCTCCCTCTTCGAAAATATTTATATTTATCAATTTGAACTTGAAAAAATACACAAATGCGAAAAATAAAATAAAAAATACATACATAAAGATGAAAAAAGAGAGAAAACGAAACTAATGCGCTCGTTTTTTTCTCTAAACCCTCCAAAAACAAACTGACCCGTGTTCCTCGGCGCCGGTTGGTGTTCGATGGAGCACGCTTACTGAGGAGTGGACAAGCTGGCGCTGACCGTTTGAATTCGTCGGCGCCAATTTGAAATTCGGTCGCGCCGACAATAAATATGATGTTTGATGTGATGAGCAAATTTGCCGAAGAGCTGGAATTTTTTGTTGACACCTGATTAGAATTTTCGATGAAAAACTGATGATTTTTCATTGACAAGGTCAAAATACAACTATTGTTTCCAAGAAAAAAGTTTACGCAATCTTCTGGAAATTTAGATAGCGATGACGCGAGCAAATGTTATCATGAACTAAAAGTTGGAAGGACAAAGAAATCAAAATATCATCACGAGACCATGATTATTGATATTTTTCATGATAAGTATGAAAATTTAAAAAGGGGGCTTGAAATTTTTCTCGAAAACCGTGCGTTAGAAAATTCTCATCTATTTTCCATGAGTTTTTCAAAGCCAATTTTCCATGAATTTTTCAAAATCAAAAATAACTTACATCTATGAATAATCCTACGCGTAAGAAGACTAGAAAGCATTTTTCGATCGACCCTGGAAATCACATAAAGATATATATTTTGCAGACTCATACGATGGGACGAAAATATGGAGTTTCCGCAAGACCAAGATCTTTTGGTGAATATATGAATTTACACTGGTTGGACAGTGATGAGGATCAAAATGATCATGAAGAAAAAGAAGAAGAAGAAGACCAAGAAGACGAATCCGAATATCAATTTTAATGAATCCAAACCCGCTCATGTTCAATTATTATTTTTTTCAATGTTTTTTCCCCGTATTTTTCTTTTCTTGTTTATCCCAAAGTGGATTAATAAAGTTTATCGTTTCCAGATAGAATTTCATGATTTAAAACATAATAAGTCAATTGTACAAACGAAAAGTTATATAAAAATCATTTATTAATCAAAAAATTCAGGCAACATCTAAAAATTTCAAACTCCCAAACTTTTTTTGGGCGGAAAATAAAAGTAAAAATGGAAATTCGCCCCATCGCACACATTTTTCCGTCTGCATCTCTCGAATTCGCATTGTCTCTAAACAAGACATTTTAGTTTTTGAAATTTTTATTTTCTCGGGTTTCAGATATGATTTTGAAGCTGAAATCGAGTTTCGCATTGAGTTTGAGAGAAAGATCGAGTTATTATCAACAAAATAATCGAAGGTTTCCACCAGCATTTGTGAGGTGAGCGAAAAATCAAAGGTTTTTTATCAATTTTATGAATAAAAAACTTTCAGGCGATTCTGGCTCCGTCACCCAAATGCTCATCTCTATTTAGTGTTTGGTTTATGCTCTTCTGCCATGATCGCACCAGTTTTACATTCTGTAAGTTTTTCAAAAACACAAATCGATTTTCATTTCGAAATTTCAGTGTTACCTTTATATGACCATGTCAAAATCTGAATTCGACGCTTATCGAATCGAACAAAATGCAATAGTTTTGGAGCGACAAAAATATGGTATGGTTTTATCTTTGAAAAATTTAGAATAACTTGAAAAGTATGTTTTTCAGGAAAAGGATTATGGTTTCCTTTTTTATCCAACAAGGATACGAAAAATGAGGAGGTTAATAAAATGTGAAGTTTTTTTGACATTAATGAAATTTTGAGGGTACGAAACATCAGTTTGAAATTGACGTGTGAAAATTCAAAAAATCCTTGTCATAACTAGTTCAAGGTGATCAGCGGAGAACGCAAGAAGTCTGGGAAAAATAGCCTTATAAAAGGCTGTGCACACACCTCGGCCGAAATCGTGGTTTCCACAATAAAAATTGTACGCTAACTTTTTACAGTACAAATATTGTGAATTTTGCAGTTTTTGTCCTCTAAAAACTGTGATTTTTCAATTTTTGACCTCTAAAAACTGAAATTCAGATTTTTCCAAAAATTGTACTCTGGCCAGCCACGGCTTGGCCGAGGTGTGGCTGAGCAGACTGAAGTTTGATTTTAAAAAATCCCAGGTTAACCTTGGATTTTTAATTTCTCCATAATTTTCGTTGTTTAAAAGTTTTAAACAACAGAAATTCTGAAGAGAACAACTTCAAAGCTTGTCAAAAAAGCTCTGAAAAAACAAAAAAACAGATTTCGGGAAGACATGTTTATTATGGAATCGAACGAACTTATGGGTTGTATTCGATTGGCAAGTTCTTTCTACGAACCATACCATCTCCTTGGAACCATTCACGACGGAATTGTTTGGCAGCACCATCTGGAGTGTTGGTCCATTCAACAGTGATACGATCATTGTTGGTGTCTTCTTGTCCGTAAGCAAAAGCATCACAGGAAACAGCCAAAAGGACAGCTTCTTTTGGATCCAAAACTCCACATGGTGGATCAACTCCAAGTCTTTTCATGTTGGTTGTCTTGATACCGTATCCAATACGACGAGCAGACGAGTTGATAACCTTGATGTGGTAGGTATGTTTGTCGTCGTATGGAGCATTGAAGACGATCTTGGCATTTGGTTGAGTTTGGATATCTCCTGGTGGGACAGATTGAGCCATTGTTGTTGATTGAACTATGGGTTGATTTGAATGATTTCAGAGCCCTCTTTTATAGCAAAAAGATAAGATCTACACGTCACAAATAAGTCGTGGCAATTTTTTTTTGTAACACGTGGAATTTTTTTTTTCTTTGGAGAAAAAAATCACGTGATCTTATTTCATTTCTTACTTTTTGATCACAAAAAAATGGTTTTGTCGAATAATTGAGCCAACGAAAAATTTGAGGTTAGTCTAAAAAAATAGTCCAGCAAAGTAGTTATGACGTGGCTAAATTGCTGGACTGTAGGTTATCGTATGTTATTTTTGAATTTTCAGATTTAATTTGTATCTTTATTCATCGAAAGAAAAACCTATAACTCGTAAAAAAGTGAAAATATTTGACGACAAAAATTATGCACCACCGGAAAATCTAATTTACAACAATCGAAAAAAATGAGTACATAAAGAAGGATTTTGAGATCTAGGACGCGAATTGATTTGATGGATATGTTGATGTATTATTATGCATTTGTTGATAAGGATTTGGAACATGATTTGGAATATGATTATGATTATAATAATTGTTATATTGTTGTTGCGGATGTTGTTGTTGATGTTCAGAATCAGGATAATATTGGGAATATTGTGGTTGTTGATACAAATCGGGATAATTCACATTTGGATGATAACCGGCGTTTAGAGGTGGGTAATTTGAAGGGGGTGGGATATGTTGATAGGATGTTGATGGGACGTTTGGATCGAAATCTTGATATTGTTGGGGCTCTTGATGTTGTTGATTTGTTCTTGAAAATGTTGATGCATCATAGGTTAGATTGTCGATTGCGTTGTCCACAGAGTTGTTCTGAAAGCGGAAATTTTTGTTGCTAAATTTTGGTCACACTGCTTTGACTTTCAAATATTCTCTAACTCACTCTCAAATCATCAAACATTTCCGTGATATAAAAATTTGTTGGAGGTTGCAAAAGTCTGAAACTCTGTCTCGCTGGGACATCTTCTTCCTCAATTGTTGCGTGTCTTTTCAAAACAATTCTTGGCGGAGGAACTTTATCGGTTTGAGTTGCGATTTCTTTTCGGGCAGTTTTCTCGATTTCTAAGTTGGAGAATTTGTTTGATGTGTCGATGTCTTTGAAAAATGGATCGACTGTGAAACATCCAAATAAATCAGTGAGAAGTGGGATTTCTCCTTGGACCGAAAATGTTTGGGCAAATTGAAGGTTTTCGCTCATTGAGTTCGCAAGTTCCTAGAAAAATTTGGATATTTAGATTTTCTATCAAGTTTTTTGGGTTTTATCTTTTCACAGCCTGGTCTTATAGCTTCATATCCCAAAAAGTTTTCCTAACTCACCGAAACTGTAGAAAGTGACATCAAAATATGTCCATAACATACATTCGGAGTTGGACTCAATCGCACCTCCTTCACAATTGAAAATAGGCAATCAGAAATTCTATTTCTCAAATCCACCACTTTTTCGAACAACTCCTCGCTCAAATCCTTGGCTACTGAAAATATGTCAATTTTGAAGTTTAGAAGGGCTCGAAGACTTTTCTTCATTATTGAAACTCACATGGATTCAAACAAAGCAACGCATTTACGCATACAATTTCCTCTTCTTTCATCCCATATTCTCGATAAACATCCACTAATTCATTCAATGTTCGTTCTACCAAACCGTTTCCCAGATGACTGAAATTTTTTAAGGTTTATCAGGTTATCTCAAGCTTATCTAAACTTGGAGCATGAGCTGTGACGTCGTAAAGTTAGACAAAATTAGAGTTAAAGTTTCTCTACCCCAAAATTTCCCCTTCAAAAACTAACTAGGTATCCGAGTACATTTTTGAAATATTCCTTGGCACATATGCGAAATTGCACAAACATAGAATATTTTTATCGGTGCAACATTCGGCTGTCCGCGCGGCGAAATTGAAAATCATCAATGGAGCGAAAGAGTTTTTCACCAAGGAGATCTATATTTGTTTTTTTTTTTTGAAAACTTTAATATTTTAGTCTGAATTCAATTTACCTTATCCTCAACTGATAAATGTCCTAATAATGGTGATAATTGTTCAATCCAATCAATAGCAGCAATCAATCTTCGATAAGCAATTGCACATAATTCATTATTTGCAGCCATTCGATAACCCTCGTATCTCATCTGTAAAAAATTGAAATTTTGTATATTTTTTGAAAAATTCTATTTACCTCAGTTCGTTTTCCTCTCAATGAAACTGGATTTTCGATGATATCTCTAAGTTTATCGATTCCTTTCAATGGATATAGTTTTGAAGCATGATCATTTGTATCACCCTGAAAATTTGAAAGAAAAAATGGGTTTTGTTTTGAGAACAAAAATTCTTCAAATGTCTAGATAATGTTTTTGGAACCATTTGTGAAAAATTACAAACCTTCATAATTTTCGTCTCAATATTTAACAAATTCATCAACACAGTTCTCATCTCAACAGTCATTTTCTTCATCCATTCTTCCCGTGTCTTCACAGTCTTTCCTTTTTCACCCAATTCGCAAGAAACAACAGGCGGTGGTTTTCTAGGCTTCGGTGGAATATCTCGATTTGGCCTCACAACTAAAAAAAGTATTTGAAATTATATTTTTTGGTAGAAACTCACATGCCGGCTTCATTCCTTCGTTCAGACATTTATTGAAACGACAACTTCGGCAATTGTTTTTTTCTAAAAAAAAACATAATTTTTGTTAGTAAATCAATGAAATCACTTACGGTAACATGAAACTGGACAACACCCGTCCAAAGCGCATTCGAGTTGATCGGCTTTGAGAAGAGCTCGCCGGAAAAATCCCTTACAGCCTACACAACTCAGAGCACCGTAGTGCATCGCCGCTTTTTCAGCTCCACAGACCTAGAATCTTATGTTTAGCTATTAGTGAGTCAGGGACAATTATGAACTTTTCAGAGTTTTTAAATGAGTTGTCTACTTCAAGAAGCTTTTGGAACTTCGTCGGACTATTTTTTTGAGAAATCTAAAACTTTTTTCGGAATCTCTGTGATTTAAAGAAAAGTGTCGAGCTTTCAAAAAAAAACACGATTTTTTTATTTTTTGGAAAATGTAACTCACCCTACACAAATTAGTTGTCGTTGCCAAACTTGCTAAATTAGCCGTAGATCCACTTTGTTGAACTGGAGTACTATTACTATCTTCATTATCATCTTCAGAATCCAAAACTATGAGAGAATTGCTCATCTGAAAATTTTTATGAATACAAAAGAATTTTTCAATAGTTTAAAACAATGATGAAACTCGATAATATTTTCAGAGTCAGATATTTGACTAAAAAGAACAATTATTCTGTGAATAAAACTAGACAAAAATCTAGGAAAATAATCAATCGATATCATCACATGTTGTGTTACTACTACAGTTTTTTCGTCTGTGTTTCGTTTCTCTCACAATCTATCAGGTTTTTGTGGCCGACCTTATATAGGAAAAGAGGAAAAAGAAGGAGAATAGATTAAAAATGTTTGTGTTGTGTTTGGTATTTTGAATTGGGAATTTTATTTTGAACAGTAGGGAAACATTGGTTTGAATATTATCATTCAAAAATTTAGAAAAAATTAAATATTCAGTTTTTTCTGTTAATATTTTTCAGCAGTTTGAAAATCATGGTAATCTTATCAACAACAAAAAAACAAAGACTGATCTAGGAAAACTATTCTTTCAACGAAAAAAGAAGATAATTTTTGAAAATTTTTGTTTCTCTCGCAGTTTTGTTTCGGAGAAAAATCAGTTGAGAGATCACATTTTAGATAAGGAATTCTCTGTGTTGTTGTGAAAGTTTTTGAGTGCGGAAATAATAAGTTTATTTTTTTTGAAGGTCAAAAAGGATATAATTTTTGAATGCGATTAACTAGAATGTTCTTCTGTAGTTTGCAAGAAAGAGTGAGAGAGATTTAGGTTTAGAAAAAATACATTTTGTCATCTAGAAAAATATCAAGTCAAAACGAGTCAGTACTCACTCAAAAGAAAATATTTTTTCGATAATGAATACAAAAAAATCCGGGTTCATTTACGTCAACAAAATAAGAATGATAAGTATACTTTTAGTCACCCACCCAACTTTTTTTTGACAAAAAAACAGTCTTTTCGACGTAATTGTTTTTATTTGGAAAGTTTATCAATGTAAAATTGATATTATTATATGATTAAGTTTTTCTGATACTTTTTATTTTATTTTTTTTTCGAAATATTTCGAAATGAATATTTTCGATTTTATTTTTGAACGTAAGAGACATAAAATTTTTCAAATTCTGATTTTTTTTCTTGAAAATTCAGATACAAAGTTTTTAATTTTGAAAATTTATGTCAATTCAATGTCAAAACTAAAACATTGGCTTGTAGACAAGATTGAATTTCTCAGATCTTAAGAAATGTTCTTTAACTTGTTTGAATACAGATCACTAGTCCCGGGACCCGTGGACTTGAAAAAAAAAACCCGCAGATGTGAAAACGGCCCATAAGTTTTGATTAACATTCTGTAGACCCATGATATACGTTTTTATAACCCTAAACTTAATTCTTCGATTTAGCATATTTTTTTTCTAAAAATTTATAGTATTCAATTTTTCTCAAAGAACGATAAACCACACCCTTATCATTTTTTTTCAAGTAAAAATAGCTGATAATTTGTTAAACTGGCGCCAACTAACAAGATCCATAAAACCAACCAAAATACATTGCAAAAAAAACAACGAATAAAAAAATCGATAAAATTATCTGTATTCTTATCAATCAATCTTATTCTTATCTCTTTAATACACCAAAAAAGCACTAATTTTTTCCAGAAAACAACATACGGGTTGTGTTGTTGTTCAAATAAACCAGTTTTTCCAACCAAAATAAAAATACATATCAATTGTGACATGTGAGAAGAAGAAGAAGAAAAAATCAAAAAGTATCGATCAAAGTTTAGGTGACCTTTCAACAACATTTTATACATAAAAAATAGGAAATGGAGACAAAAAAAGAGGAGAACGGTATAAATGAATGAATGAATTGGATTATTTTGAATAGCAAAAAGGTTGGAGAGGAGGAAGAGTTGGGAGATGAACACACTATTCAAAATCCCCTCAAAAAGTTCGGAAAAAATCAATAAAAAAGGCACAACAATTTTAAAATTTCAAATTATTTACATTTTTTGCAAAAGCGTTCAAAAATGTCGAGAATCGTCGATTGTCATAGCTCTCATCTCACTTGTCAAATGACGGCGGCGGCTGAAATTTTGAAGATTACATATTTTCAAGTTCCCAACCAAAACTAACTTTTTCTGCTCAGTTTCCGAAGATCTTTGTGCAAGTCGACTATTCAATCTAATATCATCATAGGAGCTTCCCAAATTTAATTGTTCAACACTCGAACTTTCTCGACTCATAGAACTCATTCTTCGACTTCCAGTTGATCCATTATCCTCAGATCCACCTCCAGGTGTCACATGATTTTGCATGAAAAATGTTGACATTTGCCAAGTTATTTGTCCCAAAGCTTTTTCAATAAAATTCGTCGACATCTCATTGTAATTATCCGACTCAAGTCTAGTTTTTGTGGCATTTACGAATTGTAAGTTATCACGTTCCGATTTTCTACCCTGATATTCAAGACGTTTTCCAGCGTTTCCAATTCTCTCGATCTCATCTAAACCATCACATCCAACACCGATGAAAACAATTGAAATTGGTGATTTTGATGAGAATATGGCTGCTTGGACAGTTTCTTTGAGATCTTCTACTGATCCACGAGTGATTACAAAAAGGACAAAGTAGCTGCCATAGCTTGCGACACGGTTGAAACTTGTTTGTGCATTTCTGAAACTCAAGCGATTTTTAAGATTGGATTGTTTAAAAATTTCTGAAAGCATATCAGAAAATGCTCTCCAGGGTTCCGAACCGATTCTGAATTTTCGGTTTGGGTCGGGTCAAACCGAAAAAAACCCACCCAAAACCACCCACTTATACCCAGTTCTAAAATAGAACCACCCAGAATCAAAACTGATAAAACAGTTCTGGTTCAGACTCGACCCAAACCCGACTCGAACCAGACCCACCCAGAACCAAACCCATTTTTGGAGAACCAACCCAGACCCAGACTCAATGGGTCAGACTCGGGTAAGACCCAAACTAATTCGAGAATCAAAAATACCCACCCGAACCAATTCAACCCAAATCCAACTCAAATCCAAACCATGTGGACTCGGGTACCCGGGTAAAAATGGTTCTGAAAAAACAATTCAAATTTATTCGATAATAAAATAATTCACCAGTTTTTTTTCCAGAAATATTTTTAAGAAGTTTATGTTTCGCAAATTTCAGAAATTTTTAAAACCATAACTAGCGGGTATAGGAAAAAAAATTTCAGTTTTTGTTGAATTTTTTCAACGAAAATCAAAATTTCGGTTTTTGTTGAATTTTTTCAACGAGAATCGAAATTTCAGATTTTGTGGAATTTTTTCAACGAAAAAGTTTGTAAATCTGGAAGAGCTTCCAGTTTTACAAATCCATCATTTTCGAGCCAATTTTCATGATTTCAGTCTAAAATTGATTGAAATTCATTTAGAGGGCATCAGTCGAGTAATATTCAAAAGAAAGCTTTGAAAAAATAGTTGAATAGCCGATCAATGAGAATCGAATAAATGTTTCGATAATTGGTGAATTATTTTATTATCGAATAAATTTGAATTTTTTTTTCAGAACCATTTTTACCCGGGTACCCGAGTCCACATGGTTTAGATTTGAGTTGGATTTGGGTTGAATTGGTTCGGATGGGTATTTTTGATTCTCGAATTAGTTTGGGTCTTTCCCGAGTCAGACCCATTGAGTCTGGGTCTGGGTTGGTTCTCCAAAAATGGGTTTGGTTCTGGGTGGGTCTGGTTCGAGTCGGGTTTGGGTCGAGTCTGAACCAGAACTGTTTTTTCAGTTTTGATTCTGGGTGGTTCATCCATTTGTTTGTTCTGGATCTGGGTCCAACCCACTCGAACCAGACCCGATCTGCCCCAAGAACCGACCCAGTTCGGAACCCTGATGTTCTCTTGGCATGGCAAATTACCCTAAAATTCTCAAAACAAACCTCGCTAAATGATAAATAATTTGCGAAAACTTGGCAGATTGTGACGGCTGAACTCTCTGATAACATTGCATAAATGATCCAATAACCCCTCCAACTCCTTGACAACTTGCTTCCACATCCAAACTCAAGCAAAAATTGTTGGATTCACGATATTGTGGCGGGATTTTTGCACCAAAACCATATGACAAAAATGCGTTGGCACTATTAAAAGGTTCGACGGCATCGCCAACACATCGGACCGCGAAATCAACATCATTCGCAAATTGAATTTGTTCCTCGCGTGAGAGTTGCTCACGCACAGAAAAATCAATAGCAAATGCAAAACGAAGCGATGTTCCGCATCGCAGATAATCAAGAAATGAGAAGATTTTTAGTTGCTGATTTTTGACAACTCGGAATTCTCCACATGGTTTTCGACCCATTCGATAACTTTCATGGAACATCTGAAATTTAAAAAAAATAAGTTTCCTATTTTTTAATATAAATTAGAGATCCCCTAAATTTTGAGACCTTCTAAAATTCTTACCGGTATTGGTTCTCCAGTCTTAATGGCATCTGAAGTTATAATTGCTTGGCCAATACAACCTTCTCTTTCATCTTCACTGAAACAACAAATCTCAAGTTGTCCAGAATCGGGACTATCTTCTCCTTGAATTGTGAATGATTTCCAAATGAGCCGCGATTGTTTTACTGATTCAGATTTGTGAATTACTCGTTTTTGAAGCATCTCATCTAATCGATAAACTTCGAGGTAGAGCTGGAAAGTATCAGAATTTTTTATTCTAATAAAAACTTCTAATTTTCAATTTTTGTGTATTTCTCCCAGTGTTTGAAATCTAGACTTTCAGATTTTTTTTCAAAAAATCTATAATTTATTCTCGCAAAAATCCCCCAGACATTTCCCACATTTTCAAACAAAACCCACATTAGAATTCGACGACGCAAATTTATTATTAATATTTCTCGCCTCAATTTGCATGACAACCGGTTGTGGTTTTTCACGAATCTGAGTCCAAATCTCAATTTCACCGATCAAATATTTCGATTGGTCTCTGAAATTTGAATATTTGTTTTCTTTGGAACATAGCATTCAAACATACGATAGTTGAATATTAGCTGGATTTAGTGTAACTTGTGCAATCGAGAAAACATCAGCCGCTTTGAAAATATTATCCTCGCAAAGCTCAATTCGAATAAATTGTGGACGTTCAAAACAAAATTCGATTGCAAAAATATCTTCGAGATCATAACATTCAGCAACATCGAGTTTGTCAGTTTCAGTTATTAATTTCCATGGACCATCTGCTGAATCTTGACTTTCATAAAGTTGCAAATTATAAAATCCACTTGGGATTCTTTCCGGATTCAGAATTCTGAAAATATCGAATAATAATTGAAATTTTGTGCAGTTTTTTTCTTGCTTTTCACTTACTGTATTCGACAATTCACATCAAGTATATCTTTTGGATAACGTCTGTCTGAAGATTCCGAAGCTTCTCTGAAAATTTTCAATGTATTTTTTGTTTATGTATCTGAAATTCTACTAACTTTCTGAGTTTTGGCGGTAAAAGTGGTGGTGCTTTACAAGCCCGCCGCATCTCCATAATATGACGAATTCTGACCATGTTCATCTTGAATCTGAAAATTTTAAGATTTCAAAAAAAAAAACACAAAAGAAAAAATGATGCATTTTAGAGAAAGTTTTTTCAATGAACTTTTTGAGAAAAATAAAAACATTCCGAAGAAAAGGAAACGAAACGAAAAGAAATTACTATAATATTCTGAAAGATTTTTTGAACATTTCATTTTTCTATCGCCACACTTCCGGATCTGCCCAAAAAATATATAACGCAATTTATTTATTTTAGCTTTGAGAAGTGATTTAGAGACGTATAATCCTTTAAAATCCTCTAGTTTTGCGAAAACATTGATGTTTTTCTTTGAAAAAAAGGAGGTGGGATCAATGTGGAACACAAAAAAGCCAAAAAATAAAATAAAATTGAACACAATCAATTATGGAACAGACAGACATTTTCTGGGTGGGCAGAAATTTTATGAGTTTTGGGTTCGATGAAAATTATATGTTTTGGTAGGGGAAAACAATGAAGTTTGGAAATATTTTACAAGAATTTTGAATTTTTTTTGGGAAATGAGTTATGACATGGCAAAACTAGATTTTTGTCACAATTTTAAAACAGATTCTTTCAATTATGAAACCAAATAATAGTTCCAAAATAGAATCTATTTAGTTGTTTATCCTGAAGATAGAGTGGTTGATGACGTGGCAAAGTCGGGATAATATTTTCAGATAATTTTTCAGATATAAAATTTGTTTTGATTGAATCAGAAGTTTTATGCAAATTTAAGAGTTGAGCCGTCGCAGAATTCAAATAATTTCCCGAAATCAAGTAAATTTAGGAAAAAATTTCATCCATAAATATTTTTGACTCAATTGGTCCAAAGTGTTTCGTGAAGTCAAAAATCCTAATAGTAAGCTATTCTGACTTGGGAAATAAACCATTATTTTTAATTCGAAAATGTTTCAAAACCGTAATTATCATTTCTAGAACATTTGGAATTATCTGAAAATTTGAGATTGCCACGTCATAACCAAATGTCAAAATTTTCTAGACCAAAAGTTAATTATCAAAAAAAAACCTCTAAAAACCTCAAAGAGCATCCACCAAAGAAAAAAAACTAATTTCAACAACTTATTATTATTCCTCCTAACTAATGAGGTTTTGTTCTGTCCTCGGAAAAAGTATCTTTTGTTTTAGTTCACTCCCCCACCACCTTTTCAGAAACCCTATTTATTTATACCCATATGAAAAATTCAGTATTTTTTGTTTTTCTATCGAGTTAGATACTGTCAATTATCTAGAAAGCTGGCTAAAAAAAAACAAAAAAAAATAAGAGATTTATCAATTTTTCAAATCTTCGGGAAATAAAATAATGGAAGAAGAAGAAGCTGAAAAAATGCAGGAGAACGAGCAGAAAAAATGCATTTGTGAAGAAATCAAGGAGGCGAATAATTTTTATTTTCGCGTCCAAAAAAAAGTTTTTTTCAAGCTGGTTCCGTCTTCAAACATCACTGAAACATGGTTCAGGAAATTGAAAATTGCAAACAAAAATATATGGATTTCTCGGATTATATTTCATCCCAAAAGTTGTTTTTTTTCATTTATTTTTATTTTTTGGAGTGAGTGAAAAATAGAAAAAAAGAAAAGTGTGGGAATTGTTTTAATGTGATGGAAATGTGAAAAAAGGATTTTCCTGGAACACCTTTTTTTTCCAAAAAAAAAAAGAGAAAGCAGCTGAAAAAATATAATTATGTTATTTATTAATTATACCTACATAAAATTCCTGGAAAATACAAAATTGAAAAAAATCAGAACATTTGGGATGATTAGGAGCAATTCAGAGACTGGAAAAATATGTCTGGAAAAAACGTGTTCTAGAACTTTTGGAAAAAAAACAATCGATGAAAATTCAAGCTCTGTGCGAACTTTATAGATTTTATGCATAAAGTTCTGAAAATTTGGTTCAAGCACAAAAGGTCAAAAATTGTTTCCTAACTTCCAAATGTTCTTCAAAATGTTTCGTAAATCCAAAGCTTCCTTCAAAAAAAAAATATTCGAAAACCGAGACCAAAAACTTTGAACACCTAAAAAACTGCGATCATCTTTTTCTCCAACCGCCGAACAATTCAATTTTTCTGGAAATTGACGAAAACTGATAGGCAAAAAAAAGCGGGGAGAAAAGGTATTAAATTTCGAATTAGTTCAACGTTAATCGACTTCAAGAGCAAAGAAATGAGCAGAAAAAATGGAAATGATTTTTCGTCTGGGGCAAAAATTGAATTGGAAATTCATTGAAAATCTCAAATCTCTTTGGAAAATTATAAATTACCTAAAAAGGTGTGGCAAAAATAAAACAACAACAGAAAATAGGATTTTACGAGAGCCTCGTAAATTTTCCATATTCTGAAATTAATATATTTTTTATAGCATAAATAAATGTAAAAAATTCAATTTTTTTCATAAAACCATAGTGACCCGAAAATGAAATTCTATAGCTACCCGATGAAAAAAAAAAGTTATGTGAAATATGATAATTTGGCCATTTTTTCAACGTGAAATTGAACGACGAAAAAAGAGAGAATTGTTGGATGGTAAATAATTTGAAATACTTAAATATTGATGAAGTTTTTTTATAAGTTACATCGAAAAAATAGAAAAATGTGACATTTTATTAGAAAAAAAGAAAAGAAGAATGGTTTTTTTTTTGGATATTTATGATGACTTTTGGACCAGACTCGCAGAAAAAGTTATACTTTTTTTGCAGAAAAACTTCCGTCAATCCATCATTTTGGACTTGGGTTATATTATTCTATTATTAAAATTATAATGTTTCATGAATTTAAATTCAAATGAAATGTATGTTTTGAACTCATTATAGCCACTTAGCTTAACTTGAAATCTGATATTGAGAATTCTCTTAAATTTGAAGAAGGCTAGAGTAAATATTCTTGGATAAAAAAATGAAAATGGAATAAATTAGGCGCAAGAATGATTAATTTCTATTTTTATGCTTCTGGATGAACCAAAGCATAAAATTATTCGGAAAAAAATTAGAGAGAATCTAGGAGGGTCCAGAAACATCGAGAAGAATTTTTTCCAAATATAACTTTTTGAAATAAAAGACCTCTCTCCTAACTCTGAATTTTTTTCTAACTTTCCAAAACACTTTATTAGTATTTCCTTTTGCAGTGATCAAATTTCCTTTTTGTCAGAAATTTTTATGAGTTTGTTTTTCTCATTTCAAAAAAAAACAACGAAAGTTCAAGCACAAAAAATAACAAAACAAAAAAAGACATAAGAATTCATGGGACGAAAAATGAGAAGTTTCCTTCCGGTAAAAAATATGAATAAAATAAATATGTTGCAACACAAATATAAATATTTCCAAATCCTTGGGACCGGCAGCAATTTAATCGCAAAACACAACAGCACATCCGCTAAACCATCTTCCAAGCCATTCTCCACAATCCGAATTTTCGGCTGACAGCACAATTGCTCGAGGACATTTCGCTTCTCTCACTTCGCTGCCGCAAGAAACCGATTCAAATTTGGAATTCGGCCAAAGTTTCTGGAAAAATAGGTGTGTATTTTTTTGAGGATACTTTGTGTTTTCTTCTAGACACCGGAAATCTATGCGAGAAAAAATCAGTCAAGTAAAAAAATATATGAGATATTGTCAAGTTATGACCTGGAAATTTTTTTGATAGAACATTTTGAGTTCTTCTGGGGCAATATTTCCAATGCTTACCTTGACACGTTGGCCAAGTTCCTCTAAAAATGGTTGAAGTTGAGTTTCAGGAAGAGCACTGCGTAAAATCTTGCATTCTTTGGGATCCTTGAGAATTTCAGGAACTTGTTCATATGCAAAATTATCTTCGATGTGAATTTGAGTATTGAGTGGATTGTGATCATCAGCTTGTTCAGGTTTCAATTCGTTGTTTTCATCGAATCGGAAACGTTGATCGATGAAATCCAAATATCGTTTTTCGATTGCTCTTTGCGCGTACACACGGATTATTTTCTAGAAAAATTATCGGAATTTAAGGGATTCTCAGAAAATTAATTTAGCCATGCCACGTTTTTAAACCTTCATTTTCGAAAATTACCTCTTCTGGCACAAACAATTCCAATTTTCCATACTGTTTCAAATAAAAATATTTGTTCCGTCTCATCAATGGATTATCATCAAAAAGCAAATAATTGGCAACCGATTGACAAGCTTCAGATCCTCTCGATACTGCAAAAAACATATATTTTTCAAAATCTATTTTCCCCGAAAACTGGCTTACATTTAAATTGACAAAAATGTAGATATTCGTAGTGGGCTGCAATCAAATTGCCAACATTATATCCATTAATTCGAGCAAGTTTATAAAGACAATTTTGCTCACATTGAACAATAGAAGCTCTGATACTCGCAAAAAGCACTTCAATATCAGGATTTACATCAGAAAGTGTCCAATCAATTTTATCTTGGCAGAGAAGTCGACATTTCTCATCTTCTTTCAATGATTTTTCTAATGAAAACTCAAATTCATGAACACATCTTCCCCAATCTTGTTCATCATATGCTTCAACACCATTTATAAACTTTGCTTCATAATCTTTTCTTTCCATATCAATCAACATCGAGTTATCAAATCCAGGTTGTTTCATATAAAAATTCAAACTAGAAAGAATATCTCGATCTTCTGGATTTGCTACCAAAAAAGTGTATGCACTTTGAACTGCCATTGCAAGTTCGCCAAGTTGCCAATAACAAATATGAATATATTGATATGGTTTTCTTTCCATCATATCAAAATAAACATCCATTTTTCGAACTCCCGGGTGTCTTTCAGTTAGCCTATCTCGTTTACATCTCATTATACAAAGTGCTCGTTCGCTGGTTTCGTGAAACATTGAAAGCTTTTCTGATTTGTCAGCAGGTTTTATGAGTTTTTCGCATTTCTGTCGGCAGGCTATCATCTCGTCTTGATATTGTCTGCAAATATATTTTTGAACAGTTTTTCTTGTAAAATTGAACTTACTTGAAATCATCGTTGGCTCTTTTCATAAAAGCCACACAATCCGGCCAATTCTTTTCAGTATACTCAACTTTTCCTGATTTGAAATATTCCTCAAATGTTAATACCTGATCACTGTGCGCTTGGGCAAAATTTAAGATTATTAATTGAAATAACAAAAATAGAACGATCATGACGTGGCGAGAGAAAGAATAAACTTTCAAAAAATCGAGCATCTGGTGTGTTCCTCAAAACAAAATAGCACATGTTTTATGGAGAGTGGGCAGAGAAATTACACATCTTAAGGTCACTATTTATTTTTTATCAAAAAGAACCCGGTCAAAAAATCATATAATCTAGTGAGGTTTTGGAACATGTCCATCTACATAAAAGTTCCGTGTCATTGTTGGAAGAACAACTCGAATTCCGTCTAATTCTTTTGATAGAACAATTTGACAACCAAGCCGGGAATTGTCTTTTAACGCAGGAGCCTGAACAAAAAAAAAGAGTTTTATCACTAAAGATTATAGGAGTCTTACCATATCTAACATATCATCTTCTTCTTCCAATGGTTCTGGCAATTTATCAATAAATCCATTTTCCACATAAACATGGCAAGTTGAACAAGCAAGTGAAGCTTCACATGCTCCTTCCATCTCAATATCATATCGATGTGCCAAAAACATCACATTGTCTCCAACTTTTCCACGAATTTTCTTTTCTGTGCCATCTCGGAGAACATATGTTATATTCACCACTTCTTCTTCAGATTTTGGATCCTAAAAGGAACATTGCAAGCGATCAAAATTCACAAAAACTAACCTCATATTCAAAATCACCCATTTTTCTGACATTTGTTAATGTGAGCAACCGTTTTTGCGGTTGGAACACTTGAAAACTTCGATTTGCTATCCGTGATACACCAAGAGCAAAACGAACAAGACCCGACATGCTCAATTATTGATAGTTTTGTGATAAGAAAATGTGAAAAAATAAAAATTGCTCTTGTCCGAGAGAACTACAAATTGGTTTTCTAGGCCATATTTTTTGTGTGTGTACTTCTCCCGGACAATTTCAAAAATTGTTCGTTTTCGATTTCGCGCGTCTTTCGCTTTTCATTTGTTTGCTCGAGAGAAAACTAACATCCATAATAACATATAGAAAGTTTCAGCCTATTGTTAAGATGGGTAAGAAAAAGTCGAAGAAGGTTCAGAAGAGTGAATCGGCTCCGCAAACTTCTACCGACAAAAAGAAAGCGGAAGAAAGCAAGGTAGAGGATATTGAGAAGGATGATGATTTGTATATTTCTGAAAATGATGTCACATTGATTTCAAAGTAAGTTTCACTCTTTTTTATTTAATATAATATATCATTCAAATTGTTTTAGTTACATCCGCACAACAAACAAATCATTTCAAAGTTTGGGAAACACTCTAGTTGAGGTGAGTCGAACAAATAATTCAGCGGAGTTAAAAACAAATCTTCAGACTTTCAACGGCCGATGTGCTGTTGGATTGAGTCACGCAATGCTTTCTTTATTCGACGAATCATCAGATGATCGAGATGATATTATAAGACGCCTGAATATCGTTTATATGATCTATCGCCTTCCAGAAATTGAAACCGAGCTTCGAACCAAACCCACAAAAACGATGAATGACATTTATAATCACATGTTTTCCTCATTCTTGTTTTATGTGGAAACCACGGAATTCAAGGTTGAATCAAATCTTGCCAGAATTATTTGTTGTAATGGAGTATCGACTATTGAAAAGTTAACCGCGCCAGATTTTATGAACAAATCTCACACAATTGTAAGTCCTGTTATTCTTCGTATATAAGTTGTTTAGCTGGAAAATGAATCCATGATCATTTTCAGACAAACTTTAATGTGGATTACGAGGCCTATCAAAAATGGGAAGCAGAAAACACCGCTCACTGGCCGAAATCGCTCGATGATGATTTGCCTATTGCAATTGCTATGCGACATCATGGCTGGGAGCGAAAGGAATACGAAGCGGGAATTTCCGAAGCATTCTACCCGCTTTTCCACCCGGTCCCAACTTTGATCTCTCCGTGGATTGAAATTCAGAAGGGAGAGCTTACTGTGATGGATCAGAAGGCGCGCGATATTCTATCGGCAAATGAAATGCGTTGGAAAGAAGATACAGAAGAGGGGATTTATGGAGAAAGAGTGGATGACAATCAAACAAATTTGTTGGCATCGTTGAAGAAGTTTGAGGAGGATGTGCATACTTATCATGAAGATTATTTTACGAAATATACTCCTGAAGAAGGTGGGTCACTTACTTAATAATAATGGTCCAGTCATAATTGTATCAGAACTGTAAGCGTCTCAGCTCCACGTTTTGCGATTAAATGCATGCTAAAAATGAGGAATTGAAAACAAAATCGAATTTATTTGACCTAAACGTGTTCTTTTCTCATTTTTGGAAAACAAATCATTTCAAATTATGATAAAATGATAAATAAGTGTTGTTTTTTTTCAGCGGAACATTTGACACGCGAAGTAACTTATATATCACCGATCCCGCCATCTTCCAGTGAAGATGATCAAAGTTCTGATGGTGTAGATGATTCAGATGACGATGATTCAGATGATGCTATTAAACCTTCAAAACTCTCCAAACTTCATGATCAAAGTATTACAACTTCTGTGGATTCGATCATCGATGGCTCACAGCTCAAGTAGATTTTTCAAACCCGAAGTTTCACAAAAAAGAGTTTTTTTTCCAGCAAAACCGTCACAAAAATCATGGAAACCTTCGTATCAACAACAAATAGCACAGTTCCGCAATTTTTGCGACTTTATTCAGCATCACGAAATGATCAAAAAATGAAAACTATGATTCGACATAATCCCAGGGTTATTAATTTTTATATAGGGAAAAATTGCGGCAAGATAAATTTCTACATTTTTCCAGGTCGCAGGCGCATTAATGGCTCGAATTGTGAAAAACGAGGGCGTTTCGACTTTCGAAAGATATTTCAAATTATTGACGGATATGGATTTACAATGTCAGGGTATGGAATGTTCGATGTATCTTTCGTTGGATTTAGGAGAAGCTGGAAAAATGAATAGTGATAATATGCGAAGACCATTGTTGACATATTTGAGAGGTATTATGAGGAGTTGTGAGAAATCATCGAATCGGAGAAGTATTCGAGTCATTGCTCAGATTATTACTAGACTTTTGAAAGAGAAAGTTATACCGATTGATGTAAGTGAAATTTGATAATAAGGGAGAATTCTATCTGTAAAAATTCTATTTTCCAGGATATTTTCACTGATGCCAATACATTTTCGCTAAACTTCACAGAACATCGAGAAGTTACAAATATGTATGCTTTGGCCGCCCAACTTCGACATGCTTCAAGACAAGAAAAGGAGAAAACTACTTCAACGGCAGAAGTTCCAAAAAATAAAAAATAATCTATTTACTGGTGATTTTTTCATTTATTTTTTCCTTATTTATTTATTTATTTTTATTTTTCAATTTGCATGATGTTTATACTTTGAATAGTGAATAGAAAACAATTATTATTCTCTACTTTAATTTTTACTCTTTTTTTTGTTGAAAAACTGTAATTTAAAAATACAGTGAAATATCTGAAATTCTCAAATCTGTATTACCGAACATTTTCAGATGTCAGAAGGAGAGGAGAATGAGACTTGTTTATTTTTATCATTTTTGCAAACTTTGGAAAAATCTGCGAGGAAAAGATTATTCGAAAAACCATCATGTGGTAAGTGAAAAATGGAATTTCGTGGGAAAAATAGGATATTTCAGCGTTTTTCATTTTTCGAATGCTTCCTCCAATGTCACAACAAATTATTGTGCAATTAATTTGGAAAGGGAATTTACAGTAAGTCAGTGTGCTTGAAAAGGCGTCATCTAGGCTTCTTATTTTTAAGCTGAAAAATATAAGCTAGAGCTCAAAAAAATTTGGGGACTTTGGGTCACATTTTCAATCAAAAAATCCTCTTATGAAAATTCATTTTCCAGGCCCGAAACATCTGAAAATATCGATTGGGATCGCTGGATCAAACTATTGTCTAGTCTAGATATCATTCAACCAGACGATGAATCAACTTCGAAAATACCGTATTCAATTGATGTGAGTCAGAAAAAAAGTTCCCTTTCAAACAATCCCCCAAAAATTTGCAGTTCTCCTTCCGCCGCTCCTATCTTTTCGCAGTTATGAGTGGATCATGTCGAATATCTGGTCTAAAACAACAAATCCTTGACGAGAAGAGAAAACAGAAAGAAGTTGGAAAAAAAGCTTCGGAAAGATGGGATTGTATATTGAGATATTTAGCATTGCCGACAGAACAGAATCAGAAATCAGTTTCAGCCACAACGAGACATCTTTTCAGTGCTGCAAAATTTACGAGCGGTGATGCGAATATTGAAATTACAACTGTTGGTTTTCAATTTCTTTTGCTTAGTCCGGTTCAACAAATGTGGACATATATAATTGAATATTTCAAATTAGAAATTGCAAATGGTCATGATATTGTGGATCTTCTCGATTTATTGATTCAAATTGTATTATGTGCAAATAAAGGATATGAACCTGGACATGAAGCATTTGTATTGGAAAATGATTGGGATGAAAGACAAAATGAAATGATTGCACATCTTCGAGAACTTGGTGTTATTTTTATACGAAAAACTAAAGATGGAATATTTTTCTTGACTCCACTTTTATCGCATTTAGCAACTTCGGAATTGTCGACAGCGGGAAATTCGATTGAGAAAACTTCAAATGGAAGTGTTATTGTTGAGACGAATTTCCGGTTATACGCATATACTTCATCTCCATTGCAACTTGCGATTTTGTCAACTTTTACTGAAATGACTTATAGGTTTGTTTGGGAAACTTTTGGGGAGAAGTTAAATTTGAAGTTGAAGGATTTTTTCAAATAAAAAGCAACCGCTCTTAAGTGATTCAGGTTTAGACTGAAACTAATCAAAAATTTTTCAAAGTGTTCCGATTCAGATTTTTTTCTAAAAACTGGTTCTGGTCCTATTCAAAAAATCCCATCCTTCCAAAAGCCCCGTCGAAATCCTACCAAAATTATTTGTTTTCTTCCAGATTCAATGACATGTCGGTTGGTATGTTGACTCGAGAATCGGTTCGAAGAGCACTTCAAGTCGGAATCACCGCCGCACAAATTATCTCGTTCCTACGAACAAATGCACATCCGCAATGTTTGGCGACTGGTGGAACTTTGAATTGTCTACCGATTACTGTAGGTTCTTTTTGAGTTTTGAAAATCGAAAAATACCAACAAAAAATGGTTTATGAGAACTTTGAGGTCTCCAAAAATCATCGAAAACTCTGAAAATAAATCCTCATGGTATTTTTCCCACAGGTCGCCGATCAAATTCGACTCTGGGAAGATGAACGAAAACGTATGGATCTCAAAGATGCCTACATGTATTCAACATTTGAAAGTGATGATGAATATTTTGGTGTTCGAAATTTCGCGCAACAAGAAGGTATTCTTCTTTGGGCGAATAATGATCAAAAATTGGTAATTGTGACTGAAGACGGGCATGAACGGGTTAAACAATGGTATAAGGCCAATCGGAAAAGTTAGGCCTAGAATAAGGAAGTTGAATTTTTGAAGCTTGCCTAATAAATTGTTTTGTTCTAGTGTTTTTTCTTCTTCTTGAGCTCAATCATACTTTTCTCGAGGAGGGCAAAACAAAAGAGCTTCACACACAACAAAACAAAGCATAAATACATATATGATTATTTTGGAATCGAAGTTTTTTGTTGTTTTTTTGTGTCGAGGGCTGAAAGTTGGCTGGAAAAACAACACAATTTCCACCCATTCTCTCTTTTTTTTAGTTTTTCCCTTCGTTTTTTCAGCAGACAGAAAACGAATTTGACACCTACATCCACCCTCTGTTTTTTCACGCCCTCTTCCCCGAAAAAACGAAAAATCTTTAAATTTTTGATTAGGTTTTCGGTTTTCTGGAAGTTGGACGTCGATTTTATTTCATTTCGCTTTAGTTGGAACCTTTTGAAAAAAAAGCGCCATTAAAATGTGTGTTCGATAAAATGTGCAATTATATATTGTGCTCCGAGAGCAATTTTCATTTTCATCATTTTTTAATGTTTGACCCTGGAGGTTTTGATGAAAGAGATGAACAAAGATATTAATATTTCATGAATCGAATTTTAAAAAGTCGACTTTTTAAGGTTTTAAGTCGTGGCTAAACCCCACAGTTTTCTGTTTCTTCCAACTGTGGTTTAGAAAATGGAGCTTATTGTAGTTAGGTTAAGTTAGTGAAAAACGAAAAAAAAAACCAAAAGTAGGTTTGGATTAAATTATCATGGCTTAGTTAGGCTTAGTCACAAATTCTTATATTCTAAGGCCACACTAGAGTTTTTTGATGTTCGGCAGTGAAAAAGCTTCGAAACACATTTACAATCAGACCCAAAAGTTTACTAGAAGCTAAACTCTAGATTGTTAATTTTTTCACAAAAATTATGCATTTTTTGGAATTCAGACATCACCGAGGATAAATTCAAAAACACATTTAATTTCTCCACAATTTTCACAATGTCCTTTCTGGACAACGAGCTCAAACATTTCAGAGAAATTAAAAATCACACCAATTTCCCAAATCAGATTTCACTTTTTTTGCGCTCCCACTTTTCTTCTGTTTTTTTCTGCTCTTCGTCATTCCGCGCCTTTTTTTCTAGCAGCCAATTTTTGTTTTGTTTTTTCTTTTTTTTTTTGGTCCTTTTCATTTATTTATTAGTTGGTTGGTAATAAATATACAACAAAAACAAGGGGAAATCTTTCAAAAATTATATTTTTGTTATTGTTTCTTTCTTTTTTGCTGAAATATTCTCTGGGGAAAAATGAATGTTTCGGAAAATAGAAAGAACAAGAGAAACATTTTTTTCGGCTCTCTCATTTTTTACCTTTCCATTCGCCCATTTTGTACATACATTTTGCATTGAAAATATTAAATCATGCATGAAATTCGCGCAAAAGGACAGAAAACATATTTGAAAAGTGCTCGGCCTAAAAAAGGTTTACATGTTCACAATTTTTTTATTGTTAGGATTCTATTTCCGAGAATTGTTTTGCTTGATTTATAGTTTGAGAAGGAATTGGGAAAAATTCATATTTTTCTGTAAAAAATTTAGCTGCTGAATTTTCTGGAACTTTTCAGATAAGATGAAAATGTTTTAAAAAAAAATCAAACTCTAGAAGACCTGTTCGAAACCAAATATATTCCTACATTCGTGTCAAGACTAGCTGTCCTTTTACAGCAAATTTTTTCAAAACCCGGAAGTTCAGAAATAATACTTATGCCTCTAACTAGAGAATTTAATTAGAAAAGTTTTCATTTTACGAGTCGAGAAGTAATCAATTCTCCCTCAATTTTTCAAGAATCAGTATTCATGTGAGCATTCAATTCAAAAACAAGAATTGAAAATTGAAATTCTTATAGCTGAAAAAAAAACAAAAAGTTTTCCTTTTCATTTTCATTTTCACAAATACCTAATAACACTTTCATTCATTCTTCTTTTTGTTCTTTTTTCTCCATTTTTTTGCCTAGTTCTAATAGGTTCTTTAGGAAATGAGCAGCAAAAGAGCATCCACTTTTTTTGTTTAGTACTCACTTTTTAACACAAGTACAACTTCTCCCAAAAGAAAAAGTTACAGGATGTTTTGGTGGACCAGCACGATTTTTTTATTTGTAATTTTCAAATTTACGTTTTGTTCAAGTGAGTTGATTTAAAATGCATAAAGAAGAAAGAACCAAAAATTTTCGTTTTTTTTTCTGCAGGAGATGCTTTGATGGATGAAAATGGCGATTTCTTGCCGCATATCCGGTTAGCAAAAGATTTAATGGATCCGAGAAGGTTTGGGGATTTTTTTCCGCGGATTTCCAAAGGAAAATTGTTCATTTAGGTATGACAATCGTGTTCGCCCAGTCATGAATCATTCAAAACCTACAAATGTCAAATTTTCAATGAGTTTATATCAAATTCTATCGATTGTAAGTTGAAAGACCAACAAAAAATCTATCACCTGACTCAAACTCAAAAACCAAATGTGAATTATTCACAAATTTTCAACCTTGCTTTCTTGTCATAATCACTCAAGCATAATTTTTTCCACAGAATGAAAAACAACAAAACATCGATTTGAATGTTTGGGCGATCCAGGAATGGACTGATGATTTTCTAGGGTGGAATCCTTATCTTTACGGGATGATTAACACAACAATTCTACCGTATACAGCAATCTGGTTGCCTGACACTTATCTTTACAATAGGTTTGTACCTTTCTCGTTAGATCTTCTTTGAAAACTTTGAAAACATTCAATTTTTAAGCGTTGTTATGAATCGCGAAGAAACTGAAAGATATATAAATGTAGTTATAACAACAAATTATTGGAAAGGTAAATCTGGAGCTGAAGTCAAATTAATGTATCCCGCATTATATCGAACAAGTTGTCTACTTGATATTCGATTCTTCCCTTATGATCAACAATCTTGTAAATTAACAATATCATCTTGGACATCTTCAGCTGCAGATATAACATATGAGCCAGCACATGCTACTGTTAATATGGATAATTTTATACCAAATGAAGAATGGGTTGTTGTAAATTTCAAAGTCAATCGAACAGTTCAAACATTCAAATGTTGTCCAGAACCATGGATTCTTCTTGATGCAATTCTGATAGTTCGGAGAAAACCATTATATTATATTGTGAATCTTGTTATTCCAACTTCAGTTATCACACTTGTTGCAGTTACTGGGTTCTTCACAGCAGCTTCGACAAGTTCTGAAAGGTGGGTTTAGGAAACTAATCATTTTGGAAATTGGGGAGCAGAGTCAATTTTTTGAGTGAACTAATTATGTCAAAAAGAGTAGGAAACAGTTATATGGGAAAAACTAAGAAAAAATTATTGGCAACTTTTTTATCTGGGATATGGAAATTTTCTGTTCTCCGAATCTCCGAATTTTGTGAATCAACCAAAAAAATTCGAAGAGTCTCCGAATTTTGTGAATCAACCAAAAAATTCGAAGAGTCTCCGAATTTTGTGAATCAACCAAAAAATTCGAAGGGTCTCCGAATTTTGTGAATCAACCAAAAAATTCGAAGAGTCTCCGAATTTTGTGAATCAACCAAAAAAATTCGAAGAGTCTCCGAATTTTGTGAATCAACCAAAAAAATTCGAAGGGTCTCCGAATTTTGTGAATCAACCAAAAAAATTCGAAGAGTCTCCGAATTTTGTGAATCAACCAAAAAAATTCGAAGGGTCTCCGAATTTTGTGAATCAACCAAAAAAATTCGAAGAGTCTCCGAATTTTGTGAATCAACCAAAAAAATTCGAAGGGTCTCCGAATTTTGTGAATCAACCAAAAAAATTCGAAGAGTCTCCGAATTTTGTGAATCAACCAAAAAAATTCGAAGAGTCTCCGAATTTTGTGAATCAACCAAAATAATTCGAAGGGTCTCCGAATTTTGTGAATCAACCAAAAAAATTCGAAGAGTCTCCGAATTTTGTGAATCAACCAAAAAAATTCGAAGGGTCTCCGAATTTTGTGAATCAACCAAAAAAATTCGAAGAGTCTCCGAATTTTGTGAATCAACCAAAATAATTCGAAGGGTCTCCGAATTTTGTGAATCAACCAAAAAAATTGGAAGAGTCTCCGAATTTTGTGAATCAACCAAAAAAATTCGAAGAGTCTCCGAATTTTGTGAATCAACCAAAAAAATTCGAAGAGTCTCCGAATTTTGTGAATCAACCAAAAAATTCGAAGAGTCTCCGAATTTTGTGAATCAACCAAAAAAATTGGAAGAGTCTCCGAATTTTGTGAATCAACCAAAAAAATTGGAAGAGTCTCCGAATTTTGTGAATCAACCAAAAAAATTCGAAGAGTCTCCGAATTTTGTGAATCAACCAAAAAAATTCGAAGGGTCTCCGAATTTTGTGAATCAACCAAAAAAATTCGAAGAGTCTCCGAATTTTGTGAATCAACCAAAAAAATTCGAAGAGTCTCCGAATTTTGTGAATCAACCAAAAAAATTCGAAGAGTCTCCGAATTTTGTGAATCAACCAAAAAATTCGAAGAGTCTCCGAATTTTGTGAATCAACCAAAAAATTCGAAGAGTCTCCGAATTTTGTGAATCAACCAAAAAAATTCGAAGAGTCTCCGAATTTTGTGAATCAACCAAAATAATTCGAAGGGTCTCCGAATTTTGTGAATCAACCAAAAAAATTGGAAGAGTCTCCGAATTTTGTGAATCAACCAAAAAAATTCGAAGAGTCTCCGAATTTTGTGAATCAACCAAAAAAATTCGAAGAGTCTCCGAATTTTGTGAATCAACCAAAAAAATTCGAAGAGTCTCCGAATTTTGTGAATCAACCAAAAAAATTGGAAGAGTCTCCGAATTTTGTGAATCAACCAAAAAAATTGGAAGAGTCTCCGAATTTTGTGAATCAACCAAAAAAATTCGAAGAGTCTCCGAATTTTGTGAATCAACCAAAAAAATTCGAAGGGTCTCCGAATTTTGTGAATCAACCAAAAAAATTCGAAGAGTCTCCGAATTTTGTGAATCAACCAAAAAATTCGAAGAGTCTCCGAATTTTGTGAATCAACCAAAAAATTCGAAGAGTCTCCGAATTTTGTGAATCAACCAAAAAATTCGAAGGGTCTCCGAATTTTGTGAATCAACCAAAAAAATTCGAAGAGTCTCCGAATTTTGTGAATCAACCAAAAAAATTGGAAGAGTCTCCGAATTTTGTGAATCAACCAAAAAATTCGAAGAGTCTCCGAATTTTGTGAATCAACCAAAAAATTCGAAGAGTCTCCGAATTTTGTGAATCAACCAAAAAATTCGAAGGGTCTCCGAATTTTGTGAATCAACCAAAAAAATTGGAAGAGTCTCCGAATTTTGTGAATCAACCAAAAAAATTCGAAGAGTCTCCGAATTTTGTGAATCAACCAAAAAAATTGGAAGAGTCTCCGAATTTTGTGAATCAACCAAAAAAATTCGAAGAGTCTCCGAATTTTGTGAATCAACCAAAAAATTCGAAGAGTCTCCGAATTTTGTGAATCAACCAAAAAAATTCGAAGAGTCTCCGAATTTTGTGAATCAACCAAAAAATTCGAAGGGTCTCCGAATTTTGTGAATCAACCAAAAAATTCGAAGGGTCTCCGAATTTTGTGAATCAACCAAAAAAATTCGAAGAGTCTCCGAATTTTGTGAATCAACCAAAATAATTCGAAGGGTCTCCGAATTTTGTGAATCAACCAAAAAAATTGGAAGAGTCTCCGAATTTTGTGAATCAACCAAAAAATTCGAAGAGTCTCCGAATTTTGTGAATCAACCAAAAAAATTCGAAGAGTCTCCGAATTTTGTGAATCAACCAAAAAAATTCGAAGGGTCTCCGAATTTTGTGAATCAACCAAAAAAATTCGAAGAGTCTCCGAATTTTGTGAATCAACCAAAAAAATTGGAAGAGTCTCCGAATTTTGTGAATCAACCAAAAAAATTCGAAGAGTCTCCGAATTTTGTGAATCAACCAAAAAAATTCGAAGAGTCTCCGAATTTTGTGAATCAACCAAAAAAATTCGAAGGGTCTCCGAATTTTGTGAATCAACCAAAAAAATTCGAAGAGTCTCCGAATTTTGTGAATCAACCAAAAAAATTGGAAGAGTCTCCGAATTTTGTGAATCAACCAAAAAATTCGAAGAGTCTCCGAATTTTGTGAATCAACCAAAAAAATTCGAAGAGTCTCCGAATTTTGTGAATCAACCAAAAAAATTCGAAGGGTCTCCGAATTTTGTGAATCAACCAAAAAATTCGAAGAGTCTCCGAATTTTGTGAATCAACCAAAAAAATTGGAAGAGTCTCCGAATTTTGTGAATCAACCAAAAAAATTCGAAGAGTCTCCGAATTTTGTGAATCAACCAAAAAATTCGAAGAGTCTCCGAATTTTGTGAATCAACCAAAAAAATTCGAAGAGTCTCCGAATTTTGTGAATCAACCAAAAAATTCGAAGGGTCTCCGAATTTTGTGAATCAACCAAAAAAATTCGAAGAGTCTCCGAATTTTGTGAATCAACCAAAAAATTGGAAGAGTCTCCGAATTTTGTGAATCAACCAAAAAAATTCGAAGAGTCTCCGAATTTTGTGAATCAACCAAAAAAATTCGAAGGGTCTCCGAATTTTGTGAATCAACCAAAAAAATTCGAAGAGTCTCCGAATTTTGTGAATCAACCAAAATAATTCGAAGGGTCTCCGAATTTTGTGAATCAACCAAAAAATTCGAAGGGTCTCCGAATTTTGTGAATCAACCAAAAAAATTCGAAGAGTCTCCGAATTTTGTGAATCAACCAAAAAAATTGGAAGAGTCTCCGAATTTTGTGAATCAACCAAAAAATTCGAAGAGTCTCCGAATTTTGTGAATCAACCAAAAAAATTCGAAGAGTCTCCGAATTTTGTGAATCAACCAAAAAATTCGAAGGGTCTCCGAATTTTGTGAATCAACCAAAAAATTGGAAGAGTCTCCGAATTTTGTGAATCAACCAAAAAAATTCGAAGAGTCTCCGAATTTTGTGAATCAACCAAAAAAATTGGAAGAGTCTCCGAATTTTGTGAATCAACCAAAAAAATTCGAAGAGTCTCCGAATTTTGTGAATCAACCAAAAAAATTCGAAGGGTCTCCGAATTTTGTGAATCAACCAAAAAATTCGAAGAGTCTCCGAATTTTGTGAATCAACCAAAAAATTCGAAGAGTCTCCGAATTTTGTGAATCAACCAAAATAATTCGAAGGGTCTCCGAATTTTGTGAATCAACCAAAAAATTCGAAGAGTCTCCGAATTTTGTGAATCAACCAAAAAAATTCGAAGGGTCTCCGAATTTTGTGAATCAACCAAAAAAATTCGAAGAGTCTCCGAATTTTGTGAATCAACCAAAAAAATTCGAAGAGTCTCCGAATTTTGTGAATCAACCAAAATAATTCGAAGGGTCTCCGAATTTTGTGAATCAACCAAAAAAATTCGAAGAGTCTCCGAATTTTGTGAATCAACCAAAAAAATTCGAAGGGTCTCCGAATTTTGTGAATCAACCAAAAAATTCGAAGAGTCTCCGAATTTTGTGAATCAACCAAAATAATTCGAAGGGTCTCCGAATTTTGTGAATCAACCAAAAAAATTGGAAGAGTCTCCGAATTTTGTGAATCAACCAAAAAAATTCGAAGAGTCTCCGAATTTTGTGAATCAACCAAAAAAATTCGAAGAGTCTCCGAATTTTGTGAATCAACCAAAAAAATTCGAAGGGTCTCCGAATTTTGTGAATCAACCAAAAAAATTCGAAGAGTCTCCGAATTTTGTGAATCAACCAAAAAATTCGAAGAGTCTCCGAATTTTGTGAATCAACCAAAAAAATTCGAAGAGTCTCCGAATTTTGTGAATCAACCAAAAAATTCGAAGGGTCTCCGAATTTTGTGAATCAACCAAAAAATTCGAAGAGTCTCCGAATTTTGTGAATCAACCAAAAAAATTCGAAGGGTCTCCGAATTTTGTGAATCAACCAAAAAAATTCGAAGAGTCTCCGAATTTTGTGAATCAACCAAAAAAATTCGAAGAGTCTCCGAATTTTGTGAATCAACCAAAATAATTCGAAGGGTCTCCGAATTTTGTGAATCAACCAAAAAATTCGAAGAGTCTCCGAATTTTGTGAATCAACCAAAAAAATTCGAAGGGTCTCCGAATTTTGTGAATCAACCAAAAAAATTCGAAGAGTCTCCGAATTTTGTGAATCAACCAAAATAATTCGAAGGGTCTCCGAATTTTGTGAATCAACCAAAAAAATTGGAAGAGTCTCCGAATTTTGTGAATCAACCAAAAAAATTCGAAGAGTCTCCGAATTTTGTGAATCAACCAAAAAAATTCGAAGAGTCTCCGAATTTTGTGAATCAACCAAAAAAATTCGAAGAGTCTCCGAATTTTGTGAATCAACCAAAAAAATTGGAAGAGTCTCCGAATTTTGTGAATCAACCAAAAAAATTGGAAGAGTCTCCGAATTTTGTGAATCAACCAAAAAAATTCGAAGAGTCTCCGAATTTTGTGAATCAACCAAAAAAATTCGAAGGGTCTCCGAATTTTGTGAATCAACCAAAAAATTCGAAGAGTCTCCGAATTTTGTGAATCAACCAAAAAAATTCGAAGAGTCTCCGAATTTTGTGAATCAACCAAAAAAATTCGAAGAGTCTCCGAATTTTGTGAATCAACCAAAAAAATTCGAAGAGTCTCCGAATTTTGTGAATCAACCAAAAAATTCGAAGAGTCTCCGAATTTTGTGAATCAACCAAAAAAATTCGAAGAGTCTCCGAATTTTGTGAATCAACCAAAATAATTCGAAGGGTCTCCGAATTTTGTGAATCAACCAAAAAAATTGGAAGAGTCTCCGAATTTTGTGAATCAACCAAAAAAATTCGAAGAGTCTCCGAATTTTGTGAATCAACCAAAAAATTCGAAGAGTCTCCGAATTTTGTGAATCAACCAAAAAAATTGGAAGAGTCTCCGAATTTTGTGAATCAACCAAAAAAATTGGAAGAGTCTCCGAATTTTGTGAATCAACCAAAAAATTCGAAGAGTCTCCGAATTTTGTGAATCAACCAAAAAAATTCGAAGGGTCTCCGAATTTTGTGAATCAACCAAAAAATTCGAAGGGTCTCCGAATTTTGTGAATCAACCAAAAAAATTCGAAGAGTCTCCGAATTTTGTGAATTAACCAAAAAAATTCGAAGAGTCTCCGAATTTTGTGAATCAACCAAAAAAATTCGAAGAGTCTCCGAATTTTGTGAATCAACCAAAAAATTCGAAGGGTCTCCGAATTTTGTGAATCAACCAAAAAAATTCGAAGAGTCTCCGAATTTTGTGAATCAACCAAAAAAATTGGAAGAGTCTCCGAATTTTGTGAATCAACCAAAAAAATTCGAAGGGTCTCCGAATTTTGTGAATCAACCAAAAAAATTCGAAGAGTCTCCGAATTTTGTGAATCAACCAAAAAATTCGAAGGGTCTCCGAATTTTGTGAATCAACCAAAAAATTCGAAGAGTCTCCGAATTTTGTGAATCAACCAAAAAAATTCGAAGAGTCTCCGAATTTTGTGAATCAACCAAAAAAATTGGAAGAGTCTCCGAATTTTGTGAATCAACCAAAAAATTCGAAGAGTCTCCGAATTTTGTGAATCAACCAAAAAATTCGAAGGGTCTCCGAATTTTGTGAATCAACCAAAAAATTCGAAGAGTCTCCGAATTTTGTGAATCAACCAAAAAAATTGGAAGAGTCTCCGAATTTTGTGAATCAACCAAAAAATTCGAAGGGTCTCCGAATTTTGTGAATCAACCAAAAAAATTCGAAGAGTCTCCGAATTTTGTGAATCAACCAAAAAAATTCGAAGAGTCTCCGAATTTTGTGAATCAACCAAAAAAATTGGAAGAGTCTCCGAATTTTGTGAATCAACCAAAAAAATTCGAAGAGTCTCCGAATTTTGTGAATCAACCAAAAAATTCGAAGGGTCTCCGAATTTTGTGAATCAACCAAAAAAATTCGAAGAGTCTCCGAATTTTGTGAATCAACCAAAAAATTCGAAGAGTCTCCGAATTTTGTGAATCAACCAAAAAAATTCGAAGAGTCTCCGAATTTTGTGAATCAACCAAAAAAATTCGAAGGGTCTCCGAATTTTGTGAATCAACCAAAAAAATTCGAAGAGTCTCCGAATTTTGTGAATCAACCAAAAAAATTCGAAGGGTCTCCGAATTTTGTGAATCAACCAAAAAAATTCGAAGAGTCTCCGAATTTTGTGAATCAACCAAAAAAATTCGAAGAGTCTCCGAATTTTGTGAATCAACCAAAAAAATTCGAAGGGTCTCCGAATTTTGTGAATCAACCAAAAAATTGGAAGAGTCTCCGAATTTTGTGAATCAACCAAAAAAATTGGAAGAGTCTCCGAATTTTGTGAATCAACCAAAAAAATTCGAAGAGTCTCCGAATTTTGTGAATCAACCAAAAAAATTCGAAGAGTCTCCGAATTTTGTGAATCAACCAAAAAAATTCGAAGAGTCTCCGAATTTTGTGAATCAACCAAAAAAATTCGAAGAGTCTCCGAATTTTGTGAATCAACCAAAAAAATTCGAAGGGTCTCCGAATTTTGTGAATCAACCAAAAAAATTCGAAGAGTCTCCGAATTTTGTGAATCAACCAAAAAAATTGGAAGAGTCTCCGAATTTTGTGAATCAACCAAAAAAATTCGAAGAGTCTCCGAATTTTGTGAATCAACCAAAAAATTCGAAGAGTCTCCGAATTTTGTGAATCAACCAAAAAAATTCGAAGGGTCTCCGAATTTTGTGAATCAACCAAAAAAATTCGAAGAGTCTCCGAATTTTGTGAATCAACCAAAAAAATTGGAAGAGTCTCCGAATTTTGTGAATCAACCAAAAAAATTCGAAGAGTCTCCGAATTTTGTGAATCAACCAAAAAAATTGGAAGAGTCTCCGAATTTTGTGAATCAACCAAAAAAATTGGAAGAGTCTCCGAATTTTGTGAATCAACCAAAAAAATTCGAAGAGTCTCCGAATTTTGTGAATCAACCAAAAAATTCGAAGGGTCTCCGAATTTTGTGAATCAACCAAAAAAATTCGAAGGGTCTCCGAATTTTGTGAATCAACCAAAAAAATTCGAAGAGTCTCCGAATTTTGTGAATCAACCAAAAAAATTCGAAGAGTCTCCGAATTTTGTGAATCAACCAAAAAATTCGAAGAGTCTCCGAATTTTGTGAATCAACCAAAAAAAAATTCGAAGAGTCTCCGAATTTTGTGAATCAACCAAAAAAATTCGAAGAGTCTCCGAATTTTGTGAATCAACCAAAAAATTCGAAGGGTCTCCGAATTTTGTGAATCAACCAAAAAAATTCGAAGAGTCTCCGAATTTTGTGAATCAACCAAAAAAATTCGAAGGGTCTCCGAATTTTGTGAATCAACCAAAAAATTCGAAGAGTCTCCGAATTTTGTGAATCTACCAAAAAAATTCGAAGGGTCTCCGAATTTTGTGAATCAACCAAAAAAATTCGAAGGGTCTCCGAATTTTGTGAATCAACCAAAAAAAAAAATCAAACAATCATAACTTTTTTATTTTTTAAGATTTTTCGGAATTTCGACAAGCATTTTGACGGGCTTGACGTTGGCTACATTTTTTGTGTTAACACCAACTCCCGTACTTTGCTCCTAAGGGGTGAAAAACATGTTTTTTCTCTCAAAAATGTCATTTTTCGATGTAAATTTGAACAAAAACATGTTTTTCACCCCTTAGGAGCAAAGTACGAAAGTTGGTGTTACAAACTATTTTTTGCAGACGTGAAAAACTATCACTTGGAATTGACTCACTTCTCGCCATGTCTATTTTAATGATGATGGTTTCTGAACAAATGCCAACATCATCTGATTTCGTTCCATTATTCGGAATTTTCTATCTTTCTATCATTTTCATAATCTTCTTGGGAACTATTTTCACCGCATTTATACTCAATGTTCATCTACAAAAAATGTACACTAAACCTGTCTCTCCTATAATTGCTTTCTTGTTTTTCGGAAAGGTAAGTGTTTCTCAATCAAAAAACATTTGTGATTATCTGAAACATCAATAGATTGCTCAATGGCTTCGAATGCGCCCTCCAACAATGTTACTCGAATTATGGAATGAGACGGGTGTAACATTCGGTAGAAAACCCGTTAAGAAACCCAGGAAAATGGATAAACAAAAACTGATGAAAGTGACGTCGACGTCTTCGGGATTGAGTTTGATCAAGGGTGGAGAAACGAGAAGTAGTATGAAAGCACCATTGGCGCCACCAATTAGTGCAAGATCTTATGTGTGAGTTGGTGGGAAAGGGTGGAATTGACCCGCAAAATACCGGGTGAAAATATTCAAAAAATAGTTATGCTGAACTATAATTAACAAAGTTCAATTTCAAAATGAGAGAATCCAAATTGCTCAGAAGCGAATTTTTTTAGAAGTGTTCAAAAGTGCTTCAAAATATCTTCATAACTTTCACACCATTTTCCTGATTATATTCAAAAACTTTTCAGATCCATGGACGATGAAGTGAAACGCGAACGAGCCCGAAAAAATTGGCACCGAATTGTGAATAAAGTTCAAGAAAACAAAGGTCAAATCGAGAACAACGGTGGTGTTGTTGTGAATGGAAAAACAAGTGGGATATTTTAATTTTTTGTTGAATCGACAATTTCAAAATTGAAAAATAATTTCAGGTTACGGTGAGCGCGGTCAACTTCGTCAAGTCAACCAACGACGAAAGCCACCAGCAATTCCACTTCCACAAAATGAACCGGGACCATTAATGTTGTCAGCGTCTGCAATTTCAGCATTTTCAACAACTGGCGATTCGACAATTTTGGAGAGTAAATTGAAGAGAAGGTGATAACAGAAATCAAGAAAAATTAAAGAAAATGAATGAGTTTCAGATATGCGTTAGAATGGGAATATCTGGCGTCAGTTCTGGATCGTGTTTTGTTGATTGTTTTTTCGATTGCTGTTTTTCTTGTCACTTCAATTATGATGATGGTAGGCCGGGCCATGCATTTTAAATATTCACTTGAGGAAGACTAACTTGGCTCCCACTGTTCACAGCTTCTTTTTTTGCTTTTTCTTCTCAACGAGGTGATTTTTTTGGCTAATGTATCTTTTTTGGATTTGATTGATGATGATAATGCATTAACTAATAAATGTATATATATTTGTGACTTTCTTTCTTTTTTTTGGTGTTTTGTGTGTGATTGCTAAACTGTTTCACAGTTATTTGGGGGTTGAGCTTGCAAAGATTTAATTTCAGGAAAAATTCAAACTATAGATTATCGAAATGTTTAACTGGAATTTTGATTTTTCGGTGTTGGGACCCAAAGAACTCATTATCTCATTTTAAAATTTCTCCGTGTGTCAAAAAAGTTCCAAATTTTTCCAGGATGCTCAATTCCTCGGCTCGCTCATCTACAATATTCCAGCCGATTATTTCGCCTAACTCCTACTCCAACATATCATTTTCCCCATAAATAATTTCTCGGTCCCCCCAAAAAAAACATTTTTTTTTGCACGCGAAATCGATCGTCGCCAATTCTACTGTAGTGTGTTGTAGAACGCGGAAAATGTGTGTGTCAATTAGAGAGAGTGATTAGAGAAAAGTGAAAAAAAACGCGAAATGCGGCAAAATTTTGGGGGCGAGAAGAGAGACGCAGAGGGACCCGTTGCCTCTCTAAATATATATGAGTTTCTTTTTTTTTCTATCGCTGTTTGGAATGGGAGGAGAAAGATGCAAAGAATTTGCTGTGTCTTTCTTTTTTTTTTGTATATACATGGCTGTATGTGGGAGACAAAAAACGAACGAAAAGTATAGATTCCTACAAAAACAACACAGAAAAAATTGGTTTTTGTTTTATCATCAGCAGATAAAAAATGATAACGAAACTGATTGTCTGGAACTTTTTTGCAAGATTCTGACAGAAATCTGTAAGCGATTTCAGATTTTGTCTAAAACCCGGGATCTTGAAGATTATGTTAGAAACACATGTGTCAGACGAAATAGAACATGAGTATTAAAATTGAAATTCGCAGAAATGTTCTCACGGAGTTATGACGCTTTGGAACAAAGATTGCAAAAATTTTTCAGAACGCAATTTTATTTTAACAAAACTTTATGATGTTGATTGAATATATTTTCTCAAGTAAAATATTCATAGAAAACGTTATAGAAAGTGGAAGTTCATTGGATCATTTTTTTGACATTACAAGTTTTTCTTCTAATATTTGGGAATTGTTATAATTACTATTTCAAAATATGAGATTGAAAACAGATTTCTTTGAACATTTTCTCCCAAAGTTATGACGTAGAGAAGTTGCTTATTCAGAAATGACGAGACAAAGTGTGATTATTTTTTGATCTCAAAAACAAAAATCAACCTTTTTCTATACTTTTATTTGAATCTAAAGTTCTCATTAACTTTTAACCCGGAAGGTATCCAAACCTGTTATATTCATTAGAGAATATAATATTCTAGAACAACAAGTTATCTTGGTTTTCCACAGGAAGTCAGAAAAACAAAATCTCTGTGCAAATAAGGATAGAGTGTAACCTACCGTGATTTCCTGCTTTGGTCGAATCGAATGATAAGAAATAATGTTGTTTATTTGGAAAATACAACTAGAAATGAAAATTTATCAGTTTTCCCTGAACACGTGAATGTAAAAAAATGGGTCACGTTCATTCTAACGTATTTTTATTTTATTGTTTTTTAGGGATAATTTTTTTTTGTTATGGGCCTTAAATGAAATTATTTGGTATTTCAGAAAATGTAGAAAATGGAAAGAAGTTAATCATGAATGGAAGAGCGACTTCAGGATAACAATACTGCAAAGAAAGTATTCACAAAAATTTCTGGAACTCGAGTAAAGTTCTAATTTTTTGGACTGCGTACAGTAATCAAGGTTTCCTCGTACATATGGTCAAAAAAGGTGGAACTTTTTCCTGGATCTTCCGGTGAAAATTCTCTCTGAGTATTTATTAATTTTGAGAAAAGGTTGGAGAAGAGATGTTCTACTGATTTATTATTCATTCCATCAATGAACTTCCATTTCAAGTTTCAATTTTTTTCGCATACAGTTGATGGCCCAAAAATATGGAATTGAACAGAACATTTGAAAAAGCATTTGATGCTTATAAGCATTCTTACAGTTTTCATCAACTTAGCAAGACCGTCTTCATAAATGAAATGTTCCTGCAGATTCAGCATTCCTTGATTTTCTCGCCGTATTAAACTTCATTTCTGTATCAAAAACGTCAACCACTTTCTCATTTCTACTCAATGAAAATAGGATCCTCACAATCAGAAAATCTTGTGACAAACTCCACTAGATTCACATCACACTGAAAACTATATCAAACCCAAAAAATGAACACTTGCGAGTTAACTACAACTTCCAATTTACCGTGAACATGTGTTGGTGTTTCAATATGTTATTGATCTCCACATTTTGTTTCTCTTCAAAAAGTCTGTTTTTTTTGCTATAACATTTTATAATCTTAAAACCTCTATCGCTAAAAGTGTTCGCAAAATTTTTTCTCTCTGAATCATTTCACATGACTTGCACGTGTTCTCAACCAACTTACAAGCTACAATTTTGAACCAAGGAGAAATATAAAATTTATTACCTGGAAAATCCTGCTGAAAATTAAAATGAAGTTTTGCAGCTTAAACTAAAGTTCATATTTGAATTTTCAATTTGAAATTACAATAAATCGTGTATGACAAATCAATCCCAAAATGTTTGCGAAAGTTTGTAAAATTGTTTGGCAGTGTTAACCCAGATTATAGAAATGACCATTTTTTTGCAACAATACTCTGTGACGTCATAAATTATTCCTGTTTGTGACTACAGTCTTTTTTGTGATAAAGGAAAAATGTGTTTTAGCTTCATTCATTGTTGAAGTCAAGTCAAGACAGAAGTTCACATTAAAAAAAACTTCAACATGACCCAAAATTAATTGATCTTTTTCCAAATATTTGGCATTTCCGTGGTTTTCTTGAAATGTTATGATGGCTTGACATTTTAAGCTTTCAAATACTTCCTAGCCTTTCACGTAATCTCACATTTTGAATGTAAATTCAAAAAATCGTTTTTCGTTCCAAAAAATATTGATTTTATGGCTTGGCTATAAACTGTGTTTATGATATTTTATGAACAAGCAAAAACCGTGTGAATCAATCAAAAAACGATGAAATGTGAAACCAACAAAAATGAAATGAATTCAAATGTATCGAATTACAATTTCATTTTGATATATTTCAGATTTTCAGGTTTCGACTTTGATAAAAACTGTATATCTGAAAACTATCCCGAAGTTAGTCTAACTCATAAGTATTCACAATGAGACAAAAAACTTGAGTATTTTCTAGAACACATGAAGTTGGTCAATAATTAATCCTCTTTTTTTCCTTCCTACATACATCCAATTTTTTCCGTCATTCCATTCCGAAATCGAACATCCCTTCCCAAAATTTTTTTGTCTGTTGTGTTGTTGCCGTCCACTTATTTTCCCCCTTTTTTTCACGAGTTTTCCCCTTTTCGTCTTCCCAACTCTCTCAATTTCATCCACTATTTCACCATCGAAGCTTATCATCTTTGTCGTCGCACCGTCGGAAATAGTGTGCAATTATGAAGAGAGTCGAAAGAAGTGTGAGTGTTGAAGAGAGACAGTGAATGAGTGAATAGGAATAAGAAAATGAGTGTGTGCTGGGTTGAGTGAGAGTGGATTACTGTAGCTATGGGGGAAAATCAAGCAAAGAGTGGAAAAGTACTGGGAATTCGCTTGCTGTGTGTTTCTGTTTGTGTCATAGTTGACCGATTTTGACGCGAGATAGCTCTTTTGATCGGGTTTTTTCGGGAGAAAAACTTGATAATTGAATTGGAACATCATTTTCAGAATTGGATCTGAAACCTGAATATAAGCTTATAAACTATAAAAGGTCGTTAAATGAGTTTGGATAGTTATTGAGATGGACCACAACCACACACGAAGCTTCTGACTCGACCTGGACTAAGCTTCAATAAATCGAAAGATTGAAATGGAATTGAAAGAATATAAAAATCAGTGTTGTCTAGCTGGTCAAGGATTTCTAAACTCAAATTGGAAAGGGTTATTAAATTAGGGTTTTAAATTGAAAGGTTGAATTTGAACGTAGAACTAGAAAGAATAGTTTTTTCTTCTGAAAAAACTGTTTCAAGAACTTTGTGACTCCAATGTTTACAAAAAAGTTTGCACTCTTCCCTGGATATTTTGAACAAAATATGCCAAAAGACTGTTTTGAGAAGTTGAAGCTCAGCTCATTTTAGGCTCGAGTTCTATAAGAATTAGAAAATCGAACGCTGGTCAATTTGAACCCACATACTAGGACATATTTAAAAAAACCCATCAAGAGTTCACGTTTTCTAAAAACTAGCAAATTCAGCATCTAATCAAACTAACGATTTCAGTTGAAGCTTATCAAAAAGTTTCAAAGGTTTTCAATCATTATTTTTCATAGTCAAGTATTTTCAGATTTCATATTACACTCTCAATTTCAGTCCCTGAGTTACCCTAACAGTTTGTGAAGTGTTAAACTCTCAAATTACCAAAAAATAAGTCCAGAACGTTGAGGTTGGCAAAAATCTATAAATTGCTTCAAAACTCAGTTCGTACCCCTGAACGCAATTATCGGGTTGTCCGCTGTTTTTCAATTATTAACGCTGCGTAAAACCTAATAAGTTCTTATATTGTATTCTGAAGATTCTTGAATGATAAGAGGCGAAAGACACCATTTTGAAAATAACTGTGGTCTTTAATTCGTAATGATCATTCCAGAACTAAACAAACTTTTTGCAGGTTCTTCTTATTTTTTGATAATTCAAAACGCAACTCATGTCGAAAACCTTCCAAATCAAAAAAAAAAATCAAATTTCTTTGGATAAACCAAAAGTTTACATTTCCTCAATTGTATCATATGTTCTCATTCCAAGCTTTTTCAGCAAAAACTCCGTCTATCCCAATTATTTTTCATCTTACTCAATCATGAATTATAATTATGTCAGCGTGCAAAAAAATCCAAACAAACATTCAATTTTTGTTGTGTGTGTGTTCAATGACAAAAAGTGCTAAATACACATCATTTCGGGCCGCGAACAAAGAAAAATGACTCCTTTGATTTGGTTCCTGGTTTCTTTTTACTCAACTGAACTTAATCTTGAGAAGTTCTGTTCTAATTTTTTTTGGGAAAAAGTGCAAAGTTAATCAGGCTGAAAATTTCTTGTATCAAGATCATATCTAAATTTATTTAGGCTAAATTAAATTTGACAAAAAATTTTATTTGGAAAAAATCAAAAATTGAAACAAAATATCTATAATCAATCATTTGTTGATAAATATCTCTTTGTGACGCAAAAAAAGACAAAACTTCAAAATTTTATATTTTTCAGAATTCCCATAAAATTCCCCATATAATTTTTCTCATCACCGGCGATTAATTAATTAATTTGATTTTGATTTATTGTGATGTGTTTGGATGAAAGTTTTTTCTTCACAATTATTTTTTTGCGAAGTGAAGAAAAAAAACCAAAAATTGTTTGGTTGAAAAATATACGAAAAACGGAAAATGTCATTTTGGTTTGATGAATGGACATCTGCCTTCGAATAAATATTGGAGGAAAATCTTCTGATTTTCTGTTTTATCAAGAAAAAACACAGTAATGGAATAGTTGTGTTGCAAAAATAAAAATCTCACAAATAGATTATATAAAAATTGGTTCACAGAATAATTAAGAAAAAAAGTTGTTATTTTGAAATACTGAAACTTGTTAACAAAACAATTACAGCTTGAGGTTCCTCGTTTAGACATTTTTTTTTTGAAATTCAACTTTTGTTGGTACATTTAATAATTGGAATCTTACGATTTCAGAATACACTAGCCAAATATTTTTATTTCAAAAATTCAGGCAGCATGGATTATAAACTACAAAGCTGAATGTCTTGAAAATAAGTTTCTGCTTTTGGTTCTGATGGTTCTGGTTCTTGTGAGTACAAAAATTTTATTCTCAGAAAAAAATTCTGGAGGACGTTTTACAAATGAAACATTTTCTTGTTATCGGAACACAACTTTAGAAAAAGCTTCATTCTGAGCAAATCATAAACAATCTGACATATTTTTTCAGGTCTACTGTTATTGCAAACACATTTAAGTTAATTCAAATTTGAACATAAGTTGTGACGTTGTGATATGTAAAACTTTCCAGAGAATGTCTCAATAATATTAACCACATTTTCAAAGAAACTTTGAATAATGAAATAAACCACAACTTCATTAAAAAACCTTGAAGTCAATCATTTTTTTGTAAAATTTCTTACATATCGATTAAATTTAAAGATTCTTCAAATCCTTTAACCCAAAAGCCATCATATTATTTTGTTTTAGAATCATACTGTATCTATACAACTCTTCTAAAACCCATCTATTCCATAACAGGTGGTCTGGTCGTAATAATAAGTACACTTTTTCTGTTTCCCAATGATTTGAAAGTGCGAAAAAAAAATAAAAAATCAACATGAAATGTGTCAAAACACGCCCATCTGTTGTTGTTTTTGTTTACATTTTGAGTTGTTTATTATTTTTCTTGTTATTGTTTTATTTTTTATTGCGCGGGAAATTTTTTTTTGAGGTTTTATATTTGAGTTAGGCTAATTTGGAATCTGAGAATGTTTGAGCTGAAAATTGAGAGTTTTCAGGAACCTTTTTCTTGGATTAAGAAACTTTTAGTGTTCGAAACTTATTTAACAATTCTGAAAACTATTCTGAAGTCCGAAATTCATTTTCAGTAGTTATAGTGCTCCAAAATTGATTTTCAAAAAAAAACATCTCAACATTTTTTCTGCAGCTACAAAAAATGTTTAATCTGTCTGGAACTTTCCAAATGTCTACCAATAATTTGTTTCGTCACAAATATATCAAAAAAGTGACGAATATGATATTTTGTGTTCTCTTCAATGACTCATTTTCCACCCGTCGCTCTCTTTTTGTATTTTTGAAGAAAAAAAACTTTCTTACAGTATCACAATATTTTAGGGAGGGGAAGAACATTTTTTTGGAGAAACAAAACAATCTTATCGGGCGGGCGGGGGAAATTGTTGTGTTTTCGCTTATCACCAAATTTTTTTCAGTTTTTGGAAATTTCATTTTTTTGAAGGGTCCTTTAATTCTTTGTTGATATTTGTAAATTAGCAAGCTCCGCTCCGCGCTAGGAAATTGGGACTCTAATTTTTAAGAAAAACAAAATTTAACTCAAAATTGCTCTGTGAGCTGACCCTTTCTTCCTGCACATATTTCTGATATTTCCAAACATTCTTTATTGTTCGAATTAAGTTTATAGGGCATTTCAAATAATAATATTATTTTGAAAAAAAGTGGGCGTGTCAATTGTAAATCAATACAAGAGACAACAGGCGCAGCCGAAAGCAGCAGCAGCCAACAACGAACTACGGTAACTCTCACTCACCGCTCATCACTCAAAAAACGCTCAACAAAAAACTCACACACATGTCCGTTCTTCAATTCATCGCATTTCTCTTCAATTCGCACACTCTCTCCTCACTTCCCTTTTCTCATCGTCTCTTCATTTCAATATCTATCTCGTCTTTGTCGTGCCCCTCTCTCTCTTTTGCCTTCAAAACACACTTGCCTGCCTATATATTCCATTTTTTCTGTGTTTGGTTTCGCACCAAAATTTTGAGCCCACCTTCTGATTTTCCACACGTTTTTTGAATAATTGAACTTTTTGTTTTACGCTGAACAGAAAGAATCTAAATTGATATAATTTCGAAAATTTCAACATTTTTCAAATTTTACTGTATTTTCAGCGTGTTTCGATTCTTTGATCTCTGAAATTCTTATAGTTCTCTAGATTTATGTCTGATTTCTCTATATATGTAAAATCGATAACTTTCACAAACTACGAGCCTTGTTATAAACATTCTAGAAAAAAATGAGTCATTTTTCAATTTCGAAATATATTAGAGCTCCCTTTAGGAATTAAGAAAATGTAGTTATCTTATCTTCTAGAGAATCTCATGAATAACTAATATCCAAAGTTTCAAAAACTTTTAACGGTCCCGAAAAAAGTTACACTCATTCTAAGAACCACTATAAACCCATCAAATTTTAGGAACTTTCCGGACGTTTATAACTTTCTTTAAACTCCAAGTTAACTCTCTAAACTTTTACAATTTCTTCCTTATTGTATTTTGAAGATATTTTGAAAGTTTCGACATTTTTTGAGAAGTTTCGAGAAAGTTATGAAACTTTTTGTGACTTGCTAAAAGTCATCATTTTTGTGGACGCCGATTTTGTTTGTGAGAAGACATGTGACACATTTTTGTGTGGTATATTCAGAAAAGGTTTTTACTCTACTTTATCTTTAGGAATAAGGTTGAAGGGCCAATAATTGAAAAATAAAATTTGTAGTTGGGACCATCAAGACTAGACTTCTTATTCCGAGTTATTTTTTCATCACATCATTTTGTATTGTTGAAATAATTAGTGACGTGGATAGCGTAGGCACGAATAGAAAAAATAGTGTTTACGAAATATTTCAAAATGATTGACATTTGACATTTTTATCAGCTAACTTTTTTAGGAGATCTGAAAAAAGGCTTAATCGATTTTTCTAGGAGGAATGAAGATTTAATGAGTTTTCTTGGGAAGAGAAATTTCTGCAAGATTATGTTGTTTAAAGTTTTTGTGAGTTACTATAGTTACTGTAACTCTTGACGAATATATTGAAACCTGAAATTGGTCAACATTTTTAGAAAAAGAATTGTTTTTATTTGAGTTAGAATTAACTTTAATTAGAGTTTATGATTTCTCCTGACATTTCTCTTGAATTCAAAATTATCAATTGGGAATTATTTTCCATGAAAACCTTTTTCGTAGAACTAGTCTCATTAGAAATCATCCACAATATTCCAGCTAACTCTCTAAATTCCCCGAACGTTCAGAAAAACAAGTTCATTTTCCAAAATCCTATCCAAAAAGGATCTTGAGACTAATTACAATAAATCTTTGTACATACATTTTCCTCAATCTCTTTTCTCCAATTCTCTTCTCAAGAAAAAATAACGAACAAAAAATTGGAACATTTCCAATTTTTCCAATTTATTATTAATTCTTCTTCACGGATGTGTCATTTTGTGTAATCATTTTGTTCCTTTTCATAATGTTCAACCTCATTTTTGAATCTGAAAAAAATAAAACGTATATTTTTTGAGAGCTGAATAACATATGTAATGCGCTTTTTTCTTTTCTATTTTTCTTGACCGCTCTTTTGTTTTTATAAGAAAAGAAATCATTTTTTGGAGTTACATGGAAATTGTTCCAAATTTTTTCTGAAAATTAGATTCTTTTCGAACGTCTCGAGTTTCAAGCTCTAAAATTTTGAATTTTGTATTTATGAAAAATCAGTAGGCTCAAGCCTCAAGCCTCCTTCCAAGCTCAGCTTTTGAAATTACCGAGTTCTGAGCCAAATTCTGAAGACTCATTTTTCTTAAATTTCTTCTCTAGATTTCTTATTCTTCTTCTGGAATTTCCTATTTTTCTGCTAGCGAAAAACATTTTTTGATGATAAGAAATGGGAGCAAAAAAAAGAGCAGAACAAAGAAACCGATAATTTTTCTAACGAATTGATAAAAAATACTGTAGATCTTTATGTTTTCTCTACTTCTCTTTTTTTCGAATATCTTAAACAAAATCAATAACTTTTATTTATTTTCAGACAATCGCTAAATGCAGCGAACTCTGACCGGCTCAACGCCATCAATTTTATATCCAGTTAATATTGAGCCAACCACATCCACTTCAGAAAAATATACAATTGTGCCAGATAAAGCATTGATGGCAACATCTGAAATCAAGGATGATCTTGCTGTGGAAAAACAGGAACTCGAAGTTGAATCTTTGACAACGGATGATTCGAGAACACCTTCGCCAGCAATAAAAATGGAAACTGAAGTGAAAAAAGAGGAGATTCTCGATGAAGCAATGGGAGAAATCGAGATTGAGCAAAAAACGGTTTTCACTGATTTGAACATTGATACAAATATTGCAAAAATTGAGGGACCAACATCATCTCTCTCATCAAGTTCATCAAATTATGGTTCGACAGCAAGTCCTTCGACTAGTGCGTTGGACGAAAATCAACAGCAACAACAACCTGTTAAAAAGCGACGAGCTTCCAGAAAAGCTGCGGTTATAGAAGAAGCATCCAGAAAAAGTAATAGGTGAGTTATTCTAAATACCTTTCAGTTACTGTCAAGGTTACCTGACAGTAACTGAAAGTCTTGAAAACTTTAAATAAAGTAATTTTTCTCAGAATCAATAAAACTCTCGAAAAGAATGCTGAGGTTATTGACAACTATACTGGCCAAAAGGATCTTGGAAAACGTAAGAAATATTTTCTGGATTTTTTCCAACAAAATTTTTTTTAATTTCCAGCGAGGGGTAATCAATTTCCAGTCGGCTTGAAAAGACAATCCTATGATTTTCCGTCGAAAATATTAAAGGAGAATGGAAGATTGAGAATTGATATGGTTAGTTTGCATATCTTAGAAATTCTAGAAATGAATTTTAAATTTTTCGAAAATTAAAAAGTCACGTGAAATATTTTTTTCAGTTTCATTTCGAAAAAAATTTTCTGTTAGGTTACTGTACCTACCAAATGAAAAATTTGAAACTCTTGAGCAACTCTATAATGTTTTTTGTGGCAATTTTCTAATAATCAACAAGTCACGCGATATTTACTTTTGTCTTGCAAACTTTATTTTCTGGCGTTTATTTTGAAAAAAAAATTACAAAATAACTTTTTTGAAAAAAATAAGAAAGAACACAATTTTTTCTTTTGTTTTCTTTTGTTTTTTCCTTTTTTCACGTACAACTTTAAAATGACACGATTTCAGAATGGTCCATCAACACGGAGCAATCCAGCCGAAGAAGCCTGCTACACGCCGCTTCGAAATCGTGCGCGAGGAAGTGTTCATGGTCCCGAATATCAAGCATCACTTCCATCATTCTCACCAAAAGAAGAATTTGAAGAAGACAACTGTCGGGAAGAGGCGATTTGGGTGAATCCACAGTCAAATGAACAACAAAAAAGAATCTCGGATGAAGAATTGAATTTGATTTATATCACAATTCAAAAACAATATGGAGAAACAATGCCATTGGATGCAATTTTGCACAGATTAATGGAATGTGATTATAATTTGGATGAAATGTTAGCAACGATTGAAAAGGAAAGAGAAAGATTACCACAACCATTTTTGAAGTTATCAAATGTACAGCAAGCCGAATTTGAAAGACAACTCCGAAAACTTCGAACTGCTTCAAATTCCACGAATAGAACAATTCCAAGATCTCATCGAAATATGCAAGAAAGATTTGTAAGTTTAACTTGAGCTTATCTCTTATTCTTCATTCAAAATTTTATTTGTTTATAGATGCGAAGTCATTATTTGGGAGAGATCATCAATTATTACTACACCACAAAAAAGAAGTGTTGCTCTCAAAAACAATTCAACCGGTGTAAATGTCGAGAAAATATGACTTCTGTAGAAAAATTAGTGGAAAGAGTTGAGTGCTCGAATTGCACAAAAATTGCGAGACCAAATGCGGAAAAATTAGGATTGTTGTGTTTACTGTGCAAACTTTATTATGAGTAAGTTTTTTATTTCGAAAAAAAAATGAAATTCTAATCAAAATTTGTTCTGCAGGCGTAACCAAAAACATCGGGATTCTCATGAAATGTTCAACGATGAAGAAGAGAAGCTTCTGAAAAAGTGGAATGAAATGGAAACCGAGTTAGGCCAAATAATTACTTTGGAAGATGTCAGAAATAAATTGGAGGAAGAACGAGTTGCTGACATTTCAACCAGACAGCTGACTTCTGAAGAAATATCGGCATTAGGTCCATATCGGAAAAGAGATCGAAGCCACGTTGCAAAACTTTTCTCGACTTTCGAATCAACATACAATCAATTGTAAGTTCCCATTGACTTTTTTCGGTTGAAGAATTATATTCTGAATTTTTTTCAGCTGTGATCCAAGTGCCGAACCAACTTCAAACATTCGTCTCAAGGATTATAGCGATGACGAGAAATTCGAATTCATCCAAGCTTTTGAAAAATTTGGAAAAGATTATGAGAAAGTTGCAAATGCTTTGAAATGTTCGGAATTGGAAGTCGCCACATTCTACTTTCGTTTTCAGAGAGATTTGAATCTTGCAGAGGTTTGTTTTTTTTTGTTTTAATGGGGAAAATGAAAATTTTTCACTGTGTTTCAGGAGAAATTTTTTCTTAATGTTAACCATTTTTAAAGTTGTTTGAGTTTTTTCAAGAAAGATAGTTTTATCAAAATTATTCTTCCCCAAAAAGCCCGAAATCTGAATCAAATATTCAACAAATTTAATTCCAGGTAATCTCCGAAGCTCAAAACAATAACAACAATCGCTCAAAGGAAAAGGAGCGAAACACATCGCGCGATTCGACTCCATACGAACCATCGGAAAAAGTTTCCAACGAAAAACCATCGGGTCTTATTCGTAGTACAATTAATACCCGAAAACGAACCTCCGATGTTGCAATCAGCGCTCAAAAAGCGGGTCCACCAAAAAGACGAAGTCGCGGGATCTAAATTATTCACCTAACTTCCATTTTTTATTTTCAATAATTAAATATCCCCATTATGTAGATATAGCGGAATTCTCGGTTCAAAATCCCCTAAAAACCATTTATTTAAACAGGGTAAAAACTTTATTTATTACATGTTAATTAATATCTCCCTTGTCTTTTTTGTTTGCTCATCCAATCACATTGAGCATTCCACAATAACTTGACAGACCGCTGAAAGTCATTTTTAATTTGAACAAAAACAAATGTTGTGCGTTTTACCTTTTTATGTATTTTTTTAGCCCCATTTTGATTTTTCAACTTTTCTTGTGTTATAATATAAAACAGAATTATTAGAACTCACTTGATTCCGGCTTCACTTGAACATTTACAAAATTGTTCCATCTCTTTTTTCCACTGAACTGATCTCGAACATTGCCGAATTGCCAAACGAGCACTTTTATCTTCAATCAGCGGCTCGCAACTGAAACAACAAAAAATAAAATGAATAGGGGGTGACATGAGGTCATTTGTAGTTGATCAAGATTAAATGATTTTCACTTTTCCTTTGGTTTTTATCTGATCAAGAAATGTTTTGTAGGTAAATTTGTAAATAGATAGTGGGAATGAAAAGGTGCGAGAATTCGGGTAAATTTGAATTTTTAACGAGAATTTTTTTTGAGAAATTGGTGTTTTTATTGTTAGTGTTTTTTTTTGTTGAAAAAAGCGGTTCCGGATTTTTCAGACTGATGAATAAACATGTTTTATAGTCTAAAATTATTTTTAAAAATTTAGTTAAAACTCTTTTCAAAAATCAGATGATCAAAAATATTCAATCAATTTTCAAAAAAACTGAAAATCGATATATAAAACTTCATCTTACTATAAAAATGCCGATGATAAAGTCAGAAAAGAAAGTCAAATAATTCAAAAAAAAAATCTTTCATATTAAAATTTGTTCTGAACTTGCGTTTCCTCTAATAAAAATCAGGTTTTTCGTTCTCTAAAATCTTAGATCACCTGTTCTTCAAAATCAATCAAACGTACCCAATTCGATTAAAACAAAATCCATTCTTATTTTTCTCCAAGAAACAAGTCTTTACACATTGTGCAATTGCAGTTCCAGCATTCACAACCTGTTTCACATTATCATTTCCAATCGAACTCAAAAATGATTTCACTTGAGCATTTACAGCATCCTCAACTCGATGAATCATATCATTATAGTCATATTCTTTCACTTTTTTTGCTGATGCACTATCTTCTGCGCATCTGGAAATATAATTTCTCAAGTTTTTTTCTAAGATTTAGGGATTCCTCTTACGCTTTCACTTTTTTCTGGAAACAATCGATGACTTGATCAACAAACGGTTTTTTGGCATCAAAACATGCTTTGAGTGAATCTGGATTGTCGGTCAATTTGAACTAAAAATTTTGTATTTTGTAAATTTGAACTAAATTCGAACTTTTTCTAATCAAAAACCTGTTTGATCAATTGTTGCCAACATCCTTCAAAACAATCCAACGCCTGAAGTTTTGATGAGTGATAACAATCGACCATTTCAGAGCAAACACATTGACGGACTTCTCCATCTCTCTGGGAACCGTGGAGCACTTGGATCGCTTGTTTCGAAACCTGAAAATAGAAAAAGAGAAATTGAGATTTTTGGAAGATACTAGGGGAACAATGTGAATTTCGTTTCGAGAAAAATCGGAAAAAATATGACATTGCAACGCTTTTTTTAGAATGTGATTTGTTATGCATAAATTCTTGAATGGTAAGAATTGCGAATAATTTTCTAGTTATGACGTGGCTATCAAAAAGCAAAAATCATGACTTAGCAACGGGGTTTTTACCGTGAATGATGAAATTAAGATCTTCACTCACAATTAATAGGTTCAAAAATTCAAATAAAACATTACAGTACTCAAAAAAATTTGCCAAATTATATTTCATTTCTACAGAGCCTGAATATTTCTGGGGCTTTGAATGCCAGGCTCAATTCCTTGAAACTAACCTGCTCCATGAACTTGGCCGCATCACAAACTTCAAAAGCACCCAAAAATGCCAAAAATAAATAAGTTCTCATGTTTTCCCGAGTATTTTTCAAAAAATGACAAAAAACCAACATATATATTTTTTTTACAACAAGGACATTTGAAAACCCGTTTTTTATGTTGTGTTAGAAAGAAAAAGGTAAAAACAACACTTTAAGAAGACTTTGGTTATTAAGTAAAAATGTTGTTTTGATATTGAAGTGTCTGAACATTGTTGTCTTGTTGGAAAAAGGATCGATGGTTGGCTGAAAAAGTTGAAAATTGTGCTGAAAATTTGGGGAATTCTGAAGAAGTCTTTGAGGAATTGAATTGCAATTGATCTTTTGGTAAAACAAAGAATTTTGGAAAAAAGGAAAAAAAAATCTTTGCAATCTATTTTTATACGAATAATTGAATAATAATTCCAAAAAAAGACTAAAAAATGACGTCTTTCTTGGTTTTGAAAAAATCTGTTCTATATTTTTCGGTCCATGTTTTTCTCACATAATCTATGCTCATTTTGTTCCGAATTTATAATTGAATCTTTTTTTTTTTGCTCGAAAAATTTAATTAAATATTTTGGATGAGATTCTTTTGGTCATTTGAAATTTTTATTTTTTATCAAAAAAATTGTTTTTCGTTGTTTAAAAAAAATGTTGACCTACTTAAAAATATGACGTGAAAAATTTTGCCAGATTTCTCTTCATTTTGAAAAAAAGCTATTCTAGAAAACTCTATTTCTTCTGAAAAAGGAAAAGGATTCTTCATTTTGAAGTTAGTTTTGGGCTAAAGGGATTTGGGAAAAAAACGTTTTCATTTTTTGAGTCAATACTTTTGACGTGGCAATAGTTGGATTCAGTTTCATTTATTTCCAATTTTCACAATTTTCAAAAAGTTATGACAATGTAAAGTATTCAAGTCATAAAACTGATTGAGAATGTCTTTGTGAGAAAATTTTGCAACCAAAATTAAAAAAAAGGCTCACACCCTATAAAACGGCAACGACGAAACACACACACACACATTTTTGAGAGAGTGCGAGACATGACATTTTTATCAATAGGGCGCGCATCCATTTTTGCTTTTATTTTCTTGTTTTTGTTTTTTTTTTCATTCACTTATTTTTTGTTGTTTTTCCATGAATTTGAATGAAACTTGCGGTAAAACTCATATTCATCTATTTTCCTAGTACAAATAACATTATTTCAGTTGATTCTCGATAATTTTATACTAAAACTAGTGCTCTTCTTATTTAAATTTTATTCATTTTTACTTTACAGGAAAAACGTCAGCGAAATGATGGAATATCGAAACAATTATTGAAGCAAATTTTGGTTGAATGATTTTGAATTTCGAGGAAAACTGGAGGGAAAGTGAGTTTTTAAATATTTTTTTTTTGAAAATTTGAGATTTTGAGTTTGATTCAAGTAAAACAACCACCAAATCAACTTTTGGGAGAAAGATATTTCCGAGTTATTATAAATTGATGACTTTTTGTTGTCAGGGGAATAAATGTGTTATTGAAAATTTAGTAAATGTTATAACTATTGTCGAGCTTTATAAAATGGAAATGTTTTGATTCGAAATTTTAGGGGGTTTTGTTAATTTTTTCTATGCGGTTAGGTCATTCATCACACATACAGTATATTTTCTTGTTCTCTCGTTGCAAGGTTTCTTTTTTTTTCAAACGAACTACTCAGCGTCATCATGATCTGCAGATCTTGTAGTTGAATTAAACTTGTCCCATTCGAATTGAGTTAGTAACTATGATCCTTGTTTCTAGAAGTATTGAGCACCCCCGTATTTTTAAGTTCTGCAAATTCCGGTTTCTCTGATCACCAAAAGTTCTTCTCAAATAAAAAACAACAAATCCTTCAATGATCCGACACAAAATCCAAAGATAACTCCATTTTTGACTTTTGACTTGCGTCACCAACTAACCATGTTATATATTTCCCTGTTTTTTGTATAAATAATTTGACTACAAAACCCAAAATTTTTGATTGGCACAAATAAAAATAAAAATAATTAATTATCTTCCTGAAAAACAATATATTTTTGTGTATGTGTCAATCAAAAATGATGTGAGCCTTTTTTCTTACATAAATCTGAAATTGGATTTAAAATTGGATTCGAAATTGGATTGCATTTGCGTGGGATTTTGTCACCTACAAAAAAAATGATGTCAATTCCTAGATTTTCGGAAAAAAAAGTCCAAGTTAAGGATGGTTTCACCCCCAAAATAGTCAGATCTAGACCAATTTTTTCTCGCCGTCTCTTCAAAAAACTTTTGCCATCACATTTCATTTTGAAAAAAAAGTGATAAGAAAAAAATGATGATATTTTTCGCATCATTTTTTGGGTTGTTGTTGATCCTCCCTCAAAAACCCCCCGAGCTAATTAACTAATTTTAGCTTTTATATTTTTTCGAGAAACTTTTTTTTGTTCTTCGAAAAAAAATCAGTACTAGTCTCTTAGTCTCAGAATTATTCATAAGTTTAGTACTACATTTGCCTGATTACTGTGACATTTTTGAGTGGGAAAAAATGAATAACATTTTCAAAAAAAATAGTACATTTCTGGGTTACTGTAGTGAATTAAGAAGATTAGTCTGGTTTCGAAAGTTCAGAGTCGTATAGTTGAGATAAATAACTTATTGTGTTGAATACTACTACAAATTTTCGAAATTTATATGGAATACGGTAGATTTGGGGGATCTTCGAGATTGTACGGATTTTGCATTGCCAGAAAAAACTTAATTTATGGTGGAAATGTCGTTTGTCAACGAATTTATGGATGGATTTTTGGAAAATAAACCTTTTTTAGAAGGAGAAAAATGCAGTTTTTGTTATTCTTGGAATTGAAAAAATTGGGCACTTCGCGGAAGTTGAAAATTTCCAAAGTTTTGTTAGGTCCTTCGAATTGCATAACATCTATCCATTTCTCTTCATGACACACTTTTTTCTGTTTCCAAATTTCAAAAACTTCTGTTCTCAAAACTTCAATCTCATTTTTCTGAGCAGTGAAACTGTTTTGTGTTCTGACTTCTTCATATTGAATGGAACATAATCCGATTATTTTCCATCAAAAAACATCAAAGCCTCAATTTTCCCGGGTTCCAAGTCGTCGAAAGGTAACCCGGAAATTTGATTTCGCAAACAACATTTTTGAACTTTTACTCGACATATAGATTTTTCAAAAACTTATGTATAGAAATGTTATTTTCAGATCAGAATCTGATTTTTCGCTTTAAAAAAATCCAAAATTCAAAAAAAGTGATCCAAAAAATAGTACATTTGTACATAGTTTAGTCACGTGATAAATCTTCTCACTAATTCGAAAATCTTCTTAACTCATGGCTCATAGTGAAATGAGAATCATTTTTATATCCGCTTTTTTCTGATCTATTTTTTTGACACAGATCTTCGCAATAAGTTTTCAGCTCTTTTTTTAAACAAACATTCATCAAATTTTTGCAAAAATCCATTTTCTGGGAAACTTGGCTAAAAATTACTTATCATTATTTTCAAAAAAAAATATATATTCACCTAATAATTATAATAATTACTGAGAAACTGAAAATGCGTGGTGTTTCATAGACCTCCCTGACATTTTTTTCTCGGTTATTCCAAATTCAGGCTCCGCCTCCAAATTTTTATTTTCAAGGCGAGTTCATTTTCATTTCATTTTATTGTGGTGCTCTCTCACAAATCTTCTTATTCCAAAAAATTATGAGAAAATCTATCAATTCGAGATGGATCAAAAAGTGAGTTGTTCCCGAAAAAAATCAAAATTCTTTGTCAATTTAATTCTTATCATTGAAAACATTTAGGCAGAGAGACAAATTTTAGATAACATTGATTTTTGGGCGGAATTCGTTTTTGGGTTTTTTTTTGTTTGGTTTCATTTTTAACCTGAGGGTTGATTTTTTTATCAAATCATTTTCAAACAAGTCGATACAAAAATGACTCACAAAAAAGTTTTGTGTTTTGGTGATTGATCCGGTTTTTTTTGTGATAAGTGTGTTTTGATTTTTCTCAATTCATTTAATCAATGTAGTGTGTTTTGTTTATCGGGAATTTTTTATTTGAACTTTTTCTGAACATAATTTTGAACAGGATGACGTGGCACATTTCTGAATTATTTCGCCTTTTTCAACTTCGAAAATATTCAGATTTGGCTGATCAGCTGTTGTGAAACATTTTGTAAATTATTTTCAGACTTATCTACTGTAGATTTTCTTCGTTTCTTTTTAACTGACAAGTGAGATTTGAGCTTGATCTATGATACATTTCTGCGAGTTTTTTAAAAATCAAAATGAAAACGTTTTTTTCTGCGATCTTTCCATACGCCACGTCATATTTCATATTGAACCTTATTCGTTCTCAATTGATCAATGTGTATTGTGTTGTGATTATCGGAAGATTGTTATTGAATCTGTCTCTGGGTTCTATTTATTATTGGGAAAAAGGCGGGGCTAGGCAATTTCTCATCTCTCCATTCGAAAGCTTTTCAGATGATGTTCCAGATTATTTTTCATTTTTTGTTCGGACAGAATTTATTCATGATTTCATATCAATTTTTCGGAAAAAAAATTCGATCACGATCTTTCAGTGAAATATTTCTTGACTCAGATTTAGCATGATCTATGACGTGACTAGGATTTTGACATTTAGAAATGGTTTTTCAAAAAATCGCTGTGCTTCTTGGATTGAAAAAGATTGTGAGATTCTCCCACGTTAAAATTCAAGTTCAAACTTGTCTTGACTTTCAGATCATTTTCAAAAGATCAGAAACTACTGAAACTAACCGATAATTCTAAAAAAACGAAACTCTAAAATTATAGCCTTCGCACAAAACCTCGAATTTGCGATATTTTCCAAATGTTTGCCCCGTCATAACTCTAATTCAGACTCAGATTAACTAGACAAAAAATTAATTTTTCCAAAAAAAGCTTGAGTCAACATTTAAAATTTTGTTGTGAAATTCAACTTGTTTGAAACTGATCTAATTTTGAATCAAAAAATCTTCCAAGCAATAAAAGTTGCTCGCAAAAAAGCACACTCAAATTTTCGCTCTCTCCGAAAAAAACACATCAATATATATCTCTGAAAAATTCTGACTCGCTCGAGCTAGAAGAAAATTTATTCGGAGTTGAGTTGAGCCAACTTTCTATTAGAAGAAAACTTTTTTTGCGGATTTTTTTCTTTGAAGAAAAATGTCTTCTAGCAATAAATTATTTCTGATTTGTGGTTCCTGGGCTCAATCAAAAGTTTAGGTTTTCAACTTGATTATCAGATGTTTCAAGTCCATTAAAAATTTCTATTCATAAAAAATATTGAATTCAGGTTGGCTATAACCTAAACGCAATTAGAGTTCTCATAAATCTTGGCAAAAACAACACAATTTTTCATAAATTCCAACAAAAGCTTCCCTGAAAAACCAATTTTTTCCCTCCATTTTTTGAGTAACCGATGTTCATCAAATCCAATTCCATTTTGTTCGTGTCTCGACCCACCCATGACCTATTTTGTGTCACTCACTAAATCTCTAAAATCTCTCTTTTCCATGAAAAATCTCCAATTTCAACACGCTCTTTCTCGTTTTTTTCAACATGAAGCTGAAGAGAGATGGAAAAACGAAGAAGAGGGAGGGAAGAATTTTTTGAGCCAAAAAAAAACACACACACAACACAACGTCGCATTTTTCTCTTCAATTTCGTGTGTGTGTCGTTTTTCGCCTTGTTGCCTTTCTTTTTTTTTGCTTCTCAATTGACTGAAATGCACTTTTTTTGGAATGAAATTTCAAATATGAAATTCTGGGTATTTCATTGTGACTTTCAAATTTTCGTAGATCACTGAATTTCTCACTTCCAAGGCCCAGAAAAAAAAATCTGAAAATTCTTTCGAATGAGATCCACTGAAATTTCCGACAGGATTTTTTCGAACTCACAATCGGAAATATTTTTTAAAGATTTTTCTCTCATCAAAGGCGTAATGCTATAAAAACTTGAAAGAAGTGTTGAAATTTATATGAACCGCTAAAAATTCAGAAAATCAAAAAATTTTCACTTTTTTTTTTGAAAAATTCTGAACTTCATCTCAAAATCCATTTAATGTGATAAACACGGAACGTCTTCAGCTTTATTAAACTATGCCATTTCATAACGTTTCTCCTAGGCAAGATAAGCTCCTTGATTTTTGAAAATATTATCTTGGCTAGGTCCTCAAACTTCCAAAATTACCAAAAAAGTCCTAGGTTCTCATCTTTATCACCTTTCCATCTGGATAAACATAATCTTTAATTTCTCGATAGATAATCTTTCCATCATTTATTTTTACTGAATTATTCAATTTCCTCCTACGTATAATCCCATCTACATATCTGTCTAAAAAACGGGCCAATTTTTCGTGGCATCCAATTACATTTACATCTTTTTGAACTTTTTTCTCGTTTTTCTTTTCGTTTTTTTGTCCTACTCAAACTTGACGTAAGTTGTGACATTTGAAATTCATTGGGTTTCGGTTGATTCGAAGAAAAAATAGACTCTTTTTTTTCGGTAGATCATTTATTTATTCGCTTCTGTTTTGACGTCATTTGGTCCTAATCGTCGGATATGGTTTCACCAGAGATGATCCTTTTATGAGAGAAATGAGAGCAGATAAAATATGATTCGCATTTTTTTTAATCTTTGTTTTGGCTAGTTCACTTCTTGGTCCTAGGATTTCTTGTTGAAAACAACTCATCATTTCTGATGGTTTTCCAACTGCTGATCAAGATCTCAACGTTGAATTTTAGTCAATATTTGATGTTTTAAAAAAAATCCCGTGAATATTTTCAAAAATTATAACGTGCTCACTCAGTTTTGAATGTTCTCCATGACTTTTTATTCTGATTAGCCAAACTCTGAACGTGAGTTATGACGTGGAAATGCTGCAGTTCTTGCTATAATTTTCTGAAATCTGCAAATTGTTTCTACAAATTTGATCTGACTAGAATTAATTTTCAAAAGATCAGCAATGACTAAAATATCACCTTCATTTTCAAATGAGTTATTTTTCTCATGTTTTAGGTTCTGCAAATTTTTTTTCGATAAAAAAGCTAACTAGATATGTTTCTGCTTTCAAAGATTATTCAAAAATCTTTATCTTGTATAGATCATTTTTTGAATTTGATTCCAATTTTAATCTTTTCCAAATCTTCGAAAATGATTTTTGAACTTTTTTTTTCAAATCTCCATTCAATTGGATGAAAAGGTCTAATCAGCAAATTCTGCGAAACCAACCGCAATTTTTTGCTTGCAATTCAGCGAATTTATCAATTCGCCTCCCTCTATATAAAATCTTGGGGTTTTTAATTACTATTTTCTTGTTTTGTTTTTTTTCTGCTACGCAATTTTCATTCTTGAAAAAAAAGAAAAGATTAGAAGAAGAGAGGAGAGAATAAGAGAAATGAAGAGAGAAAATGAAGAATTTGAAATTTTTACACAAAATTCTTCTCTTTTCCCACTGAAAATGAACTTTTGTCTGATTTTTTTTTGCTTGAAACGTTCCGCTCATTTTCAGACTCAGACTCCTCTATTTTTTCAAATTGTTTTTCTAAAATAAAGCATCTTCAAATCTACCGTAAAATGTGCCAGAAAACTATAGCTTGAAAATTGTGTGCTAGAAATATTACCTAGAAAATATAGATTTTTTTGCCATTTTTTTCTCAGACTCCCGAATTTCTGAAAAAAACATTTGCTCAAAAGAAAAACTTTTTATGTTGAAAAATGTAGGTTGATTTCCAGCTGCTAGAAAAATGTTTTATTTTTCCGAATCTACTGGAATAAATTTCTTCTTCGCTTTTTTTTCCGCCGCTGAATTTTTGATTAATTTTTCGAGTTTCCTCCCCCCTCGCTCCCTTCTTTCAACCAACAATTTCCGGTTTCGCCGACAAGCGCCAGATTTTTTTTTGGACATTTTTTTTCTATTTTTCTAGTTGAACTTAACTCGGTGAGATTAGGTTGTTGTGAAAGTTTTAGAGGATTAAAATATATAATTAGAAGAAATGGAATTTACTACGTCTAGAGAATATTAAATTAGGCTAGACAATTCCAGGATATTAATTATTCATTTGGAATTAAATTTAGTGTTTCAAATATGTTTGTTGTATTATTTTCTAGTTTCTTGGAAAAAGACAAAGATCAGGGATTTACCAAAAAATACAAAGCTCGATTTCGAAATATCGGAAGTTGGCAATTTCTTTTGATTCATGAAATATTTGTTCTTTCCGAGAAACGTGGAATTTATAATTTATCTAGCCGTAGTTCTGCGAATTGTTTAAAATTCTCAAATACAGCGGATAAAGAGTATGCCCTTTATGAATTTTTATTATATTTTTATGCACTTGAAAAGTTCTTTTTTGCGGAATATTTGATCTTAGATTGTTTTCTGAAGTTGGTAAAAACTTACCAAAAAATATTTCCATTTGAAAATCCTAAAACTGATCAAAATAACTCTTCAAGCTACCAAAAAATATGTGCATAGTCTTCTTCAGCAAAGTACCTCAAGATTTTTTCCAAAAAAAAAACAACTCTCAACCCTCTAATTCCTCAATCCGCTTTTCCCTCACTCAAAAATTCTGATCAGAGCTCGCAAATAAATTCATTGACCTCATTCAAAAAATTTCAGCTGCCAACTCTCATTCGTAAATTTTTGATCCTGAAAAATCTGATTTCAGTGCTACTTTCAGAGAATTTTTTTTTCTTAAAAACTTTTTCTGACAGACTTGTGTAATTTTTCACTCTAGATTTATGATTTTCCTAATTTCTTTGATCTTTGAAATTTTAGAGAAATGTAAGACTTCTCTTTTTTGAAAATGTTCTAGTTGTATAATTTTTCGCCCTCTCATTAAAATCCCGTAAGGTGAAATTTATTTAGAAATGTTCATTTCTCCCGGTCACGTGAAATTCTGATAAATATATATTTATCAAAAATGCTTCATTTCTTACCTACACGTGTGGTGTAGGCGGGGAGAGCGATGCCTTCCAATCAGGCAACCCTCCTTCTTTTGTGGGTTCGAGCCCCACTCGGAAAAAATTTTTCCCTATATCGAGTAATGCAGATTTTCGGAAATTTTGTTCCTTTCTACCCAAAATTGCGAAAATTCGACATTCCAACGCGGCAAAAAAGAAAAAGAAGGTGGAGAAGAACAACCTTAATAAAAAGAGAAAATCGAGAAAATATCATGCGTGACCCATGAATGAAAAAGGCTGATTCTTCAGATACTATTGGCATTGTTCAAGAATTCCAAATTCCTAACGGGCCAAGGATATTATTCAAGTATTCAAGACGAAAAAAAGATTGTATAAGTTTTTTTTGAAAAATTTATCGATGACTTGATCCATGGCAAAATTAGGAAGCCTTCCTGATTTTGCCACGAATCATTTTTTGATCAAAAAATTTGAAATTTTCTATAAATTTGATTGTAATTCGTGTGTTTTAACTCTTACGAGTACACTTAATTCGAAAAAATAATTGAAGAAGTTTTTTTTTGAAAAATTTGTTGATGACGTCATCCATGGCAAAATTAGGAAGCCTTCCTGATTTTGCCACGAATCATTTTTTGATCAAAAAATTTGAAATTTGATTGTAAGTCAATGTTCTGTGGACAATAATCACAGAAAAAAGTGAAACTGAAATAAATGAGAAGATTGTTACGCCTGGGGGCTAACAGCCCCTAGTCAAGCTAACAAGAAATTATTCAATACCATAGAAAATCAAGAAAAAAGTCTTTCGCTCATGGGACACATTCAAATATAATTCGATTATTGTTTTTGTAGAAGAAATAATTTTAAACGGAACGATTTTGATCTTATATTTAAAATAATATTCAATAACTAAAGTTCTGTTCAGAACTCGCAGATCATTTTTTCATTGACCTCATTCGAATTTCACCTGCCTTCAACCTCCCTCACTAATTTATTTATTTACAATATTTTTCTAGCAAACTGACGTCAACCGACGATTCGGCTCGGGTTGGCGCTCGACAACGTAATCGTTCGCTCAAAAAATCACCAGCCGTCCAGGATGATGATCCAACATCCTCAACCGCCTCCGCTTCATTATCCAATCATCATCTTTTGCCACACGCTCAAGAACCAAGAAGAGCATCGAGTTTTGATGTGGCGGCGAGCTCGTCGAAAATGACTACGAGTAGGTTTTTTTCTTAAATTTTTCTGTGAAAAATCTCTCTACATGTTCTAACCATCAAAACAACTAAAAAAGAAAAACTAACAATTTCAGCGACCCTACGTCCTGGATCTTTCGATGCTGGAAGATCAGCGTTTTCACCAGTTGAAGTGCCAAGATTATTGATTCAATCCCCATTGTCTCCACTTCAGGTATAATTATATACATTTTCCCCCAAATCTTACAAAATGTATCCTTTTTTAACACAAGTATTAATTTGTAGCTTGAACCGCCACCAGCAACTGATAGTCGTCTTCTGACTGTGCCGTCTCCAGATTTCCGAAAAAGTCCTGTTGATAACAATCGGTCCTATGCATGTATGTCATTAAAATTTTGTCGGAACTCGCGGTTCAAAAATTTAGAATATTCCGCGCAAACCTATAAATTCCCTTCTCCTCCCAACACTATTTTTTGCAGGCGACTCTCCAGGAAAAGCTCAAGATCTACTCAATCCTCTCACTTTCGGGCCAAATCTACTTACTCAATTATCAGCTGCAATGTCGCGTCCTTTGGGAATGCCAAGTCCACTTTTAGAAGAGTTCAAAGTCACTATGGGAAATGTCACAATTCCCAAACTCGAACAAATGGATTGTTCTGGATCTTTTGAAACTGTTGGTTCTGGCGGTTCTTTTGATCTCACAGCAATGTCTGCTCATTCTTCTTTCGATCATGGTCAAAACCAAATTTCTCAAGCAACCGCAGAACTTCTTGCGCAAATGCCACCTAAATCGATAATCCAAGATGATATTCGAAATGGAAATGGTCGATTCACTCTGGTTAGGAAACGAGGAAGATCCGAAGTTTGGAATTTATTTGGACAAGTTCTTGACACTCTCACAAATGTTAGGCTACCGTATGTGGCTTGTTATGCTTGTAAGGTTTTGTATACTGATACTGGTGGCGGTACTGGAAATATGACAAGACATCGATGTCCGATTGGAGCAAGTTATCGATCGAGTACACATGGATCATCGACAGAAACGGTTGAAGCTGGAGGGACTAATTCATTTGATTCAACAAATTCAACAAATGTAAATATGCTTTCGAACACAAATGGAAATACAAGTCGACCAGAAATTAGACCACATTTGGGATTAACTATTAATGATATCGGAGGATCAAATTTGGTATCTCAACATTCCGGCGAGATTTCGATTGGTGACGTTGATCGTGAAGTTTTGACTGATGCAATGGTCAAATGCTGTGCTCTCGATCTTATTGATCCTGTTATTTTTAGTGGAAAAGGATTCAAAAGTTTATTGCGAAGAATTTGTAATATCTCAAAACGTGTCAGTCCATCGCCAATTGACTCATTTCCTGATGTCAATACAATTCGATCTGCTATGCAAACCAATTTGCGATTCTGCACAGATGATCTGAAAAACGAGCTGTCAATGACTTCTCAGGGTGTGAGACTGATTATTGAGACATTGACATATTGTGGAAAAGATTATCGAGTTATTCATGGGTCGAGAATTAGTCCAGATTGGAAGTGGAGAAGCAATATTTTAGGGTAAGTTTCGAGAAAATAAAAAAAACATTTTTATTTTGGAACTCAACGAATTTTTTTGCAGTGTCTTCAAATCTCGTGAAAACGAATCGATCAGTGAAATGATTAACATTGTGATTCGAAACTATGAACTTGACAGAAATTTATTGCGAGTAACAACACCTTCAGCAGTTCACGATATTCCAAGTTCCACCAAAACATTTATTGATATAATTCCAAAACTCAAAGATATATTACTAGCAATCTTATTTTCATGCACAATTCCTGTTATGAGTATGCTGACATCAATTGAGCAAATCACAAAATCAATGGTTGAACTTGATATTCGTCTTCCATTTAATGTTGAGACAATGAGAAATGATATTTTTCAAACACATCATTTATTGAGTGAATGGAATGATCGTTGGCAGCAAATGGAACATCTTATAACTTCAAAATGTTCTCATCTTCTACCAACTTTCCGAACTATTGGACCTTGTTATATGAGAGATATTGAAACATTTATTCTACCATTTCGTGAAACAATTGAATCACTCATGTCTGAACAACCAAATTTCCATAAAGTTCTACCGGAATGGCAAGCATTGATGCATGAATGTCAAGTATCTGATGATGAACCTTCGCCACTTTTGAGAGAATTGAAGCAAAAGGCTACAGAGTTATTAAAGTTTGAGCAAGACAAGGTTATAACAGATGAACATCATATTGCTACAATGTTGAATCCAAAACTTAACAAAAAATTGGATTTGGTTCTAACTTCGAATGAACAAAAACGAGCGTCTGAAAGGATTCGATCGATTTGTGGAATTCGGAATCCAAGACTGCCATTGAGTCGAGGAAGTTCGACTGATGGAGAACCATTCAGGTTTGTGTTTAAAAATAATGTTATCGCAATTCAACTTATTTTAATTTTTCCAGAAAACGAAAAATGTTTTTATCATCCCTTGAAGATGATCCAATTGGAGATGAACTCGAATGTTATCTCAATTCACAATATCCACCACAACAAATCAAGTGAGAAACAATAAAACTCCTGAACATTTCCAAAATCAATTTTTTTTCAGAGATATCATAAGTTTCTGGAGTTCAATTGGACAGACGCAATTCCCAGCCCTTGCTTCACTTGCTCGACGAACTTTGAGCATTCCAGCAACCGCACCAAAGACAACTTTTGATCCTCGTTGCGCATCAGTTGCACCAGATCAACTTCACACTTTTCTTATGCTTCGATCGATGTTTGATTCGGAAAAAGATGATGAAGTTTGAAAATAGAAAAAAGATATCTAATATATTTTGTCGCTAGTCTGTAAATTATATATATTTTTGCATTTCGATTGTGCCTTCTTCTTAAAACCATATTTTTATATTATATTATATTCTTCTTTCTCTTTCCCTTATTTTTGAAAATTCCAAAACCGTAATATAGATCTCAGCACATATCACTCAATAAACATATTTTTAATTGAACAACTTTTGTACAATTAAGCGCGTCCCAGAGTTTGTTTTTTTAGTTTCTTTCCCTTGATTTCACAATTCACACTTGACATTTAACAACAGTTTATTCGTAATATGTACATACATCGTAACGTAGATAAAGAAATGTGTCATAAAAAGAAAAAATAATAAAGACAACTCATTGTGAGTCAAAATTAAAGTTGATATTTAATAAAACTAATAGCTGTTACCGTATCGAATTGTATTAAACCTGTGAATTGTGATGTTGATGGTATTGAATTGTGGAAAAAAGGGTATTCATTGATTTGATGGGTTGTGATCTTCAAAAACAAGTGAACCATGAGGGCCAAGACCTTTGAGATGCCTTGTTGTTGTCGAAGTATCGAAGAGCATTGAATCTCTGTGATGAGTATAATCATCTGAACCAGTTCGAGTTGTGACTGTTGATTCGGCTGTTTCGATTGTTGACATAATCAATGGTGTGGAGTAAGTGTTGTAGTGATGATGGTTCTGCAAAAATCGGATGTTGAGAGGGGAGGTTCAGTAGTTTTAGAAGAGAGCCTCAAAAATAAAATGACCCCTGAAATAATATTAATGTCTTCTATATAAACTTCTCAAAGAAAATTGTCAGTTCCCTAGTCATCCCTGAAACTATATGACCCCTGCCGTTATTTCAAGTCAAGTTCTTTTCCTTCCCCCATAAATAAAAACTATCTAACGAGAATGATCGATGTTTGTTTGTTTCTTTTTCTCTTTATTTGTTTCACATCAATGCAGCAAAAAAAATCTTCCCGATCATTTATTTTGACCGATCGACAAATAAGATTGTGTCTGTCTGTTTTTCTCCATTTCCATTCCCTCCACAAACCTGTACATATTCATTTGTTGAACTGTCGTAATGAGTGAAACGAGCATCACGATTATAATCGAATAAATCATCATAGGAAGGAGAAGTGAGCCCGGAGAATCGGGGCATATATACATCTGGCAGCTCGCCGGAACCTTGCTCATCTTTGTGTTTTCGATACATGAATAAACCTGATTGATTATTGGGTGGAGTTCTGAAGAAAGAAAAATTAAATGAGAAGGATTAGATTTTTTTCATGAATGAATGAACTTACTTCATCTTCTTTCTCAAAAAATGCGAAATAAATAATTGGAGGATACAAAACGAAATATACATACGTCGAAAGTCCCACAAAGCATAACCCATCAGATGATTTGAATAATATCAAAGTAGCACCAAAAGCTTGGAATAAATTCAACAAAATCATCATCATACAATAAATGAAGAAAGAGAGTTTGCTCGGAAGTTTTGTGTATTTCTGGCAGCAGATTAGGGGAAGGCACAAGACTATGAAATATGCGAGAGCAATGAGAGTTGATGAGAGAATCCAGAAGATTTGACCAACATCTACTTCAAGATATGGATTTTCAATCCAACTCTGAAAATAAGCGATTTTTTAATGAAATTTTCAAAAGAAGTTGGAATATTTAAACTTACAATGTTCACAAGCTTCATTTCAATCAAAAGTTGTGCAGTTGTATGTGGAATCGATAAAACTAATGTGACCAATAAAGCAATCAAAATTGATCTTCCATTATCCAAATGGCCAAAAAGTAAAGCAAAAGTCAACGCCGAAAACTCGGCAGTTAAATAGAAAAACTTGATGATAATCCATAATGTTTGATTCAATGATTCTTCCAATGGATTATTGGTCATTGTTATTGTCATACTGTAGACAGATCGAATAACATTGACCAATGTGGAAATGTATACGAGAAGAAAAAATGCGCGGAAAACTGGCGAGTTTCCTTTTTGACATCGATTTATTACGTTTTGACATTTGAAGAAGAGGAATAGCAAGAATAGTAGATTCGGAAGAAGAATTGCTGCATCCCAATATCGGATTCTGCAAATTTTGTATTGATTTTGGAAATGAGAAGTTATCAAGGGGGAGGGGTGTGGAATTTTGAAACTTTTTTATTTGATTGGTGACTTTCTAATATTCTCTTGAAACAAAACTCACTCAAAACCCGGAATCCTGTAGCTAAACACATCTTGACAAAATCCTCGAATCACAGTATGTGTTGGCGAATCGATAAATGAAGCGTTCGAAAAAAGATTCTCAATCCATTCTGGACTTTTCTCAGTATCGTTATTTATCTGTGTTACGATATTTCCCAAACTTGTGCCAGGATTCTCGTGAAATATCACTGACATCAAAAACGTTCGCTTTTTTAACTGCAAAAAATCAGGAATTTTTTATTTATGTTTTTATTGTTCTGTTCTGAGAAGAAGTTTCCAATGGCAACAAATAAATAAGACATAAGAAATACGGAATGAAGGAAGTTTTGTGTTGTGCATTTTCAGAGGAAAAAAAGGAATTCGCGGGACTCGTGGGAATTCGGGAAGAGGTGAAAGAATGAATACATGTAGATAAAAAAAACAGAAGCATTCAAGAAAAAAGAAAAATAAAATAAAAACAAAAACAAAATGAGAATTTCATGAATTTTGAAAATGTTTACAAGTTTTTTCCAACACAAAAAAAGTCAATAACTCTCTCTCGCTCACTCGTCTGAAAATGCATTCATAATGAGAAAAAATAGAGTTGAAGGATTTTTTTGGGAACTCGGAACTCGGAACACGATCCCAATAAGATACTTGTTTTGAAGTGTTCCGGGGGATTTTTGAATTGAAATTGGATAGCCCTTTGGCAAATTGAATTGAAAGGGTTTTCCGGAATGATGAAAAAACTGTGGGAGGAAAGTGATGTGATGGGTTTTTTTGTGAAAAATGAAGAAGAAGATGAAAAATGGGATCTATTAAGCTTATCAGGTGCACAAATCAAAAAATAAAAAAAAAACATGGCTCAAAGTTTTTGCTGGAAAAAAAGATTTTGATTTTTTTAACCATCTGTTCACAGAATTTTCAGAGAGAGAATCTTTTTCAAAATGCGGTCAATTTACAGTAACCCACCCACTCACCCAGCAAAAACCCTAACTAAACCAATAAACTTTTTTTGCAGACAACTGCGAGAATGAAAAAAACTGATTTCCGCTTCTCTTCTCCCAAAAAATGACAAAAAAAAAGAAATTCTTCTCTTCCCACATAATTTTTCCGGAAGAATAAATATAGGAAAAAAGAAGTGTTTGTTGGGGGCCCTAAAACTGGGCGCGTCTGAGAAGAACACTGAACTGAACAGGAATAGAAATAGGAATGAAATGACCACACACACACACATATATTCATAAATACAATATTTTTTATGATTCAGCTGCAGAAATGTTTAAAACATATAAAAAATTGTGTCAATACATATAGATATGCAGGTGTTGGAAATTCTCGTGGCCCAATTTTATTTTCTTTGATTAAGTTTTTTTTGGAAATAAATGAACATCTGCGATTTGACAAATGGAGAAACAGGTGTACATTTATTTCATTTTTTTTTTTGAAAAAAACTGGCAACTTTGGAAAATATAGGGTGAGTAGTTGAAAACATGGCAAAAACAAGTTTGGCTGGAGAAATGAATTCGGTTCTATATATATATATACTAATTTGATAAACACAGAAAGTTATTAATGGCAGAAAATATACTAGGAAAAAATTGAAGGGGTTGATTTGAATAACTAGGGAAACGCGGTTACCGCTGAAAATTTTCATCACGAATTTCAGTTAGTTATTTAGGGTATTTTTCAGTTTCAATATTTGAATTTTGAGTTCTGGAAAATTCAGAAAAAAATTTCCAAAAATCAAACAAAAGTCCAATTCTAAAATGACATCACAATTTTCAACATTTGAAATTTAATGTCAAAACACTCTCCCCACGCAAAAATATTTGCATTCATCTTCCGAAAAAAAATATTGATAAATCAGAAAAAAATCTATTTTGAAATAATTTATGACGTAGTGGAAGTTTTTATGAATAAAAAAAAGTTTGATACAAAATGTTGACACACTTTTTTAAAGTTTCTAAAAAAAGTAGTGATAAAAATCAGCAGTTTTTTTGTATTTTTTGAAAAAACAAAACACTGCAGACAGAAAATGAGAGAAAAAGATATGATAAACAAAGGTGACAAAAAATATGATTGATGTTATTTCAAGGGGAGAAGCTACAAAGCTGACCAGAAAAAACTCACACGGGAATCAGAAAAATGTCAAAAAATTCGATACTTTGTCGGATCGAATTTCTTTGATTTTCTCAAGGTTTTTTTTGACTCGACTCAAAAAAAATCAAAGAATTTCCAGATGTTGTTTGCCTTGTGCTCGAGGCTCGAGCGATGGAAAAATAATGTCAGCGAAAAGTTTATCAGACAAAAAAAATATTGAAAAGAAGTGTCACTCAATTTTGCCTACTCATATCATCTTTGAACACTTTGGCTGAAGAAAATTTGATACGATGTGTGTGTGTATATGTTCCATAAAAAATGTATATATGGGCAATTTTTGTTGAGCTATTATAATGAGAATTCAAACTTCAAGAAGATCTTGATTTTCTCAGAGATTAGAAATCAGGAAGGAAGCATTTAGAAATTTTCAGATCAAGACTAGACACATCCCAAATCAAGTCTTATTCAAAATATTTGAAGAGAAAACTTAAATTTTCAGCAAAAAACAAACAACTGCTGAAACTCAAAACTCACTCGCTCTCTCAAATCTTCAATTCAACTGACTTATTTTTCAAACATGTTTCTGTTTCTTTCCGATGTAATTTGTTCGAGAGAAGTACACACAAATAACACAATCAACAAAAACATGCACTTTTTAGATCATTGTGCATTTTTGTCACTCAAAACTGAAACTATGAAAAAAAATTTTCTCGAAATAAGTGTGAAAAAACTTTTTTTTGATAATAAAAAATAAATGAAGCTACTTTAGTTCCTGTCGAGTAATTAGAAGTGAATAAAAAAGGCACCTCGTCTTTTCAGAGACATCGACTGCGAAGAAAAAAAAAGAAAGCACGAGAGCCTCAAAAAATGAATGCACACATTTGTCTGCTTCCCTAAACTCTCTTTATCCGAATACTCTCTCAATTCTTTTCAACACTTCTTTTTTTGTGGCCAGCTTTGTTAATACCTTTTTGTTCAGAAAATATGAAATTGGGCCAAAGCTCGAAACTATCTTTTTTACGGAACTTGACAAATAAGGTCCTTCAAAAAATATGAGAGAAATACGAGAAAAAACTGGAATATTGATTAATTTTTGAAGCTGGAGATATTTTAGACTCGAAGATTACTGTAGGTCAGCTTCTAGATTAAAATGTCTACATTTTTAATAAAAACAAGTGTCTCTGAAAACATGTGTTTGCTGGGGAAAAATAATAAAACCAATAAAAATTCCAGTCAATACATATATGGAGAGCGGCAAAAAAACAGAACAACAACAACAAAAATATTTGACAAAAAATAGCTGCAAGAAAGTTATTTTGTTGTATAGGCAAAAGCAAAGAGATTATGAGGAAAAACAAAAGTTTTTCGTTGCGACTTTGAGAAAAATTAGTATTTTGTTTTTTTTTTTGGAGAGTTGTAGTGAAATAATATTCGGCAAGATAATTATGGGGGATTTTTTGAATGGGTTTTGAGAAATCTTGAATATTTAACACTGGATGACTTACAGGTTTTCAAGTTTGATTTTCTGAAATTTCATAATTTTGTGAGAGTCAACAATTCTAAAAATGAAGTAATATTTCAAAAGTTGTGCTCTGATTGTGAGAGAAAAAATTTCAGAAAATTCCGGAAAATTTGAAGTTCGAAAACTCAAAACCTCTTACTTACTCTCAACACAAAAAAACCAACAAATTCCCTTTCAAAAACTCAATCATGTGTGAACCAAAAAAAATACAAATTTGTTCTTCTTCTCCTTTTTTTCCTCGTTTGATCAATGAGACTGTGTCGACCGCCTGAAAAGGACACGTGACTCAATGAAAAAAACCGGTTACGTCACAAAAAAATGTATCAAGAAATGGAGAACTAAAACTAAAATAGAGAAAAAAAATCAGGTGACATGACATGAAAATTGAACACGCTGTCTGGGATAATTCTAATTTTGATGCAAATTTTGGTGTGTTCAAAATTTTAATAAATTCAAATATTCATAAAACCAGACTGTGGGGGGTAGTCAAAAAGTTTTCATATTAAACTTTTTGATATGAATCAGTCAGTCAGCAGGTGGTATTTTGTGACTGACTCAAAAAGATTTCAAGATCAAAAAAAGTGCACTGTGTGTCACGTGGTCAACCAGAATAAAGGAAACATGGAAAAATTGAGAGAAAGGGGTGATTTATGGTGACAGGACAACACATGACTTGGAGTTGCGAGGAGACAATGAGACGATAAATTTGCGGGGCTCGTGGGCTCCGCTGAGTTTTTGATTTTGATTAAAATGTTCTTCCTCTTGGGACTTTTGAGAATAATTATGGAAAATGATAGTTGAAAATGTTCGAGATGTCAATGACAGATTTGAAACTATGTAACTAAAGAGAGAACACTCAAAAAAAAACAAGTTTTGGGATTTTTAATTTAATTGAAAATTTTTTGAGACCATGGATTAGTTTGGGAAAAAGTTTGAGCTTAAATTTTTATCGAAAAAAAACTGATAACTTTTGGAGACAGGACTTTTTTTGGAAAACTTTGAAACAGATTCCAGGAAATAAACAAAAACTTTGAAATTAGGTTCATTTATAGAATAATTAGTCCAATTTTGAAATCAGTTTCCTAATGAAAATAATTGTGCTTGTAATTTAAATCTGAAAATCAATTGAATTTAAAATTGAAATGTCGAAAAACATCACTAGCCTCAACCCTCAAAAACCTCAATAGAAAACATCAAAGACATTTCTCAGCTCATAAAAAACTCCGAAAACGTACATTTTATTTACAACCCACCTTAAAAATTACAAATCAAATAAAAAAGTAACTTTCTCTGACCACGAAAAAAAGCCTGGCTGCTGCTGACAAATTCATATAAAACACATTCCGGAAACACACTGATAAGAATTCCAAATATAGAACTAAACTTGCAAGCATGAAAAAAGGGCTGGGCAGCGAAAAAATCGATAGTGTTGAAAAAAATGAACATGTCCAACTTAATCCTCATGAATTCTAAAGCAACCAGGCCAACCAGATGATGTTGAATAGAAAAATTATGAAACAAAAACACAAAAACATCTGGCTCTGTGTTATTTTTTGTCACGTGTTTGGGACAAAAATTCAATCGAAAAATA